AAGTTCCCCGACTTATCCTGTAGATGGCGCAGCAACCTCATGACAATCTTCATCCACTGACTACCTCACAGCACAGCAGAGTGATGGATCTGAAGCAGGCAGCGACAGAGACGCACGGAGGAGTGTGGTCCGCCTCAACGGTAAATAAACTAGTTTGTGAAATACACAATAAGTCAACAAATTTCAGTTCAACCCACTTCACGATGTTCCCCGCTGCGCTGGTCTCGGTCACGCCAAGTTAACGGTAAAGCACCATATAATATGCAAGCTAAAGTTAGCATTAGCCACCTGCTATTAGCCTTGCTACACTGTTAGCCGTGCCTGTTACGGTAGAATAAACAACAGTACACATTACATGATCGAGCTACTTCTCATCCTGTTGGCGTGAAGAGCAGTAGCCTACAGTATATCTACAGTATTTTTTTATAACTTAATAAATCGGTAATCGTACCCCCCCCCCCCCCCCCCATAATCGGTATCAACCCCAAAAAAAACATATCGGTCGGGCCCTACTTTTTTCTCACCGACAGTGCTGTCAGCAAAGTGCTATGGTTGTGTGTAGCTGCAGCCTTCTACCACGCAGCTGTTTTCTACTTGGCTCAAATGTAGCACATGATTGGTTCAGCGTGGCGCAGACCCAGAGCAACTCCCATTTTTATTGGCTACTTGTATACTCTACCTAAACATGGCAGAATGCCGACTATCGAAAAGCATATTGACCATGTTTCACATTGATATTGAGGGAAATAAATTTTTGATATATATCATTATCGTTTTATCGCCCAGCCCTACATGTACAGTATAATCTAAAAACAGCAAATACTAATACATATTCCTTATAGCATGCTAATCTTTCTTGAAACTAGAAGCAAGAGCCTTAAGTATCTCCACTTTTCATCCACTCAAGAGGCCCCTCAAACACATGAATGATTCATCTCTATAACTCCATTTGGACAGGAAGCGAAAACAAATGGAAGCAAGTGCCTTCAGAGAGTCCAGAGGTCTGCAGTGAAGCTGAATGAACAACACCAGGCCAAACCCACCACGCTCAGAGTCTCGGCTACACTGAGTGCCAGATTCCCCCTCAGTGCCAATGACCTCCTCCTACTATCTATATAAAGAGAGAGATTGCTCACACTACACACTTCTTTATTCACTAACAATTCACTTTTCACCCTGAATGAGCAGTACATCATCACAATGGTTTGAGGATATTTAAATGTTTGACTGTTCCTCAGATCAACCCTGTGAAACATTTTTAACCAAGAAAAAAAGATTAAACAACAAACGATTGAATCATAAGTGAGTGAATGTGATTCAGAGTAGTCTCCCTCTGGTCTTCTTTAAAACTGTCGTACAATTTCTGCAGTACAGCCTCAGCTCTACTTCAACTAGAGCAGCAGTGGCCAGGAACAGCAAAATAAACCCATACAGAAGGGAGTAATCCAAGAAAGAACTGAGAGGCAGCATGAAGAACAAAATAATTTCACTCACACTGTCGAGGGAAAATATGCCTGTTTGGTACTAATGCAGGTGAACTGTGTGTTTATATGATTAGTGACCATTATCACCTTACTTTTACTTGTTGACAGTGTGTCTCCCTTTTTTACATTACTAGTTTTATGAGGCTTATATTGTTAGCCAGAGTAATGACTTACAGCAGAAAAGGCATGTGATTTATGGCCAAGTATTACCACATACTGAGACGATTTGTCCAGTTCTTAAGTGTACTTTGTAATGATAATCTGTTAGCATAAAAAAACAAACAAAGAGAAACCTAGGAGTCCTTTATGTAATAAAGACAGTGTTGTATTCTGACACATATAATTGAAGGTTTTACCCTGTCATTTTGAACTTCCTGGTCCTCACAGATGAAGGGAACATAACAATAACCCACTGCTAAGCCGAAACCAGTACCTTCCTCTGGGCACTAACAACCCTCTTTCCACAAAAACTCACTGACCCAAACCCATTTTTTCCAGTCTCGGGGAAATGTCAAGTCCAGACCTAAAACTTGTCTCTTTGAGGGGAATGTAGCAGCCAAATATAGCCTGCTTTCCTCTCCGCCTCCCAACATACATCAGGCTCTACGGGTTCTGCTGCTAACAGTGGTTAATTTTGGCTGACTGCCATGCAGTCACTTACTATTAAACATCATAACTATACAAAGAAAATTACAACTGAGCAGTGGAGTGTACACTGTTGCCTGGTAACCTAATGCCATGTTGGCGATTCAACTTGTTATGGAACAGAAAACACTTAAAGCCATGCCAATAATAGATCCTGGACCGCCGAAAAATAGTTTCAGGGTGTCAACAAGCATGGCAAACATGAAGCTGAGAAACATATCATGAGTGATGTATGTTGTTAAGACACACTCCTCAGTCCTCAGCATGGGTTTTTCAAGAATTTTAGGAGTGTTGTTGTCTCTGTGACTGTAACCGCTGGTAGAAAAAATTATTATTCATCTGTCCTTTTTTTTTTTTTGGTGAACTGATAAGATGAGGGCTTTTTTCAAAGTGTGAAATCCAGCTGAAGCACACACATTATGCAGAGTGGCACTGGGTGCTGGGTACTAATGCCAACACTGTTTTGAAGTCTTTTTTAATCAAAATTACACAAACTGTACTCCAGAAATGTGTGGATCATTAAAGGATCACATAAGCTAATTAACACATTTTTACCTGTCACATCGCCACATTAACACATGTATAAAAGCTCGGTCAGTACCTTTCTGTGCTCCTCTACCTGTTAAAGAAAATTATTTGGATGCTCACTATTTTAACACCACAATGTACTGACAACTCAATTTCTTAGACATGACTCCTGCTTTATAGTATATAATCCCATTATCATTAAACCGTGCGATTGCCATTGATCTTGATCTGTTTTAACACATCCTCAGATGAGCAAACCTGACCAGAAAATCATTTAGAGTACTGATACACATACATACACATAATCGCACAAAGAATACACACAGGCATACAATCGTGTGTGTCCAACATTTCCTCTGTGCCCATCTGAGACAGAAGATTGGCTCAATCATTTTTTTCGTGTCATTCTTTGTGTCACCCAACACCATCACGTCTTTTTTTTCCTCTACTGGAGCTGCAATTTCTGCTGCGTGACATGAAGGCTGCCTTACACTGTCACAGTCAGTCAAGTACAGCACACACACACAGGAAATAAATCCACAGTGACAAAGTGCAATTCATCACTTTCATCACTTTAGTTGTGAGAAAAAGGGCGAAGGCATTGTATTCCTCTCGCTATGATAACCAGGATCACTCTCACGTCTTATATCACATCAGTGAGTAATCAAGTGATAATTTTGAAGGGTCTGTTGGGTATTTTTGACTGCAAGTTGTCAGTTTTCGGGTAATAACCATAGGTAACATGCATTACCCTGCAGGGTTTTCATACAACATGCTGCTTCTGTGAGCACTGCTTGCCAATTGTAAAGCTCAACATGCCAACTTATCAGGTCCAGTGAATAATTCACAGATGCTTGCCAAGATTTCTTCTATCGAAAACATTTTGTCTCATTAACACATTCATTGGTACTATGAAATTGTGTTAGGCAAGTGTAAGGTGTTGTTAAAATGACTTTCTCTCCCTGACACAGCTCAGATGGTACCTGCCCCCTCAAGCCATCTGAGCAGTGCAGACATCTGTGAGTGTTAACCTGCCAAGAACTAGTCTCATGTAAAAATATTATTAATTTTCTGAAATGGAAAGACAGCTGAAGGGTCATTTGAAGTGGCAGTGAAAGGCTCTTATGTCAAGTATGAGTAGTGTTTTTCTTGTGTGGCTGTCTGAGTGAAAATGTCATGTGGACACTGGAGGGTCTGCGGTTGTTGTGTTTTCTTATTACCTTTTTCAGATGAGAGTGAGATGTTGTCATCGTAACAGCCCCTGTGGAAAGAGCACCAGTCACCAAAGCTATCATACAAGAGCTATTTCAAAAATAACACGTGTGCTCAAAGTTTTGTTGGAGTGACACGGTTTTCCAGTAAAACTACTGCGATCCAAACTAGCTTTCTTTTAACTCTAATTGCAGCAGCTGCTACTTACTTTTGGCTTAACCTGCTTGTGTTTGCAGCTCTGGTCCTTCTGTCTCTGTAGACACAAAATATGCACCAACAGCACAACAAATTCAAAGATGTATTATTATATGTAACTGTTCATGAAACAAGTTATGCATGCTTTTATCACAACTCATCTTGATGATTGTAATGCATTTTATTTTTGTACCAGCCAAAACTTTCTTTATCATTTACAGCTGGTTCAAAATGTTGCAACTTGTCTTTTAGATAAATACAACTACATTTCCCCAATTTAGCCTCTCCTCTCTGGCTTCCTGTGTGATTAAGGATTGATTTTTAATTTTTTTTCTTGCTCCTTCTTATCTTTCCGACCCCGTATCTTATCTTAGACTCTCCACCGACCAATGTCTTCTGATTGTCCTGAGGTCAAGGTTGAAGCTCAGGGGTGATTTATTTTTTACTCTTCCTCTTTATGTCTGACTGTCCCCCTCACTGCCTGGTTTTAAATCAAACTTGAAAACTTTAGCTTTTGTCTCTTGAGAATTTGGCTTTTAATCATGTGTTTATTGAATCATTGATGTCCTCCTGTTTTTACTGTGGTCCAGTGTCTGTGTTTTACTGTTTGTGTTAATTATGTTTTACGTTTTTAATTTTCACTGTACAGCACTTCGGTCAGCATTTTGTTGTTTATAAATAAATTTGGATTGGATTTTTCAGTTTGGTGCTTATCTTCTTTGAAAGCACATGTTGCAGGTGTATTTTCATTGGAAGGTTCCATTTAGTAAAGCTGGCTAAAATAAGTGCTACTTTCATCAATGTAAGTGGTCAGAGGCTGTTCTTATATGGTGTAAATATTACATTGGAGATTAAACACACTGACATTTTGTAACAACATTATTTGTTTAACATGATGCAATGTAAGAGATACTGCAATTTATAAATCGGTACAACCAATCTCTTATTTTTGTCAAAACAGTGATTCAAACAGTATATTCATGCAATGATGGATTACTAATACTTATGTAACGGTCACAAATAAACTGGACACTGTTGTTCTGCAAAAATCCATCTTGTGACTAAGAGATTTTGACACTTACCTTGCTGTACTTTCACTTGATGAACTGAAGTAGGCTTGTCTATGCTTTAGATATCTGGGTACCTTTTTATTTCTTAAGTAAGCAGAGGTACCCCGATGGTATATCCAACCATCAATCAAACCAAGGCACGTGTTATCTGTGAAAAGAGTGAGTCACCCCTGATAACAGACGAGTCTTCTTGTACAGGACTTTCACACTTTACCATGTTCAGTGAGATCAGATGTTCGTAAGCAAGTCTATTTATGGCGGCCAGTCTGCACCACAATACCCACATCCAGTGACAAATAACCATCCGCGAAAGCAATGATGGAGCCCGTCAGTGGTTAGGCAAAAAAGATACTTGTTCATTTCAGAGGCTATGTTTAGACTTCACAGCCATGGAAAGTGCAGTGTCCTAAAACTTTGCAGTCCAAATTTAATGGCAAAACATCAGGAAAACGACAGCCTGTGACTGACCTTAGAGCCTTATATCAATTAGAATATTAATGCGCCTTACGCAAACTTTTAACAGTTCAACTAAACACTAATAACAGAAAGCTTGTTCAAAACCATCATTATTCTTAAATGATTACTTCTCTTTCAGACTAAACATCACTTTAACCCTCGACTTCACAATATTGGCCCAATCCACTGCTTCTTAAACGATGTTTACTTACCCAACACCGGTTCGAGTGCGTTCATTTTAACCCTTAGGCTACGTCGAGCTAATGCTCACATCCTTATGGGTTTTTTTCGTAGCCACATATACAGTAGGTCTAACGTCTTTTAAAATATAATTTTCTAGTTTAAAAGGGAACCTAAATACAGCCAGGACACAATAACAGGTGGATTGTCTCAGTGTACTCGAGGACAAGGTTGAGAGTAGGTGTGCAGCTGTGCGTGATGACATGAGTGAAGTGGAATGACGAATGAGCTATAAATAGACTTACTTGGTCGAAAAAAAAGAGGAACATATAAAATCCTATTCAAGGTTGTGACAGAGCACTCTGTTCTCTCCTTTGTCCTCTAATAATGTCTGTGATGGGAAGACAAGGTCAGCCCTGGCCGCTGCCTGTCTTCAGGACCACCCACCCATCTCCAGAGCAAGTTTGTCAATTAAAAAGGCATACTATTTTCATTGGTTTGTTTTTATGTTTTGTTTTATTTTAAAATATTTTAATTCCTCTGATTGCTTTTGAATATTTGTGTCTGTTGTTTACACTTCTATAAGATCTGATTAACATTAGACACAAATCTTCATGCCTGTACTATTTCGATGTGTCTCATTTACATTGTTATTGTGTTTAATTCACTAAAACAGTAACTTGACAGTGGTTAACAAACAAGGATTGAATGATATTGAATGCTAAAGCAGCTCACTGCGTGTAAAGAGGTTATTATTTGCTTGTTATTGCATAACACACAAAACCAAAATGTCACTTCGACAACAGCTGTATCCACAGTGCACTTTGCAGCTATGCACCTCCTAAAATAGCACCTGTGGCCCATGAGTACACAATATACCTTTAAAATGGAAACAGTGCCATCTAGCGGTTTAGAGTGTCGTAGACGTTAAATATAACTCAAAGAGGAGGTGTCAAAAATTATCCATTCATGACAAATACACACATAAATCTGGTTCAGAAATACAGTGGTTGGGCACAGCCATGATTAACATCCGATGCCAAGTAAAAATCAAATAAATGAAAATAAAGTTCAATAAAAACTGAATGTCTTGACACTCCCCTCAAATTTAAGAGGTAACCATAGTATGTGAACCCACAATCTCAGTGTTTCTCACTAGAATGCTTAGAGGAGGGAATTGAGGTGAAAAAAGGAGAGGCTTTTATCTCAACCAGGAGCTGAGCCTGTGTGATTAACATAGATTATATGCAGATTTGTCACTGTCATAAATCTACAGCTGTCCACTGTCTCACATTTTTATTTGTCACTTCAAAGCATTTTCTGCTACCCCTTTTTAGTGAATGACAAAGTCCACATCTCTGTGTGGTTTGTCATCTTTTCCCACATCACTGCGGCATTGTATTGAAATATTTTTTTGTGTCTCCATCCAATTTGGCTTCATTTATGATGATTGCTTCTGGATTTATTCCTGTTTTGAATTATCTCTGCCAAGAAATTATTTAAGATAGACCTATTAGAGAATTGTCATCTACCGTATCAGGCCCGACTTCAACACTGCAAGATCAGTTGTGAGAAATGTTGAGCTGAAATTCTCCTTTAGTTTGATATCTCGACTGTCCTGCAGCAGCTGGGAATGACCCAGTGGGTGACACCAATTTCACCCCAGGACCCCAACAGTCCAGCTGTTTACTATCCCTCACCCTGATAGCTAGAAAGACAGGAGCACAGCCCAGCATCAGAGAACTTTAAGGATGATCCTGCATGCTTATCACTGTGGCTGTCTCATTGCTGTGTAGGACCCCACAGCTGGCACCTGAGCACTAAGGACCATGTCACTTCTCAGCCAGCTAGGAATTCAGTCTTCAGAGACATAGACTCACCATTGTCAGCACATTTTATTGAGATTTTACTGAGATTACATATACTTGAGCATAACAGTGATATTAGAGTGCATTAAAAGAACTGTCAAAATTGTTCTGCATAATAACTTCTTTTTTTCTCCTTGCCTTCCTCACACACCTAAGGGTCCTGTAAATAAGGAGGATGCAAACACAGTGTCAGGGTGTACTTTTAAAGAAATGTGGGGGTATGTGAGTGTGCATCTGTTTTCTCTATTTATATATCTATCTGTTTCTTTCCCCTATTTCTCCATACTTCTTGTTTCTTAATTCAATTTGTGGGAACCTCTTTACCTCAGCCTCCCCAGTGAAAATGCATTCCTGCTTAGGTTACTGTGGCCTTTAGGGGGCTTAAGGACAGATTCAGTGGGATTACCCGTCAGTAAAGGCAACCAACCTAAACCCAAAATCATCAACATCAACGCCCCAGCCTTTTCCCTCACCCTTCCCTTTGTATCCAGTGCCTTGAAATGTGAGACTAGCCTGGAAAGTTGCCTGGTGAGCATAACCCACATTCTTTCACAAGACCCCTGTTACCTCCCTTACTCCCATAACTATCCTGCTTTTCAATAGTGCATTATATTTCTTTACAATACAGTTGCCACTTGATGTAGGGAGGGACACAACAAAGTTGTCCCTAACAGGTTGTTTCTGAGAGAGAAACATAAAAAAAAGAGGGTTACATATAAACACATACAAACATTACCCAACATTTAACACTGTTCTTCTAATGTTTCTATCATAAACTACTAAATGCCTCGACTGCAAAAGTGATTTAACTTTCTGGAATATAATCTGACTGTACGGTAGATAATGTGTAGCTTGTTCTCCTGAAATTTATGGTGGCCAATCTAGTTCTGAACTGCTGCCCAGTGAACAATAAGGCTCAATGTACTGACTGTATCTGTGACATAATGACTTAGTCACTGGGTGCACCATAAACACAAAGACTGACACACAGTGTGTCTGAGCCTTTTGGCACTCTTCCATGATGTCATCCCCGCCAGTCCTGTTTGAGATATTTTCATCATACAGAGAAAATTACTGTCCCAGACCATTAGCTGTTTTGACTAAGATTACTCAAATCTTCCTGACTAAAGAAAAAGGCATCTTGATCATCAGGATTGTTAATGTAAAGACATCCTACCTTCAGCTGACAGTTCTTTGACTGGTTATTTTCTATTCATGCAAAAAATATCAGAGATGACAAAACGATGCAGAGTGAATTATTCTTTTAAGTTCTGCCTTGTATAAATTCAGTCATTTGTATGTATTCACACCTGGTACAAGGATTTATTCACAGTATCTACCCACTACTTCCTACACTCTGCTTGTACTTCAAGAGTATGTCACTAGAGGGCCATATTCCATTACAATTTATTGGAAGGTCACAATCTGAGCCTCAGACATGTTCGAAATGAAAATTCTAACATCAGGATTTTGTAATCCCCTTTTTTCTGTTATAAGGTGAACAATGTCCTGCCTTGTCATGTCGTTATAAAAATACTAGACATTGTTCTTATTATATTATAAGTTAATGTATTTAAAAGCACAAATGGGTAGCACAAGTGTAGCCAGAGTGTATGGTTTAAGTAATTCATGTCTCTCACTTTATTGCCTGCCCATAGACCGTATATATATATATATATATATATATATTAGTCATACACGCTTTATCTATATACAGTTTATGTAATTTCCATACACACTATGAGCAGCCTGATCAACCCTGTTAAAGACAATTCAGGTGAAACCACAGACACTGAAGAATACTTGTATTTAATATCTTATATTTTGCAGCCCCCTCCACCTTTTACTCACTCCCCAAACATGTTAGAGACTGTAGCGACCTGTCACAAATCAAATAACTGCTCATAATTCACCTTTCCAGAACAGCTTTGAATTACTTGTTTTTTTGGCTCTGACCTTTGTCTGAATGAGTGTTTATATAGATGTGTCCTTAATCTCTTTTACAATGTCATTATTTTTTGTAAAACATGTTTGACTAATTATTTCTATTATTATTATAATTATTATTGTTGTTATCATAATAATAATAATAATAATCATAATAATTACTACGTTTGTTATTATTGTATTTAATAATAATAATAATTATTATAATTATTATTATTATTATTAGTAGTAGTAGTAGTAGTAGTATTATCTTAAATCTTTGGGGAGATGATGCATACCTGTCAAATAAAAGTTGTTAAAATAAATTAATTAATAAAAAAATAATAATAAATAATAATAATAATCATTATTATTATTTGAGTTTTAGTATTTATCATTATTTTTAGACGTGTGAGGGTACCAGGTGTCAAAGTTGGCTATGGCTTTTTTATTATCTATAAGGGTGACTCGTTAACTGTCTGATTGACTTAGTGTTTCATGTCAAACCTTCACCACAGTGCATATTAACACACCTGTGACTGGGACGCTTTACCTCATGCCTCCAGAGTAGTTGATTCACCACCAAAAGCTGCACTCTTCTCGCTTTTTGTGCATCTCCAAGACGGGCCAAACAGAATTACAAGCAGCTGAACAAATTAAGCTCAACTTGGCGTGTTACTTTCATCTGAATCAAACAATAGTTTGTCCAGATCCTTGTTGTACATTTTATTTTTTTTAATCTAAGATTTCATGACCGCATACAGCAATGATATATTCAACAGTGTGCGCCTCTTATGGAGCGTTGTTAACATCAACCAATCTCCTACGCCCTTACTAAGACTCCTAGCGCGTCTGTCCAATAGGACCGCAGCTTTGTGGGTGGCGAAGTATGGTGGCGCCAATGTTATGGAGTTTCCGCTACTCTTCTGCTTCCATGCCATCAGGTTAGGGAGCTAGCGAGTGAGCTAAGCTAGCGTCTGTTCAGGCCTCCAGCGGCGGACCAGCTAACAAGATCAAACACAGCTATTCGGAAGGAGAGAAATATCCCTTTATGAATCTGCATGAGAACAGTTAAAATCCCAGAAATATGGTGGTTCTCAAAATTCGAGACCAGGTAAGTGTTTATTGAATTAATAACAGACTTAAGTTGAAGCTGCTGCCTGGTCAGTGTGGGCTAATGTTAGCTGCTCAGATCTGAACAGTCGCAGACGGGAATGTAACTCGAGTTTCTCCGGCTATTATCAGAAACGGAAGCATCTGCTTAAACGTTTCACATTGGGCTAAGTTTATCTGGTAAAATGTCACTGTACAGAGGTGAAAGTCAGACACAGTACTGGAAGATGAGTCACGACTCAAGTCATGTTTGGGCGAAAAATAAGGCTTTATACTCTGATGAAGACACATAGACAGGCGATTGTTGAGTTGTAGCCAGCTAATGATACTGTGTTTATCTCCAGCAATTAGCCAGAACCCACTGTGAAACGCTACCAGCGACTGAGTTGGGAATTGACATGTTAGCAACTTGTGAATAAAACTAAAGCGAACTTCTCTGAGCAGTGGCTCACAAATTAGAGACAATGGCTAATTTCTGTCACTTGTGAAATCGTGAGAATTATCATTATCATCATATCATCACAGCGAGCTGGTGATTTTGTCATTTCTGTATGAAGTGGGTATAAAATTTGTCATCTTTGTAAAAACTAATGTCAACTCATCTGGTTTCATGGTATCTGTAACACTGGATGACTATAGTCACGCAGCTGTTTTCATCAGCCCAAACATTTACTAAAGATGTTAAACGACCATGGGTTGTGGTATTTCTGTATCTGTAATAGGTTTTGAGCATTTTTTTAGTCTCCTGTGTTTCTTCTTTTTATAACATGACTGTTTTTGGTGAGTTGTGTCGTCGATCCAAAGCCTTTAGTGCTGGTGGCCTTGCAAACACTGTCAATAATTGAAACGCAAGCCTTTTGGAAGGTAAATAAGTGTCTAATTGCGATCATTTAGGCAGTATACGGGTTAAATATGAAGGTAAACTGATTTTAACAGCTATTACGAATCTATTATGTGAGGAGGCACATGGATATTGTCAGACATATGCCCTGTAACTATATTAGACACTTGCCACCCACTTCAGATCACTAAAATAGCTTTCTTATATCATTTTGGACTCACTGTGTTTTGGACATTAGTACTATTCTTAAAACCCTGTAATCTTGTATGAACGTGCGTGTGTCTTTCATTGTGTATGTGCTTGAATGATCGTGTACCTGAGCTCATGTGAGCTTGTTCAGTTGCCAAAGAGCTGTCTCCATGGTGATGGTATTAACTAGACTGGCTTGTATGAGAAGAGGAGGTGCACAGTCGTGCAGCTAGAGAAGCATTGAAAATCTTCTCCACCAGTAGCTTAGGAGTGGAGTACTGAAAACAACAAAATGCAGATTTGTTCTTCCATTTCATGGAAGGTGGGGGGAAGTAATAAAATAGTGTACCATGCACAATTGCTTGCTTGTAACGCTGAATGTACTCTGTAATGCTAGTCACTGTTTTACCCTGCAGATATTCATGAACATTTTAATCACTGAATGAGGGGATTGTCTTTAGATTTTTAAGCTACTTGGTCCCTAATTGTAGCCTTTGTTTAGCCTATTCTAACAACATATCAATCTGCTTAAATGCATCATGTGGCTCAAATTTGTACAAAGCTATAGCTTTTTTTTCCCTCTTACATTCAGTAGACTTCAAAGAGAACACCCTTGACCAAGAATACTTTGAATTATAAATAGAAAGTTGCTCAAAACAGATTTTATGTTTAGTAAACACACATGAACAAAAAAAATTCTCCAGGGGTTGTTGTCAATGGTACATACAGTCCTAGTTCATTCAGACAGCTAAAGGTGATGGGGCATGGCTCTGTGCTTGCCTTTCACAATGCTGAGAGTTGTATTAGATTAGATTTAACTTTATTGATCCTTTTGGGAAGGTTCCCTCTGAAATTAAAATTTGCAACACTAGATATTAACATGGTAAACAGCCAAAGGAGCGTGTTAGGAAGATTACTGACAAACTAGGTGCAGGCATAGTTTGTTATCTATGACATGGTTTGTAAAATATGTGTGCAATCCAAAGGTCTTTTTTGTACCTTGGTACATGGCTGGACATAATCACGTCAAACAGCCTGGCAGAAAGTATGGGGTAGAGACAGGATAAACAAAGGCCTGCAACATGACTCTGACTATGGCTCTGAGGGAATTCAGCCCATTGAAATAGAGAGGTTTAAGGTATGAAGAGGTTTGGACGGTTTATATGGTCACTCACACATTAGGTCATACAGTATTTCCTCTTTGCTCTTATTCACCAGTTATGTATTCAGAGCAGACAATAGCACCAATGCAGGGTTTCATTCTCGCTTTACATTGAAGCAGCGGGTTGTTGATCCTGCTCACTCTTTGCTTTTTCTTCAGCTCACTTTTTGTTTTGGATACATGGGTGCACTGCACGATGCTCATTCAAAGGTGATAATTGTTCACACGTAATGCAAGTGCTTGAACAGTTCACTTGAGACACACACCATTTCACTGCCACTGCCAAGCTGTACAGTGATTAAATGTGAATTAAAAAAATTAACAGTTTTTTACTGCTGATGTCACTTCACAAAATGACTCTCTTTGTATTTTAAACTTGGCTACGGTCAGGAAAGAGTTAAGTTTTTTGGAAGCCAGGAATGTTCCATCTGGGCCTTTCACGGGTAACCAGTTGCAGCCTCTGGATGGGATCCTTGCCTTCACTGTTCTCCCCCATCCATGCCAGCCTCCTCCTACCGGCTGTGGAAAACCGCCTGATCAAAGGCTCTGTGCTGATGTTATGGTGGATCAGCTAGGGCAGTGCAGCAGTGTTAAACTGGCCAGCATCACACATGAAGGTTCTTCGTTCACTTAGCTACACAGTGTTGATAGTTGATGGAGGCATTGATTAGAACCCTGTTTCCAAAACACTTTGATGAACTTATGTTACTTACGAATGTATTAACAAGCCAACACTGTACAAAGTGTAGTAGATTTATATAAAGAGCAGATGAACAGTGACCATCGGCAGATAACTTGGTGCTTTCTGTCAGACCAGGCCACCCAACATGAATTAAAAAGTGCTATTACTAAAATGAGCTCCCATTGATGTGGCTGAATCAAAGTTTTAGAAGTGCGCTCTCTTGTTGCATTTACAGATGTAGGGTCACTTAAGGTTGTCATAATGCAGAGACTTTTTCCTTAACCTCTTTCTGTCTGCTGTGTTGGAACATTATGTTCTGGCATCCAACTCACTATTCAGCACAGAAGCAAGTGTTGTAAAAACCTTTTCTCATAGAAGAGAGGCCGTAAAAGTGCTGCGACTAAATCACAATGAAGAACTTCAGCTGTTTCAGCTGCAGCCCAGCTGTGTTAAATTATTGATATGATTTTGGTTGCACATCTTCAAAACTCATGATAATCTGTGATCTCTTGTGAGGCACAAGTGTGAATATTGAGATGAAAAATACTTTATTTTTTTTTCTTTTCTTTAATAGTAGAGCTCAAGCTCACTGAGTTCATTCTCCATGTGCACACCCCCCCAACCAGGGTGGAGCCAACCATCTACTTTTTGAGCAACTTACGCAGAAGTTTCACAATCTTAGACAAGTACATTTCGCAGAACTTCAACATCTCTCCTGTTTTCTTCAGCATTAGTTAGAAAACGCAGTTGACTTGAATCCTCTTAACCAGATGTTTTCCTGTTGGATATGGGGACCAGATCTACAGTTTGGATAATCTCTCTTTTTTCACCCTGGTTCGGCTCAGTGGAAGATGCAGATAGTCACACGAAGTTAGTCATCCTAAAGTTGAAAGTATGTCTGGAGAAGCAGTCAGAGTGGACGGTTTATTGGAGCGCCACTCGGTCTCTTTCTTTTGCAGTCGTCTTTGCTAAAAACGACCAGGATTTTTCTCTGTTTCCCATGGGGTAGATGTGATCACACTTTGTAACAGACTGTAAACACAGAGCAGAATTAGAAAGTGGCTGCTCAGCACTTGTCAATCTGCATTTGGACCATCTGCTTCCACCATGCTCTAGTGTGTGAAGTCATCATTTTGTTAAATGTCCACTCTGAAGTATCATGATTGTGCTTCTTCTTTATTGGACTGCAAACAACATTTTAGTGTGAAGTAGTTTAGTAGGGTAGACTACATCGTTCCATCTCTGAACAAATGAGTCGTGTATGTATTGTGGTGCTCGAGGTTGAGGATCCTGAAGTCTCGCCAAGACGCAAAGTCTTCAAGGTCTGAAAAGTTCATGTTTTCTCATATTTGAACGATGCTTTCAGCATTTAGATTCTGACTACAAGGCTTCACTGACATTTCATAAAATGAGCGTCTGCCAAAATAGGCCTTGAAATTCATTTGATATTGACTCAGTCTCTTTCTCTTGCAGCCTGCTTTGCTGAAAGCTATTTTCAATGTGGACCCAGATGAAGTACGCTCGCTCATTTTCAAAAAAGAGGATGTGAATGCACAGGTAATCCAAACACACGCTGACTAATCGCTGTTTCCTCTTATTACATCTATATCTTAAAAACTTCCCAGCCACACTGGGGTTAAATCTGGTAATGTATAGTTGTCCTTAAAGGGCCCCTCAGAAGTCTTTCTGTTAGTTTCATAGAACTGGGAGAACATAGCTCTTTTACAGTCCCCACTGCACGATCTGGATCTGCTTACTTTATTGCATTCCTCACCATAAATGCTCTGGTGGGGGTGGGGGGTGTTTCTTTCGAAATAAGGCTGTTTTTTTTCTGCTTTCCCATTTGTCACTGGAAAAATCTTCAAGGTAACAATAATTCTGTTCAACCCAGTTTGTACTACAGTAGCAGTTATTTCAAAATGCACATAAAAACAAGCACAAGGAAAAGACAATCTCATAATTAATACGTCCATTCAAGTGTCTTCTCTCTTCATTTCCACTGATGTCTTTTTGTTCTTGTGTCACAGGACAATGAAAAACGAACCCCATTACATGCTGCTGCCTATCTGGGAGATGCAGAAGTTATAGAGCTGCTGATTCTTTCAGGTACGTCTCTATGTCAGGATTTGTCTGAAGATGCTGTTTCGAATATAAACAAATGTTGTGGGATTGTTCATACATGAAGAACATGACCATTGAAACCTTTTTCGAGAAGGTTGCTTTGTTCACGTTCAGGGAAATGAAATATTTTGTCTTTTCTTCCCGAGCGGTACATAAAAAGGGGATTCAGTTAGGTGGTGAATGCTGGCAGATGTTGACCTTTCTGGAAGCATGATAACATTTTTCCAAATGTGATACTTGAAATTGTTATTATGCCTACGTGGGCAGAATCTGCACCTGCATTCAATATTCTTAAAATACCTCGAGATGCACCCTTTGCAGTCTCTTTTCTGAATCTTAGTAGATTGCGATATTACACCACAGAACCTGATAGCTGTCAAAAAACAATTTGATGATGCTGTTGAAATGTTGCACGTAATGTCATGTAACTGTCTGCCCTTACACAGTCTAACAGTCTTCGTCCTCTGACTTGTAGGTGCCAGAGTAAATGCCAAAGATAACAAGTGGCTCACTCCTCTGCACCGGGCCGTGGCCTCCTGCAGTGAGGTATGTGTACGATCATTTGCCTCTGATTAACACCGACTGTTTTTGCATGGCTGTGTCGCACTCAAACCCACTCGTGTTGACACTTTTAAGGAGGCCGTCCAGGTGTTGCTGAAACACTCGGCAGATGTGAACGCTCGAGACAAGAACTGGCAGACTCCGCTTCACATAGCTGCAGCGAACAAGGCTGTCCGCTGCGCCGAAGCCCTCGTCCCACTGCTCAGCAATGTGAATGTGTCAGATAGAGCAGGCCGGACTGCGCTGCACCACGCAGCCTTCAGCGGTCATCTGGAGGTAATGTCAAGCCTCAAGTGTTTTCTGATTTAGCTTCGAGTAGCTCATGCATAAGTGCTTCAGTGCAGCGTGGATAAAGTTGTTGCCCAATGGATAAAATTGGCAGGACGTTTGAAACTTCATCTCGTACAATGTATATATTTTTTTAAAATGCAATGACTTGAATATATGGTTGTACAGTGTGTCCTGCAGTTGTTATCCTGTAAATCCAACCACTTTAGTTCTGCTTATACTAGGAAAGTGAGAGTCTTTACACTGGAGAGAGCACGCACAACAGGCTTAAAGCAAACCTCAGGATCTTTTCCTCACACTGAAAGGAATTTTTGTGCTTGTCTAATATGTCCGCAACACAATGCATATTGTAACGTGTACCACAGAAATAGAGAAGAACTACACAATGGCTATTTCCATGTTTGAGAAGTGTGAGGTGAAACAATCAACATCCCCTCATAGCTACGCAGTTCACCTTCTATTAACAGCTGTGCGGGCCAGAGCCACAACCGTCATTACCACAGCAAATAATGTATCATTATACAGGCTGCTGTACTCTCATATCCTGCCCTCTATTTCTAACACGTAACTGTTGTGTTGGTGTTCAGTGGAGTTTTAATAGTGCAGTAATACTGCGCTTTTTGGTGTGGATGTCAGGCAAACATCAATAGTTAGAGAGAAGCTACAATCGAGCAGGTTTCCACTTCTCCAGTGACCCTGTCATAACTTGTTTTAAGAAAAGCCAAATTTGAACTTTGTGAATTTGTTTCCTCTTGAGTGCACACTGACAGTGCCATCGGCGAATCTGAGAGTGTGGTCACACTTTCCAGGACCTTATGTGCACAGTCAGTGCTGCTTATGCAAGTATTTGTTTACATGCAAATGAATCATTGAAGTCATACGCTTGCATTCAAATGAGTTATCTTTAAGATGGAAATGACCTGTATAAGTAAGTGTCTATGCTAATGAAGCGCTGCCCAGGCAAACCTTTTCTAGTAAAACACAATAAATACTAAGGTGAGTAGATACAGCCAAAGTCTGTGTTCAATCTGATAGCAGCCTGTGCAGAGGCTAAACATGGGGAAAATGTGGGATGGGCTGTATAATGCCTCATGTATTCTTGTGCTGTTAATGTAAGATTAAAGGTTTTTCAACCCACACATGCCCGTGTGTTTGAAAAAAAAAGAAAATAATGTATTGCTCTGTGGAGGTTTATTTAACCCAAGAGGCTGGCTTTAACCAGACTGAGCTGTTCACATGTTTTTTTGATTTAAAAGAGAGGATTGTTTTCAATGCCCCATAATAAAAAGTAAATCAAATGCGTCAAACATGGTTACGCAAGAGTTTGTATTGATCCGGAGGCTGCTGAATCAGTAATGTTCAGGTATCAAACCTTGTTACACGTTTCCTGATTTGCTCTTTTTTTCCCCTGCTGCTGCTTTTAGATGGTGAGGCTCTTGCTCTCCAGAGGAGCAAACATCAATGCCTTTGACAAGAGAGACCGCCGTGCAATCCACTGGGCTGCCTACATGGGTAAGAAATCAGCCACAGGGATTTTTGCACAATGTTCATTTTCTATGCAACTTTTTTCTCATATCATGTGGTATCATAAGATCCCAGGAAATTATTTTCAAGGCGATCATAATTATTGGAAGAACGCTCATTTCTCAATCTGGATGTGGCATTTTTCTCTCTTCAGGGCATATAGAAGTAGTGAAGCTGCTAGCTTCTCATGGAGCTGAGGTGGCCTGCAAAGATAAGAAGTCCTACACCCCCTTACATGCGGCAGCCTCTAGTGGGATGATCAGTGTTGTCAAATACCTCCTGGACTTGGGGGTGGATGTAAGTTCCACCCACAAGCTTTACTGTCACTAAACTGTGGACTCTTTGAAGATATTGTGAAGAAGAGAAAACAGAAATCAATAATTTTTTTCAATGTGTACAATGGTTTCAATGGTTATTTTGATGGGAATTGTGCTCCGATGCTACTCCCTCTTTCTCTTCCTGCCCAGATAAATGAGCCCAATGCTTACGGCAACACACCGCTCCATGTAGCCTGCTACAACGGGCAGGACGTGGTTGTAAACGAGCTCATTGAGTGTGGAGCCAACGTCAACCAGGTGAACGAGAAGGGCTTCGCGCCTCTCCATTTTACTGCCGCCTCCCGCCATGGGGCACTATGTCTGGAGCTGCTCGTGTGCAACGGGGCGGATGTCAACATCAAGGTGAATATAAGCTGAAGAACTGGTCGTCACGATGTGGGTACATTGTTGCTTTAACGTCTCGATCATTAAATAGAAATGTCTAAATGACATGGTAGGGCTGGGCGATATGGCCTTAAATCAATATCACAATAAATTGAGCAGTTCACCTCAATAACGATAAATGAACGATAACTACTCCACAAGCTGCTCACCCCCTCCCACATTAACTTCGTCTACTTTAGCCGCCGCTACAACTTTTGAACCGTCCTCCATCTCCTCACCTGTCTTTCCCTCTTTGTTACGAGCTGGATGGGGTGGAGTCACATCTCAGACGAAGGACAGTGTCTTAAAGGGACATGAAATCATAGCCTACCTACACACATCCAAAACCAACTTGTATTTATTTAATTATATTGATATGGGCAAATTGTTATAAATTTCAGTATCTATAAACTTTGGGTTTATTGCCCAGCCCTCTGACATGGTCACTTTTGTTGCTCTAACATGAATCCAAGTGTTTATAGGAATAGTATCAGTTTTGGGCCTTTTTTTCCTACATTGTATTGTTGTTTTTATGCCTCACAAGGAAACTCGTAGCCAAAGGCAACATCTTTGACCTTTCCAATGTGTCCTTGTTTCACCCTAGAGTAAAGATGGTAAGACTCCCCTCCACATGACGGCAATCCATGGAAGGTTTTCGAGGTCACAAGCAATCATTGAGAATGGTGAGCTCCTCTTAAAAAATCTGCTTTGTCACTGGGAAGCACAAATTGCTCCGTGTAACACTGACTAACTGCGTACTTGGTTTGTTTTCATCCCCTTAAGGTGCTGAGATCGACTGTGAAGATAAGAATGGGAATACACCACTGCACATCGCAGCTCGATACGGACACGAGCTGCTCATCAACACCCTCATCACCAACAGAGCTGACACAGCCAAGTGAGTGAATCTGTCTGCAACAGTTCATTCCTAAATCCTCTTTTATTCGACATAACCTGTATAAATGTCCTCGCCTGGGCTGAGCACCAGAAATGTTTCGGATGATTCTGGGAGGAATAACATGATTGTGTCCTTCCAGACGAGGGATTCATGGTATGTTCCCACTGCACCTAGCTGCTCTCAGTGGATTCTCTGACTGCTGCCGAAAACTTTTGTCCTCAGGTGAGACACAGTAGTAGAAATTTAACTAATCTCAGAGCACAATGGCACAAATCTCACGTGTGAATAATGTAGATGTTGCTAACTAATAAGTCAAAATCCTGGACAAACTTCTGACTTTGTTTCCTAATCCTGTGATCTAATGCAGGATTTGATATTGATACCCCTGATGACTTTGGAAGGACTTGTTTACATGCTGCAGCTGCTGGAGGGTGAGTAAGGAGGGCTGCAGAGTATATTGTACAGAATATCATCATATGTATCAGATCATCATCTGAACGTTTGTCCTAATCCCTCAGAAACCTGGAATGTCTCAATCTTCTCCTTAACACGGGCGCAGACTTTAACAGAAAGGACAGCTTTGGCAGGTTTGTGGCCTGTAAATGAAGATTTGGCTCCAGAGTTTGTTCTCTCCCAGTTTCTGGGTGAACTTTGAACAAATACTGAGCGTTGTTTGCTTTTCCAGGACCCCTCTGCACTATGCAGCTGCCAACTGTAACTACCAGTGCCTGTTTGCTCTGGTGGGCTCTGGAGCCAGCGTCAATGACCTAGACGAGCGGGGTTGCACTCCTCTCCACTATGCCGCTGCCTCTGACACAGATGGAAAGTTAGTAATAATAAATTAAATGTTAATTGAAAAAGTGGTGGCTGTGCTTTGCATTTTCCGCTGTTGGTGTTTTTTGGCTACATCTCCTTTGTGTGGTCTGCAGGTGCCTGGAATATTTACTGCGTAATGATGCAAATCCAGGGATCCGGGACAATCAGGGCTACAATGCTGTGCACTACGCCTCTGCATACGGACATCGCCTCTGTCTGGAGCTGGTAAGAACCTCACTTAAGAGGACTTAACTTATCCAAGCATTGCAGTATGTCTTTATAGATAATATTTTTCTAATGCATCCCTGCTTTTCTCTCTTTCTCCACAGATTGCAAGTGAAACACCTTTAGATGTGGTGAGTGGGATTTGCATTCCTTCCTTTTGTGTGTCAGGGTGTGTTACATCGGTAAGAGTTGGCAACAACAAAAATCTGAAAGTCACGCGTATCCACAAAACTCCTACGAGTGCTGGATCAGGAGTTCAGTCATATTAATTTAAACAACCATGATATTATGAACAACTAAAACTAAAATTAAATTACACAGAAAATCTTCTTTTAGTATTCGTCTTTGACACCAGCACCCTGATTACCCATAGTGCTTTTCACATCTGGATGTGCTGTCCTGTGAAACTGCTATAAAGAGCTGTATAACTGAAGAATCATGACCACTGTAGCTTCCAACTTCTGCGTCTGTCTGTTTGCAGCTGATGGAAACCTCAGGGACAGACATCTTGAATGACTCTGATGTCAGGGCCCCTGTTAGCCCCCTGCACCTCGCTGTGAGTCAAGTGTTTTTATCACCTCATCTGGCATTATCCCCAGTTTCAGCATATTAATGTCAAAATGTTCATGGTAATTTTTCGTTCATCTGCCAGGCATATCACGGTCACCACCAAGCTATGGAGGTTCTGGTGCAGTCTCTGCTGGATCTGGACGTTAGAAACACTCAAGGGCGCACCCCTCTGGACCTGGCTGCCTTTAAGGGCCATGTAGAGTGTGTGGACGTCCTCATCAACCAAGGAGCCTCCATCCTGGTCAAAGACTTCACCCTGAAGCGGACCCCCATTCATGCAGCAGGTACATATGCTGACAATATCATAAGAATTAGTGTGGGTTTTTTTTTTCAGTGTTGAGCATGAGCTCAAAAGTCGCTTTATTCCTCTTTGCAGCTACCAACGGTCATTCAGAATGTTTGCGTTTGCTGATTGGAAATGCTGATCTTCAAAGTGCAGTCGACATTCAAGATGGAAATGGACAGTAAGTAAAATGTCTCTGTTGTTGTTTTTACCGGCTCTCACTTAAGATCCAAAGTAAGTGATTCTTTTTTCATCTGTTGTCTTTCAGAACCCCTCTAATGCTGTCTGTCCTGAGCGGACACACAGACTGTGTGTATTCTCTGTTAAATAAGGGAGCCAGTGTAGAAGCCAAAGATAAGTGGGGCAGGACAGCCTTACACAGAGGAGTAAGTAAACATCTTAAATTTCCTACTTACCTGTTCTACGTGTGTCTGTATGTTTATCTTTAAGCTTTGTCCCTGTTTTCAGTTTTTGTTGAGCTAGCCTTTTTCTGACTGAATCATTTTTTACTAAATGTCATATTTTCACCTTTATTATGTTTGCCAGGCATGTTGTAAATGTAAAACGATGTAGTCTTTTTCACCTTTAGGGGTGACTAAATGACTTTTTTTCAGATCCAATGGATTTGTTTTAAGTGCATGATTATTTAGCGTACGATATGACCAGTGAGCAGTAACAACACTGCCCTCTGATGTTTGCTTTCTGCAGGCAGTGACCGGCCACGAGGAATGCGTGGAGGCCTTGCTTCAGCACAGCGCCAACTTCCTGGTGCGAGACTGTAAAGGGCGCACACCAATCCACCTGGCATCAGCATGTGGACACAATGCGGTACTGGGAGGCCTGCTGCATGCTGCCCAATCAGTGGAAACACTCCCTGTCTTAACAGACAACCAAGGCTACACCCCACTGCACTGGGCCTGCTACAATGGTACAGAGATGAGAGAATGAAGACCTCTGAAATAGCCGTTAAAAAAATAGTAGAAATGTTCATCTGGTATTGGTATTGATGTATGCGTTGGCAACTTCCAAATCAATGAAAAGGAGCGCTTGAGCTAGTATACATCAAAGATAGGCATGGAAATCTTGATTTTTGTGCTTGCTCTTGATGCAGTCCTGCCTTGCAAGTCCTTTTGCACTTAAATTCTGACACATTGGTAAAAATATTTCGAGAAAGCCCTCACTGTGAGCACTCCAGAATGAAAACTGATGGGAGCTTTTGCTTTCTTGACAGGTCACGATATGTGTGTGGAGGTTTTGCTGGAACAAGAGGTTTTCCATAAGGCTGAAGGCAATTCTTTCAGCCCCCTCCACTGTGCTGTGTAAGATCCTAAGCTGTCCTTTGTTTGGATTAATGTGTGAGGAAAAGGAGCTTTAACTGAACGATTGATCCCTCTCGTTTCTCTCCTTTAGGATCCATGACAATGAAGGTGCTGCTGAGATGTTGATTGACACTCTTGGCCCTGCCATTGTCAATGCCAAAGACAGTAAAAACAGGTAAACCTACTCATGCAAAAAGTGCTATTAACAATGCTCATAAACCTTGTCTCAAACTTTACTGAGCTAACGTGACTATTTAATAAGAGTAAACATTGACGTGCTGTTTCTGCAGGACCCCACTACATGCAGCTGCCTTCACTGACCATGTTGAGTGTCTTCAGCTGCTGCTGAGCCACAATGCTCAGGTCAACAGTGTGGACGCTGCAGGGAAGACCCCGCTCATGATGGCTGCTGAAAATGGCCAGACGAATGCTGTTGGTAAGACGTTTTTCTGAATATTTAAAGACCGTTAAAAAAAAAAAAAAACATTGTGCGGCACAAGAATCAGCGGCTTGTTGATCTTACCCGAATTTTGCTCATACTATTTCAGAACTGCTTGTGAGCAGTGCTAAAGCAGATCTCACTCTGCAGGATGCTGCGAAGAACACTGCACTTCATCTTGCCTGCAGTAAGGTTAGTACAACCATGGGGTGGCACTGTAATTGCATTTTACAGCAGGAAGTGAACAGCATGACCCTGCAAGAATATGCTCAAGTACTTCAGACAATCAGTATTTTTTTGTGGAAGGAGTAAAAGCTGTTTCTGTTGTTTTTTCATTTCTGAAATATTGATTTTACTGCACATATTTTCCACAGGGACATGAAACCAGTGCCTTGTTGATATTGGAGAAGATTGCAGACAGAAACCTCATAAATGCCACTAATGCCGCCTTACAGACGTATGTATCATTTGTTTCACACGGGTGTCCTTGCGTCTTCTGCTGAACATGTGTAATGTTGGATGATTTTGTGCGGATTAGTGACATTAATATAGGAAAACAGATTTTAATATTTTGACTTGAATCTGGGTCAACCATGTTCTCATTTTTCTCTCAAGGCCTCTACATGTGGCTGCAAGAAATGGCTTAACTGTGGTGGTGCAAGAGCTGCTTGCGAAGGGAGCCAGTGTGCTCGCAGTCGATGAAAACGGTAAATTTCCAGTGTTATGTTCTTTCTACTCTTGAACAACTCTTTTTGAATCAATATGTGGAGCTTTTATGTTGAGTGCCACTGAAAAAGACCTCCCACTAGACACAGGGAGATCAAAAATGATGGATTACAAAGAGCATCAGTGCCTGTACCAGTGTCTGTTGGGCAGCTTTAATTTCAGATAATTTGTTACCTCAGGCCTTTCAGCTGCTAATTAACCTTTTAAAACATTTTCCTAATGCAGTGGATAATGATCATTTGGGAGACATGGTGGATAATGTACTGTAGTGTAGAAAGAGAGATAAAAATAGGAACAGCATTACGTTTTGATGAGATAGTAACCAGCCAGTTTAAATGTGGCCTAATCTGTTGAATATATTCAATGAGACACCCAATGATTGTGAAGATAACAGAGCTTCTTAATTCTTTATCAAGGAAGCTTCATGCATGGAAAATCTTACTTACTTTTATGGTCCAAAATGGTATATATATATTGGCAAATTTATTTTTTATTGTAAAAAAAATTTATTGTCAAACTTTGAATAACTGCTTTTCAACAAACGTGGTATCAGCTGATTCACTTTATCAGAAAATAAATATGTAACATAGCTCCACCTTGATTGTTACAGGTTACACACCCGCCTTGGCTTGTGCCCCCAACAAAGATGTGGCAGACTGCCTCGCTCTCATCCTGGCCACCATGATGCCTGTGTCCCCCTGCACCCCGGCACCCACCATCCCCTTCAGTGCCATTAACCACTTCACCACAAGCCCCTCCAAGAGCGTCACCTTCGACAGCCTGCCCGTGCTGCGCGGCGAGCACAGCTCTTACTGCAGCTTCAACAACATCGGCCATCATGACGGCTTCTACAAAGACGAGGAGCTCAATGACTCAGACTCAGAGACGTACTGAGAGACAGGAGGAAGTGGTTAACACACACACTGTGTCTTAAATATCACCCACCGCCAGCTTGGGAGGGCAAAGAAGAGAAAAGCCCCCACAGGAGCCTTAAGAGACCCCCGCCATCAGAGAGCAAGAGAGGGAGGAGGTGCAGCAGGCTGGCCCACACTCATCCCGACCTCATTCAGCACCAGATGTCCTTTAGCCGATACTGGACTACAGTAACCGTCGCTTTACCAACACTGACTTCTTGAGTGCTAAAAAAAGTGTACTTGTTGGGCGGGCAGTGACTTTTGTTCAGCAATAATATGCTGGAGAGGGATGGTAGCACTTCACAGAGAGCTAAACTGACAGGGACCAAAAAACATGGATGCATTTTAACCCATTTTTAAAGGTGTAAATGAGGATTTCTTTTTGGGGAGGGGGGGTGCTGATAAGCAGAAGGGGCAGAGCTGGCTTTCATTTTTGAAATTTCTGGAGTCAGACAATGTCGAAATCCGCACACTACATCTGAATGAACTTCAAGTCTGTACAGGGCGAAAAAAAAAAAAAGTTTATTTTTTGAGATCAAAATTTTATGAAACCCATGTTCATGTCTTAAACTCCTTCCTTGGAAAAAAATCTGATTCATTGACCTGGATAGGTTAAAAAATTTGATATTTGCACCAGGTGAATTTTAAGTTGATCAACCTTAGCTTTGTATATTGACCTGTCCGTTTGGGTTTAGTCTTTCAAGAATAAATTATTTGTGTTTTTTCACTTCCTATTTATGTGTTCATTTTGTGCCTTCATTAGTTACTGAGATAAGGCGAGTTTGTAGAGGCAGCTCTGAGAGTACAGTGATGCACACTTGGTAAGTAATGAAACATTTCTAAAAAGCACTGATCCAGTACTGAGGTATCTGAGGCTCAGCTTGGTGAGAAGAAACACTGTAAACCAATGACATGAAAGCGTTTGATTTTCTTCTGTTTGAATGATATTTTTGCTCTTATATTAGTCAATGTTTGTTGACAGGTTTTGCTTGCTTTAACTTAAAAGAAAAAGAAACCACTTGATCCTACCTTGATCGAATCTTCCCTTTTCTGTCTGTTTGGAATTCAATTAAACTGGAAATATGTAAAAATACATTTGCTAGCTTCATTAGAACGGAAAAGATTTTTTTCTTTTCATTTTTTCTTGAAGAGGGATGAAACTAGCATGTATATAGAAATTATGACTGTGAATTCAAACCTCCAATGAGTTCTTTCAGTACTGAGATTGCTGTATATTTTATGAGTAATAAAGAAATGAGTTATTTAATACTGAACAGGAGTCTTTTTTATGGAGTGTTGTCTTTGATTTTATAAAATACATGGTAAGACCTTCTATATCATGTAAAATATAATACTATAAGCTCAATTTCGAAGACTAAACTGTCCCAGTTGTGACTTATGCATGCTTACTCATTTCAAACTGACACTACATGCTAAGATACTTCAACAGATCAAAGCTATCTATCATTTTTGTATCAGCTTTGCTACCTTTATCATGTAGGTCAGAACATCAGAAGTGAGAAGGCCCTTTGAGCACAGATGTAATAGTGTTGGCTCAGTTCCTGCTAGTGATATAAACGGACTATCGTGATTTTTAGGATTCATTTTAGGGACTGAAGTGACCTCACATTTTCTTGGTGGTAGATTGAATAATACATTTTTGTCTTCTTTTTTAAGAAGGTAGGCTAATCTAGTGTTGAAGATGCAGTTCAAGCACTCCTGAAATTTGTGATTATGAGTGGTGAAACTGGCAAATGAGTATTTAAAAAGTCAACCACTTCTGTTGTATTTTTTTAGTTGCTGTGACCATAGATCTACTAAGAGATCATCCTCTTCCATAACAGCCATTATCATCATAAAACAGGCCCGAAATTGAAGATATTTTTCAAGACAGTCAGATACTATGCATGAATTTATTAGCCATTCATTATAAATTTATTTAATCTTGAGTTATTCGTAGGTAGAGCATTTAGAAACATTTGTAGGAATTACACGAAAGGTAACCAACGGCAGATCAAGATGAAAAAATAAAGATTTAAGAATTAAATTTAAAAAACCTTAGTTTGTGATAAAAGTTACTAATGTGGAAATAAATGAATGACATATGTTACAGTGAATAATAGGAGTATAAAGAGGACACGTTGTGTTCTTTCTGTGAGGTCACACGGGGCGTCTCTTGTGATTGGGTTATTGTCCGGAAGTGATTGAAACGGCACCGCCCATTGTAATAAACAAACGTTAGCTGTGCAGCTCTTATTTACAACCGAGGCAATTTAGGACAGCGTGACCTAACTTTTACCTCTTCATGCACACTGAAGTGTAATAGTTTGTAGTAGAAACCTTCTTATAAAACATGGACGATGTAACGGGAGCCCAGCTCATTGCTGAGTCTCTAAAGTCTCAGGTATGACTGCGAAAACTGAAAACTTTGGTCTTGTATAGTGAGCTGCACGTAAGCCTAAGTGTGTCAAAGTTCAAGTACAGCACTGTCATGTTAAAACTTTTTTGTGTTGTACAGTACGCTTAAATACTGACGTGTTTACAGTTATTGTTTCAGCTTGTGTATTAAAAGACATTTTCTGTTTCTTTACAGAAAGTGGAGTACATGTTTGGGATAGTTGGTGTTCCTGTCATTGAGGTGGCCATGGCTGCTCAGGCTGTAGGGATCAAATATGTGGGAATGCGAAACGAGCAGGCGGTAAGTAAAGACATGATGATGTTCTATTAGATTATAGTTATGTGATAGGGGAGAGTGGGGGTAAGTTGAGCCAAAGAGTAAGTTGAGCCACCCCCTGTTGCTTGGAAAATGGTAAAAGAAATTGATCATGTGACCAACTATTTAAGAGATGGGCATCAATTCATGTAGTCTGTGAAGGTTAGAAGCACATGGGTGAAGAGGTTAGACATTTATTTAAAAAAAAAAAACATTTTTCACTCTTGAAAGTGAATGTGTCATAAGTTTTATTAGAATTGTGTTCAGACCAAAAAAGATCATTTTGAATTTGTTTAATCAATCAATTGTGGTATCTATGAGCTACAACATGAGGTCAAAAACCTAGCATAAAAGTCCACAATTTTAGTTCAGAGGACTAATAAAGTCATCATAGTAGTTCTGGGGTAAATTGAGCCATTTGGTCAGGGGTAAAACTGAGAAAGTAAAGGAGTCTGATGAGAGGATTTGAGTCTCCGTTCAGATTGTTTAAATGTGTTACTTTCTCTTTTCAAAAACACAGCTGTGAATGTTCTGAATCACTGAAAGACATTCTCATGTTAAAATGACTTTTTACAAAACAGCTTTTTAGCAGTTATATGCAATAATAATAAGAATTATTGTACCAGTTGAATAGTGTATAATAGATAAAAATACACATCAATGTGAAGAAGTGACTGTTATTTTGGGAGAGAGAAGGTTAGGGAGGGCTGGGGTGGAGAGTGGGGGGGGGGGGGGGGGTAGTAGGGATACGGCTCAATTTACCCTGCTCCTATGGTCAACTTACCCCATACACATGGTAAGTTGATCATAGGAGACCACTTTTTTTGCATGCTATATTATCAAGACAGTTATGTTTACACTCATTCTGTTGGTTTTCAGGGATGCACAACATCTTGAAATATATGTAGATTCATTAGTTAGAGACAAAACTATGATTGTCTTGATGTAGTGATCTGAAATATGAAAAATGGTTCATCTCACCCCGCTCTCCCCTACTGCTGTTTACCTGCACTTACACACCTTCACAACATTTTTATATCTTTATGTAACATCACAACAGGCATGTTATGCAGCATCAGCGGTGGGGTACCTCACTGGGAGGTAGGACAATAACTGAACACAATAATGTGAACATGTGCGTGTTAGTTGGTGTTTTTCTCTTTATGTCTCCTTCGGTTATTTTTACCCAGACCAGGTGCCTGTCTAGTGGTGTCTGGTCCTGGACTCATTCATGCCCTCGGTGGGATGGCCAATGCGAACGTGAACTGCTGGTAAGATGAGGGCTTGTATGCAGGCAGAAAAGCTTATAGTTTCAATCTGGCACCCTTGGGCTCCGGTCATGTTGCTTATAGAGTTTACATTGTGATTTCATAGGCCTGTGGTTGTTATTGGTGGGTCCTCAGATCGAAACCAGGAAACAGCAGGAGCTTTTCAGGAGTTTCCTCAGGTAAAGCAAACCTTTTTTAACATTTCTGTGAGTTTGTGTCTGTTTGTTTGTGTTTATGTACTGATGGATAATCAGTTTTACATTATTTTGTACAGGTGGAAGCATGCCGCCTTTACAGCAAGTTCTCTGCTAGACCAAGCAGTCTTGAGGCTATCCCGTCAGTGATAGAGAAGGTGATATATCAGATTATTGTTACACTGTCTTTTAAATTATCATAAGGTGGCAAAACAAACTTGATATAAGTTTTATTATATTTGTTCAAAGGCGGTCCGCACAAGCATGTATGGGCGTCCAGGTGCCTGTTATGTGGACATTGCAGGGGACATGGTCAATGCTAAAGTGGACAGGAGCACAGTCAGGTTTGATGTCATTTATGCAGTTCTGTTCCTCCTGAAGAGTTTCACTACTGTCACTCTACATCTGTAATTTCTTTCTCCTGCAGGGTTGTGTCCTGCTGCCCATCTCCTCCAGTGAGCTTCGCTGACCATGACAGTATCTCTGAAGCCATTAATGTCTTAAAAAAATCTAAAAGACCTTTGGTCATCATTGGCAAAGGTTAGATATTACAAAAATTCTTTGAACTTTGCATAAGATCTTCATATCTTCAGTTATTCAGTCAGGAATAAATGGAAACCCTGCATTTTGCATCATCAGTAAATCAGAGTAGTTCATTGTGCGGTTGTTTCCAACAGGAGCAGCATATGGCAGAGCAGAAGTTGCCCTGAAGGAGTTTGTGGAAATGAGTGGTCTTCCATTTTTGCCCACTCCTATGGGGAAAGGTGTTTTACCCGATGATCACCCCAACTGTGTGGCTGCTGCCCGTTCCAGGTCTGTACCTTCTAAGTGCCGAAACATGCAAAATTTAGAAAGATTTTACTATTATCTCTATTTATGTATTATTTTTATTATCTTGATTTGAATCAAGAAAATGACCTGAACCCTTTTAATTGTTAGTACATGTACTATTTCAAGCTAAAAAAAACACATTTTGTTATACACATGTAACACAAATAATATATATATATTTACATATTTTCTCTTGACTCACTCTTGCCTTGTCATCGGGTTTGTTTCAAAGAGCTCTTCTCCAGGCTGATGTTGTACTTCTGCTTGGGGCCAGGCTGAACTGGATCCTTCATTTTGGCCTGCCTCCGCGGTTCGACCCTGATGTCAAGATAATCCAGGTATGTAAATATTAAGTCAAATGCCTTAAATAAGAGTAAAAAAGTGTGTGAAACTTTAAAAGATAATGGAATACTTACTTACAGTTTTCTCGGCTTTGTCACTGGCATTGGTCATTCGTTATTTAATGGCATAACACAGTCGTCATCTGTATGCAGGTTGACCTCTGTGCTGAAGAGATGGGGAATAATGTGAGGCCTGCTGTTGCTCTTCTTGGAGACATCAATGCTATTGTCACTCAGGTGACTACAACACACAGCTTTGTTGTTTCTCTCCATGTGATCCGTTACTGTCTGTCCTCATATTTTGATGTGAATCAAATAGTTATTGTGTACCAACAGCAGTTTGAGGAAAAAGTCTTCTGTTCTGTTTTTAACAGCTTTTGGAGGGTGTCTATAAAGATGGCTGGAAATATTCCTCTGATACAGAGTGGTGGGGCACGCTGAAGGACAAAGTTGCTGCTAATGCAAAAATGTCAAAGGTGGGTTTAAACTTATAAGTGATCTCTTATGGTGTGGATGCTTACTTGTATACTTAAAGTTATGGCATCACATTTGTTATTGTTAAATAATTTTGATCAATTTTCACACTATTTCTATCCATCTCAACCCACAGGCATTGGCCCTTCAGTCAACAGTACCAATGAACTACTACACTGTGTTTCACCATGTTGCCCAGTTGCTGCCACATGACTGCATCATTGTCAGTGAAGGGGCAAACACCATGGACATAGGACGTACCATGTTGAACAACTACCTACCTCGGCACAGGTAAGGTAGCCTCACTCAAGCTGTCAAGTTCAGACTTTCGGATTATGAAAAAGTGTCTGCTAGAGTTTAAGTTACAGATTCAAAACACATGAAAGTTTACATGAAAACGCAAACTACATGTTGACATTGTTACAAATGAGTAAGAGTCCAGGACTTTTGGTTAATAGAAAATCGTCATGCAGGGGGTTAGAGTCAAATTTATAACAAAAGTTTCAAACCAAAGCCAACTCTTCAGACATCCTAAACCCACATTACATTTTCAGAACCTGAAATACAATCAAACTAGGGAATTATAAGAAAATATGTAACTAAACTGATGAATCTGACCAACTGGTTAAAGGAGAGAACCACTCTTTGGTGAAAAAGCTAATAAACTATCACTGCACTTTTATCATTGTTGGAATGATCAGCAAATATACCAATAAGGCGGAGCATTAGTTCTAACCTTATAAGGTTAAGGACAATGGCGCACTTTCTTGCTTTCATTGAAAGTATGAGCTACCAAACAAAAGTATACTTGCAGAAGAAAAGATTTGCAGGTATTGCATCTCACTTCAAGTTCCCACCTCACTCTTATGACATGCGTCCAATATATTTGATGAAGAGGCACAAAAGTTTAGGGTACAATAAATAGTGCAGATAATAAAAAATAAATAAAAACTGAGAAAATATGCATTTGAGAGAAAATGTCATGAAGATCCAGCAGTGACTAGGTCCTTAAACTTTGTGTTTACTTTGAGTAAACACATGTTATTCACAAAAGTTTATAAGAATTTTAATACAGTAGATTGCTTTTGACTTATCCCGCTGATGTGCAGGTTGGATGCAGGTACATTTGGAACAATGGGTGTAGGTCTTGGTTTTGCGATAGCAGCAGCTGCTGTGGAGAGAAGTGAGAAGAAAGGCCAAAGAGTCGTCTGTGTCGAAGGAGACAGTGCCTTTGGCTTTTCTGGCATGGAGGTGGAAACTATGTGCAGGTGGGTTTTTTTCCTCCATTTTGCACATTTTATGTATGCCATGTTATCTGACACTTTTCTTTTGGTTCTCTTGACCAGATATAATTTACCAGTGATCATCATTGTGGTGAACAACAATGGTATCTACAGCGGAGTAGATCCTGAGACATGGAAAGAAATGGCAAAAATGGGAGATTTGACCTCCATGTAAGTCTGGCAAATTATTGTTGTACATTCCTACGCAGATTCTGATGAACTGAAAGCTATATCACATCATTATTTGTTACTTGTCAGAGCCCCTCCTGTGACCCTCTTACCTGAGGCTCGCTATGATGAGGTCATGACAGCGTTTGGAGGTCGGGGGGTCCTGGTGAGGACAGTGGAGGAACTGCGTAGTGCTTTACAGCTCTGTCTAAGTGACTGGGAGAAACCGAGTCTCCTTAACGTGCTCATTGATCCTTCCTCTGACAGAAAACAGCAGGTAACCATCACCTGTAGGGATTGTGTGCGTTGGGTAGTGATACCTCCAAATGAGAGAATCCAGAAAAGGTTTATCGTAAAGCACGAGGAGATGCATTGCACACAGGAATATACTTGATGCAGAAACGCAGTTTAGCTGCTGCCAGTCTCATTTTCTTTGGCCGATTTCTCCAACCATCTTCAAAGTTCTCAGCACTTGAGCTGCATTTCCAAAATCAGCTCATTCACGCAATGAAACACCAAGCGATCATCAAACTGGCCTTTGCTCAACAAAACCCTTAAATCATCAATATCAAAATGAAATTTGAGTGTTTCAATAAATAAGTGATGACTACCAAATAACGTTCCCCTTGACGTTGGGAAAACTGTCTTTCTAAGTGCTTCAATGTTTCGTCAGAATGACACATAACTCTGTGAGTACTTTTTAACTGTTCATGTTCACACTGACTCTGATGTAGATACAATTCCAGAGGACTAATGTGTCACATCCAACCATGTAATGCAAAAAAGCAGTCAGGTCTCCAGTTCTCAATCTCATACATTGCTCAACAAAACACAGTACAGTACTGTAAAAACACACAACTGCACATGACAAACACTTGCAGTCTACATTATGACCTTATGAGGACAAAAAAACCAAGTCCTACTTTCAAATGGATCAAAAGAAATTAAAAAATTAAACTGTTAGATTGAAAGTACTTTGCATTTAATTTATTGTCTGTCATTGGAAAAGTTGGTTGTGTGATTAAAAACCATTAGCCTCATAATAAATTACAGACTGGAAAATGCCCTGATTAATGTGCACTCAAAGATTTGGCAAGTTTACAGGCACGTACAAACAAAGCTGTTCAAGTGCACCCTTTCTGCAGAATTCTAAAATGACTGAAGAACTTGGCATCTCTATATTGATTGTCTTCTCCTGAACCACATTTTATCAGTCTGTCGCTCTTGTAGACAAGACATGAGCATTAAAAACTAAGCTGAAGACCCGAGGCTGGTAGTCAGTTTTAGTCCCTGTCTCATTTTTACAAGGTTTCCCAGAGCGGAGATTGACAATGACTTAAATGACACTGACAGTTGCTGCAGTAAAGCCAGGCTGATTAAAAGCAGCAGTGTCGGGCTCTTGATTAGTGAAGAGCAAACAAACAGCTCAGTGTTTACTTGGCTTTCAGCTCGTCCTTATAGAGCTATGTGACTGACGAGCCTCACTGCACAGTAATCCATACAGTCCAGGTGCACCACAGAACTGTTGTATTCCTCCCACAATCCCTCCACCTCACACCAACCTGACCTTTCTATTTCAGAGCCCCCATAATTAGAAAGCAGGGCCCTCTTTGTTTATGTTGAATGTATCCATGCAACCCTCTGCAGACTTGTTTAAAGGTTTTATGCAGGACTGTGCCCATGGTGCTGAGATACATGGAGTTGCACTCAAAAACATTAAAGTCTAACTTGAGTCTAAGAGCATTTATTAAAAAGAAAGAGTATCATTTAAGGTGTAATAAGATGCTGTTTTCTGTGTTTGCAGGAGTTCCCTTGGCTCACACGCTCCAACTTATAGACTGAAAGAGGGATCTCCTCTAATCCACAACTAACAGTGAGGCAGTTTACCCTGAGAATTCAACCGGGGAAAGCTGCCATCATTTTTATGATTGTTTCCATGAAATGTTTAATAATTTTCTATGATTTTTACTACTCAGTAGTATTACAAATAGCAAAAATAATGTGTACAACAATAAAGTACTCTACATTTACAGTGACAGTGATTTGTTTTTATTCCTTTGATATTAAACAGTATTTTTTAGTGTCTCTTTTAGGTATTTTAGTGAGCAGCATTCTATTGCACAGAGATAAAGGTATAAAAAAACAATGTAAAATATCAGTATTATTACTGTAAAACAACTTAGAATTAACAATATGAATCAAAAATAGTATAGTATATAAAATATAAACTGCTGTACATGCAGTAAACATACAGTATGAAGGTCATTCAACGGTTGAAACTTGAACAGAAAGAAGTTTAAGTTTCTCAAATCTGCATGAATATCGATGCCTGAATGGACACCTGCTTTTGATTTCACACTCTGTCAGCTACTTTCCAAAACAAGCGACCAGCAGATTTTTCAATGCTGTGACAATGCTCTGCATATTTATTCATTTTTATGTATTTTCCTATTGCAGGGATAGTTTGAGAAAAAAAAAAACAAGCTCTAAGTGTGAATATTTATGCTGACTTTCTTATTTGCTAATATAAATGATTCATGACACGTACTTACTCAAGCTCTTGCAGAACTAGATGATGCAGACATTTTTTGAGGGAGCTTGTGTTTCTTATGCAAAACAAAAATAATGTCTGTATCGCTCAGTTAAAGTAATGCTGACCGTATTTCATTTTTTGTTTTGCTACATTTCACACAGTGATGCAGGCTCTTGGTTATGAGGGGCAGACAGAGCAATGAAACCAAACTGGCCTGAGCTAAAAGAACACCACGGAACAGAAATATACTGATGATGTGCTGCACTGGTGTGTCTTAGTAAATTAGACCATCATGAAAAGCATTTTTCAGAAATGAACTGTCATATATCCTTGAAGTTTCAACATGTAAACTGAAATGTTTGGACTTTTTATTATTTTGGTCTCTACCTCACAAAAATTAGAAACTGAATATCTTAAATTATTACAATATTTCCAGAAATTCAACATTACAAGAATATTAAATACATAAATTCATCAGTTCGTCTGTAATGTTGACTCTAGTGTATCTCACAGATTCTCTGAGGTCTGGGTCAGGTGAGTTGGCCGGCCAATTAACCTCGGTAAGATCATGGTCAGCAAACCATTTGCTCAAAGTTTTTGCGCTGTGGGCAGGTGCAAAGTCCTGCTGGAGAAGAAAATCAAAATCAAGAGCTAGTAAGCTTATGGAAGCACAAAGTCATCTATAGTATTCCAGTAGATGGCTGCTTTAAATAACCCCAAACACCCCTGACTGTGGACACTTCAATCTGGACTTCTAAGAGACACATGGTATTTAATCTGTTTGAACAGTAATTTGAGTTTTTATATTTTTGAACTGTATGCTGTAATTATCCAAATTTACATAGAAAAATGTAGTTTATTTGTAGTTTATATGTAATTGGACCAGAATATGTGAAGCTTGAAATGTTTAAATACAATATTAAATTTGGTATTAATGTTCAAAATCAAGATGCACCTTTACAAGAATAGAAACAGAAGAGTGTTGCACTCCTGTCATAGTCTGAAGATGTCCAATAGCAGCTCTTCTCATGAAGAGTCTTAATTGAATCTCTTGCAGAAAAGCCCAGTCTGTGTCACTCATGATAAACCTCTCTGTGAGGGGAGTGGAAAAACAAAAGGCACCCCCTCCAGTAGTAGAGGTCTAATATTGGCACCCGAAGCAGCTGGCGGGCTGTCTCCTGTAATTTTAGCGCACACTGATGCAGAGGAAAGGTTTAATGGGCATTGGTCGGCGTACCCTCTTCTGAGGGCGTAAAGGAGATAGAGCGTAGGGAGTAGAGAGGGAGGGGAGCAGAGAGAGAGAGGACAGTGAGGAGAGAGGGAGAGAGGAGGGCAGCGTGTTGAGGGCTGCTGTGGATCAGAAAATAAAGTCAAGCAATTATCTGGAGCAGCATGACTCCTCTAACACTTGGACTGTATCTGCCTCTGTGGTTCTGTTATGGCCTGGCTCAGTCCTCTTTTCTGGACAGCTTTGTTTCATTCCCAGCAGGTAAGAGCAACATATTCTTAAGTCCAAATGATCCTGCATGCGTGTGTATGTGTAAGTGTGTGTAAGTGTGTGTGTCATACTGTACATACAGTACAATGCATGCACAGGTAAGAGGAAGGATGGGCTTTAAGAGCCCAGTATGTAGTCTGTCAAACTAGTCTTGGAGTTTATTTTGAGCTTTTATGTTATAAAATCTACTTGTTATTATTTTCTTGTTGTCCATGAGGTGGACTGGAAATGCCTCTATAAATAGCAAGACCAGCTCCAGCCGTTCAGTGAGACGCACACAGGCACTTCGTATCTGTGTCCAGCTCTAGAAACTCTGCCGGACGGCTGTCATGATTTGATAGTTTGCACCTGTTTCCCTGTGGCTTAAGCTCCTAGTACAGGTTTTTTACTTCTCTTACCTCCTCTTCACACTCTATTTTGGACATTTTTGTAACACAAAATATTCACCCTGGTTGCCTATGCATGTCCAAGTATCATTGTGACTTAAGCCTACTCCTCTGGTTTCAATAAAGCGTCGAATAATCTGCAGGGTTTTTGAAGGAGCATGACCTCCCCTGACTCCTCTCTTCTAATTTTGACATCCTTGCCTGTGGGACTGACTGCATGCACCCCTCACACAGCTCTCAGATCCCAGGAGCAGCAGAAGAGGTTCAACCCATGCTGTTTGCTGAGTCCGCCTCCACCCCCACTGTTTCCTCCACCCCCTTCACTTTGGCGCCGCCACGCTCATGTGAGTCCAAAGTCATGTGACTTTCTATTGTGGAATATCTGTGTGTTGATAATATGTCCTTGGGTGGCGTCCAATTGGCCCTGCTCTTATTTTGACCCCTGAATGACACCATAAAAACACTCAAATGGGGAAAAACATGACAAGGAAGATTTGGCCGACGAAGGCTGAACTTCAGGAGAACTTTTACAAACCTTATCAGCACCACCAAGTTTATTCTGTCGACTCTTTTCTATCCAGACACCTGCAAAAGAAGTATAGATTTATCTTATTTTCTTATTTAACAGATTGAAGGTGTATCATCACATGGAGAGTCAGAGCCAGGCAATGAGGACAAAGGCTCTAACTGTGTACGAGGCCCTCCTGGGCCAGCTGGTCCTCCTGGCCTTCAGGTAGAGTCCAGACTTTTCCTCTACAGTAGATTTTACACAACTCCAACCTTGAATTCCGTGTCAGACCTTTCCTGTGTCCTGCTGAGGCCTGTGTCATTTTTAGTGTTAAGAATTAGTTTCCAACAGCATGACCCCACCTTCTCTCCAACTTGAGAGTTCCTGCAGAGCAGGAGATGGGGATTTCTCTGGCCCATGCAACACAGCGGCCCATTAACGCTCTACATTTAGCTCAGACACAAATAGCCTTTTTCCACTGCCTGCCAGTGCACCACACATCATTCTCAGAAACTGTCCAAAGAGCTGTCTGCCTGGAAAGGCATACTGGGATGCGTAAATTCCAGGGATTACCAGCCCAAGCATGTGTCTGTCTGTTTGTTTGTTTGTTTGTGTTCTCTGGTGATGAGAGATATTATGAGACATATTGTTTTAATAGATTCTTGTAAACCAAATCTCCTCTTTGAGCAAGGCTTACAGTTCGTAAAATGCAGATTCTCTCGGTGATTGTAAGAGCTTTGCCCAGCTCAGGCTGTAACAGTCCCAGCTGGACTGCAGCAGCATTTCATTTTATCAAAAGAGACCCGTGAGGCACTTTTTAAATCAATAGTGACCACTCAGCCTTTAGCTAATTGAAACTGCAGCTGTGGGCTTCCAGGAGCAGGCATGACTGTGTAGTGGGAGGTTGTGGACAATAAAACTAGTTTGGATAAATATGTGATTTATGGGCATATGTCAAATGTTTATTGCTTTTATGATCATCAGGGTCCACCTGGATTGCCTGGGATAGGAGGGCCCAAAGGAGAAAAGGTAAACTGTTTTCTCACCTTTGTTTTAGTCTCATTTAAGGGCCTCATTCCACTAACTGCTCATTATCCCATGAATTCAATTTTAATAAAACTATTACTTAAAACTAAAAGATGCTTTTCTGGAAGCATGATAAACAATCCCTGTCCTTGTACTCTTCTCTGCATCCTGTTGTCAGGGAGAAATCGGAAGACCTGGGCAAAAGGTGAGAGTCTCCATTAATCACTCCATGTTCCCACTAAGTGGATTTACTCAAAAATGAGATACATCGCCTCTGCCTGCTCACTCGCTGTAACTCAGAGCGAGCCCTGCCACTGCCTGGTTATGTACATCGAGAGATTGTGAGCAAAAACAACCTTGACAGGAGACAGCACAGACACGCTGACAGGATGCAAGGGATTCAGAGCTGCTGAGACGGCCTGTTTTGATGGCAAGGGGAGTTAATATGCAGGTCCCCTCTCACTGTTGACCCCTCAAAGACACCCAGCTTCTCAGTCAGATGTCCCTTTCTCTTTATTAAAACACAAACACAGCTTTATTGGAAGCTCTGGAGTCTGGGTTTGATCCCCTGAATGATCAGTCTCTGTGGTCAAGCAGTAAAAGCGGCCCGCTGGGAAAGCTTCACTGGTCGGTGGTCTGACTGAGCAGCTTTGCAGCACCGCAGTGCAATTTAGCTTAGTGCTTCAGCCAGGTCATAAATCATTTTATTTCCCACAAGCACAAGCTCCTGTTCTATATACAGCCCATCATTTAATTAAAGAGAGCAAAGTGACAGGGCTCGTTAAAGTCATTCTCCCCCAACATGTGCTGCAGCGTCTGATAAATACTGGAACAAGCAGCCTGTCAGCTTGGGTAGCAAGGGAAACAGACTTTTATTTTATAAATAGATAACGACTTCTTCATCTGCTGCAGCAGTTGTTTTATAAGTCTTTATGAGGTATCTCTAAATCTGAGTCATTAAGACTAGATATCTGATTTCAGGGTCGGACAGGTCCTCCTGGACTTCCTGGAAAGCAGGGACCAGCTGGATGGCCAGGACCAACTGGGCCCAAAGTGAGTAAGTCAGACCTTATAATGTAGAAAATGAATTATTTATACAAACATGAGATCTGAAAGTACAAACGCAAAGTAGTGAGATGATTATCTACGATTTTTATGGGCTAACTTTACATCTTATTGTTTAGTAATGAAATAGTACAAACACGGATTTTAGCATTTGTATCAATGTATAACTTTTGGTAGGGTGGTGTTTAGGAGGATGTCTGTAAAAAATCAAATTAATCAAATTAGTTTCTGTGTGTGTCAGGGTGAGAAAGGAGACCCTGGACTGATGGGTTTGCCTGGAGCCAGAGGACCAATTGGACCACGGGTATGATCTACATATGAGCTCCTCCAATCTATTATGACCTCATTTTCACAACAGTTTCTTCATGATATTAAATATTTGATATCTTTGTTCTTAAATTATAGGGTTTGCCTGGGTATAAAGGGGAAAAGGTATGTTGCTCTTTGAGAATGATCATTATCAGCAGTAAAAGCAAGAAGAAGATTGACTAGCGGTTGTGTAACACACAGTGATCTGCTCCATCAGGGTTCTCGAGGTGATCGTGGTGAGAATGGAGCCAAGGGCGACAAGGTGGGCTGAGTTTATTAGCAAGAATGATACGAATGTAAACACCTTTTTGATTCGAAGTTATAAATCCCCGCTCTTTCTCCGCAGGGTGGGATGGGTTTCCCTGGAATGCTTGGACAGAAAGTGAGAACCATTCAAACCAGAATGATGATTAAATTTGTCCAGTAGAGTCACGGCTTTGACAGAATTTGATGCTGCGTTGCTCTGAATTTTATGTTTTTAGGGTGAAATGGGTCCAAAAGGAGAACCTGGAATCTCAGGAAACAGAGGGCCCACCGGGCGACCAGGGAAAAGAGGCAAGCAGGTGAGAAGTTTTAAAACTCTGATACATGTAGAGACTAATTATCATAATTCTGATCTGATTCTTTCAAATGACTGGTTTGCCATCAAAATTGAAACTGTTTTTTATTACTTGATCACAAAAACATTGTGTAAAGGAGTGGTTGACCAATTACAGTTTTTTTAGTTGCTGATGCCGATACCTATAATGTGGGAGCAGGTTGGCTGATATCACATAGTTGTTGTTTCAGTTTGATAACGCCAACAAATGCGAAACAGTATTGCTGAACTCAAGTGAGGGTGTCATTTAATAGAAATAGACAGACAAATATTTGGTTTAGTATATTGTCATAAGGGACTTTTTGATCCTTGTCCAGATATGTGAAATTTAAAAGAATAGATAAACAAGGTAAATATTGATATAGTAATTAAACTGCATTATTTTACACATCCTAATCATCAGAATTCCTATTTAACACCAAACAGTCTTAAATTTGATATGCTGTCAAATGCATTTTGCAATACTGGCAATATCAGCCAATATGACACTGGTTTCATCAAAATGCCATCTATCGTCCTGGTTAACTGGCTGACCAACTAATCAGTCTATTTGTAATGTTAAGGTTTTTATTTTAATCTCTTCTTTATTGTTGTGACTGTGTTTCAGGGAATGAAAGGAGATCCAGGCAGTGTCGGTCCTATGGGACCAGCAGGCCCACAGGGAGCTGCTGGTCATCCTGGTCCTCCTGGTTCACCTGCCACAGGTGAGATTTTACTTCTTTTCCATTTTCAATAGTTTTGAAACTTTTGAGGATACTGGATTACAAAAGCTGGCCTGCTTTCTACTGACAGCATGGATTTACCTTCATTCACTTTAAAGCAGTCGGTCTGTGCATAGCCCTGCTCTTTTTCTGCTCTGTGAGTGTGCGAAAAGCTGTGATACCGGTGTATTAAGTATCAAACATCTCTGTCAGCAAATGGAAGCAAACTTTAGAGCAGTGTAAGAGGTCGCACCAGGGAAATTTTATCTCTGGAGACGAAACAGGATGCTCTCACTGTGACATCATGCAGCTAAAAGTGATTCACAGATGGACAGTCACCCCCCATTCACAAGTCTTACTGTATGCCACCTGATAATTCATGTGACTTTTGTTGTTTTGGTTTGACTTCAATGATCAAGTTTGTTTCTTGACAGATGACTTAAAAATGCTTTGGGTCACGACAAAGAGTATTCACACCAGCCGGCCATAACACAATGACTACTGACAGGCCAAATACAGTGAACATGATTGTACATCTCTGTACAATGGCTTCTGTCAGTGTGTGGGATATATTAGGCAGTACAGGGACGTCTGGTTCCTAAAGTTGATGTGCTGAAAGCAGGAAAGTAGGCAAGCATTAGGATGTGAGTTTGACAAGGACCAAACTGTTGTGGTTGGGAGAGCAGAGCCTCTCAAAAACTACAGTCCTTGTGGAATGTTCCTGGTCTGCAGTGGTCAGTAGCTACCAAAAGTGGTCCAAGGAAGGAAAACCAGTGAACTGGTCACAGGGTCATGGACGATCAAGGTTTAATGGAGCATGAAGGCTGGCCTGTGTGGTCCAGTCCAACAGCAAAGCTACTGGAGCTCAAATACCAGGAACATTTTAATGCTGGTCCAGACAGAAAGGCGTCAGAACACACAGTGTTTATTACAGTTTGTCATGTATGGAGCATGAGGGTGCCCATCATGACCCCTGTCCACCCCCTAGAGCACCTTCAAAGGGCATGCTGGTACCCGAACTATACCACAGAGAAGCGAAAGAAGGCGGCCTGAAGGTGTTGACTCGGTCTCCGAAGTCCTCATATCTCAGTCCAGTCAAGCATCTTTGTGATGTGCCAGCCAACCAAGTCTCATCAGCACAGGCCCTACCTCACAACTGCCAGAAGTAAAAGGATCTATTGCAAAGGTCTTGGTGCCAAATACCACAGCACACCTTCGGAAGTCGAGAGGAGTCCATGATTCATTCAGTCAGAGCTGTCTCAGTCCTGACCTGCGCAGCAGAGGACCTACAGTATTCAGCATGTGATCATAATGTTAAAGCTTACTGATGTATATCATCTATCATGGACTGTGACCTCAGTGTGGTCTACCTTTGTTTCCTCTACTTATCCATTTACTATTTTTCTTTATTATTATTATTATTATTATTATTATTATTATTATTATTATCATTATTATTTTTAATGGTATCTTGTTTCCTCTCTCTGTGTATGTTCAGGGCTATACATGGTTGGATCAAAGGGTGCACGAGGTCCACCAGGGCCTCCTGGAAAGTGTAGCTGCGGCTCTGTCACCACTTTTCCATATGATGACTACCCTTCAAGAGGAACTTATGCCAAAGTACCTGCGGTGAGAAGTTCATTGCTCTATTTAATGCAACAGCACTTTACACTTTACATACAGATATAGATCAGCAACGTTGACAGTAACTCTATAAATTCACTTGAGTACTATACGTTAGTACATTTTCTTACTATCTGCATCTTAGGTCTATTTGAGTATTATTCTTTGGGGGGATTACTTTACTCCATAATATTTAAAAGAAAGATAATGTACTTTTGACACCACTACATATTTGTTCACATCATGTGTCTATGGTTGGACCTTGCATGAATGCAGAGCTAACCCTGCTTACATCAGGCAGTTCAGTGAGAGGTGGTAATGATGACTACAGCAGAGAAGGCTTCTGATTTTCCACCTGAGCATCCATGGTTATATCTTAAGCCTATGTTTCAGGATTTGGAAATGAAGAATGATACATTACATTTTCAGTGTTCCCCTGGTTTACCTCGCACAAACTTCATCATGGCCCATAAAAAAAAATCCTATCCAAAATGAGAGAGAATGTGGAGCTTTGTAAGCATTTATTGTAACCTATTTCAGATGAACTATTTTAACTTAATTTTCTGTGCTGGTGTGTCTAAGTTGTTGGTTTAATTATATGGTTGGTTGTTCTTATCCTCTGGTATGTGGGTTAAAAAAAATAAAGCTTTCTAGATAAACATTACATACTAGAATGTAGGCTAAACTCATCTATTCTTGATTGCACTTATTCTTTGTATTAATGCAACAATGCTTTAATGTAGACTATGTTTTATTTTGAAAAGTACTTAAGATCCTTAAACACTTTTAGGAGCAAGAACTCCAGAACTTTATCAAGGAATAATTTGACTGGGAAACTATCACTTGTATGGAAGTAATATTGAACAAGGAGTAGTATCTTATACTTTCACTCAAGTAGCCTAGCTTATGAAGTTGCACAGGCCGACTGGGTCCCTTACAGTTTGTACAAAATCTCTCAACACATCTCTTCGTTTTAAAAGAACCTCATTGAAAATGTTTTTCAAATTCAACTTTTCTTTTTCATTTATCTATCTTTGAGGAGCCTATCTAAAATTCTCAGATATGAAAGTAAAGAGTCAGAGGAAAACCTAGCATGGGGTTGTAGCAAAAGTTGAACCAGTGACACAACAATAAGGACTGTTGCCACTGTATAAAGGGAGAGCGTAAACACTATAAGGCTAACCAGCGTCCCAGGTTCCAGTAAACTGATTTCAGGGTTAATGATTCAAATATATTCAAATAAAATATATTAAAAAATGAAAAAGATAAGCCGATGCTTACTGAGGTGGTAACAGCTTTCAGACACTACATCTTGCAAAGTTATATTATTTTGAAGCACATTCCCTTAAATTTTTATTTCAGCTGTCTAAGTGTGACCTGAAATGTGAACTTTGCTTTGGTTCAGATTTTTGTTGTGAGCAATGAAGAGGAGCTGGAGCGACTTCAAACAGATAACGCTCTTGCTTTCCGCAAAGATCAGAGATCTCTCTATTTCAAAGACATCGATGGCTGGCTGCCAATCCAGGTACTATTTCATGGGTTGAAATCTCAACAGCCCATTTGACCTTTTTCTTTTAAATCAACATTTTAATTTCAAACAAGAATTTCCCTATGTACCAAGTTTTTAAACTCTGTCAAAGACTTTCCCATTCCAGCTGACGCCGTTCCAGTCCATGGAAAACGCTCCTGATGATGAAGGTTACTGTGGGGATGGAATTGTGCAGATTTCCAGTGGGGAGGAATGTGATGACAGAAACCGAGTTGTCACAGACGGCTGCGTCAGTAAGTCATGTTCCTGTGTTTGGTGGTCAATAATAGCTTCTTGGTGTGCACTTTGCTGGGTACAGAAAACATGACCCTTCCACCTCTGCTCTCGCTGTCTCACAGAGTGTAAACATGCCTACTGTGGAGACGGGTACCGCTACGAGGGAGCAGAAGAGTGCGATGGAAAGGACTTTGGATACCAGACATGCAATTCATATCTTCCAGGGTAAGTAAACCATCAAACTCTGCTCTGACAGAAGTGTTTATGACTGGTGAAACATACTGAAAGCATGTTTTTTTCCTCTTATTTCCAGGTCATATGGTCACCTCAAGTGCACACCTTACTGTGTTATTGACTCCACAAACTGCAAGTACTTCACTTGAGGAAGAAGTTGGACAGTGTAGCGGCATCCTGTGTGTTATTTGCTTGACACAAAACAGGAAAGTTTTCATGCAAAAAAAAAATATTATTGATGCTCCAAACAAGAGACTCTGAAGAAAGAGGCAGCCACCGATTTAATGATGAAAGAAAGCATTAAACTCACATGTATATAACTCCTCTGTACTGCTGATGAGATGCCACGAAAGCTCCCTGGAGTTATAGCCATTTAGTGGAGGTAGAAAACCTTCATCCACACTTAGAGAAAAGGACAACTGCACTCCGTCTTAAAAAGCCATGGATTCAAGGCTAACCTCCTCACCACGCCCTAATGAACCAGAAACTTTCCCTGGATGCAACAGTTGTGTGTCAACCACACAGACACTTAATGAAGTGATGGAGGGAGGAGATGTTGCAGAGGAGCAGTAGCCGGGCCAGAGGCGTTTTGATCTTGACCCTTGCACTGTTGAGAGAATAAAAAAAGAGGCAGTGGGACATCCAGAGCCATGGCCTCAGGTATTCTGCTGCAGTGTGAATGACAGTACACAGCATTTGCATGAGGCTGGGATTACTGAGACCATGACAGCAGCTGTCACAATCCAAGCATGTAACTCCTCACTTCACTTAATATTATCACAACAAGGTTTGGACTGCATAGTGTCAAAATCACATCTGAAAATCAGTTGTGAAGGTAAACCCAGGCACATACTGTACTCACAGGAGGCAACACATTATATGGATAGTGCACTTGTAAAATCTGAGTGAGACTGTTCCATCAGAAAGCCACATTTCAGGGGCTTCATTAGCTCAAGGAGCCACCAAAACTTGACAGGGATAGTTAGTCAGGACAAGGTTTGAAACAAAAATACCAAAATTTCTCAGGTACCAACAGGTAACTTAGCTCAATGCATCATCTTTCTCATGCACCCTCCAGAACTCTCTTTGTAAATGAAATGGCATTGACTGTATACTGAAGTGCACAGGAAACTCAGAGAAAAGCTGTACAGAATCTGAAAGGATTGAGTTTCACCCCTGCGTCTCAGTGAGGAAAGAAATACTCTGTATGTGAAGGCTTGAAACTGTTACGTTCTTAATTTTCCCACGGCACAGGAAAGGCTGGAATAGTCTGTTTAGCTGCTAAAAGGTGGAGGGATAATTCAATTCCAGCCTGCTCTATGGTCATTACTGTATTTACTCTAATACCTCTCTATCCAGTCTTTCTGTCTTACAGTGTAAACAGCAACAGAGAAGCTCAACAGTAACTTAACGGTGTAGATGTAGTCTGCTGTGTGTGTGCGTGTGTGTGTGTGTGTGTCGGGTAAAAATGACTGCCGGTGTATAAGCTGACGTTTCATAAGCTACTGTATAAGTCGCAGTGCCAAGGAAGACTTTTCTCAGCCATATTTAGATGTAGTCAGGTGATATTAAAGCAACTGAAAGATGAAGACTGTTACTCTATTGTCTCTGCATGCTTGTGCTAACACACTAATGAGTGTGTGAGGCACTCTGGCTTTGTAAATGATCTTAGCGTTCATCAGTATAGCAGGTGTCTTAAGAGGTATTGTGTGTGTGTGTGTGTGACACTTCTTATATGATATTGATGAACTGTGCTGTATGTTGTGTCTGTGGCCTGTGCTGTTCTGCTGTATCCTGTCCCGTGTATGCACAACACTGCTGAAACATAACATGCATGTGGTAACGTACTGTAAGGCTTTATAAAAACAAAGTATGCACAGTGACCAGGATAGTCATTTTCTTTTATTACTCTGATATGATTTATACAGTAGTTGTGGATAATTTTCAAAAGAAACAGAAATAAAATGATGAAACTCACTCAAAGCCTTGTACGGTGTTTTGTACACATGCATCTTTCGGGTTTGTCAGCAGCTTTGATTCCGCCTAAAGTGTGAAAGCAGCAACTGTGAATGGGCGCTGAGCGAAAAGCCAGCAGACAGTGACAGAGATGCTATGGATGTTCTTTCAGAGCACTCACAGCAAGAAAAAAAGCAGATATCCATCAAGTGGGAAAGGATGCTGTCAGCAGCTTCTTGCAAAGTGCTGTGTTAGACTGAATGGTAAACAGACCTCTCTGAACTCTTGGCAGTTTTTATTCTCACTCCATGAAACCCCCTCAGAGAAGAGTTTATGCCTGGAGATGTGGCACAGTGATACAGGTTGGGAACAGGCACAAGCAGCCAGTGTTGCAGCAGAGATGTTCAAGGCTGGATTCGAGCACGTAACTCCATTAGCATGCTGTATTTCTTTCTAAATCACATCAGGACAATTTGTCTGCTGAGATGCCCGAGTAAAAGCTTATCCTGGTGTATTTATTCCATCATGTGCATTCCCCTGACCAGGCCAATCAGATTTGAACCACAGATGTCTCGGTAAAATGTTGCTGGAAAGGCAGGGGGCAGCCTAATGAAAAGATTTGCCATGCACATGGAAGGATCTCCCAAACCAGCCTGACTACTTTTAGGAGTTAAGGATCGTTGAACAAATCCCCCTTTTTCCACTTCAAGAACTTTAAGCTGTTTATATTGTCAACTTTTCTTTTGAAGGTTTTCCCCTCTCTCAAAGACCCAGGCCATGGAGTTCAGCCTGTAGTAAGCAGGATCTATTTTGGGCTCTCACAGGCATTAACTTGATGAGTGAAATCAAACACTTTTTCCAACAAAAGGAGTTATTTTGGTGCTGGATGTGTGGTGTGGGATTTCTCTTGTGGGGGCGATGCAAAGGGGGCCATAGGGACAGGAAGTAGGCAAGGAGCCAGCTGTTGGCCCTGGGCGAGTGAAAATCCCTGACCTATGGGCAGGAACGGCTGGTATGCAGGGTGCCGCGGTCCTGGCCAGGGACACTGTAGCTGCACACGTAAAATACTCACTTAACACGCAGCAAGTTATGATGCTGCAGCTGAAGATCAGTGACACTGCTGTTTGCACGAGAAGTAGGTGAGTAAACATTAAACTGAAGCTCATGCAGACCTTCATAGACTGAAGCATGAAGCATTATACCTCTGGCTGGAAATTGAATTTGACTTTGACAGGACTGAAAACACACTTGGACAACTTAGTTATTTATTATGTAAAAAGCAAATAGCATCTTATATACAATCATAGAAAAAAAAACAAATGTTTCATTATTACAATAGCATATTTTCAGGATTAACAACAGACCATCTGCAACAGAAAAATCTATTTCACATCTGCTGTCGACGATTAACTAGAAGAGCCGCTGCTGTCCAGTCTAGTGTTTAAGGAAAACAAGTCGGATTAAAGTTAAAAATACTTGGTGGTAGGTCTCGGTTAAAAAAAAGCCCTATATGGATGTTCCTGCTCTGTTCCAATGGCTCAGTGATTCTGTGGACAAACTTGAACCTGGCCTGAATGTGAGTCTCACCGCCCATCTTTGTTGGATCAACATCATGAAATATTGAATACAGCTGGTAACGACACTCGAGTGAATGTAGGACAGTGAGCGGACAAGATGGTGAAATCAAAGCTGATACTGCAAGAGTAGACCTGCTGAAGGTTGTTGTTCACTATCATTACACTGATGAGTGATTCAATATGTTAGAACTTTCATAATCTTTCCCGTTACAGATTATTTATTCACTTCAATTAATCCTAGGTCTTTGCACGTGTTCAGTTTCCACTGGCACTTCTGTTAATACATAAAACCATGCAACCAGTCAACATGCTCAATGAGTTCAAATGTTCATACATTCACGTAAAAGCTCAACAAACATGTCTCAAAGTTAACAATAATGTCAACTCCATAACTTAAGACTTAATAAATAGAAATGGTGAAAATGCAATGTATGTGTAGATTTGTGCAGAGAATGTCCACAAAGAATTCAGCAGTTTTTTAGTGCTTTAACACACTGTGTTATTTCTGTCTTTGCCTGTTGTGGTGCTGCAGACAGCAGAGGCTAAAGCTGTTCACATAACAGTTCCTTTTTGGTCCCTAGTGGATTTTCTAGAGTAATAGACAATAACATGGAAGTAATGTTAAATTATACACTGTCTAATTGCAGGGATAGGATTTAGCTCTCAGGGAATAAACTAATTATTATTAATTATATTAAATATGCCTGTACATCATTTCCACCAAAGTTCAACAGTCAGTGCAAGACAATATGTTACTTCAAATGCAAAACATCTGCCCAGTATGCAGTTTCATCACATACTTAAGGCATATATCGGGTACTTCATTGTAACAATCTGAGTTTTTATTATTCAAAATAGCGCCTTTTGTTAGCTGCAAGTCTCCTCCTGTTTCATGACTCCAAGGGAAGGACAATCGTGATTAAAAGACATTAAGATAATTGCACCCTGAACAAAATCATAAATAATCTTACAGGAATGTTAATGGAGCCAAACTCTCTGTGCTTATGTACCTCAAAACACTACAGTACATAAAAAGCCACAAAACCACAACAGAATGCACTCACAGTAGCCACCATCATTCATTATGGTTGAAGTGTGAATAACAGGGCATTAAACCCTTTCACTGTCTTTTCAATAAAAGACCATGAGAATACATGTTTTCAGGCGATAATGCCTTCATTGTTAATGCTTGCTTGCTTATGGGTCCCCATTACAGAAATCAGTGCCTCCCCTATAACTAGACCCTCCACTGTTGTAGAGTTCAACAACCACTGGAAACACCTCACACTGACACTGGACACGCTCACACTGTTCAAGATGCACTTACATGCATCTGGCACCTTCATTCAGCAGTTAGCCAATACTCTGCCCCCCTGCGGTCAGGTTCTGTTCGGCCCCTAGCCTGGATTGTCTCAGTCTGTTCAGGTTTCACACCACTTCATCAGACTCTAGGTTGTATTCTTCGTACAGGGCGTCTAGAATGGCCAGCTGCTTCTCCATGGCGGGTAGGTAAACTCCCAGGTCTCGGTGCACGCCGCTGGAGAAGCCGCTCTTCAGCTCATCCCCCTCTTTTGACACCAGGGCAGCGGTAAAGCTTTGATATGTCGGGGCAGCTCGTAAGGCCAGCTGGAAAAAGAGAAAGAAGAAGAAGTGGTCAGACTCAAAGCATAGATCAGCCCCTAAGGGAGTAAAGTACAGGTGAGGGTACGCAATACTTACAGCAAACACACCCCGCACGACCCATCCGTGGTACTGCCGGAGGGTTTTTCCGTAGGCGTTATCTGCATGCAAGAACAGACAGACCGTGATTCATCCTGACATTGAAAGAGGAACAGAGATCTGTGTGTTTAACTTTCTGTAGATGTTCAGCTGCAGCAAAGACCCACTCAGTGCTCCTTGGATGTCTTGTTCTCCTGCGTTGACCTCTGACAGAAACTCTTTGAGGAACTTCAGGCCTCGTCTGAGCCACAGCAGGGCCTCGGTGGCGGAGTTGCGCACCTTGGCGACGTCCGTTTGGACTTCATGCAGGACGATGGACTGTAGTGTGGGAAAGCTGTCAGGATCTGACATCAGCTTCTGGTGGATTTTCTTTAGGGATGAGAGATGAAAAATTAAATTGAAAACATTGGCAGCTCAGATAGTTGCTTCATCTGACGTCCTTTGACAGAAATATAAAAAAGGGTAGCTGGGAATCCCGTGTCTAATTCAAGAGGCCCATAAGCACTAATTTAAAATCAGGGGAGGGGTCGGGGAAAGGCCATTTCGTTAACAACAGCGTTAGCTTTGATATGGAAATAAATCCTTATAACCAAAACTCAAACTTAAATATGGAGTAAAATTTACCTAAAATATAAACTCTGTAACACAAAATCTTAAATGTTCTCTGAGGGAAGTACATCTTTTATCTACCAAACTCACCAATCCTACTTTTTTTGTCTTCTTTATGTAAAACTTTTTTTTTAATCTGTGAAACGTATTCATTTCATGTTCTTTAATTTAAGGCAGTTTTATCTAATATCTATTCAGTGTATGAAACTTAAACCAATGACGATAGTTTCGCAGAAGAGACAAAAACATTGTGAATAAAAAAGACAAAAACAATAATATCATGTTACTTGTAGAGGTGTCAAATTTTTCCTGATGCCTCAATGACTTACTCACATACCTTGATATTTCCAACAAAATCCATTTTTACTGGCGCAAACACTGTGGACCCCAGCTTGTCTGAGAAGAGAAAATCCGTCATCACTTTGTGTCAATAAAGAAAATTCTTGGTTTTTTTTTTTGGTCTTGATGCTTTTTTGAATAATAATGAAAAAGTAGAAAGAAACTTCTTTGAATATTGTCCTTTACATGTGGCTATTTAAAGAAGACCAATAAAACAGATTACATCTGTACCAAGACTATATCAGATGTATGTCAATGTTTCTGTCTTAAACACACAGTTATAGGTGAATAGGCCTTATCAAATTGTGACATTCTGAATACTTTACTGTGCGGTCACTATTGATAAAATATTACAATGTTTTTAGATTCAATAAGACAATTATAAAGTGGTATCTTACTCTGATTAATTTAACCAATTACCAGAATACTTAAATCCCTCTTCGTAGTAAGTTTACACAGGCTTTTAATGTTAATATGGCTGTGGGTGACTTCCTTATCAAAATCTGGCACATGGATACAAGGAGACAAACAGCAACAATAATCCACATTTCAGAATAGATTACCCAGCTGATGGACACACAGATGCCAAAAGAAATGAGAACATGAAAGGAAAGGATGACAATAAAGAAAAGACCCACCTAGTTAAATGCAAAGCAGGTGACAGAGCATGCAAGAATGACAGGAGAATAGCAGAAAAGAAAGTTTTCCTTATAAGGTTGTAAAGGGTGACCACGTGTGGCATCAGGGGGAAGAAGAGGAGGAGGAGGAGGAACAGATTAAAGAGAGGAGAGACTAAAAGTGACCAGCCTACCTAATACAGGCACTATTGCATAGCATGATTCCAAAAACTCTTGAGTAGGGATACCATTGTCGTCGTCCAGTCTTATATCACTAAATCTAAAAAGAGTAGAACAGATTCAGACAGGAGAATATATTAGAGGTGAGTCGTCCATTTCAGATTTTATTTGATCAAATCAAACAGAGAAAAGAGAGGATACAAATGTCAAAACCAAACCAGAGGCATGATTCACACACTGTCATGCAATCCTATGCCTGACAATTCCTGAGACTATTCTGCTACTTTGTCCTCATTCTTGACAGAGATGTTTCTTTTTTTCTCTAAAGTCGATATTCTAAAAGTTTCAAAAAATATGCAAACCGTGGTCCCTTTCTTGCAGCTGAATACTCCTTAAATGAGACCATAATACTGATAATGTTAGGGTTGTGGCTAAATATTACACATATGATTAAAAACACTCCAGCTCATTGTTCAGTAACACTCTTTGAGGTTTTAAAAAAATGAAAGTAAAATATTTGATAGTACAGAGTCAAACAAAAAAGAGCTTTACAAACCCAAAACTCAGTCGAGGGCCTCTCTGTGTCATGTGATCAAGAGAGAACACACTAATATAAAACACTTATCATGACATCTTGATTCAGTTTAAATATTTCAAAACTTGTTGTGTACATATATTCTGTATAACACGTAAACAATTATTAGTATTTCTTTAAACTAAGTATCTGTGCAGCAAAAAGTGCAGTGCTTTATAGACAAAAATACTACAAAAAGCTCAGATTGGTTTATTGTAATACTGTAAGAGTGAAATATCAGATGATCAAACCGTAACTTCATACATTAGTCGTGTTTCCTAAAGGATGTGACCTTCCTGAGTAGCATTTTCATACCTGTGACTCATTGTGCTGAAGAAAGTGTCCACCTGCTCTGTGTCTTCTTGCTCCACTGAATCTCTGGCAGTCTCCTCTTCCTGTTGAGCCTCGTCTTGGTCCAGAGGAGCTTCCTGTTGATGCTGAGGCTGCACAGTGTCCACTTCCTTGTTGTTGTTGTCTTGCTCTTGACTTTGGTCCAGTTTGTGCCTCTGCTCTTCTTCTTCTTTCTCCTTTTGATCATCCGCTTCACTTTCTTCATCTCCCTCTGCTGGTTGCTCGTAGTGTTCGATCTCAGAATTAGTCTGGGTAGTGTCTAAAGGGGGGCCGGCCTGCTCCTCATGGACCGAGCTGTTGCCATTTGCTGGTTCACTATCTGCAGTGGGCACAGAAAGGGCATGATGAGCATATTGTATGTTACCAGACAAAAAGAGTTAGACACCAAAAAGTCTGCAGCAGCATCAGGTATGGAGCCCACTTCTCATCATAACAAGTAGTTGAACTAGCACTCTGCAAACAGGTAAAGCCCATGCTCTCTTATTACCACTGAGTATACCTTTATCTTCTTCTCTACTGACCCTTAAAGGGTTCAAATAATCAATTATGACGACGACCATCGTGACAGGCTTTAGTTGTGACTGATAAGCTGTGGGCTTTACGAAAATGCTGTGCTGCATGAGGGGGAAGGGCAGAGCAGGGGGGAATTACAGGATGGCAGCACTAACATATTTTTAGTCAGGCTGAAGTTTCTCTAAAGTGCAAATTTTCTTTTTGCTTGAACTGGTGAATAATCATCATTCTTAATTATGATCTGACAAAATATAACCAAATTATTTCCTAACACCTTCAAGTCTTTCTTGATTATTTGCTTTTTAAATCCATAACTCTCTTCATCCATGTATCTCTATGTATCTCTTTACAATGTCTTAGATAGTCAGAGGGGAGAATATGTCAGAATAGGGCTGTTTTGGCTGTTATCTGATGAGTCAGGTGGTCAAAACAATACTAGGTTGGTTCAAAGAAAGGTTCAAAAATGTATGGCTGATCAGTTAACACTAAATACTACTAATAATAAAACCAGATTTTGATGGTCTGCGAATTAATCATGTCTTATCATCAAAACAAAGTATCAAACTAATCTTATGTTGAAACTGACTTTTTTATATACAGTGGATGTAAAAAGTCTACACACCCCTGTTCAAATGCCAAGTTTTTGTCATGTAAAAAAGTCACATTAAGATAAATAATCTCACAACTTCTTCCACCTTTAATGTGACCTATAACCTGTACAACACAATTGAAAAACAAACAGAAATCTTTCAGGGAGGTGAAGTAAAAATAAAGAACTGAAATCATGTGGTTGCACACCTTTTAATAACTGGAGATGTGGCTGCGTTCAGATTTAACCAATAACATTCAAACTCAGGTTAAATTGGAGTCAGCAAACACCTGTCACCAATTAAAGTGTGTCTAATCAACCCCAAATTAGGTTCAGCTGTTCTCGCAGGCTTTTCCTGACATTTTTGTAGCCACATCTTTCAGCACAAGTCCACAGAGAGCTTCCAAAGCTTCAGAGGGATCTCATTATTCAAAGATATCAGTCAGGTGAGGGCTACAAAAGAATTTCCAAGGAATTAAATATACCATGGAACACAGTGAAGACCGTCATCATCAAGTGGAGAAAATATGGCACAACGGTGACATTACCAAGAACAGGACGTCCGTCCAAAATTGATGATAAGACAAGAAGAAAACTGGTCAGGGAGGCTGCCAAGAGGCCGACAGCAACACTGAAGGAGCTGCAGGAATTACTGGCAAGTACTGGCTGTGTTGTACAACAATCTCCCACTGTCTTCATATGTCTGGGCTATTTAGACTGGACTGAGTGCTGTAATAAAAGCCAAAGGCGCTGCAACAAAGTATTAGTTTACGGGTGTGCATATTTAAGCAACTAGATTATTTTAACTTTTCTATTTTTAATTTTTCCCCTTAAAGGTTTGAGTTTGTTTTACAATTGCATTGTACAGGTTATAGGTCACATTAAAGGTGGAAAATGAAATATTCATTTGAAGGTTTGGGCAGGGATGACAAAAGAGAACACCTGGAGGAACATTTTGAAACTGCTTCAGCTAATTTGTACAAATCTATGTACAAAAGTGACAAGGCTGAAAACCAACACTACATGTCGGTGATCTTTGAACCCTCAGGTAGTAGAGCATTAAAAACAGACATGACTCTAAAGTGGAAATCACTGCAAGGACTCCAAAGCCTTGCCAAAAACTACTGTCTGTGAACACTGCTGCTGCATCCACAGATGCAGGTTAAACTTGTTCCATGTAAAGAGGATACTGTTATAGACACATTGAGGAATGTTTGATTAGAATCTGAACTTTTCACTCAAAGGTTAAATAGGACTTGAAGGATGGATATGAAGGAACAAGTCATAAGACAGGGTGGGTCTTTATACTGTATTACCAGCAGTAGCCACAGTGTGCACTGCTTGGGCAAATACAATCATGTAAGAGAACATTCATCACTGTCAGCTCATAAAAGGAAACAATCAACTGATCAATCTATCATCTGAGCCAGCAGCTCGGATGATGTAAACAATAGTCAGGAGGCCCTTTTGTTAAGGACAGTCTTTAAGAAGAATAGAAAGGCTTGTCACCTCTCCGCCTAGGTTGAATCCTGTGACACCAGACTAACCTGAGGGGGAAGAATGGTGATCCGGTCTATCAGGCTCATCTGGTCCCTCTGCTCCAGAGTCAAGGCTCTGGTTGTCATGTGCAATTGCTTCTTCTGAGTGTTCTGGCAAATCTCTCCATCTATGTTGAGGAAAAAAAAACAATTTTCTAGATGTCAAACTCTGGATGGACTTAATTTTGAAAACAAGACTGTAAAGAGGGAATTTATATGTACAATTGGAAAGTTTTCATTCAACAACAGTCCTCTAATAACAGAAGTCCATTAAATGGGTATTTCATTTATCCTTTACCAGACTGAGTCCTTCTTTTATCATCTGTGACAGTTAATAACAGACAGAGAAAAAGTAATATAAATATGTAATGACAGGTAATAAAAACCTACTTTTCTCCAAGATTCTGATTCAAATGATTGACTGGTTTAATCTGTTGGAGGAAAAGAAATTGTGAGATTGTTAATACATTATATATATTTTTTGGCTGCTCTGTTTATTATAGATGTTTATTTGGCTTTTGATGGGCTTTTAATATGACTGTACCTTCTGAGGTTTGATGGCTGCTACTGGAGGAGATCCTGGTGGGCTCTGTGTCGTCATATCTGTACCGAACGTACGATTTGCTATCTGCATGCATTCCTCTAGAGTCTTAAGGAAAGTGGTGCATGTAGACTTCACCATGTTCCCAGTGTCTATGCCCGCCTGAAAACAGTAAACAAACACACAATCAAGCACTGCCACGTTTCTGAACAACGCCCTAAATTCTGGGATGAATAATGATGTTATCTGAGAAAATTATGATAGATTTAAAAAAATGTACATGTAATAATATTTGCTTCTTATGCGGTCTGTGACGAAGCACAATGAAATATAGTGGTGGTGGCAAATTGGCAACCCTACACAGCAGTTGCACACCAACAGGAGCTTCTCTTATTTCGCCAGCTCATCTGACTTTAACCTTACCTCCGCTGTGTCTCCTGGCTCATCAGTCTCCTTGATTCTGTTTACTTGCTGTAGGAGGAGGTCACAGTACAATCTGAGCTCAGACATCTTAGTTTTCAGTGCCTCTGTGTTCTCCTGGAGCTCTGAAACAACAAAAGACAAAATATTTATGATTCCAATTACAGTATCAAAGACCGCCGAATGTTTAAATTTAATATGTACTTCACTAAGTTTGGTACTTATGGCATTAAAATACCTTTTTCTCTCTTTGTTCGGTTGTCTGTAAGGCAAGCTTTGGCTGTTCCCAGTGCCACCAGCCATTTCTGCCTCTCTGCAGCATTGATGGCTCTGAGGTAAAAGTACTGCTCTCCTGGTATGGTCAGGTCAACTCGTGTGGAGTCAGAGGAATGAACTAAACACAGAATCAAAAGAGGCCCAAGTTATAACATACTGGTATAATTAAACACCATTGCGTAGCAGAAGTGAACCATAATTACCTTGGATTTCACAAACGGAAATTTTGATGCTGCCTTTGCAACCTTTCCAGGCGTCTTCTTGAGAGTCATAGTAAGACAAAGTTCCTCCATCAAGCACAAACCAACGAGGCTGCCAACCTGTGAATACAGATTTTATATGTTTGAAATATCTGTGTTTGAAATATGTTTACAATGTAAAATGGAGCTGAAGTGAGCAACTTATTTGCAGCTTCTCATCTGGCTGTCATGGGAAAGGTTACAGAAACAGGATCCTGATGCAGAACCACTATTGGCCAACCTAATCTCTTACAACAGAGTTTCAAATTTGTGAAAACTAGGGGTGTGAGAAAAAAAATTGATTCGCATAAGTATCGCAATTTTTGTTTTGACAATTTTTAAATTTTTTTTTTCAAATTCAAGAATAAATCTTAAAATCTAACTTACATGTGATCCGAATGAGAAATACTTTGAATAAAAAATACAGACTAAACATCAAGAAAATCGACAATATTGTAGAATCGCAATTTAAATCACATCGGCAAAAAATCGTCGAAGAATCAAATCAGGGGAAAAGCATATCGTCCCAGCCCTGGTGAAAACAGTTTTCTATTTTTGAAAATTCAATAATAAGTATTATTATTAGTTAGTTAATTACAATTATACTTTTGATGTTTTTCTCTGTCTAGACTACATAAAACCAGGTCTATCTGTAGCCATTATACCAAGACTTTTCTGATCTGGCCTAAATAAATTGTAAAGAAGCTACAGACACAGTTTTCAATCACTTACACTTTTATATTCCATTGAAAATTAAAGAAAGGGCCATTTCTAGGAGTGAGAAATCCAAACTGTTCAATGGAGTCTGAAGCCTCTCTGAAATAATTTAGGCTAGATCTGAAAAGCTTGTGTTTTGTGGTTCGGGATCAGAACCTGGTCGAAAGCAGTGAAATCTTACATTTTCACTCATAGATTAAAGGTTTCACCAATCTTAAAGTGTGTTTAAATAAGTCTGTAGTCTCTCCCAGATAATCCAGCCAAGATCTGAGAAGTCTGTGTAAAGTAGTTTGGGATCAGGACCTTGTTTTCATTACCCTCTCGTAAAATCCGAATCAGAAGCTGTGAGTAAGTCGCTCTAACTTCAGCGTGGTAAAAGTGCAGTGATTGATTTCCTGACAGTGAAAGTCGTTTGATTAAGGACAGTAGTACAGTTAGTCTGTCTCCAGAGTTAGTCTGTGATGTTAACGACAGCTAATCAGTTAAGTCCGATTACAATGACAGATGGTGAGAACTACCTTAACTAAACAGTGCTGCCTTTAAAGACTCAAATCAAGCTTCAGTTTTCTGTTCAAACAGCGGATTCCTCTGTGTACATAAGGACTTACTCGGTTTAATGCACTACAGTTTAATGCCGTGGCTAGCTAACATTAGCTTACCAGTCATCGCAGCCTGATAAACCAACACCACAACCAGAAACATCCATCAACTCCAGAGCCAGCTTACCGCTTATGTAATTGGTCCATTTATACAGCATTCCTTCCATTGCTCCGTTGTATATTTTTGCCGTTCATTACGTGTTTATCATAACAAGATATAATGCACAGTTGACTGCAGCGACTCCATCGGGCCCCGAGTGTTATTTGTGGAGTAACGTCTTCAGCCCCACGTCTTCGCTACGTTGATAAAAGTGCGTAAACTTTTCCGTGAATGCAGCTCTCAGCGATCACGAGAAAAGCTCAAGACGTCCCTCCCATTTACATCACAGGGATTAAAGTGTCGTGGGCGGGGAGTAGAGTGATTGACACGTAGGTTGAATAATTAAGCGAGTGAAAATGTCAAAAGAGGCGGGACCTGAGATTCAGCTAACCAATAGTAGACTGAGGTGGGCAAACGGTTGAACAGGGGCTGCGTTCATCACTGAAGTTGGTTGCCACGTAGTTGGCATTCTTGCCATGTATTTATACTTTTGTACTAAATGAGGGTAGCGTTTAAATTATCTTTTGTGCTCACTGTCAGCAGGTAATTTATTTTTCTATCAAAATGATTCTCTTTTCTCTTTTTGCGACATTTCCTCCACTCTTTCTGTTTGTCAGTGGGGGGAAACTGCCCGAGCCTGAGGTGAAAATTGAACTCGTATACAAACCCTTCATGTGTTCCCGCAAATCAAAATATGGAGACATGCTGCTTGTTCATTACGACGGGTTCTTGGAGAGCAATGGCACCATGTTTCATTCAAGGTAATCTGACTCAAAAAGATCTAAGAATGCTGCAACACTTCAAGTCGGACATTTTTGGGGGTATAGGGGAGAGTGGGGTAAGATGAGCCATTTTCATATTTCAGATCACTACATCAAGACAATCATAGTTTTGTCTCTAACTAGTGTATCTGCATATATTTCAAGATGTTGTGCATCCCTGCAAACCAATAGAATGAGTGTAAACATAACTGTCTTGATAATATAGCATGCCAGAAAAAAGTGGTCTCCTATGATAGGAGCGGGGTTAAGTTGAACCATATCCCTACTACCCCCCGCCCTCCCTCACCTTATCTCTCCCTAAATAACACTCACCTCTTCTCATTCATGTGTATTTTTATGTATTATACACTATTCAACTGGTACAATAATTCTTGTTATTATTACTGCATATAACTGTTAAAAAGCTGTTTTGTGAAAAAGCCATTTTAACATGAGGATGCCTTTAAGTGATTCAGAACATTCACAGCTGTATTTTTGAAAAGAAAAAGTTACACATTTCAACAATCTGAACTGAAACTCTGATCCTCTCATCAGACTTCTTTACTTTCTCAGTTGAGTCACTAGCTCAACTTACCCCAGAACTACTATTATGACTTTATTAGTCCTCTAAGCTAAAATGGTTGACTTTTATGCTAGGTTTTTGACCTCATGTTGTAGCTCATAGATACCACAATAAAATGATCTTTTTTGGTCTGAACACAATTATAATAAAACTTATGACAGACTAAATTCATTTTCAAAAGTAAAAAAAATGTTTTTTTTGGAAATAATTGTCTAACCCTGTCACCCATGTACTTCTAACCTTCACAGACTCCATTTATTGATGCCCATCTCCTAAATATTTGGTCACATGATCAATTTCTTTTACCATTTCCAAGCAACAGGGGGTGGCTCAACTTACCCTTTGGCTCAACTTACCCCACTCTCCCCCTACTTAGCTTTAAAAATCAAGTATCTAAAGTACCATATTGCAGTCTTTTCTTGACATCTCAGCATTGTCCATCAGGAACAACCATTTGAAAACCGTAGCCACAAACTTGAGAGATCTGTGATGTATCTTTGTAACTCTTGGCAGCCGCAGAGATGGAGATCCAGTGTGGTTCACTCTCGGGATCAAAGAGGTGCTCAAAGGCTGGGATAAGGGTCTCAAAGACATGTGCACAGGAGAGCGCAGGAAAATCACTGTCCCTCCATCTCTGGCATATGGCAAGGAAGGAAAAGGTAACATACAGAGAAAGAACACAAAAACTTATAAGAAGTTTGTTGCATCAAAACTCTCTCTATTTTTGTTCTACCATGATGAAAATGTATATTACCAATTTTACAGGAAAGATCCCTCCAAGCAGTACCCTCATTTTTGAAGTTGAGCTTATGGACATCCGAAATGGTCCAAGGTCACACGACTCTTTCCGGGAGATGGATCTCAATGATGACTGGAAACTTTCCAGACAGGAGGTTTGATGATCTATCTATCTACCTCGTCTCCATTTCTATATCTGAAGAATTTGACTATCCCTAAAAATCTATATTATTCTCTGTCCACTATAGGTGAAAGAGTACCTGAAGAAAGAGTTCCAGAAACACGGATATTCGCCTAATGACACTCACCATGAAGTGATGGTGGATGACATCTTTAATAATGAAGATGAAGATAAAGATGGTTTTATATCTGCGAGGGAATTTACCTACCAGCATGATGAGCTCTGATTTTGGCTATGTTTTCAAACCACCAGAGTGTTGGTCTTGAAAGATCATCAGGACATGACATGGACTTTGGGATTGTGAACTGGTCACCGGGGAGTTTTCAAGGACTTACATAACACTTTACAAGTATTGTCTTATGTCTGGTTAAACTTGAAGACACAATCTCCACATTTTTTAGTAGTATTTATATGAAATGAGTTTTACATCTCCATTCTCCATGCACTGACAATGTCATTATAAATGTGTTATAGCTGCAGTAACGGCTTACATGAAAAAGGTATTTTAAATTTTACAAGAACTTTAAATAAGTTTAAAATACATGTGCCAATGGATAATATGTCATGCTATTTACAATGACAGAGGTTGTTAAAACCAAACGGGACCATTAATATGAACAAATGGTCAATGATTGTTTTTGTCTGTGCATTTCTGCTTTTATCACTAGAGGGCACTCTTGTCCCAGACTTTTGGATTGTAAGCACACATCAAATCTTTAAACACAAACATGCTGTAAGCAGTCCATTTCAATTTCTAGATGTAATACTGTTACCAGCGGATCAAATTAATGAATGGGAATAAAGTGAATCTACCATTCAGTGTGATCACAAACATTTTTTGTAAAAGCATGCAGCTGGCTTTTATGTCTGGGTTTGTTCTCGCAGTGATGAATATTCTAAATTGAGCACTCGCCTTGAAGCATTTTTCTACAAAAGGATTTGTTTTCATACAATTCCCGGTACATGTATCATTGCAGTCATTCAATGTTGTTTCTTTGGTGGTGTGGAAAGTGCTTTAACAGGGTGGAACAACAGATATGCTGAAGTACTTAAACATAATACCTGTCCTTAAAAATAGAAAACAGGTATGTAGAAGATAGTTAAGTTATGAAGAACAAAACAAACAAGATAAAAATCACCTGACGTCATTGAACAACTCCTGTTTAAGTCATAGCCTCGCCTAAATGCATTCATTGTGTGTCAAACATCATGTGAGTCCACATAGCCACTTGTTTATGTTCTGAAAAACAGACTATTTTGAGAAAAGAAGGGACTTGCTTTTCTGTCTTTTTTTTAAGTATTTCAGGCTATGCAAAAATGAAACCAAGTTTCTTTTATAGAAGTTTATGATGAACATTAAACTGTTTATGAGCTGTGTGATGGCAGAAATTACTCTCAAATAACTGAGTAACAGCAGGCAGGATCAACAAGAAGCACAGGGTTTCAAGATTCAAGAAAAGTGTGATGTTTCTACTTCATTATTCTCTACTAACCCTTCACATAGAAGCACTGAATGATTGCCGATAAGCATATTTAAGTAAAGTTTCCTGACAGTAAATGTTGCCTATGAGCCTCTCAGTTAGACACATTATGTGTATAACTGACTAATATTGGAGCACAGAGACATAATGCTAGTATGCATTTGGTCACTATTTTAAACTTTACTTTTAGCTAACCTTTAAATAAGTAGTAAAGATAAAGATGTCCATGCAATGAATACTGTTTTTGTTTTGCAGACCCTTCCTGCGAAATTTCATCCTGATAAAGGCTGACATGCACCAGTGATATTCTTAGAAACCACAGACGAGCTTCAGAAGAACAACCTTGAGTGTGAACACTGTGGTGCAGCTATGTTTTACCTCCACAGTTCATGTGGTATCTGGCGAAATTCCACCAAGCTCACCACACCTACATGGAAAACTGGAGGAGTAGGGAGGTTGTATAGCAAGACAGAGATTAAATATTAGAGAAGGCCTTCTGGGTAAAAAAAATCTGCCAAGAACTTAGCTTTAGCTGTCATAGGATGAAAAAAAGGGTTGTAAACCACATACCTGGGATTTACTGTGCCTCAGGCCACAAACAATCATCACAAACACAAGGATGGGCCTTTCTTCTGACTACACCTCCTCTATAGCTCTCACACTTGTATCATGCCAAATGGAGCCCAGCATTTTCAGAGACAGGCCACAAGATTTAAACTGAGGTTTTCTCTCCTTTAATAAATCATTTGATAAATTACATTTTAATTGCAACTGTCACAAAAATACCTTTTGATAGAATGGATTTGTAGAAAGAATTTACTAAATCACATTACACAAACTGAAAGAAACACACTTGGCACAGCTTGAGTGTGACTGCTCACTTCTATGGCTTTGTGAAGTGAAAGGACACTAATGCTGCGCCAAGACATGTTACTGGCATTGAGGAAAAGGCAAAGAAAAAAAAGGGTACAGATGTTGTTTTTAGCCTGGAAAAAATCCTAGATTACAGCATGTAAACAGAGATACTACAAAACTGGAAACAAACAATGTTTGCAGAAGAGTATTTTTGTGATTTGTAGTCTGCAATATGACATAGAAAACAAAAGACAAATTGAAGACCCAGTTTTATATTCCTCACCATAACAATGAGCACAGTGCAAATGAAAACAGTATATCCACAAACTTCTGCTGTTCTGATTCTTCTTTTCTCCTGTGAACAGTTTTGTATTCAGACCTCAACACGTATTTTTCAACAGTTAATTTTAACATGACAAAAAAAAACATGATGCAGAGCAAAAGACAAAAATAAACATCTTTACAAAATTAATCTGTACACTTGTTTCTAAAAAGTGCTTTATGAGCGTCCAATAGTCCCATCTCTCATATTTTAGTACACACAACGCTTAGATCATTACATGATCTGATTTCAAGGACAGTTAAGTTTAAACCAGCGTTCCCACTAGAATCACAAAATGCACATTTCGCATGGGAAGTTGGCTTGAGTGCTGCAGTGAGGTTGGTTTACACAGCACCAGAGTTTCACTGACTGACAGCCGGCCTGGGGCAGATTTCACATAGTGCCATCATGACAGAGTCTACACCAGGTAGTCTTCAAATCAAAGACAGGAGGAACAGCACTGTTCAAAATACTGGAGGATTTACTTTTATAAAAAATGATGGTCTCGGCTGAAAAAAGGAAAACCCCAAACATACAGCAACAAGACAATGTCAACACTAAACAAACTCCAACTAAAACAGTCATGCGAGAGAAAAAAAAAGCATTTCAAGTTCATTTTGATTACAAACTTTTCAGACTTCATCAGAAACAAGGTGGCTTGGATTTCCTCTTTGACTGAATAAATAATTGTCCTTCGTGTCTGTAGAAAAGCCCGCATGCCTCAATCCTCAGAACAAGACATCTTCATGCTCAATCATGAGCTGCACCACGAGTTTCTGCTGCCTCATGTCATTCAGGGTTGTCAAGGCATTCAGCTCTGTCGGCTGCATGAGTGTTGGACCGAAGACAATCCCCAAGTTCTCGGCATTCATTAAATTGTCCTTTTCAAACAGTGTCACCCTGTAAGACACATTACATAACTAGTCTGTAAGGAGAGTTGAAATCAGCGAAATACAAAAACAGAAAGGTATTTGAATGTGGTTTTCATTGTTTGTCATGCAGTGATTCACCCCAGGAATATTAAATTTTAGGCTAGGGCTGGCAGAACTCAATAATTCTGCTTCTCTCAACAGTTCATATAAAAATATTGAAACCAATAAAATGACACTGGGCAGCAGTTCAAAACGTATGAAAACATTTTAGAAATAGACGAAAACTTGTCCTGAAACAGCAAGTCACTGTATTTTTCTTTCCTATAAACTGTGTCGGATTAAAGTGACAACGTGTAACCAGCAGATGTGTAACTAGCTCTGTAAACGTTAGTCACACTTAGATCCTGGATGTAGCTGTGTTAAATAAATGATGCTCAATTTTGACTGTTTCCTGACTGTTTTAGTTGGTTAATTTGATTTAAAAGGTGGAGGTATGAGTTTCTTTGACAGTGGAATAATATTGACTCATAAAAACGTCAGAGCATACTTTCTATCTCCATGGCCATTCATGCAGTTCTTGAAGATAACATCAATTCAATTTGGTCTTACAACAGGGGGGAGAAAAAGACATTCATAGGCTTACTCATTTAATAAAAGAGCCTGTGCATTACTGACCTCTTGAGGTGAGCCATCAGGTAGCGTAGGGTCTCATAGTGGGCTGGGGGAAGCTGTAGCAAACACTCATGTATGGCCTCCAGTCTGGATTCAGCATTTGGAAGTTCTACATGACATAAAGTCAAGAATAAGAATCAGAAAACTGCAGGATAGTGCCACAGTCATCGCAGGAAATAACGAGGAATGGAGGAGCACTCACTTGCAGCTTGAATAAATTTAGAGTACAGGTCAAATGTGATGACTGGAATGGGAAGGTCTCTCAAGTAGAGCTTCAGAGCACCAGCGATGATGTTGATGTCTGCATAGGCACTGGCACTGATGTCAGCCTTCTCACCATCTGCACATGAAAAGCAGAAAATCTGTGACTTGCATGTAATGTTGGCTCGATTAACGAAAGGAAAGCTGAGTGTTTTCATTTACGTCACAGAATAACAGAGCGGGGCTGTTTTGTCATGCTGAACTGAACAGGAATCTTATTGAAAAGGATCAACTGAAACCTCAGAAACCTAGATCCTCAGGCAAAATCTGATGTAGACAAACCTCGGTCAAAGGCCAGCCTGACGTCTTCTATGTGCTCTGAGAAGCCAGAAACTCGGTAAAGACCTTCAGATTTCATGCCTGTAATGAAACATCCAGAAACTCCTCTCAGTCTTTTTCCAACAAAGTATTCACTATGCTCTGTTATACTTTGTAATCGCCACTTTACCTCTTAGCTCTATCTCCTGAATACACATGTCCACCACCATGGGTCGTGTCGTATTGTGAGCTTTGACCAGTGTGGTGAGATCACAGCTGAACACTTTCTTTATCCTGCGCAGGTCCGGCTGGCAGTCGCTAGGGACCAGTTTGGAGCACTGTTTGTGTACATTCAGCCCGCAATCTGGAGGAACAAGAGGAAGACGGAAAGAGAGAAAAAAAGACGGAGTGATAGAGAGGGATTAGATCCAGACTGAAGATAACACAAGCATCACAGCAGGCTTTGGACACATGTTGGAAAGATTTGACGAACAACCCTGTCGGACAGCAGTGTCAGATGCTGCTGTGTCTGTGCGCCGTGCATGAGGTAGATAACAGCAATCATAGCTGCATGGGTGGAGGCTCTGGTGATGCTTTTAGTTGCATGGAGCGTGCTAAACGCCGGGCAAGAGTAGGGTGGAAGAAAGGTTTTTGAAGAGCTGCACCTGTAGATGAGCTTTTCCCATTTAAATCGTTCATCATGCAGACGTTTTTACTCCACCAGCAAAACTGATTGGGGTCCTCGCCCTCGGTCGAAGCTCACAGACAAAGTACAGCAGGAGATAAGTAAAATGGAAGAATCTAGAAAGGGAGTGAGCCAGGACAAAAAGTCTCTCCTGTTTTCCCATAGCACATGAGGTGTCTGATGATACCAGTGTTCGCCTCTGGCTTATCAGCATGGCAAATGTCTCAACAACAAACACTCTGTGTAGAAGGAAGGCGAGCGAGTCCACTGATGCGCACATCGGTTTCAGAGCTGTGTGTGTGTGTGAGAGCGAATCTTGTGACCAGAGAGGCCTTTAACATTCAACTCAACTCCAAAAGGCAATCAATCCGTTGGTTCTGCAGCTAAATTTAGTTAACAATAAAAAAAGCGTTTGATGTGTTCATTCACATATTTATAATTACATGTTTTCTGTCGTCGATTGCTGTAAACAACAACAGAACTTACTTCGAGTATAAATGCCGACAGCTAACTGAATCATGCGGCCTCTTTCTGCACTCTCACCAGTTACAGGAGAATTAGAAAAGAGCATATAAAACATTTAGCTGCTTTCTCATTTTGATTATGAAAGCTATTCAATATTCTTGACTGAATGATAGCAGTTATAGATTTAATTATATTAAAATGTCTGAGCCTTGCAGGGTTTTTCCCCAATGAATGTCTTTCACTAAACCACTGACTTGTCCGTCACAGATATAAAAAAGGAAAATAACCATAAAAAAATGACATTATGGAACAACCAACAAAGATGGGTGGAAAAAATATGTACTTATGCAACAGAAACATGCCAGACAGAAGGCGATGTCGGCCCCAGATTAAACATACTTGTGTAATCCAAGACTACTGTGACACTCTGTGGATAATCTATGACATGCAGTATAGATGTTGAGGTCAGAATGGTTACCTGAGCAGCGGACACCCTGGGCGATGAGACCCCACATGAAGTTGGCACAGTACTCACACCAGTGTGGCCCACGGAAGGTGTGTACCTGAATGAGGAGATGGCATTGTTACACTCAAACACATGGATACAATATACAAGAATTTGCTCCTTTATCGCCTGGATGGAGATTTTGGTCCACAGCTACAGTAGACGGGAGCCCCTCGCCAAATGAGAGCATTTGTATATACAAGGCAGATTAAAGGATTTACAATGATGTGTCTGGCATCTGCTGCTGGGCAATCGGATACTTGCAGGCAAGCAAAGTGGCCAGACTGTGAGTCAAAATAACAGATGTAGGCCCAGTGTTCACCCTAAAACACACAGTTAAGATGGTAAATGGAGTCGCGCACACACATACACACACACCTCATGGTGTATAGGTAGACTGATGAGTGAAGAGGGCAGACGGCAGGTGGCGAGTTGTTCTTTTTCAAAAGGGAGTGTACAAAAAGCTGGAGGTCATTGTAGCCAGCCGGGTAACTGAAACCTTGGATACAATTGCAAGAATGCTGGGGAGCCCGCAGGCAACGTATCCCCAAATCCTCCTTTGTCAATTCAAATACCTCCATTATACTCTCCAATCTGTTTAATACACCTACACCCTCTGAGTGAGACACGAGTGGACTCCACAACACTTTTCTACTGCTTTTACAGAACGAACAGCCTCAAACACAAATGGATCGAAGAGCTTTGAAATCAATGTGCTCAGCTGTTAATAGCTTGGGTTTGAGTGTATCCATTAGTTCCCCTCAGTGCATATGGGTGTCAGCTGCGTGTGTTCACACTAACACAACACACACACACTTAAGTCTTCGAACATCTGAGGCAAAAATACATCTGTACATACATGCCTGTGTTTGGTTCAAAGCATTTGGTTGAAAGCTTAAAGAGAACTAAAAAAATATCGATGGATTAAATAAAAATAGAAACAAGCTCACCTTAAAGTTGTGTATCTTCTCGTATGAGCACTGCTTCTCCGGTGTGTCTTTCAAGGCACTCCGTCGTACCAGAGGTGAGGAGATCTGTGGACAGGAGGCCAACAGTTTAATAGGTTTCCACAGAAGTGTCCCTTTACTCCCAAGTTTGACTCCCAGAGCCAAAGCCAGCAGCTCCTGACGCTTCCTCTCGTGTCTTTTAACTTTGTGAGTGATCAGCTCCCCTCCCAGTGCTGCTTTGTTTTCCTCCATACTCGACTGCTCAGGCTCCCAGAGACTCTCCATCTCCTCTGAAGAAAGACGTGAAGAGGAGACCTGGGTGCTGTGCAGCAGACGCTGCCGACAACAGCCCAGCACAGAAGCTGCAGCTACGCTCCACTCCCCTCTGACCCAGGAGGGCGACTGATGACAGCCAGCACAGGGTTGGCTTTGCATCTGCTCTGAATCCTGCAGCAGCAACAAGCAAGAAGAGCAGGGGAAACGGGACAGGCAGTGGGCGGCCTGAGGGCAGGAGTGTGCCTCACACAATGACCCTCTTTCACACACCCAGAAAGGAAAGAGAGAGAGAGGACAGGGTCCCTGATAGGGAGGGGCCAAGAGGTTGAGAGAGAGGGAGGTCGGGTGCTGTCAGGACCACTTCACACAGCTCAACAGCTCTGTAAAGCAGGATCAATAGTGCGGACGCCCTCTTTATAGCACACAGCACACTCCCATTAGCACGCTCCACTTGACTGGAGATACCACACTGCCAGCAGCTCTAACCAGCATCGAAACGGGTCACTCTGCTGCTCCAAGACTGACCCTAGATCCCCTCTGCTGTGCCCTCATCACTCAAACAGACCTCGACCTCTAGCTATGACAGTCGGCTGGTGGAATTCCCCACACTGCCGTCCAGACTGGCTCATCCAGACACTCTGGCTGCAGACTCCTCCCGCCAATCACAACTGTTTGTCTCAGAAGAAGAGCCAGACCCTCAACTTGGATTGGGAGATTATTTCCATAATCCTTACACAGGGAATAATCTCACAGTGTCTAAATCCATGTAAAATCCCAAAAGAAGCTCATTTGCAGGTCCGCAGTCATGAAGTATTTTACCAGTGGGGGGTTGTTGCTACATTCATGCTGAATTTGCCCCTATTAGCTCTGCTTGTAAACAACCAGATAACAGCACCACAAGGCATTCGGCTTTTTAATTAAGCACGGAGAACTTAACCAAGGCACACATCACCACAGCAGAACAAGCAACATGCCAAACAACAAATATCTGCAAGGTCTTACATGGAACATTTCTTTTTGCAGGACAGCTATGCTTGAAACATGGAGTGCATCTCATAAAATAAGGCTGAACTTATTTATGGAGCAGCAGGAGAAGGTCAGTATGCCAGCAAGCATTGGATTTGTGAGGATAGATATGAGGCAGGGTAGCCTGCTGGGGAGCAAAAGACCTAAAGGGCAACTGCTAAGCTGAGATAAAATGAAAGCATTGGCAGCCAACACACACAGAAGTGGAGTGGGGGGAAAAAAAACTCTGGGTCTTTTTGTGTACCAGCTTTTGTTGTGTGTCTCTGATGTCTAAGGACAACAGTTAACTAGCTGCTAGCTAAAAGAGTGGCAGGACAGGTGAGGATTTTTGTCATTGTGTTTGACATTCTTCAAAAAGACCTTCACATACCAAACTATACAACGCAACGAAGTCTGAGGGGACAGATGAGGAAGAGACCCGTCTGAGGCTCTGTGAGGAGACTGGACAGAGAGTGAGGAGGGGGGGAGACGAGGGCTGAACTCTTTGTCTGCAGGCAGATGGCTTCTTGTCTCTTAAGGAAGAGCTTAGAGAAAAGGACACAAAAGGTGGTCACAAAACAAGCCCTGCTTTCTTTTCAGTGGCTTGGCTCTTTTATTCCTCTTTGTGGGAGCTGAGCGGACTCATGGGTAAACAGCACAGTGGGCACTGACACAGTAAGACGGCAGGGTATGGCGACACACACCCGGAACAAAACAGCTCTAACAGCATGTTGAACAAAATAATTGAAAAGATGCACTGTGGTGGGAGCAACAATAAAGGAAATCAGCCATTATTTAAAAATGAATAAAATGGACACTGTTTCACTCATCTTAGACTCTCTTTGTACCTTTCACAACATGCAGATAGAATTGGCAGTTTGTATTATTAAAACATTAGATTCTCGGGGGAAAGAAAACAGGAAATGATCCCAACCAGAATCACCAAACTGTCTTTGGAAATCTTTCTACGACATGAAGGCAGACCGGCCTGTCAAGAGCTCCTCTAACATTAAACCGGCAAGTGTCAGTGAGGAGGAATTTGGCAGAGACTCTGACCACGGAGCAGATTCCTGCACACGCCAAAAGAAGAAAACCCAGGATAACTGATCTAAAGGTTATGTCAAGTATCCCCCCACTCACCTTGTGGGAGCTTTTTAATTACTCAAGAATCTGCAGTCACGGCAATATGGAGGAATGAACCGGACACTGAGTAAACACATGAAAGCTGACGATACAGTGAAGCTACTGTGGCTGTAATGCCCCTGGGCGTGACTATATAATTGGTAAACATGACTTTCAAAAAGCAGCCACACATTTGAGCCAGGTTTCTGCTTCCTTGGACATTTCAGCAGACAGAAAACAGTTTTCTTCTCTTTTCTGTCCCTTTTAGCGGTGACTGGCAGGTGGTTTTCAAGTGCTGTCTGGCTACAGCGTGCCAACATCACAGTTGTCACTGACTCAGTTTCTTGAGAAGAAAAGTTGGCAGGAGGAATATTAAATCAGTTTTTCAAAACATTACTGAAGATGTGACATTAGAGACGTGCTCTAGATTCACTCTCCAAACGGAGGTTAAATAGAGTCGGCAGTCCACACAACTTCCAACATCAAAGCTGAAAATCAAACAGAGAGCAACAGTGTGTGACACTGTTCAATAAAGCTCTGTGTGTTAGGCAAACATCAGAGCACTTATGAGGGGAGTTCTCTGCCCGAGGGGCCTACTATACATTTATAGTGGCATGTGGCATGCAATAAGCTAAATAAAACCACAGTAAGTCAATACATCAAATACCTACAGGGGATTTTTCTCAGACATTAAGCATTGGGTAAGAAGATCAAACAGTTTTATGATACCATAGTGCTACTTCTTTAAGTCATAAGATGCAAGAATGAATGGAAATCTGATTTGTCCTCACATCCTTCTTATGTCATAAGACAACTCAAAAGTACTAAAGCAACAGTTAAGGTAACAAACTGCTAGCTACCATCAAAAAACTATTAATGCTAGCAGTCAGCTAGTTCTTAGTTTACCTTAATGTAAACTAGTGAGTCAACAAATGCAAACATACTATTGTACAATGCATAAACAAAAAGCTTCTTACATATCATAAACAAGAGGGGACTGTGTGTCAACCTAAGCTGATATCTGATATCAGCTTAGGTTGTATTTGAAGTATTTAAATTATAAAGCAACGTTTAAAGTAACAAACTGCTAGCTACCATAAAAAGACTACTAACGCTAGCAGTCAGCTGCTTCCTAGTTTACTTTAATGTCAACTAGTGAGTCAACAAATGCAAACATACTGTTGTACAATACATTAAAAAAAGCTTCCTACAAATCATAAACAAGAGGTGACTGTGTGTCAACATAAACTGATATCTAGTAGTAGCTAACTAGCTAACAAATAAGGTGTTCTCTCTTACCTGATAGTAGCTAACTGGGAATCAAATGTGAATTATTTTCTATTAAACATGGCCCTATGTCTGTCTGTTTTGTCAAAGTTCACGTGAGTTTTAATTGAGTCGCATTAATACGACGAGAAGTTTCTTATAATGTCTACATGAATATAAATTTAACTCTTGGACAAGGCATTATAACATAGTTTGAGCTTCCCACCGCACTACACATCCGAAGAAAACTACATATTGACTAACCAATGTCCAGTAAGTCAACATTGCTGCATTATTGGTTTATGTTACAAAACTAAAGTGAAGATGGATATCAATTCTGCAACGGGTGCTGCTGCTGACAAGCTGTCATGTCTCCTCTATTAAAAGGATGTCAAGATGACAAAGTACTGGCTGACATCTTGAAGACAGACTCCCCAGAGCAAGAAATCTAAACCGCAAGATGAGAGATACACAAAGTAATCCAAAAATTCATAATCTCTGAGGAAATAAAGAAGAAGAAGTCCCTTTTTAAAAAAAAAAAAAAAAACATTTGGTGTGAGTCTAAGTGCTGTCACCAGGTCTAGAAGGAGGCGGAAATATGATAAGACCGCCCCCTAGTGGAAGGATAATTCTCTAGAAATAAAGCCAGACCTTCCTCGTTCCTCATTGATAAATCATTCACAGACTTGAATCCAACAACAGCTCAATGAATACAATGTGCAATTTGTCTCACCCAAGATGAGAGTGTCTGATATGCACGGCAGGCAGAGCAAAGTCCCAGTCCCCTCAGTCATCATTACCTTTCAGAGGACGCAACAAAGCGTGGCAGCAGCGAACACACCCCAGGGCTACCGGGAGAACGTTCATCTCACTCGCAGGACAAAGTGTCCTCTCATCCCAGTGGGAGTGTAGTGCTAATGTTCAGCAGCATGGAAGTAAATCAAGATATTATATAGTGTGGGTCAAAGGCCTGGAGACATGCACTAGAGATTTTACTCATTTATACGGTGGAGCTTTTTTCTTAACAAATGAGACATAATGCTTGAAAAAAAATACTTAAATCACAACTTCAAGAACATCTCCGAGTGAAAAAGTCACTAAAAGGCTTGAATATCAAAATAAAAACCATTGTTAGGCTTTTTGGTTTGGTGAGTAAATTTCTGTCCTCTTTGAAACTAAGTGATGATGAGTAAACTCTTAATTTACGATGAAATCTTTAAAAATCAGATAATTGTAAAGTAGTTAGGACTAACTTTTTTAAATCAAAATATCAAACATCAATGATAAGACATCATTTCTTCTTTTTCTTGCAGTGAGTTGAACTAAAATGAACTCTTTTAGGACGTTATTTGAGATATTGTAACTCTGTGATGTGATATTTTTGCTTTTTTGTCTTAATGTGTTAAAAAAAATGACTAAAACACATTGTTTAGTGATAGCCAAAGCCACAGGTGGTTAATTATTTTGAAGTTTTGGACACAAATAAGCGTATCGTCTACAACTTTTACTGTTTGATGCCAACTTCAGTTGACAAGTGCTGGTGGTGGGTTTATGTTCCAATGCCATAAAAATTACCTTCTCATCTCTCTGAAAGGTGACTCTTCGTGGTTCAGTGCGTCCACGGCTCAGCCGGTGTACCATCTTGTCCTTCAGCAGCGAGGTGTAGCCGAGATGCTCGTAAATAGGGTTGGTGGTCATTTTGGCGATGTACTCAGCTGCTTTGGTCTCAATGTAGAGCGTGATGAGGGCGTCTGTCACAAGGTCATGTACTGACTCGAACCTCTTCTCCCCAACAAAGTGCTTCCCATCATAAAACAACCTGTAGTTGAGCGTCTGGTGCCCGAACCTGGATAAAAAGCATGAATTAGGAAGGAAATAATGGAACCACCTGAGCAAGGTAGCATTGGTTTGGAAAACCTGTGCTGAATACTGATGGTGTTAGTACCTTAGGGCCAAAGTGTGTGTCCCTGGCTGTCTCTGGCTCTCCCTGATGAGGTAAGAACCCTCCACTCCTGCCAGCAGCTCATCTGCGTACTCTCTGGAAATCATGCCATGAAATCTGTGAAAAGCAAATCACAGTTATTAGACTTCTCCTAAAGTTATTTCATTCTCAGGTTTACACCACAGCAAAACAAAACAAAAAAACACATCCACCCACACAAGCCTTAACCACATCTGATGCAAGGCAGAAACAAATAAATCACTGCAAAGTAATAGAAGAAAGATTGAGTTACACTCACTCTCTGCCGTAGTATTTGGGTCTGTTCTCCATCTGTAAAACAAAGGAAGACGTATTAACTACAGCTTTATAATATGAAAGCTCAATCAAATAGCTTCTTAAATTGTTCTTGAGGCCTGTGTGCAAGATAAAAGACTTAGCACCATGAGACAGATTATCTCCATATGTGCTCCCACGTCTATTCACAGCTACCAAACCATGAAGCCAAATCACAGAGTGTGGAGATAACGTAAAGGCAGAGCCAGAAAACAGCTGGTGAGACTCGACCAGCTGCAAGGCATTAGTTATTAGTTTGTTACAGTGTCACGACGGGGTGTGCAGTGTGTCAGCAACACAAACCAGTGTCAAATAAGAAACAGATTTCTCATCTTGAACAAGAAAAAATCAAAGATCAAAATGACTTTTATTTCCAATTCAATCGTCGAGAACAAATCTGAGTGAAACAGTGATTTATGAATATTTCTAGTATCTATACACTCTTCCAATGATGGACAAAGATCTCTTTAAAACTGTGATTTACAATAACAATGTATTCATGTGTACCATCAGTATGTGCTGTGAATCAATAGCCATTTGCACAGCCAACCCACAACTTTTCTGAGCTCATGATTCATGAAAATCGAATGAAGCAAGCATCATTTATGACAGGCTATACAATAGAAGATTGACGTTTTCCTCTCATTGAGTGCACAGAACAAGTATAGAAACATTTTCTGTTGGTTTTTTTTCTTACATGACTGACAGATAAAAGCTCACACAATGCATCCTAATGATTCCTGCTTCCTACATACCTCTGCTATACTATATGTAAACTTGCCCTTTGTTGATACGTTTTAAAAGACAGTTCTGAAGGCAATAGATACAAAATATTAGCATAAACTGTATTAAACAATGACAAAATCTCAGTGATATACAGATCTAAAGATGCGTCAATCTGAGTGAGACAGTGATTTATAAATATCTCTAGTATCTATACACTCTTCCGCTGATGGACAAAGATCTCTTATAATTATATATTCAACAAGGACAAAATCTCAAGGATTTTCAAATGCGTCATGAAGCCAAAGCTCAAATGCGACTCCAGCAGAAAGACTGACTCTAACCAACTTTCTCTGAAGCTAGAAAACGGCGGAATAGAGGAAAAAAGCTACAAAGCACCCACCTGTCAGTCAACTCACTACACACCTAATTATGTCTAATTACACCCTCGTCTAGATACAGTCAAAACAGATAGGTTATTAAAAAAATAAACCTCTCTGTGCAGCTGTTCCAAATGAGGAAATGAGAAATAGACACCCACACTGTTTGTACCTCAGTGTAAACATGTTAATTTGTGTTTCCTGCATTAATAATTAGTGTAAAATCTACACTCATAATCTATTAAGAATATCTGAGGCTAATATGAACTTCAGTTATCAAATTTGGACAAATCACGTGAATAACATCTACAGGCACAAACTAAAAAAAAACTTCACACTTTGACCGTGTTCAGGGTATCAGCTGATTAGCAGTTCACTCTTCCAGACAGATGTCAGCACAGACCCTCTTTCAACTCCACAACACTAACACACTTCGACTTATTTAAAAGACAAAAACACAAGCTCAACCTTCATAGAATGACAACACTTTTCATAAATTTTACAGCATTAAATGAACACAAAGTGAGGAATAAACCTTTCAGTAAGAGAAGCGTGCAGAACTTTCAGAGTCTACAACTGTCATGAGGTGTGAGAGTTTCACGAAGCAGCGAGTCATTCTCCATAGGTTACTGATTGGTCTGGCTTTCAGCTGCCAGGCTCAATCACTGCTCAGTGAATGTTTTCCAGACTGAAAACTCAGTTTGCAAGACGCAGTGTGGCTGTCGTCTGTTAGACCAGGTTCAGAAGCAAAGGGGGACAAACAACTGTTAAAAAGTAAATGGGAACTGCAGGTTGACAAGTTTGCCAAGATGCATGACTAGGTGAGAAAATAAGAAAGCAACACTACGATTACTGGACTATATTTGAAAGTTTTGAAGCATGTTTCACTTTTACCTTGGAAATTTTGAATGCAAGACTCTTATATTGTTTCTGGGAAGTTGACAAATGCAAATTTACATAACTTCAACCGACTGAAGTACACCGTCGGTACGTCACTGATTCAAAAATACTGACCTCCTGAGGACATGTGATCCTCTTTGGCCTTGGGGCTTCCTGCTGCAGTTGGTACACTGTTAGAGAAATGCATGCGTGTTAATGGAAACTGCTCTAGATCAGGATAATTTGCAGTTACACATTTAGTTAAGGTTTTTTTTCATGACATAACACTATACATTTAAGAGGACAAAGGTGAAATAATGCAGTGCAGCTTTTATACACCCTACAGGAGATAAAACAATCTTCACTTGACAGCCTTGACTCCGGCCTCTGACCGCAGCCCTGTATCAAGGTACAACAGAAACCATTAGCTATTATTTGCTAGGCTAAGCAGTCAGTAGTGTTTCTGACAGGAGTCATATATCCACAGTGCATTTGTGTGAGTTATGACCAAAGGTGCACTTACAGATGCACTTACAAGTGTACATTAGGTGACTGCAAAACTCAAATACTTGCACTTATAAATACACACACATTGCAAATTCATGTGTCTCTGCATTGGAGGTGTCTGAAGTATTGGCAGGAACTTGAAGTAAATCAGTGAAAGGTGAAGCTGCATAAAAATGGGATTGGGGATTTGTGGCAGGCTGGGTAACCACCACAAACGCCTTAGCAGCGACATATTATAATTAATGTTAAAGGAGGTAGAGGAGCTGTAATGCTGCTGTTTACCAGAAATGAATGCTATCACAAGAGCTTAATCAGTACCTGAATGTGGTTTCTCTCTTTGTATTCATCTTTCAACCTTTTAAGGGTCCACAATCAAAGTACCTCACAAATTTTACAGTCACGCTGAATAAAAGGATCAGTAAGGAGTAAGGATCTTTTCTGATTTTCTGATAGTGTAGTCCTCTTGCTTGTAAACGATCCTTAACCTTTGATGTAGAATGAAGAATCTGTGTCTCTTATGCGGATTTAAAGCACAGAAATTGCTGTGTGAGGTTGAGCAAAGTCTTGACCACAGCAGATTCTCCAGGCAGGGGGAAGGAAGGAAGGCTCCTGCCTGTGAATTTGCATGTTTTTGTCAGGCTGCCTTGACCCAACCAGCAGGATCTGGACATGATCCAGCCCTGTGACATGCTGGGCTCTAAAAATACCTCAGCTCAGGACAATTGGAGTCCGGAGAGGATTCAGAAAAGAGCCCTTTAATTACAAGGAGAGGCTATATAACCTGTACACTGCACTTGGTTAAACTGGAATCACTTTCAGGACTGTAACCTGAAAATATCAGTGCTCTGCTTTGCCGGATGCACCAAATATATCCTGAGGAGTGAACCCATTTCCTCCCACATGGCGAATAAACATTGTATAATGAGGTGGGTGTTGTGAGGACCCCATTTCAGCTGAGCCTCTTTGCAGGTAGAAAATCTTATTTTCCCCTGTGACTGTAACCCATTTTACACAGAGATCGGCTGCTTGGTGCATGCTAGAGTGTGTTCAGTGGGCGAGTGTGTTAAGTGTGTGCCTTGTTGTGCATGTGTGTGTAGTGCTTTTATAAACCTGTAGCGTGTCTAATTGTACTATGTACAACAAAACCTAATTCTTCCAAGAACAAAAATGTGTCCCTCTGTTATTTATAGATCCTGAATGAACAGGATACTATTCACAGAAACAGACTCCAGGACAGAGTCAGGTTAAAGATCGCAAATCTGAATATAGAATATCTAAATTACTCACAGTATGATTTCCATATGGGCGGTTGGTAATCCTCGGGGTCTGTAAAACACAAAATTAAAGCAGTTAGTGGTGTTAACAGACTGTGGCCTGTTCTGTCTCATTAAAACCTCCATTTCTTTCCTGTTCCCAGTGGATTGTCTGTGGGCCCTTCACTGTGTTATGTCACTGTTGTTTATCTGTGTTATAATTATGCATATGGCTTCACACTGTGCGGCTGCCTCTTGAGATGCAGCAGTGAATATGCTTCTAACCGGTGTCTCTGATTCAAGGACAGTTCATACACCTGTCCACTTGTTTTGTTGCAGCAAAAACACCAACAAAGCGAACACAGGTTAATACAACCAGACGCCACCATCCACGGTTAGACCTTCTTCTGGAAAAGTGCTGCCTGATTTATGTTAACATGAACACTCTCATGGAATCTTTGATTAAGTGTGCTGTTAAATTAGCTTGAATAGACTTGGAGAGGTGATGAAGTAAATGCCCTGTAGCTGCAGATAATTTACTGTAGTAGCTACCGGCTAAAGTAATGACTTGTAATAAAACGTGTCACTTAATAAGTCAAAAGTATGGACGAATTTGCTGCTGTTCTACAATACCAGTAATGTAATCAACTGTCTGGGACTCATTATGAGACAAATGGTGCAGCATATTTTTTCTATGAATACAATAATGATCCATGTGTCACACCACAACAAGTACAATCACAAGTAGGATGCCGAATGATGTAGTGAAGCTTTCATACACCATTACAGGAAATCAAACTATTCCTATTTAATGGCCTGCAGTCTAGCTTCTGGCCACAGTTTGAGGTGCACTAGAGGCCATTAGTCTGATGCTAAGCAGTCATTGGTCTTAAAGACAAGATTGAAACACAGTATATCTGCAATAAGTTTGTGTTAATAATGTGCACTTGCAAGCTGGTGAGCAAGAATTCATTGAGAATTTCTGTGTTATTTTGAGGTCAAGGATGATCCTTTTCACTCAGTGATGCTACAAATGTACTAATCAACAAACAAGATAAACCCATGCTTTTAAGGTAAAACAAGCTTATGTTTTATATTGATTTTTGTTGGATTATCGATTAAAACATGCAACACCCAGCAGAAGCTAATAAAAGTTTCTCTAATGATGATGCTTTAAGCTCTTTGAGAAATTTTTGGTTTGTGTTAAAGGGATATTCCGGCATAAAATTAAGTTAGGGTCAAACACACCGCAACACCGAGTTAGACACCCCGTTGAGAGATGAATGTTTCCGACCGCTTGCTTCTCTAGTTATACAACTTTAGTAATGACGGCACCATAGCAATACAGAGAGCCACGTGCTCAACCAAAAAGCCACTCTATAGCCACAAATAATGCTCAGAACAGCACCTAACTTCATCGACAGTACATATAGGGTCCCAGCCACAGTACTAACCACCAAACATCTTTCTAGCTTTGCCTGATTTCTTTAGCAAAGAGACTAAACACAACACACTGTCTCTCTTCCAGCAGCTGCTTGTTTGTACTGAGACCTCGGGCGAGTCCATCGACAGCAGCGGGTGACGCAGCTCAAGGAAGAACATTTATGATTATTACTTCATGGAAATGCAATCAGACTGAGACGCTAAAGCAGAAGAACTACTGCGTCTGTACTGCAAAATGATTAGTATGGTGATTATTACTTCAAGGAAATGATAAAGTAATGATCATAAATGTTCTTCCTTGAACTGTGTCACCCCCTGCTGTCGATGGATTTGTCCGGAGGTCTCTGTCCAAACGAGCGGCTGCTGGAAGAGAGTAGGTGAGTTGTGTTTAGTCTTTTCACAAAAAAAATCAGGCAAAGCTAAAAAGATGTTTGGTGGCTAGTACTATGGCTGGGACCCTACATGTACTGTTGATGAAGTTAGGTGCTGTTCTGAGCATTATTTGTGGCTGTAGAGTGGCGTTTTGGTTCAGTGCACGGCTCTTTGTATTATTATTTGCAGTCTTTACAAAGTTGGTATAACTAGAGAAGCAAGCAGTCAGCAACATTCATCTCGACGGGGTGTCTGACTTGGTGTTACGGTGTGTTTGACCCTGAATGAATTTTATGCCGGAATATCCCTTTAAACGTGGGCCCCATTTATAACACATAGATATAAAAACATGACCAAGAAATGCCTGCAACTTCCAATTTAAGATGGTATACGGCAGAGTTGACAACTTTCCTCATATCTGCCAAATAAAATTTTGACATTCCTTTTGGAAATTTAGAAGAAACCACATCCCCTGCTCTGAGAGGACAGGGACCACCTGGCTTTTTAACAGTGCACACCAGCATTAGAGGTGGTGGTATAGTAATGCGCAAGTGCCCATAACATAAGCAGCTTACACATCTGTGAAGGCACCATAAATACTGAACAATACAAACAGGTTTTGGAATGACATATGCTGCAATTCAGACAACGCCTTTATCAGGGAAGACCTCGCATAACACAACATCTACAATTTGCAGATGTTGCAACAGTGTGGCTCTGTAGTACAAGAGTTCTAGTGCTAAACTGACCTGCCTGCATTCCTGACTTGCTATCCATTAACATTTGTTGCATTATGAAAGTAAAACTATGGCAAAGAGACCCTGAACTGTTGAGTAGCAAAACCCTGTACCAGGCTGGAATGGTATAACATTTCACTTTTGAAACATTTGAAAGCGGTCTCCTAGGTTACCAGACATTTATTGAATGTTGTTTGAGAGAGGAGTGATGCAACACAGCTGTAAACAGGGCTCTGTCCAGAACACACCAACATTTTTCAGTTTCAACCCTTAGTGTATTGTCTTTGCACTATTTGTGAATCGAATATAAGGTTTCAATGATTTGTAGACAATCAAAATCTTTCTTTGAATATTTTGCACAACATCCCAACTCTTGTGGGTTTGGGGTTGTAGGTATCTTACACTCTGACCCTGCACATCAAATGCACTAAGTAGCTTCTATAGCGATAAAGCATTCATATGCCTGGTGTAATATCTCATTAAACTCTCAGCACCACATCTAAGAGACTCCACTGATTGTGTGCATAATGAATCATGTTGATCCAGAAGATACATGTTCGACATTTCAAGCATTCCTCTGCACTCGGCAGCAGATCAGCCACACCCCAGTGAAAAAAGCACCTGAGAGGGTGTGAAAACCAGTGAGCACTTGTTGGATGTGGGCAGCGGGATTTAGAAACTTATCCATCAGAGTCAAAACTACAGCACTAGTTTTCTGAGTGTATAGAGTTTCTGTCTATTACTGTGCTATATTTATCTGATGGCACTTGAGGAGAGGGCAATCAGTATTTTCCTCTTGTTTTTTTCTGCAGCTGCTGGACTGAAGGCTTGTTGAATTATAATAAGATGTGCCTGAAGCTGATCTATACTTCTCATAACAACCACTTCCGAAAGAGTTGATTTTAATTGCACAGGAAAGACGAGGCAGGTGCATATGATCAAATGCTGAATAATTATGCAAATGTTCAAAGTAGAAGTGGGTGTTTTGTCTGTTGTTGCAAAAGCCCTTCACATAAACTCTGCCCTCTAATACAAATAAATAGTTTGTGGACTCTGTTTGCTGATGTGTGGCCAAGCTGCTTGGGAAAATGAATTGTCCTGACCGAGGGGCTTTGTCACTGTGTATTGCGCTGGCAACAGTCTGAAAGATTTATTCCACTGCGGCTTGTTTAAAGAATGTGATTTCATCTGGTGGGCTGCCAACTATTCTCTTTTCAATCTGATTCATTTTAATGACGAATGGCATTTCAGTCTGGAATTCTGCTGCAGCCCGGGCTCAGAGAGAAGGAGCTCCTAATGGTCGATTCTGATGCAAACACTGGCACACGCTTGCACAAACACACACACGAATAGCTCCTGCTACACTGTACATACCCACTCAAAACCGCAACACACGTGCACACACAGAAACACACACAGGAAGAAGAACATCAAAAAGATTGTGTAAGTAGCTGGGAGTCTGCGCCGTGTCTGATGATGAGGGAGAATTTAAAATTCTGGAGCAGCCAGAGGGTTCTTCCCCCCCGAAGAAACATCTATTAATTGTGTTGCCCTCCATTACTCACCAGTCAGAGACATTCAATAAAATAATTACCGGCGGGTGTTTGCTTTGGTGACAAAGAGAATATGTGATGAATGAAGATGAGGCACGCCTAGGACTTTTATCTCTTGAGATAGTGTCTGCTCCGCAGTCTGTGCACACTCAACTACAGCACTTTAAACAGTAAGCTGAGCGCAGATATAATGAGTACATGGCTGATAACTGAGCAGTGTAGAGCGGAGTCATGTTCATTTTTGGAGGCAAAAACAATCAAGAGATTCAAAGTTGTATATTTGCGTCTAACTGATTCTGCCAGAATAAAATATACAAAAAATAATAATAATAAAACATAAATCAAACACCCAACTGACTAAAAAAAGGCCAGGTAATTCAGCAGCATCTCTACAGCTGAATTTCCCCCTAAAATAAGAAGCAGACACACATTCACAGACAGAACAACAGACGGCTTTATGTTGCATCTCTAGGAGGATAATAACATGTTATTTTGGGATTGATTTATTTGCTGCTTATTGTGTGTAACACATACAGTGTACAGCATATAAGGCTGATCATGCTTTATTTTCCCAGTGACAGGCAGCCATTGATTGGTTGTTGCACTTTGTAATATGCAACCTCTGTTGTGCCTCAGTGTTTGTCAGACAGATGGTATGGTTAGTTGTTTCAGTATTTCACAGCTTTAAGTACTTAAAGATGATGTTTTTTCCTTATTTCTGTTATGCCACAGGGAAATGTGAAAGTAATTACTGACAAGGACTTGACGTAATAAATTGGATATAATTGCTTTTATTTATTTAAGAAATTATTCTGTTTTTTCAATATTTATGTCCTCATTTTTTCCACTTGTTTGTTGTATAATCACAAGAACTTAAATGCTGGATTTGAAAAAATCTATGTACCCCCCCTCTTCCTACACTGATTACTTATTCATACTAAATGTGGCTTTAAAATGCTTCTACAAACACCAAGTTGCACAGCTGCTCCCTATCACAGCATCTAAAAGGAAGAGATCTTAAACAGAGCACAGATGTCTCAAAACCTGTTTTCATCATTTTCTCATTAGCCTTAAAGGTTTGCATGCTTGAGAGAAAATAAATGAGTCTCAAACCGGTCTTGTTGATTTTAGTCACATGTTTTCATTCTCTGTATGCCTCTGTGCATCTATGGGAAGCTCGGGGTGTTTGAGCCTCTGAAGGTAAATGAGTTTTCAGTTTGTTTATTTTGTCTCGATACATCTTTCATCTTCATTTAAGCCATGTGCCAAAACTTCATCCTTTATGATCCCAGTGTTTTCTTAGGCTCTTCAGGTTGACATACGCAGCTATAATCTTTGACGAAGCAATAAAGACCAATTTCCTCTCGATGCGCTGACCCTCAACCACACATTACACCTCAGTGTTTTGACTGTGATAGCTGAGTGTGGTTGTCTCTGATGAGAAGTGGGACACACCACTGAGTTAAAATATGAAAAGAGGCCTCAGGGGCTGCAGTTAAGTCTGATCAAGCATTGTCCGTTCTGCATAAATCACACAACTCTACACACTGACTTGTGTCTGAAAAGTTATGAGAATCTAACCCGTGTTCAACCTCAATGCAATTACATTTTTCTACTGTTAGCCCTTGGAAGGTTAAATACTAATTCACCGGTTCAAATTTTCGCTCTCTAAAGGCCCTGGAACTGTGATTATGCTCGGTTATTTTGAATTGGCTTTTTGACACACTGGACTATTTCCCTGTGATTATTATATCATTTTACCCAATGAATTTTTCAGCCTGTGGGTATTTCCTAGCCTGTATGATTCACTAATGAAAATGACACATTATACTGTAACATCCAGAGTGCTAAAGAACAGATACGTTCAGACCCACAGGCGCACATACTGACAGACACCCTGGTGTCAGTGGGATGCAGCAGAACTGCAGCAGGGAGACCATCTGTGAATTAAACTGGTCCAAAGCATTTTAGCACTGCCTTCCTGGCTGACTGAATAATATGTAGCAGGTAAAAAGGGTGTATCTCTAGAGTCTGTTTGTGTTACCGGGCTGCTCTTCCTCACCAGATATATGCAATGCAGCCCTCTGATTTCAACAGTGGCTCTTATCTGCCACAGAAAATTATGTTGTTTTAATTAATAAAGGCCTGAATTCTGGGAAATGTAAAACAAGGACAAGAATACTTCTGGGATGATCTCTCTCTCCCTCCTGTAAAACAGGCAGATATGTCAGAGAACATGACACACTGTTACAGAGGAAGTAGATGTAGTGGAAAGATTTGGAGGTGAACTGTGGCATTTGCCTGAGAATGTATCGAGCACACAGCCTCACTGTAAATACATGGCTGTAATTCCGCCTCTCTGACCAATTTTGCCATTTAGGGCTTGAAGCTGCAAGCATACTTCCATGCTTTATCCCTCAATTTATTTTCAAAGCTTTATTTCCTAAAGCTGCCAGGCAAATTGAGAGCTGGTGGTAGTACAGTTCATGCCTTCATGCCCACTCCTGCCAAGAATGTGCAGGAATTTCCCTGATACAGACGATTAGCCAGAAAAATATCTTTCTGGGGAATTGTAACTCATGTGTTGCAATCTTTCAATTGACTGTTTGACTGTCATTTTATCATGAGCTGTACCAGAAATGTCTATTGTTCACCTGTGTATTGAGGCAGCACTTGACGGCTCTGTTTGAAATGTTGTCCACGTTTTAAAAGCTGTTTTTTTTACACTCTACTTTCCAATCATTTGCAGGGAGCACATGACGAAGATTGCTTCCATAAACTAATCACCATTAGCACGATCATGTATCAGCAGAAACAGCTGCCATCATCGTCACTAAATAAACTTTATTTGCACACTGTCTCTTAGACAACAGCCCCCAAACAAGATTACAGGATAGACTTATCATTAAGAGCAGAGAAAATAACACCAGCAGCACTTTGTTTGCAGCCAAAACAGACAACCCAGTACCAAGGCGAGATTCATTTTTTGAGTCATATGCCTCATAGACAAGATTATTCAAATGTTGTGTCTGACTGCCAAAGAGCTCTGCATGAAAATAATAATACCCTTGTGACAAGCTCTCCATCCCTGGCAGCAGCGCAGCTTGTAACCTCTGATAATTATATTGAGAGCCCAACAGTAATGACAACCCTCCGCTGCCACAGAAAGAAGAGACTTTCCTCTTAAAGCAGCAGTGGTCAAACAGTAAATCCACTGCTTTTCTGAAAGGCACACATGAGATAATGCTTTGTGAAGCGTGTGGTTACCCCGGTCTGTATCAGCTTGGAAATGACTCTCTGTCCCTCCCTCCCCTCCTCTGGGCAGGAGCTTGGGAAATGTGACTCTGCTGTGTGCTGTGGTTAGGATGCATGGAGAGTATAGAAGAAAACAAACATTGTGTCTACTACACAATATCCTCACCCTGTAAGAAACATGCAAACTTCTTTTATTTTGAAGGAGGGAAAAGTATCACTGCATGTTCTGTAGATGGTAAAAAATGCAAAATATTGGAGGCAACAGCACAGAAACCAAAATGCTGAGCCTGGTATTATGAACAGCCTCTCTCTCTCCATTCAAACACACACACGCGCGTGCAGACACACATACACACTGCATTTCTCCCTCTGGTTGTTGGCGAGGCTTTCACATCAAACAGCTCCATGATAGTGGAGTTTGTTCTTTATACCCTGGCGAACACGAGCGCCGTGCTTTATCAACACTTAATGTGATACACACACAGACAAGCATGAAGCACCCTCTTCATTCTGGGCTTGTTTGAGCAGCTGCTAACCTACTTTCTGTTCTCATTCTGCAAAAACTGAACTCTGAAATTGAATTTTTTTTGCAAACGTACATCACTGGCTAAGCTGCAAAACATTATGCAAAGGGGATTTGATTGGCTTTTTGTTCACTGTGTTACAGTTAGAGGAAACTGTAACATGTCCCTGAACCAGAGAACATTAGGGATTTTTTACGATGTCAGAAATTGCCTCAGCCCTGTGCTGCGTTTTGGAAAATGGTAGACTACACAGGCCAAAGATAATCCTCAAAGCCAACCCAGTGGAAAGTCAGAGAGGGAGAATTATGGAGATGATTGGCAATCTAATGATAACATCCAAACCCAATGTCAAACTGACTGAATCTCACTCACAACTATATAATCCTTCAGCACACCAAAGGTGCCCTTTTCCCTCTGATGTTTCCAAAGCTGCAGCTGGACAGATGTGGGGAATTCTATTTATTGATTATTTTAAATCACAGCACTCACTGGAAACTGCTGGTGTGTTTAGAAATAAAATGTCATTTTAAGCTGCCATGTGATTTTGTGAAAAAATATTGTGGAAGGATTTTTGCAAAACATTTCTAAGTTTGATTCAGTCTAAATCCAACTAAGAAAATCAGAATCATTATTATAACTATAAACAATATAAATATTGACCTATTAATGAGTGCTAAGTCTGAGGCTAGTTTGAATCGACTTGCTGTGAACTCTTACCAGAGGACAGAGATGAACCTGACAGGCTGGAGTTGCTGGATGCTGCCATCACCCCGCTTTCTCGGCTCGGTCACTCCCGTTTGGCCAAGGTGCGCTCACAGCAGCTCGTCCCCGGCGGCGGTGCCTCCATTTCACTCACGCCCCACTGTGCCTCACCTCTGTCAGCTCCGCCGGTGACTATTTCATGTCTAGTCTGGTCTCGAGCCCTCCACCACCACCACCACCACCGTCTGTGTCAGTCCGCCTCGGCTCGCCGTGCGGCTCGGTGGGGAGCTCACGCCGCCGCAACCCTGAAGGTGCTGCCGCCGCTGAATAAAAATAGTCAACACAGACAGCTGGATTATACTCCGAGGATCAATTCCTCCGAAGCCTTCCTCAAAGCGAACACTACCTTTAAGGTTTAGATCTGTGCCATAGAGGACTCAGCTATGGTTTCCATGTGCCACTTCAAGGATTGTAATAAACACACTACACTGCAGCGTAGACGCGCCTTCTTAAAGTGAAAGTTTGGGTTGCCAGATGCCAGCACAAAAAAAGCCCAAAACAACCGACTACTGCTCTTGGTCCAGGATCCAAAACACACCAAACACCCGCTCTAATAACATGGGATTGAAGGCCCCACTGGCTGAATCACATTATCTCCAGTTCTGACATTGCACAATTTCATCAGATGTCATGTTTTGTCATGTTGTGTTCAAAGAGTCTGAATTATGATTAGTGTCTGTTGCGCCACCTGGTGGGCCTTTTTCCTCATTCCTCTTTGATCATTGAGTGGAACAGATGGATTTATTGTCTTCATATTAATTACATCTTTTTTCATCCATGCCATCTATCAATAGTCTTATACTGGTTTGTTGCTGTCCTGGCAATTCTGTTTTTGCTCAAGCAGAAGTTTACTAATTTGATTCCTATATCGTCTGCACTGTCTACTGCTTAAGTTTCTTTAAGAGAGTCCTTTAGCCCCCATATGCTCTAGTTAGAATAATTAATATCTACTAGATACGGTGACATATGCAACAATAACAGTATGGCAGGGTGTGATAGGATGGTCAACAATTTTCTCAAAATGAAATCAATTGTTATAGAGCCGTCCATCAAATCACACATCAGAGTTAATGAAATCCTACACTCACCTTTGAAAGTGGTTTCAGTCTCATCATCCTCAATTGGTCACCTGTGTTGTAATAATAATAATAATAAGAAGAAGAAGAAGAAGAAGAAGAAGAAGAAGAACTTTATTAATCAATTGTCTGTTGTCTCACATAATATGTCTCTAAAAGTTATCTACTATTTACACAAGAGTTGTAAAGTCTGATGGCTGTTGGTACAAAATATTTTCTGAATCTTTCTGTCCTGCAGCGAAGAGAGAGGAGCTGTCCACCACCATTTGCCCTTTGGTCCATCAAGGTGTTGTGGAGTGGGTGACCCATGTTCTTTAGAATAGACTCCACTTTCCTCAGTGTAGATCTCTCCACCACATCCTCCACTGAGTCCAGCTTGAGTCCTAACACAGAACCAGCCTTTTTCTCCAGTTTGTTAAGAGTTTGTCACTCTTCATATTTGCTGAGGCTTGAGGAGCCTCTTAATTCCCACTGTGAAATGCAATGTAAGACGTGACAATTAACAGTTCACCTAAAAACGCCTTGATTTCATAGATATTTTACCATGAACTCTTCTACCCCCTAGCGGTCAAATATATACCCGTATGCTGTTTGGGTTAGATGGTGTTGGACTGTACATATGGGTGTACTGAACCACTTAACCAGCAGCAGACATTAGGCCATGGTGACACCTGTACATCTCCTGCAGCCATGCAAGCACAAACTCACCAGTTTGAGTTGGGGTCCTGGTCTCCTGATGAATCTAAATCCATTTTGCAGTGGCCTCTTTAGTTTACTTTGATCTCCCGCCACCTCTTTTTTGTGTGTGTGTTTGTTCTATCCCATGTTAGACATCTTTTATTGGGTGATACAAAAATCTAACAAAAGACTAAACAAAACAAGCTTGAAGAGACAGATGGGTTTCTGTTCACACATTTACCAATTAAGAAAGACTGACTGTCCTGATAAAATATGCAAAAAAAAAAAAAAAAAAAAAAAAAGAAGAAAAACTGACTGTCTTTTGTCTTCACATGTTCTCCCCTTGTTAACAACAGAGCTAAACGCTATATGTCATGTGCCTTGGAAAGTTAATACAACCCAACCATAAAAGTCTTCTGTGGGCTAAAAATGCTGATTTGGGTTGATTTTTGTTTTATTGCTTTATTGAATCTGCAAAATCAACTTCCTTTTTAAGAGTTTGGTCGTGTCCACATTTTCTCAGGGGAAAGTTTATTGCATGAGGATTTCATACTGTTTTGTCACCAGCTTCATTACTAAACTTGCACTTCTTTTTGTTTCTTCAATTAGTCTTCTGCATTGAGACAATAGACTGTATAATGGTTAAGAAAAAATATTATTCTGCTCTGAGGGAGTTCTCGACATTTTTATTCTCTCTTCTGTGAGACTTCAAGTTGAGGTTAGGTTAAATCTTAGTCTTGAAATAATTCTAAGTTAAGTACCTTTTTGAATCACAGACTGTGTTTTGCTGTAGTGTTTCACACAAACCCGTGTACTTCCACTTTATTACTAGCTTCTCTCCCGTTTTTTTGTCTTTTAGTGTAAATTACACTCACCAAAACCGGATAAAGACAGCTGCAATGGTGCTTTAAAACTCAAATATTTTACATCAGTCTACTTACAAACTTACAGGCTCTGAAAAGAGTTTACAGTGGGTCTTCAACCAAAAAGAAATCTAACTTCAGCTTTCTGTTTGGATACCCGCCGGAAGTTCCTGCAAGTCCATGCTGAGGGTTGAAATACCGACAACCTTACAAACATTACCACGTGATCTCATGTGACCGTTTCAGGGCTGGTCATGTGACGCGGCTCATGAAATTCACTTTCCTGTAAGAGTCGTACGGTCAGTGGTCCGTCTAAAGCTGGAAAACAACAGACTTTTGCCTGATTAAAGGCTCAATTTTCTACTGTTGCCATAGAAACCGCGGTGGACATGGGGTGAGTGTGGAGAAATTAGAGATGATATTTCCCCCTCGGTTTGCCTGCCTGCATATTAACACGTGAAGTGTTTGTGGTTTCGGTATTTTGAAACATGAGTGACTTGTGTGATTCACATAAACCTGGGCTGAAGTCTGATACGCGTTTTTGTAACTGTGCAGGAAAACTCTGACTCTCGTGTTCCTGTGGGCCTGTCTGGGCTTGGTGCTTTCACGGGGCTGCTCCTCGTTTTTCTGCCGAAAATCTCACCGTGTCAGCAGCTTGAATGGAGTCGACCCCGGGTCCCCTTTGTTTGTCACCCCATACTTGGAGAAGGGCGCCATAGATGAAGGTATGAATGCACCAACTTTAAATAAAAACGGGGTTTGATAGTTCTTTCACCTTTTCCAAATGACCTGTCAATGTTGTTGCAGCCAGGAAACTGAGCATGGTGGGAAAACTGCCAGGAGCAAACGTCAAGAGTTACGCTGGATACTTCACTGTCAACAAAAAATACAACAGCAACCTTTTCTTCTGGTTCTTCCCTGCACTGATGGTAGGAGCAAACCTCTTTAAGTCCAGGTTACATAATGAGATCAATGACATAGCAGAACAAGAAGGAGACAGTCATTATAAGTCTTTTTTGACTTTGTCAGGAACCTCTATTTCAACAAAATAAAAATGAAAAAATTGATTAAATTATTAAAATTATTGGCACCTGTTGTGTTAGGGTCGCTGTTGACCCGGTTAGATCAATATCTAATAATCAGAGCAAAAACTGAAATCAGAAGTGCACTGTCAGGCACCACACTGGCAGTCAGATCCTCTTTCAATCATGTGAGATTTAGGAAATTCTCATTTTGCCATATTCATCCCTGCACAAAAAACAGCCTCAGGCATGTCCAGACATGTGAGATCAGTTCAGTAGATGTCTGTGTGAGGGGTATACTGACAAAGAAAGGCCCAGAGGACCACTACAAAAACTATTATAAACATTATTTTCATGGTTAATGAAGCCTAACAAGGTAATCTAGAGATGAAAACCAAATTGGATGATAGAGCCCTTAACATGGTGGATGGGTAGTAAAAGCTAACACAGGAGGAAGGTGAAGAAGCCGAGCAGCTTTTTAGCTTTACAACAACTCAACGTGAGGTGAACCTGCCCCCACAGTCAGCTGCTGATAAGGAATTGCACTGTCTATATTTAGTCAGCTGCTGTGAAGGAATTACATCTATACTGGTGAACTTTGTTTTGTGTTAAAAGTTTTTGTTTCAGCTGGCAAACGGACTAAAGGTTTAATAAGTTATGTGAGAAAACAGTCTCTGTTTTATAGCTACATTTTTGTGACGTAACAGCAATCCTCTCTACTGACTCTATGAAAAATCCATCTTGTGGTCTGAAATAAAATACACTGGTGCATCTCAATATAATAGAATATCATGCAAAAGTTGATTAATGTCAGTCATTTAGTTAAATAAGTTAAACTCATATATTAGATGGATTCATTACACACAGACTGATACATTTTTTTCCAGTTTGACTTGCAGCTAATGCAAACCCAAAATTCAGTATCTCAGAAAATTAGAATATTGTGAAGAAGTTCAATATTGAAGGCTTTTGGTGTCACACTCTATTCAGATAATTAACTCAAAACACCCGCAAAGGTGTCCTGAGTCTTTAAATGGTCTGTCAGTCTGGATCAGTAGGCCACACAATCATGAGGAAAACCGCAGACCTCATAGTTTGCCAGAACATGATTATTGATTCCCTGCACAAGGAGTGTAAGACCAAAATAGAAGGGAAAAATGAAGAAATAGATGCTGGAGTGTCAGAGATAACCACAGTATGGAGAGGATTGTGAAACAAAGCAGCCCATTCAAGAACTTTGGGGAGATTCACATCTCCCATCTCAGTCTTTTTGACACAACCTCTTCATTTCTCCTCTGTTTGGATGATTACAGGTCTGATTTGTCAGCTGGGTTAGTTACAGGCTAAGTTCATTCTCTATTGATCTAGTGAAATAATAAAAAAAATCAACATCTAGTGAGCTGCAGATATCTGCCTCAACATAAAGGGAAGCACATTTTTCTAATACTTACTGTCAGGGGTCAAGAAATGAAGTGTCAGCACACAGCAAGACTGGCATGTGGTTTATTGAGTTTCCTTCTTTTTCTTTTTTTTTTTTTTTTTAAAGACTTTTATCCAAAGAGACCAGCAGGTGGCGCTGAGCTCTTATCTTTGTGTTTTCTGTGCTCTGAATGACAGGCAAACCGAGATGACGCCCCGGTCCTGCTCTGGCTTCAAGGTGGCCCTGGTGGCACATCTATGTTTGGTCTGTTTGTGGAACATGGACCATATGTGGTGTTTAAAAACTTGACTGGTAAGGAGGTACCTTGTGCTACATCAGGATATGTAAACATTTGCATGAACCCCTCAATCCATTATTCCTGCTCTCCTAATCTGCCTTTTTTGACTCTGCAGTTGGTTTGAGGGATTATGCTTGGACATCAAGATACTCAGTTCTGTATATTGACAATCCAGTATGTATCAAATTATTTCTGGGGGAAAAAAACTCAAATCTTTTACATTTTTTTCATTTGCACAGAAATAAAAAAAAAATCCCCTAAGAGTTGTATTTGTTTGACCAGGTTGGGACAGGTTTCAGCTTCACTGACGATGACAGAGGATTTGCTCAGAACCAGGATGATGTTGGCAGGGATCTGTACAGGTCAAACACCACTTTGAGACTAAAACCACATTTACTTCTTACTTGAATCTTTGAATATGATGTCTTTAATTGTAATTAACTCTGTAATATTTCCATCTCTTGCTTTCTAAAGTGCTTTAACTCAGTTTTTCCAGCTCTTCCCCGAGTATCAATCCAATGAGTTTTATGCAACTGGTGAGGTAGGTTTTTTCTTTTTCTTTTTTTTTTTTTTCAATGAGCCAAAATGTGGTCTTTACCCGTGTAACCTTCCTCTATCCTGTAACAGTCCTATGCAGGGAAGTATGTTCCTGCCATTTCTTACTACATCCACAAACAAAATCCCACCGCCAAAGTGAAAATCAACTTCAAGGGGATGGCTATTGGTGATGGGCTCTGTGATCCAGAATTGGTACGTTTCCTACAAAGTGCATCATCTTGAATTTCCTTTACTCTGATGGAGTATAACATGTTTTAGCCTTTCTCTGTTTCAGATGCTGGGTGGTTATGGTGAATTCATGTACCAAACAGGCATGATAGATGAACTCCAAAGACAGTATGTTGACCAGCAGGCAGACTTGGGGGTGAAGCTAATACAGCAGGAGAAATGGGTCCAGGCTTTCCAGGTACAAAGAAATGAATCTGTACAAATTAACTCTTGTTTTTAATTGGACAGCTAATGACTACTGAAAAAAAGTTGATCATATTGAGGTTTCTCTTTTTTTCTTTTTATTGTTGATCTAAGGTATTTGATAGCTTGCTGAACGGTGATGTGGAGCCTTATCCCTCTTTCTTCCAAAATGCTACCGGCTGCACCAATTATTTCAACTACTTGTCATGCCAGGTGCCAACAAACACTGATCAAGTTCAAACTACCTTTAAAAAAATAGGCTTTATTTTTTTTTAAATCAAACAAATGACTCAACTTTTTCTCTGTTGTTTTCAACCACAGGAGCCTGAAGACCAGGAGTACTTCTCCGAGTTCGTCACTCTTCCAGCTGTGCGAAACGCCATCCATGTAGGGAACCTGACATTCCATGACGGATCGCAGGTGGAGAAGCATCTCATACAGGACGTCATGAAGAGCATCAAACCCTTGCTTGGGGTTTTAATGGACAACTACAGGGTGAGAATAGGTTGCACTAACTTTTTGTACCAGTCTTTATCATATTTGCATTCAGAGAAAAAGTTCCTTAAATCCCCTTGTTTGGTTCTTTCTCTCATATCTTCAGGTGTTAATCTACAGTGGTCAGCTGGATGTAATCGTAGCAGCTCCACTGACTGAGAGGTTTCTGCCTACTGTTAATTGGACGGGAGCTGCTGAGTACAAAACAGCCCCGCGCTTCCACTGGAAGGTCCAGCCCAGTGACACAGAGGTGGCAGGTTACGTACGACAAGTGAAAGAGTTTTACCAGGTGAGCATACCTCATCAGCATCACTCGAACCACAGGAAAATAATCCCATACATGTGGACATCTGAAATACTGTGCTTCTGTCTTGTCATTCAGGTGATCATTCGAGGAGGAGGACACATTCTACCTTACGACCAGCCGGCGAGGTCCTTCGACATGATCGACAGATTCCTCTCGACGCAGGGCTGGGTGTAGAAAGTTCTGATAAAAGCACTTTGAGGGAACAATGTTGATCACTAACTGTTGATTTGAAAGACTGATGATTGTCTCAGGTACGGTAAATCGGCACTTTGTTGGATCTGAACAAATCTTTGAAGCATTTTCTCGCTTTTGAAGAAGTGAGGCTGGGTTTGGGACTACACTCCAGTGCACTGCTCTTTAAAAAGTGTTCATTTCGCCCAAATCCGTCTCTCAGAGTCTCTGCCTATATTCTGATATAGTGACTATAAACAAATCTGAGGTCTAATAAAAATCATGTCTGTTTGGATTGTGTGAGGGAAACACGGCTTATGTCGCATTTATGTTGTGTGTAAAAGAGAGAGCCTTTAATCCAGAGCTGTAACGTCTAGAAATAAAATGTTTTCTTTTTCAAATTGGAGCATCTTTCTTACTGGAGTATAAAAACCCAATTTTTAAGAACTGTTTTGTGAAAAGGAGAGGACTTGTTGACGAGTGGATTTCTCTCCTCCAACAATGTCCACCAGGAGTCACTGTGGGACAAAGAAAACTTGGAACAGCACCTCCAAAAAACAATGATGCAATCGAACAGCCACAGTCTTTTATTAATTTTTGTAAACAAACTGAGAAATCTTTGATTATCTTATCCACGGGAAAAGGGGAAAGAGCCACTGCATGTTGCAATAGTGCAGGTAGGCTACTGTTACTGCCTTATCTGCTCTGCAATCGTTTTGTCAGCATGCTGCAAAGTTGTTTGTGTACCGAGGTTGACTGTCATGTTACCTCATGAGGCAGCTATCAAGATGTCTAGACAGCTTACTAATTAATGATCATACTAAACCTTCAAAGCGTCTCACTGTTTAATGAGCAGACAGAAATACTGCTGACCTCTCTTCAAATATTCAGTTCATATTTCTACACAGATTCCCGCCGTGACATCCAATCACATCAGTGAGTTGTCTGTTACAGAACAAGTGCTTTATTTTCATACCGTAATGTAACTGCAGTGATACCTTAACATCTGTACAAATGCAAAACTAAACAAAATGAAGGAAATGTCATCAAAGACACAAAAATTGTACAAAGTTATGCAGGCAAAAATGGATTCATCAATTCATTACATATAAACAATGTGTTTAAGCGCTGAAATGAGCCTCGACATACAACAGAAGGCAACAAGTGCTATGCAAACATTATTTACAGAACATGTACCACACATTGACTCCCTTCAAAAAGAAAGGTGGTTGCATTACATGTACAAGGTTACAGAAAATTAATGACATTATGTACAATATTTATAGTTTTTAGATTTAAAATAACTCAGTTATAACATCATCAATGAGTAGGAGCTTCCATTTTCATCACTCATACCCACACAGACACACTCACGCTGCACTTCTTCCTGTTTTTGTTGTCGGCATCCGCAATAAAAAAAAAATCTTTTTCTGAACCTAGAGCCACAATCCTATGTGAATATTTGCTACTCTTAAAAAGCAACAACCTCTGTATGATTCCAGTCCAAAATTTTGAGGTCATGTCCATATTTTCACATGCAGTAGATTAATTTGGAATGCTTATACAATCTTAAAATGCTCTACAAAAGGAACCCAAATGAGGCTAGCTTCAGGTCACGGGGTCGGAACTACAAAGCCCTTTAAGAGAATTCATTTCTCCACTGATCGACACACATTAAAAACTGCACACACAGACTCTGAGGTTAAGAAAAGACACAAACTGCAAAAGACTGAAATGCAACTTTTTAGCAAGGGGTTTGATTTTAAACCGCATGTTCAGCGTCCTTCATCTCAAACGAACTCGAGTTATTTTCCAGAACAATTTGGGCAAAAACTCAGTAGCTCAATAGACACATGATTAATTACAGGCACAGTCTTGTTCCATAAAGCCAAACACAGTTTAAGTTTCTTGCTGGTGTTTTTAAAAAGGGGGGAATCACTGAGAATTACTCTGATCTTTATATGGCTATTCTTCCCTCTGGCATGGCAGAGGACAAAGTGCATAGACAGCTCTGCAACCGCTCCACCTGTTAGTGGAATGTATCTCATCCATCCTACTGTAAAAACACAGTGCATTGTGGTCATCATGCTTCTGAGTCATGAATCGACATTCCTGGTCTGGGAAGAGGGAATGAGGAGTTTTGGTTCAGGTGGGAAGGCGGGAAGTTTTTCAAGACTGCAAAGGAGTTTTTAAAAAAAAAACACAAGGAGAAGCAGTTATCATTATCAGTGCATCCATCACCAATTTGAACCAGAGAGGAAGCCTGAGAAGGAAAGGAAGAGAAATTGATGGAGAGGTCAGAGGCCAAATGGGAAATGGGTATTTTTCTCCTTGGTCAGCTTGTTTTATCTGTACATTCAGCGTATGTCTCCAACAAAGCCAATGACAGAGACAAACCATCAACAATACGCTGAGAATGTAAATGCTTTTGATTGGCTGGAGAGAAAAAAACAATGTTTCTTGTCGACAGAAAGCCAACAAAAGATTTTAAGAACGATTCAGGCACATTGTGACATTCTGAAAAGCACGCACAACAACTTATCACCCCTCCCCAGAATCTCTGTAACACTTTACCAGGCGTTAAAAAAAAAAAAAAAAAAGAGAAGAAAGTATAAACTTAGATGCAGTTATCATCTTCTCACAAACTTTTCCTGTTTTTCTGTCTTCACACAAGAGCTGAACTTTGTTCTGCAGAGTGAAGGAGACAAAAATCAAACAATAAAATATACAATTCACATGCACACTTAAAAATAATTCAGACGCACTTATCTGCAGGTTATACTCATACAGGTTTTGAATCCTAAGTTGGATTCAGATGCACAAACACACAAAAAGAGGCCTCAATAATTAAAGCTTCAGTTGGTCCTGGTGAGCGGAGGAGTATGTTTCAACCCCCCAAGCTGCCTCACTATTATCACAGTGTACACTCCTGTAGCTGTAACAGCATCTCATGTCCTCGGGACCCGAGTGGCTTCGCCATGCTAATCAAAACGTGAACACACAGCAGAGAAGATGATCAATACTGTGATGTATTGACGATGATCAATACTATGATGTATTGCTGCCATTTGATCATGCTTTCGCTGTCATGTTGTACTCGATGATACTCTTAGAGAACATCGCTGACAGGGAAAGCGTTAACAGTCATTTCTAGGGAAGTAAAGGATCATTACGCCTTCTTGCATATTTCTGTCTCAAGGCATCACAGCGACACTTTGACCTGGCTTTAGACCACAAACTAAAATGATTCACATCTGCTCACTTATTCCAAGTCTGTTGCGCACACACTCATGTCCACATGTGTTAATCAGGGAATGATTCGACTCAGTCCATTAGGCATAAAGAGATGCATGGTCTGTTTGTAGAGATGACAGTCCAAGAGTTTTGACTTTTCCTCTGGTTTCATTTCGTACCATTAAACAAAAAAAAAAAAAACAAAAACAAAAAAAATCTGCAAAAGATTAGCAAAACTCCCCTGTTCACAAGGAGCACAAATAAAAATAGATGAAAAAGAGGCAACAAACCATACAACATTTATGCATGAATAGGGTTGGTCTATAAAAATACACAATGTAGCTACTTTATAAAGAGCAGCCACACAGGCCTTTGAGGTTTTGCTTGATAGAGGGGGCAGGGTAGAAGTTATTTGGGGCTACAGCTGGGGGTTGCAGTCTCTCCAGTCCCTAGTGGATGGGGTTAATGTCTGTGCGGTGGTTGGCTTGCCCATGCACGCTGCTGCCCCCTACAGTTGTGGTGGAGGTGGTGATGGTGTTGTGCTGAATGACCTGCTGCTGAGAGCATGCTGGAGCTGGACTTCCTGCTGGACTGCTCTCTGGACCTGAGGAGACAGCAGACAGCTATGAGGACGGCTGACATGAGCGTGTAAATACCATGACATTCAAACTTTATTCACGGACGGTAAATTCAGGTGTGATGAATTAGTGTTGAATAAATTATAAACAAATTAACGCAAGTCCCATATCTTACTGATGTTATAAAAGTAGCTTTATTAGCAGATAAATTTCAAACACATGAAACAGTAAATTCACATATCGAGTGTCACCTCCTATCCAAAAGTAAGACATATTGGATGACACAAAAATGAAAAAGCGAGTCAACCAACTCCATAAACATTCTGGGCGACTGCTGGACACATTGAAGGTGACATCGGTGCACAAACTAGACTCATCGATGAAGGTCTCGCCCAGCCCAGTCTGGGAGTCGACTGGTCTCAGCATAAAGGAACCATTCAGCCAGGAGGGATGTGAGCCTTATTTTCCTGTGCTGAACCCACACAGGGAGGTGCCTGATCCTAATTACGTGGAAATGTCACTTGTATCCGTATCAAAGGGCGGGGCTCTGATGTCATGGGCAGTGAAGCTGAAGGCACCGTGAAGTAATCAGTGAGATTCTCGAGAATCTTTTCTGAGTTTGGATGCCAGCGTGCAGCACGTGACGTCTCTCCCACGTCCGGTCTCGGCTGCGTCTGAGCTCAGAGCTGCTGTTGGACGGAAAAACAGGCCTCATGTGAGACGCCGACTACCAACTTCCAGTCCCGGTGGGCTACCAGGGTGTGCACCACCCTCATGCAAAAGGGAGAGTCCTGCAGCAAGCGTGGGAGCTGGATACCAACACTCAAAGAGTCTTGGCAGTTCGCTCAGTCTTTAGTCTTTTAGGGCTTAATCCTTTTCCTCCAGCAAGACAATAAATGGCCATTTTTTCACAGTGGTTCTGCATTTCAGGGCTTAGGCACACAGGAGGTGTGCGTGCGTGTGTGTATCCGTGTGTGTGTGTGTGTTTGTGCATGCATGCATTTGTCTGAACTACTCACTGAGGTAACCCTGCGACTCTTTCTGCATAGTGGTGATGGGACAATCCTTGTGTGTGAGGAGAAGCTGTTTGAGTTGGGTCACCTCGTTCTTTAGCATCGTCACTTCATTCTGCAACAGGGGAAGATTATTTCAGGACTTTGATTTAGTAAATTTACTCATGGTGCAACATGATAATATTAATATAATTTGTGTTATGGATTAAGACATCGACTTCAAACATTACTACAATTACACTTCTGTAGCCATAACAGTTTCTCGATATTCACGATAGTTCCCCAGAAAAGCTAATTTTCCTTGAATGAAAGGTTTGCAGGCTGAGGACCTTTTCTAGGTAGAAAGGACCTTGTCAAAGATGCCTATCTATTTAACTGTGAGGAATTAATATTTACTAAGTCAAAAAAAATTCTTAGATAGATAGATTTTTCAGTTTCGAGGCTTTTTGCAGAATGTTCACTTTGTACCTGAAGCTGCATGTTGGTCTGAGTGAGCTCTTCTGCTTTCTTCTCTAAAGACATCACCCAAACTTTCCTTTTCTGTCTGCATCTTGTTGCTGCTGCTCTGTTCCTTTCAAGGAACTTCCGTCGACGTTCATCTGGATCCTCGTCCACTACTCGCCTGCGACGCCCGCCACTGGGAGGCGGAGACTGCATCGTCTGCGTGGGCTGCATCTGCTGGGTTGCAGGCGACATCTGAAAGATGACAAGAGAGTTATAAGCATCATTGATCTCTCTGATGAGGGTCATCAAACCAAACCTGTGGTTGGCCTATCACACCTGTAATACCACCAGCCACCTGTCTGCTGTCACAGCACCCGCAAAACAAGCATCTATACATTCAAACCTCCTGCAGCTTTTCCACGTCTGGCAAATTCCCCAAAAACAACATCTGCTTGTGCCACGTGCTCCATGAGCTGGACCGTGGGCGTCAGCAGCGACAGAGTGAGTGAGTGACTGGGCTGATTCACCAGCCTGCCCACCTTGTTAAAGAGGTGTCAGGAGGCAGTTTTCCACCGCCCACTTCCACTCAGACTAACACCACCAGACACAGTCAAAAGACTCGTTTCTATAACCGTACTTTCTCTGACAGATCTTGACATATTCTTGGCAAAGCAAAGGCTTTTCAGTCTTCAGATTATTACCATTTTTATGAGAGCCATGGAAAATACAATCTGCTCTAATGGCCGCCATGCATACAGAGAGTTTTGTTTTAAAGCTTTAATGACACATTTTGAACATAGGCTGAATTGGATTTCTAGATGTCCTTCCACCAAAATGCCTGTGATTGCAGAGAGCATCAGACAATGCAAGGACAAAGTGTCTCACATTGTGTTATTTTCAAACTTTCTATTGGAATTAAACCAAATATATTCATAGCTAAAATGTTCCAGGACTTTCAGCCAAGGCTGTCTCTTCATCATGAGTATTTATAAAACTTCCTCTGTATGTTGGGACCACATAATGGCAGTTTGGCGGTGAAGGATGTTGTGGAGAATAATTTTTAAAGGACAGTCCAGAGAATCTTTTATAAATGGCCACTTTATGGCCTCTTTGTGACCCTTTCCCTCCATGGCAGGCATCCAACCTGAAGCTGACCAATCCTCAAAGGGAAAAATTACCTTTGAGATGCCTGCCAGGAAACTACTTGGCATTATGGCTGCTGCAGGGGAAAAATGTCTTTGTCCGTTGACTTACTATGAGTTTGAAGCATCATTTCAGCTTTACTTCTGCACTAAACCACTAATAGCTGGCTTGAAAACTGCTCACAGGGCTACTAAAATGATGCCCTGTTTTAGTCACGGTACCTATATAGTCTAGCTTTTGAGAGGTTTTAATGTGCAGTGTGGTTAATGTGTTATTGAACCTGTGGCTCTGTCTGTGAGCTGTCTAAAAGCTTCATTTCTCCAGAGAATATCCCCGGCTTACATGTGAGGAAGAGTGCATTGGGTGGTGCGGTGAGGTCTGGTGTGGATGCCCGGGATGGAGGTGGGGATTGTGGGAGTTGTGATGGGGGTTGTGTCCCTGCGGGTGATGGTGTCCGCCCTGGCTGTGCGCCTGGCCGTGGTGGTGATGGCCGCCGTGGTGCTGATACGCGTGGGGAGGTGCTTGCAGGTGCTGGTGCGGGTGTGAGTGCATGTGATGGTGAGTGCTTTGCTCCTGCCGTGATGTCATCATCTCCATCATGTGGCCCATGGAGTTCATGTTGCCGTTGGCAATGGAGCCCGGGTGGTGTGAAAGTGCAGCCTTCAGCCTCTGGGAAACACACAGAAAAGACAATGTTTAGGATTACTACATCTGAATATTTCGAGGAAAAGATGTCCACGATTTCATCTCTTAGTGAGCTGATTATCAACAGTTACAGGGCGACTCATGTGCCGACCGGCAGATGATAAATGGCTCCATAAATCCAGATGTCAGGAGAACAAATCAAAGCCACTTAGCCTGTCCTCTGTCTCTCCTTCAGTCTTGTCATTCTCCTGCTTTACCTTCCTTGATTGCCATCCCACCAGTCCCTCCTCTTCATATTCCTAATAGCCTCTCTCTGCATATGTTTGCGAGACTCAGACTGCTCTTTTCCTGCAGGTTTGTTGCTTTAACCATGTGGTCTACTTAGCTCTGACTAAGCCGGTGTCTGTGCACAGCTTCGGAGGGAGACCAGAGAGGGACTCTCTGAAGGTGTGCTTGTTTTCCTCGTGTTTACTGAATGCACCTCTCCTCAAGTGAGTGTTTTCCTTGGCAAAGCTTAAAGACAACCACAAGACCCCAAAAAATTCTAACCCAAATATACAAGTGCCAAAACATGTCCTCAGGGCTTCACCTGTTGTACACAAACCCAGACAAAATAAAGAAAATCATGTCTGAGCTTTTTCATGAATCATTAACTTTTAACCGCTTTATGAATAACATGTTGAGAGAGTGTTGAGTCTGCTGAGCTTTGATTTAAATACATACTTTTCAGCAAAGTGCTGATGCAAAACACTTGAATAGACTTCATTAAATACTCGCGCTCAGTTCAATCCCTTCTACAGATCCTTAACTGGTGACTCTGAGCAAACAGTAAGAAACAACACTGAAAACAAAAGCATTCATTTCAGGACCCCTGTTATGAATTCCACAAAGTTTCTATTCTTTTCCCAGCGCTCTTTTTCCTCTCTCTGCTCCCTTCCCCCTTCTCCCAGCTGCTGTCAGCGAGTCCACGCTGCATCCAGGGCTCCATATCTTTTAACAACCTTCACATTCATGATTCCCATAGGGAATGGCATCCAGCTGGTCTGGATCACTACGCTACGATGCAACCAGAGCACAGCACCGGCACTTGGCTCCTCTCTTCTATTGTACACGAGTGGAAAGCTTTTTAGCAGCGACGAGAAGACCCTGTTGAATAAACCATCTTTGCTAGAATAGACTTTATCCCTCCAGTTCGTATTATATGAGCAAGTTACAAATATGTATTTGTTACAGTATTCATGTGAAGTCTGTTCTTCTCCATTCACAGTGCATGTGATAAAGAGAAGTGCACATGAAACCAGCGCAGAGAAATTACGACCTTGCTAAGCCTGTTTTGGCTGAGTGCAGTTTCTGCTTGTCAAACCAAGGGATGCCTGACATAGTGAAACAAAAACATAGTATGTACAGTATTATGATTTTACTTCTTTTTCTGCTTACCCTCATTATAAATGTTTCTTTACATCTGTTCTCTGAATGTTTATCTCTATCTGGTCTTGCATTAACCCTGCTCCTAACCGCCCTCCTCACATCCTCAGCGGTATTTTTTATGTGTTCAGCAGCAGAAGTTTCAGGCGCCACCAGTTTCATCTTTGTGACCAGTATAAAAAGGGTTAAAATATCAGAGAGTCTGCACAAACACACCAACAGGCCTGCAGCTGTCCACAGCATCACAGTGACACCAAGACTCACTCAGGATAACACATGGCAGTGAGAGGCTCTACGTGTAACATATTGTTACTATCAGCATCAAAACTTTGTATTTTTTTCTTTAAACTGTATAGCAACCTCTATATGAGATAAACAATAGAGACATATCAAATGACCGGCTGGCATGCCCCTAAAACAGAGAACGTATCTAGACAAGCTTACAGATATCAATCATAGTCACCGATGTTGACAAGGACGTCTTCCGTGTATCACAGGATGAATTCTGCAGCTGACAGCCCTGACTAAACACCTTCCCTTCAGCCTTCAGCCTGTCACTCAGCACCTCCGAGGTGAGGCCCACCTCTCTTGTAAAAGAGGAAACCAATCAGGGTTTGACAATCTCCTGCCACTTAGCTGCAAAGCCAGCAATCACCTGAATGGAGAGAAGCCAGAGGAATCTTCTGGCTGCCTGTCTATCTCTCTGGGCTGTGTGTTTTAGGGCCCTAGTAAAGATGTCTGTGTACGGGTTAAGATGCTCATCTGGGGCTGCCTGAGCTGCTGCCAAGCAGGCGCCAGGAGAGAAGGACAGAGAGGGTAAAAGGGAGGCAAAGGGGACACGATGAAAGAGAGAGAAAGAGAGGGAGAGAGAGAGGGAGAGCAACCAGGGGTGGGGTAGAGGGGATTAGATGGGTTCTTGTGCCTCCTCCCTACACGCCGTCAGCCCAAGACAGCAAGCGCTCATTTATCAGTGTCTCTGAGAGCTTTCCAGCTGGCGGTGCAGTGCTATCTGTTTATTAATTGAATTAGTCTGCATCAGAAGAGGCCCAGGAGTGTCAGAGTACAGAGGCAGGTCAAAGAGATGAGGGGCCACTCCGAGAGCTTTAGGGGTGAGGACTGTAAACAAGATAAAGTAAAAACAGAAGAGAAGGACCGTGCATGATAAGAGGACTTATATCACACAAACAGTGATGATCACACCAGATTCACCCGACAACATGTAACGCAAGGTAGAATTTACAGTGTTTGACCAAGACGTCATGTTGGAACCAAACCCCTCCACATTAAAACACATCCAGGGGACTGTAGCAAGAAATATGAAACATGAGAAATACTATGCAGCGAGACAGGTCGACAAAACGAGCCAACAATTTGAAGAAGTACTTCAAACCAAAGAGCAGAATTGAAAGAAAAAGCCATGGATCAAATAGTTTCGAACAGAAATGTCTTACCGTGAGATAAACTTTTTCCTGAGTCTATGTACAAGTGCCTGCTGCTGCCCCATCTGGAGCTGACTCTCCATCTAAGTTAAACCCTGCTCAGCCAAATCTTAAGTCTTTGTATCCAGAACCACAGTGACGCAACTATGGGACGTTAGCAGAGCGATGATGAGCAGGCTGTGATTCTTAAACACCTTCATCAGCTCCCTAATGACTCTTTAACACATGGTTGTATTTCCCCAGACTGTGCTAAGCACAAGAACTTAACCACTACGTGCACTTTCCTCTAATGACACACACACATACATATAGATTTTTTTTTGTAGCAACATGGCCGCTGCAGAAAACAGTCATTAAACCCACACAGGTGTTAGCCTGTGGTTGTGGATGGGATGGCACACTGTCTGTCCTAGCACTGTGTGCTCAGCTGTTGGTAGGAACAGGAGAAAATGGCAGACATATTTAGAGGATGATTGGTACATGTGACCCTAAATTCATGACAGGGTCTATCAGGATAAATCTACAAATAAGCAGCTTATAAATAAGTCATCACACGCGTTTGATACAGCATTTCATGCATTCTGTGAGTGTACTTTAAAGTAGTGAGCCTATTGATTTTCCATTGTTCAAACACCTCTCCTGATTCAGCCATCTTTTGCCTGAAGGCAAGCTATCTCCTCTCAGACCTTTGCCCTTTGACCTCTCCCCCGCCACTCCTTTCTTTTAAGCTTCTCTCATTTATGTGGTTTAAGGGACACAAGGTGATCACCCATTAATGATATTTATTAATGGCTACTTCCTCCCTGACACAAGCAAGGGTCTGAGTGATGTCCCTGTGAGTGCTCTGGGCACATCCTGAGAACACACTCAGGTTTCTCCTCGCCAGATGACTTCATATCTATTAACCCTGGGAGGAGGAAGTAGGAGCACGGAGCAGGTACAAAAGGAGAAAGACCACGCCCGCCTCAGGATGGGTAAATCAAACCCGTTGAGGTCAGGGTGAGCACTTTTATTCCCCTTAAAAGTGGAACAGTGTGCTATCAGGAGACCTGTGGCCCTGTGGCGCCTCACTGCAGGTTAGACAGATGAAACCAGTCTATGGAGTCAGAGTTTAAGTGCAAAAAGATCACAGTTTTTAGAGGACACCCTCTGCTTCACATAAAAGAGCAGACAGATAAACTTTAACGCTTCAGATCAGCCTTTTTGTTCACAGTGCACCGACAGTGTACTTCTAATTGCTTTTGCAGTCATATTGCTTTATACTCAACGCTTTTCCTGTCTGAGTATTTCAGACCTGCCGTTGGATGGTAGCTCAAACTTGCACTCTGTTTTTGTGTTTTTTGGCTGTTTTGCCCTTTATTTTGGTATAATAGATAGATGGGATACATGGAGGATTGGCTGATACCATAGCATAAAACATGGATGTAGTGACGTAACTCACTGGTTTCCACAGAGATGTTATGAAAATATGAACTCATCCTATAAAAATGGGCATTTTAACACAGCACCCTGTTGGGGATTCTTTGGATTTTCCAGCCAGCCTCATGCGGACACTAGAAGAATTGCAAAGGCTAACATGTATGTTTAATATTGAATTTGGTCTCTTCGAAAATAGTATAATAAAAAATATATAGTATTTTATAGCCGTGATTTTCCTGGCTGTGTTTTTGTGGGTTTAGCCCCCTCGGCTCACACTTTAAACTCAACATGGGTTCACCGTCTTTAGCTGAAAGCCTGGGTTTGGTTCTGCTGTTGCCAAGCACTCAGTGGATCTAATTCCATCCTCCCCATCTCCACCACCACCACCACTACCCACCAGTGCCTGTCTGCAAAATCCACTCTGTGCCCTAAAACTCCACACCCCCATTAGTCCAATTTTATTAGATTTCCCTCTCGCCCAGAGAGGCAGTAACATCCCCCCTTCTCTCTCTCTCTCTCTCTCCCTTTCCCTCTCGCACATACACTTCTCCCCTCTTCCTCCACCCCCTCACCCTCTACTTGCCAAGAGCTAGGGACTGTTAAACTGATTTCCTCAGGGAACGCCGAAGCAGACAGTCTGATGGGAGCTCTGGGCTCTAATGTCGCCCCCTCTCTCGTCTCTCTCTCAAAGTTCTGGGCCAAGCCGATCAGAGCTGGGCTGAAGAGAGCCTCCCTGTGGTTCCAGACGCAGACATGAGATGCACATAGACCGTTTGTGCTGCCAGGACTCAACACTTTGGTGGTGTTTTGGAGGAACCGTGGTGGTGTGGGTGCAGCGAGACACACACCCACCGAGGAGCGTGCTCCAAAAGCATGCGCTCATACTCTTGGCAGCTTCTCCACCCTGTCAAGTTAATGGATGGGCCTCTGACTGCAGTCTGTATATCCCCACTGTTCCTTCTATTGTAAAGCCCTGCTCTGGTGCAGCCCACATGGTTATCTCTACACACACCACTGCCACAATCTTAAACACAGACAATGCGTGTGAGTGAGAGACCCAGACAGATCATGAATACAACAATTACCCTAAACAAATGTCTTTATTTGTGGCCTCAGAAGAACCAGGCAGTTTATGTCAGATCTTATTGGTCAAAGATACTGAAATGTGATGACTTCAGTCAAATGAAATTCCAAGGATGTTGGTCAATTTTGGCTAAAATAGGACCCTTAACTTCAGTTTCAATCACTTACTATGTTTTGACAGTAACAGGGTCCTTATAATGTCAAACATTGACAATTCTGAGAAGTAATTAACAAAAGGGAACTAAATGGTCTGGTTTGAGAGCGTCCAAAGTGACCTTGCTGATAAACATTGGCTCCACTTTATCAAACTAAAAATCTCTGAGCCGACAGACTTTTCCAACTAGCCCTCCAGTGTTTGAGGGGTTATTTTGGTGTCCAAAGAGTATCTCGGTCGCTGCTGAGGCTCCAGGGGGGCTCATGGTGGCTGGACCAGTCCAGTCTGGCCCATGTGGTGATGGCAGCTGGTTTACCCAAGCTTGGCTGGACTGGAGCCCTGTCCCATTGACAGGCCCTGAACCATGACCAAATGGCCTTCACATACACGTCCCATCAGCACAGCTAAAACAACACGCAGTCATCCAAAGACAAACAGATGCGACACTCTGCGCCACAACTGTTGCCCTCATCTATAACCCCACCCACACATTGTTAAGCACAAATGCACAGGGTTAGACATAAATATGCGTGTAACACCCCCCCCCCCCACACACACACACACACACACACACACACACACACACACACACACACACACACACACACACACACACACACACACACACACACACACACACATATACTTTTAACCACTCAAACAGTATACAGTCCTCAAAGATGTAGCTCTCCTCTTTCAGCTGGAAAAGTTTATTCTCCTTTTCTTATAATTCAAATGGCAGAATCAAGTGACACATACTACTTAGGTTTTATCACAACTGTGGCTGTTGGCATTAATTGAAGTGCACTTAAGGTATAAACAAGTATGTTAGCTTGTTTATATTGTTCTATTTTGTCCCACTCTGCACACTGTAGTTTAGCTGCGGCAGCGTCCTCCTGCTTCTCTCTGTGATGCAAAATTACGACATCACTGCACTTCCAAATAGCAGCTTCCAGTTATAGCACAGTTGACAAGTTAAAGGTAAATCCACTTTGTGTTCAAAAGAATTAAAATATTACAAAAGCACGTTGAGCTACAAATGACTAAGCATAGAAGAGTAGTTAATATGGCTGATGCCAGTGGGCAACCACATCACAGAAGCTGGCTCTCATTTGAAGGGTGTGAATCATCACAGACCTGCGGATGAAACACTTTGACACCGTTGTCTGGCATTGAGTCACGGTTTTAGACCACACTGGTGTTTCTGTGAAGCACTGTTTCGAATAAAAAATCTAAAAGTCGAGATTATGAAGCAATTAACTAAATCAATGTGGTTCCTAAGTAAAGACGCTTTTCCAATACAGAATTAAAAACTGTTTCAAAATGCTAAATAATGTAGTTATGATGAATATGTGATGAATAGCATTAATTTTTTTTTACTTCAGCAATTCAAAAAACAACAGTTTGATGCACTTAATTCATTCAATTACTAAATGTTAATTTCATGTAAACTAACATCCGTGTATTTCTAGTTCCTTCTGATCCACAGATTGTACTGTTTGATGGCTCTATACAGTTATAGTAAATATGCTATGGTGTAGGAAACGCCGTTTACAGATTTTTTTTTATGACTTTATAAGAGTCATATAGTAATTATACATAACTATATGCATTATGAACACAACCAGGACAGTCTGGTATATATCTAATATTATTACACAGACTGACTAATAGCTATTTCTTGCACTTTTCTTTGTGAAATCAAAGAAACAAACATTTAATTAACTGAAAGCAAAAAGAAAAAAAATCTATCTTTGCATTAAACCGTGAATTAAGAATTGATAAAATCTTTTGAGAATGAATCATAATAAAACATGTCACTCTGACTATAGGATGACTCTCTGATAAACAGTCCAAAAAGGCAGTCAACAAGAGGCAGATCAGTTGTGTCCATCTCCCCTTGACAGCCTTTAGTTGTGTACTTAATGTCTCTGTGGTTTGGACAAATCACTCTTTTTGGCTTAACAGTGAAACAGGGGCCCCTGTGTAGTTTTTTCCAGCACTGATAAACTAGCAGACAAACACTGATCCAGCAGCTTGTAACTCCTGCAGCAATGACTCGTCTCCACGGTGATAGTGAGGAACCCCATGTGGTTATCATCTGCAAAACTCTCTTTGCATCCGAGACACTGACAAACTCTGACATTTCATGAAACTCTGTAACTGAGCGCATCTTGTCATGTGTCATGTGTCCTTGTGTGACTGCTGAATATCACACATCCACATGTTTACTTGCCCGACCACACGTGCTTTATGTACATAACAGATCTGTATCAAATACTTTATGCAAACTCGCCCTCCACGGTTTGTTTTAAGTCTGCAGATGTGTTTTGACTCCGAGGACAGTGATTACCAGGGAGTTTGCCAATGCACTGAAAGGGAGCAATCAAGAGCAGCATACACCGTCCATATGCACATATTCTGAAGCTGCATTGAAACAGCCCGCAGATTCAGCTGTGCTCTTAGCTCACCGTCCGTCTCCTATGACATCATACCCTGACAATGCCACCATTCATACAGATGTTGCTTACAAAACCTGCAGTTAGACTCCTATTGTGTGCTGCTGCTGCTGCTGCTCCTCCTCACAACAAGAGGTTTAGACTAGAGAGAGAGGTGCTCGTCTGCTGCACTGAAGGCAAATGAATGGAACACGTAATGTGTTACTATGTAAGCTAATGGTTTAAACTGCTTACAAATGACTTCATACTGAAGTAATCGCTCCATCAATCACCATGTAGCAGATCTAAAAACTGACACATGTACGGCTGCTCCGCAAGTTTTCTTTTCTTTGAATTACTGAACAGAAATTTAACTTTCTCTTTTTTCCCACCATTATGGCTATTTAGAGCAAAACCCGATCTTTAAGGCTCATCATTGCAATGCCTTTTGCATTCCTGTAACTACACTGAAGCGAATGAGGAGTCAGGGTTGTGTAAATGAAATGTAAAAAAGCTGCAGTAACACTTTGATTATTGGTTCTCCTGTGTCCTATGAAATGTTTCTTTAAGAGGCGCGCTGTTTTTTTCCCTCCTCAAGTAAAAAGGAGTACATTTAGAGCATGCCAGGAATTATGTCATCCACCCGTCTAGTGCCAGCTCCACAGCCAAGAGGGCTGCAGCGAAGGAACATATAGTATTGTTTACCTCATAAAAGACTCAGCACCTAGCCTGATGCTTAGTGACACATTTATTGTCCTTAGTAACAATGTAAACAATAGATAATTGGAAGATAATAAATAGCACATTTTCATACACCAGCCCCTCTGTCTGAAATTAGCAGGCCAGCAGGATGTGTGGAGAGCATGGAGCTGATTTAAAAGGGGATTTAAAAACTATGCAGAATTTCACCACTTTAAAAAGGGTCTCACTGACATGAGCTGCAGCATGCCCTGAAGTTGGCAATTGCAGGCCTTGTTTCAAACCTGGTTGATAAGGGCTTGTCTGGGCTTGTTACTGTTGTTACAGATGAGAAATGATAGTGAAGAACTTTCATCACACAAAGGTATCAAACCATCAGAGCTGGAGAGGAAGGTTTTCTGAGGAGATGGTAACTTCTCCTTTTTTAGTATGAAAAAAAAACAACATAATCAGCTTTTTACTTTTACATTCTACTACAAACGATCTCTCTCAATCATCATGTTGACTAACCAGAAGAGTTCGGAGTGTCTGTATCTAAAGAGACCCTCCCCTCTGCCTGTTCTTTGCTTTCTTACTGTGTCCTTGACGTCTCTGGGCGTTAGCCTTTGTGTAGATGATGTGCAGCCCCCAACCAATAACAGTGCACAGGCTGTGAGGAGGGGACTCTAAAAACTAAGAGATCAAGTGCAAGATTATAACCACCCATCCATGTGGGATCTGGTGTTGTTGACTTGGGGAGGAGGTTTAAGCCTTGAATGTTATGTTTTTAAGTTTTGTTTTGCTTCATTTGAAGTTGCTTCCACTACAGAGTAGAAAAAAAAGGTTGCTCGATAGCTCATAGTAAATCTTCAGGGAACGAAGCAAAAGAAAGAAATCAAGTCTGCAGCTGGAGCGGAGTAGAAGCTGATGTTGTGTTAGCGGCTACAGGAGGGCTAAGACATTTAACAGCCATTTAATCACTACAACTGGGTCCATAAGCAGTTTGGGAAAAGTACGATATTGAAACAGATTCAGGATTTATGTTGATAGGGGTTAAGGTTAGCACTACTGGACCTCTGCATCTGCTTTAAAAAAAGACCATTGTATGCAAAGTTACCCAAAGCAAGCACACTTGCAGAGCACGCAGGGTCTCGCCGACCCACTAAATGGTAACATTCTTTTTGAGGATCCTTCAGCCATGTTTACCTTCCACTTCCTTCAGCTAAGTGTACAAAGCTTTTCTGTTGTTTTTCATAAAAACTCCAGAGCAGCTGTGACTGAAGAGTTTCAGCTTTGACTGTTTAAAAACGTCTTGGAGTTAAGTGTGACGGAGTTGAAAGTTTTATAACATAGCTGAACGAAACTACCTGATCCAACATCATGGCTTGTCACGGAGTGTGGAGTTTTCTGTGGGAAGTGTCGGGTCATCTTAGTGCTGTGGCCTAACAGTGCTGGTTGCATCTGCATTGGTATTGTCATCATGCTTACCTGTGCAATTTACAGATCCCCTTACCGTTAAAAGTTATTACACAAATGCATGAACTTATACTTGAGAACATTTTTTACTCTCTGGACTATAATGTTTTAATACTTTTGGACTCTTATGTGCAGTATATCTGTGTTCTGAGCATGCTCGTACATGTCAATCATTCAGTCTGTTGTTTTTCATTACCTGACTGTCTGCATTTGTTTTGATTGTCTGTGTAACTTTGTGTGAGGAGGACGACACAGAGCTGCAGCGGTCTGTGCATTTGTCCTTGTGTGTGTGTGAGTGTTTGTGTGTGTGCGACTGTTCGCGAGGCCCTGTGGAGAACTGGCTCTGAGCGTTGATGTAATGCTTTGGCCGGCGTGCTGTGGAACTTGGCCTCCTCTCTGCACTGTTTCCTCTACGCTGTGAGGGTCAACTATCCCACAACCTCCAGCGCACAACACGCACCATTCTATTCCCCAGACCACAACAGAGAAGAACACAACCACACCCGGCACCACGAGCACCCAGTCCTTCACATGAAGAAAAAACACTCGAACCAAAACTCATAAAACACTCCAATCTCAGCACAAACCCTCCCAGACAACAAGCTGAAAGCAATAAGGAGGAAAACACACAAGCCAGTAACTACACCATCGGGCTTTGCTGCACCACTTAAATGACGGCACTTAAGGAGAAAATCAGAGATAGAGGAGAACAAAGATGGGCGCTGATGCAGATAGAGTCTTTGGCCCAAAGAGCACAAACAGAGAGGTTAGAGCAAGATACGAGTCCCCAAGGGGCCACAGCAGTCCTCCGGCTCATTAACTATTTACACCAGAGACAGGCCGCCCTGCTGCTCTGGCCCACCACAAAATCAATTAGCCTTCATTAGCCTCGTCTCTGAGCATGCTCTCTCCGGCAGGGGAGGGTTAACCCTGCGAGCGAGGCCTCCAGTTACCAAACAATATCAAACAATAACACACACATATGGGCGTACATGCATGCATACACATACAGTGGAGCAAAGGGAAGTAGGCTGAGCAGAAGTCCTTTTATGGCACTCACAAAGAATTTGTCTAATTTCTCACTTGTTTTGTGTTTGGTGTCTCAGATTATCAATACCATCTCAGGCCTTTCAGCTCCCCTGCTCACTCCGCCTGTCTATCTATTTCCTTCATGTCTATCAAAGTCCTACTCAATCCCCTCCTACGCTCTCACAATGTAAACGCTGAGCGTCCAGGTCCGTGCCTCAGGGGTGTGGGGTTACAGTACGGAGATTTCCCATTGGCGGAAAGTCAACATGGTCAGAGTAATGCGATTAGAGCCGGATTGAGAACGTCGCAGGGGACACATGGGCCTGATCATGGCCCAGTTATCCGATAGCATGGCCGTATTTATCGACTTGGCCCAGGCGCGGATATTAGAGACATTAGAGACGACGTCTATGCTTATGAAACCCTCACTGGAGATCGCACCCTGATAACACAATTAGTCTCTCACTTTCTGTCCACAATCACGGAATTCCATCAGTTGCGTTCAGACATCAGGGATCAGAATCTCAATTGATCCACATTTGGTTGCCGTGCCTCATGTGCAAATGGCCAACTAACCAGAAAGTTGCAGGGGAGAGAGGCCTGTGGCTGTTTAGTGAGTGGGTATGTTTACGTGAGACCTAACAGAGCATTTACAATTCAATTACATTGAAAGGAGGAGAGAGAAAAAAGAGTAAGATGTGTCTGGATGACGGCCAGAGGAGAGATAAGCCTAATACACTAATATTGTGTTACCCCAGCGTGTTACCATAGGAACAGTTGAGGAGATTCAAAAGACTACAAAGACGATCAATCTTGAGAGAGCAGGAGGAAGAGGGAGAATTAAATGCCCTGGGAATGCTCCCGCTCTCCTCTATCAGAGCAATAACTCTTCTAATGACCTCTGCTACCTCCTCTGTCTCCCTCTCTCTCCCTCCACAAGATGTTTCTGTCCAGTAAACTCAGCTATCAGTAAACCTCTCCAAAACACAAAGAGCGGCCAATGCTTTTCATTATGGGTTGTGATTTTTTTGATAACCACTCATTTATATGGGGCCTTTTCCATTTTCAGAATTATTTATTTTGAAAACAAAGATTGGCCGGCTGCTTTGTTGCTACAATATTTATCAGTTCATATCACCTTGACTGTAACTGTTCATCCTTTTGACATGAGAAAATGCACCAAGCTTATAACAGGATACGAAATACAGTTAATTTAACAAAGATGTCTAAATTTGATCCACTGAAGACACCACCAGTGAGAAGACTGGCTACTTCTATGTGGCAACTGGCTTAAGTTGCAATTCGTCTCGTGTTGTGATGACACAACATTTCATATGTTGTTAATATGTCTAACTTTCTTCAAAAGTGTTAGGGTGATCTTGTTAAGCCAGTCATGTCATCCTTGAGGTTGGTGGAGCTGTGTCACTCAAATACCTCAGATACATTGGTGCTAGATTTCTGGAGCCATTGGCCTCCGACAACCATCCTCAACAAGGACCTTGTACCCATGTTTAACATCACATCAAAACATGTTGTGCTTTGTTATTACCCTACATGGACTCTCCTTTAGGTCAACAAGATGCAAGCAGAATGTTTGGAAACGTGGACGACTATATATACTTGAACAGTCTCAGACCAGTCTTTGTTACACTTGTGGCGTGATGAAGCTGTAACCCAGATCTGCAACCAGTACAGCTTGTGTGTGATCATTTGTGTGGACCTTCCATTCTTTAAAGTGTGAACATGGGCTAGGCATCCTAACAGATTTGACTAAAACCACATCTAGCTGTAAGTCCTTACAGCTGTATGAATGGTATGAAATATAATTTACTTAGTTTCACTTCTTTTACATTACAGCTGTTAATATAACATGAGAGAGATGAGATGAGATTCAATTTATTGTCAATGTACAGTACAAGTACAGTACAGCAAAAAGTATTTTCGCATCTCACCAGAGTGCAAAGTAAACATGTCAGTGCTAGTGATACATTATTTCATAGGCAAGGATGTAGTGGAAATTTAATGGCCAGAAATAACCTCATCGCTATACATTTTGCAAACAGCTGTGTTTGAAAATACTGATAATATGTCTGTATGGAAATTTGGGATACATTCAGGTGTCTAAAGGGCTGCTTTTGTAACTTTATTAAAAGCTATAATGTCAGTCTGGCATCAATGAAAAACTTGAATAACATAAGAGATTTCTTCCCTTCAGCTCATTTTTTTTAACTTATTATACTTATTTTCTAAACATGTCGTTTTTGTCTCTTTTTTTCCTCCCAGCTGAGTCTCGCTCCCTCTACTCTAACTGCTTGCTTTGTGAAGGATGAGGTCATTTGATTTTCCCCCGCTGTGTTAAACTCGCGCTAACAAGTTGCAGGACCTACAGAACATGTTCTGTACATTAAGATATACATCAGGCAGTCGGTGGGCAGCACAGCCACAACCACATAAAGGGTCCTTTATTCCAGCCAGAGTCTCCAGTGCTGCACTGGCAGGTTCAGACGCAGCTTTGATTACACCCCCAAATGATGAAATCCACACAGGCCTCAGAGCATAGCTTTGCTGGCACAGCCCAGTGGAAAAGAAAGTTGCAACACTTTGAGCTTGAGTGTACGCACTTGTGCACATGTGTCCAGAAATGTGTACGAATCCATGTGAATACATGCGTCCACTTACCAGTTTGGCTTCTGAGTGCATGGAGGGAATGTGAGTGGAAGAGCAGGAGCTGCTGTGGGTGGGTCCCTGCATACCCATCATATTGGAGCCCATGGACATCTGTCTCTCCATCTAAAGAATATAACAGCCTCATATCAGCCATACTCAAAAGTGTGGAAATAATTTCCCTGCTTACAAAAACTTTTTCATGATGCAACATTCAATAATTATATGAGCGTAATTTCTGAAATTGAGTTTTTTTTCTGTTTCTGAGATGCTATCACTGTTTGACAAAAGACGCATTAGCACTTTAAGCATGAGACTTATCTTCCTGTGAAGTAAGCTATTGGGGATATGATGAGAGAGCATGAGAGCCTGATTTCACATGACAGGCTGCCCTGTGCACAGCTCTGTGTGATGATAACTGGAGCTGACCTAAAACAGGAAGCCAGCATGAAGGGACTTAACACAGGAAGCTGGTGCAACTGGGGTGTGTGTGTTTCTGATGATAGTGTGGTCAGACCAACACACCAAACCCCAGCCCCCTTAGTGCAAAATGTGTTAATAAGGGGAACAAGACACGAGATGGTGTGGTTTTAGTGTGTAAATGTAGAATATCTGAGATCTTGCGTGCGTTGGGCCAACGCCTGCTTCTGATCTGAACCTGGTCAGTGTGGTCTTGTGTCACCACTGAGACCTGAATATGAGGAAATCAGCTGGGTCAGCTGACAGGAGTAAGGGGTCAGTGTTCACTACGCTGTACGAGCAGGAAAGAAGAAACCTTCGTGTGTGTCTGCATGCATATGTGTGTGAGCTGCTGTGGCCTCCCAGCTGCTAATCTGTGCTGTGTGTGGTGGTCTCTGAGGGGAATATCCCCTCTCCACCTTCCTTCTGCCTGACCCCCCTCACACCCCCTGTCCACAGAGACTCAGGCCTAGAACCTGACACACAGCCTTAATTGCACTAAGTGTGTTTTGTGTAAAAATATCACCCAAACCTGCACCCCCTTCCTGAGCTGTCAATCTTCCCCAAAATCGCTTAGCCCTTAATTTAATAAACATGGGAGTTTTTTTTTTTCAGTTCCATAAACACAGGCTGTCTTGTGTTACAATGAGGACACATGTTGTATCATTAGAATCATGATACAAGGATTTTTGGGGGGGTCGTTATCATTCCCTGCTCCCTAACGCAAGTCAACTCAATCTCTATATGTTAATTACAATGAGGTCTGTGTCGAGGCCCAGAGGTAGACCCCCTCAATCTTACAGGATATGACCTGCTTATAAACTGCAGCAACTCAGTAATGCTTCGAGAAAACATCCAGATCTGCAGACCTATATAGCATGAGTGCAACTTCAGTTGACAGCATATGAGTGAGTGTCGCTGCTCCTGCAAGTGTGAATATGATGTGGGCAAAGTCTCTGTGTGCTCCGTTGTTGTACTCACAGGCATCAGCACGGCAGACGAGCCAGGCATGGTGGGGTCTGGCAGAGTTCCAGGCATGGAGGCAGGCAGAGGCTGTCTCTGTCTGTTTCGTAGGTGCAGGAGTGAGGACAGAGAACCAGGGACAGGCCTGAGGAGACACACACACACACACACACACACACACAGAGGGACATTCAGAGAGCTGCAGGTTGATCAGTATTTCAGAAAACTGATGTCATTATTCTTTACATTATCATAAAACGACATCAAACCCAAACCACCATCTCTATCACCGCATTTCTACTTCTCCTAGAGGCGTCCATTACTGGTATATAAACACATAATGACTAAATGATAACACAGTAAGTTATGGCAATAATTACATATAATAGTATGTAGTTACACACCGCAAACATCCTGAGAGTGTGCGATAAAACTCAATCTCACTGTTTATACAAATGAACAAAGAAATCACTGGGAGCTTGGAGAGAAAATGAGTGCAGTAAAATTCTTTGAGTGTTTTTGGCTGTTCATCCAGATTTTACTACAGATGCTTTATTATTATTATTTTTATTTGCAAAGTACTTTTGAAATCAAATGGAAACAAATCCAAATATATGAAATTTTAAAAAGAACCAACACATCACCAGATTACTCAATATGACTGTGAAGAAATCCCAGGACAGCTTTTCAAAGTAGAAGATTGTGACTACCACTAAAATGACTCACTGAGTTATTTGTAAAAATTACATGCTCTTTGGGTTTAAGTAATTTTTCAGAAAAAGGTGGGAAAAATAGTGATTCTTTAACATAACCCTTTTGAGATTTGATTTTCTTTTTTTGTTTTGAGTTTTAAACACTAAAAAATGTTGCTGCTTTCACACTGATATTTGTTTGTGATGGACCAGATTCTGCTGGTCACAGCAGCATGTTTAAAGAAGAAGCTTTCCACAAAGAGTTTTTCACTGAAAGTAACATTTATCATTGCAGTTCTACAACATGAGATCACCAAAGAAAAGAGCTCTTTTTCTTCCCACAATAATTTATCTTATTTATTAATTGAACATCTGTGCAATTTCAGAGTAAATGTTTTCTCTAATTTCTTCTGATTTTAGTTTCCACTTGTGTCTGCAGCAGAGCCAGACAGAAAGAAAGAAAGAAAGAGAGAAAGAAAGCGTGTGTGGCTGAGTCTTCTTGCTGAAAGCTGAGGTATCGCCGGGAGTTTTTGGATGCACTTAAAACAAGCACACTTCATGTAGTACAATGGATGAATAACGATGATGGTGAGGATGGATGAATAATATTTGTCATAACAACCACATGAGATGTGCACAACCATTTTCATACTTGAAAAACTGCAACAGCGGTGGAAGCCCTGTGGGGAAAATCCCCCTCAGTGACCACAAAAGTGTGTGTGGACCAACAGGCCTATCCACACTCATGGCCACATCAATAAATCACAAGTACTGAAGAGGCCTGGGCAAAGCTTTAAGTACTGACAGCACTCCTGTCACTGTCACTAGCTTGGGGCTGCAGTCATCCAAACATCCAGCCCTCTACATCTGACCACAGTGACATCATTTACACAACTGCCACCAAATCCCTGCTTATGAGGACACTGATTCCCAGCTGCAGGTTGCCACTGCACCCACATGGATACAGTAAAATTTTTGTCCCTGCAGTGAAAAACAAGAAGCATTTAGGTTAGCTGTGTTTAACAGGGTTAATGTGATCAATTGACCACATCATGGCCCAGATTACCATAATCGTGTGCAGTGAGGGAGTGATGGCCAAATAGGGGCCTATACCAGAGCAAACGATCCCCCACCTGAATAAATACCTGTATTTTTCCAGACCTAAATATGTGCATTTACTCTCCAGACGTGTAAGATTGCTCCACACACACACAGAATCATTACCATCCTGGCTGTGTGTCATTCCTGTCCAACATCCCAATTTATCACAATCACACTCATTTAACAGCATGTATGACATGTGAGCAACTCTGGGAATCCAAACATTTCCACATGGGAAAAGTCATGAAAGTACAATGAGGCCTGCAGTGTAGCTGTGCACTACATCAACAGTTTCCTTCTGAGTTTAGAGTCTGCCAGCATCCAGGAGGATGAAATAACAGTCACGAGGCAGCAGCTGTGACATGCTGTTCATTTTTTACACATGAAAACAGTTTGAGTGGATTTTTTAATCTATTTGAGCCTCAAACAAAGAGGATAACATGTTTAAGCAAACATGTCCTCAAAGCTATGGTGTAAAACTTGTGCCTACATTACTCTAAATACTTGTTATTAAGTACATTGTTTTTTAAAAAAAAAGAAAAGTTGATGTAAAATATTCCACCTTTTTGTTTAATAAAGTAGTACATCCGTATACATCATGCATCATAGTGTTGCCTTATGCATATATTGCATTGTACACTTTTAATTCAGCAATTATGTGTAAGAACCAGCATAATCTTGTGTGTATAGGTTTATTCATGATTTTTATTTATGCATGTTTATTTATCTCAAAAAGATAAAAGGGCATGGGTTAGCTATTATTTACATATTGTTGTGAGGCACTGAATCTTTTATGAAATTGGTGGTTTTTAAGTCTGGATGGGGGAGTATTGAAAATAAGAAAATCTGTTAAGTTGGGCATCGTTAGGTTTTATTTTTTACTTTAAGTGAGACGGAGCTTTCACTAATGAGGAAAAAAAACCTTTAGGAAAAAAAGAGGTTCATACTCAAACTGTTAATACAGGGAAAAAAATGAAATCAAACTGTAACCCGGCAACACAACAGCTGAAGAGAAGATAAAATCTGTTTCCTGATGTCTTTCTTCATTTCAACCAAGACAATGAAACTCACAAACAAAGAGCTATCTGTGACAGAGGTCAGGACACAGCACAAGCAGGTCACTGGTTGTTGGATGTTACTTTCCAGAGAACAAAAGCTCCTTTGAAGCCTCTACAGTCTGAACTACAGCGCCTGCCTGTTAGCATTGCTCACCTGCGGCACATCAGGGAGAGGACGTACGCTGCGTCCATCACCAATACACACACCAAAACACAACCTGGTTGTCCAGTGGGAGTGAAAACAAAACTAACATGTGACAACACTCCTTCTGGGGATCAACTCAGCTTTGTGCTGACTCCGCTGATGCATTAAGATGACTTAATCCTACTAGAGTCAAAAGTAACAAATTGAAGAATTTTGTTGTGTCAGAAAAAAAATCACGTTTTCAAAATCAATGCTTATTTGCTGATTTTCATTTATATATATATGTGTGTGTGCGTGTGTGTGTGCATGTGTGTGTTTCACATACTGAAGTATGAATAATTAATAATAAACGGTTGTTGAATTGAAGATGAAGGATGACAAAAATAAAGGATTAAGGAAGTATAAATTTGGTGTACTGAAACTGCTCACCCGTATGAAAAAAAGGTTCTGTGAATCCTAAAAAGAGGATATTTATTGATTCTCTTCCCTAACTTTGGACTCCACCTACTGTCTCATGTAACCTCAAAAGCCAAAAACATTACTTTAAAGGAAATAAATTTAATATTTTTGGCTTCTGTATAAGGCTCTGCTGGATTTACTACATGAGAAATTAATGAGGTGCTTGGCTTTCTATACTCTCACTGATAGAAAATCCCTCGGCAGATAAGTTAGTAAATAATCTTGATACATTTTTGTCACAGGTGGTACCAACATACTTCACTGAAACATTACTTTCAGTATAATCATGTCAGGGATTTCTGATTTTGCCAATATGTAATAAAATCAATCTGCCAGGTCAGCTCTTATAAAACACGAGTACTTTGTTTACGTCTGTTGTCGGGAATACAATATGCAGTAGGCTGCATGGAGGATTAGTGCATGCATGTTAAGAGTGTTTGTGTGTTAATACGTGCATGTGCTTGTGTGTGAACATGTGTGTGAGTGTGTGGTGAATAATGACAGGCTGTGGCTCCACTGAGGGGATTGATAATAGCCCAGGCTGTGGGCCCCAGGGGAGAGCAGGTAGACACTCTGCAGCTCTGACCCTGCGCTCTCACATTACTGAGTGCCTCGCTCTCAGCCCAGCTCTCCTCCACAATCCCTGCCTGAGAATCACCACCGCACCACCCTCCCACCCACCTTCACCCCACCATGACATCACTGCAAGACCCTCTTCCCTTGCCGAGTCCATCTTTTTGCTTTCTATCTCTTCTTCCACAGTCGAAGTTATCCTGCTATTTTTCTCTCTGATGGAGCAGAACTGACAGTCACTCATTGTCCTGTTAATCCTCTATAACTCTTTTCAGGACTCCTCAGGGTGCCCACACCTCAACACAAGCCCCTCTGGACCTGCTTGCTCTAACCTACAAATCCTGCAGTCTGCACACACTCTAGGCTTCACTGTCCCCACAGTCCTAACTCCAGCTCAAGTACTGGAGACTTAAACACAAGGGGCCTGGCTGCTGTCCAAGAGGAGCAAGAGAGGGAGAGAGAGAGGTGCAGTCAGTCCACTGACTCATATCCTTCCCTTTCTGACTCTGCTCCAGCAATGATGTAATGCTCTTGGCTTTTCGCCCTCCCCCCACCCTGTGCCGGCCCACTCCTAGATTTCGTCCCTCCCTCCTCTCCTCTCCTCGTCTCTCTTTCCCTCTCTTTCCCTCCTCGAACTCGTCCAACATAGCTGTGCTCACTCCTCTCCTCACTGGGTGAAGTCACTGCGAGCTCTGGGTAGACACAGCAGCGAAAAACTTTCGAACGTAACCAAAACAGCCCAGGGCCAAGTTCCAGACGCTCGGGAGACGGTGGTGCAGTCGCCATGGGAACAGGGGTAAACAGAGGGAGAAACAAGGGCCTCAAACAGCTTGCAGCTGCCTGGCTCTCTGAGTAAACACTACACAGGACCTGCCCCTGATTTACTGCCTTTAATCACTGGTGGGAGGAGAGTGCCATGGGGTTTGGACTGAGGAAATAATACGAATCTGATCAAATAAATCAGCTCTAATGGGTTACGACACAGGCTGACTTTTATTAGCGGGCCCGAGGAGGGATGGATGCTGGGAGGGTGCTGCACTGAGATGGATCTTGGGCTGGGGTGTCCTCACTTTAGGGAGCCTTTAGCTAAGTTAAGCCGTGCCAAAGTAAAATTGAGAAATGGTTTTGGATGATGCTCTGGAGCAAATTAGTGTGAGTGTTGCGGTATTTTTTCACCAAATACGATATTGTTGTGATTGATTGGATGCAGTTGGCTGAGGTTGGGTTAAAGATGGGTTGTCTTTTGTAAAATAAAAAGCATGTCAGAACAGAACCACTCAAACAGAAAGAAGTCTTCAACAACATCTGTGTCATCTGGATACAAGCTCACCTGGCACCTGTCTGCAGTACCGCACTGGTGTTGTAACATTTGGCAAATAGCGGCTCTTTCACTTTCACCGATAAGTCACCTGTCTCTCCTCTTCAACTAAAACTTTTTGAGTCATTAGCATGTCCGTCTCTCTCCTTCTGAACCTTCACCTCTCATCTGGTCACATCTTGTTCTTGGCACCCATCATCATCAGTCCCAGTCCTCTATCTCCCATTCAGATTTTCTTCTGCTTCACGTCATAATCTCGGTTAATGTTTTTTTCTCGCACCTTCATTCCTCTGATTCAACTTTGTCCAATTCCTCCATCTACACATGATTTATCTTTTCCTTTCCTTGTGCAGACGTGTCTTGTATCCTCTCTTCCATCATCCTGCTAGAAAACTTCCATCCTCACATCTTGCGCTTCTCTTTTACTTCCACCCTCCTGATCCTTCATTTCCCCCTTTCCATCTACCTCCTATCCCCTTCTTCCTCTCCCCCATCCACCTCTGATCCCTTTCTTCCTCTCCTCTGTCCACCTCTGATCCCCCTTTTCCACACTTCCCTGCGTTGTGATCCTGTGTGCTCTCCAGAGCTGTGAGGCATGTCCCTGTGTGTGAGTTGCTTGTGCAGGAGCCTGCATGTGTGGTGGCCCCGGGGCAGGGATGACACAGCCCCGCTGGAATGAGAGGGAACAGAGTCTGGGCGTTCCTCTACAAACGCACTATTAAATCCACTGCAGTACACAATGAGCTCATCTTAATTCAGGTCAGATGTACATCCTACATTCTCTCTCTCTTTCTTTTCCTCTTCTTCCTTTTTTCTAATTGATCACACTGTATACTTTTTTTTCTTTACCTTGTTTATGCATCTTTCTGTTTTCTCAACCTGCTACTTCTCCATGTGCTTAGGCTCTCAAGTTTATACCCAGGTGGAAATATTGAGCGCATTTGCCTTTAAGCCTTTAAAGAAGGGCATTTGTCAAGTTAGAGCACGAGGGCACCTCCGGCATTTTCGTAGAGCTCATGCACTCCTGCACTCAGGATGGACCTCCCTCCTTATCCCCACTTTCTAATCATAAACAATAATAAAGAAAGTTTTGTTTAAATTTTGAAGTTCATGAGGTCAAAGTTCGTCCACGGAAAGCTCGCTTGTAGAGGAGAGGGGACGCCTTTTGTTCTGGTGCAAGCACAATGGGTGATCACATATGTTTGTTTAACACAAGGACGCAGAAACTGTTGTATTATATGTTGAATTCATGACAATTAATGCAACTTAAAAATGCATGTTATCAAAACTAGCTGTCATTAACAGGCTGTTATCAAAAAGACTGAGCGAAGCACTGAAATTAAATCTGAATCAGAAACTACCGAGATTTCACATTTTGGTTGAGGTCGCATATGAACTGCTTTTTATTTTGATCAAGATGGGACCATTAAGATTTAATTTTTTTTTAAACATTAAAGCAAAAGCAGAGTTGCATTGTAAAAAACTAGGCTGTGAGATCAGAATAATTTCTACCCAAAGATTCTCAATAATCAATCAGCATATCACTAGATCTTCTTGAGAAGTTAACACAGGAAGTTTACCAGCGTACGTGTCAGCCAACACTCTGACTTTGCATGAAACTCTGCTCATCTGAAGGTACGAAGACCAGCAGCTATTTGTGATACTTCCCTTTCAAGGGCAAAAACAAGGAGCTGTCAGCCCTGAGGTGTGAAAAAGTATTGTGCGTCTGAAGCTGCATGGGAAACAAAACCGCAAGTAGACTTCCTTCTGAGCTTTGCATGTGCCAAAATGCAAAGTGCATGATGGTGTACGGTCGAGGTTTGAAAGACAATTTTGCACCTTTAGGGTCGCATGGCCTCATTCCTTAACTCATTTCAACTCTTAATAAAAGTCTCATTTTGAACAGAACAAATGTATTTAAACACAGCCAAAAAATTTAAATGAGCATTTAAATATCACAACATAATAAACTGGTAATCAGTGATTTTACTACATCTGCACTACAATCATTACTTAACCCAGCTGCAGTCAGGTTGATTGTGTTACGACGTAATGGAAACGATTGGGCTGAATTCCTCTCCTGAGCCAGAATAGAAGAATGTCATTTTTAATCTGCGTGCCCACACCCAAACTCGAACATCTCCTCTTACGAGTCAAAAGGTTGAGGTTTCCACACAATGCTGTATCTCACATGGTTGACTAGTAACGTCTAACGCACTTAACTCTGACATAACTCAGCACCAGATGTTTATAATTGAAAAGCAGAAAGCATTCAAATCTGTTGGCCGCTGCTTCCCTTTGTGTGATAATGATAGCCGTGACATTAAGATCTGCTGGCTGTTCCTTATGCCTGGTTTTAACACTGGTTTGTGTCGGTGCAGTTCCCCAAAGACTTTGTTTCGGGACTCGGAGCAGAAGGGGAGAGAAAAAAGCAAGAGAAAGAGAGAGGGAAAGAGGTCCTCAGGTTTCACAGCTGCAGGCCCAGCTCAACCCTAAAGTAAATGGACTTGAGGAAAGCCAATCCTAATTGATTCCAAGCCTCAAAGCTCTTTAGTAAACATTGTGGAGCAATGAAAATGACTTGTTATCCTAATTCATTGGGTGCTCATGCTGTGCGTTCAGCAGAGGCGAGAACAAACACAGACTGTACTTGATTAAACTGATTTTGATTGGTGACTTTTCCTTATAAATGTACTGTATACTTCCCAAGAACTTCAAAAATTGAGTCAAAATTTTACACAAATGATCTATTCATGACAAAGATAAATGTTTCTGCCTCTCTAGTTAATATTATCAAAATGTAGCATTAATGCTTTCAAAGTAAAAACAGCATGTTTTACATTATTGTCTACTGAAAGTTGCACTTAAAGGGTTAACATCAGGCTTTTTCTTCAGAATCTGATCTGACCTCTCTTACGTTCCCTAACTCTCAATCTAAACAGAGCACAGCTAGCTGGTGAAATGTCCGACTCGATCTCTGTGAAGGAAGTTCCTGTGGAGAGACCCTACGCATGGGGCCTTTAGTTGGCCTTAATGGCTTCCTGTGGAAGGACTACTTTTTATTGTAGGGGTTTCCTCAACCCTATTTCCTGCTGATGTGAACATTTCCAGATCAGTTTTCTTTGGTGTGAATCTACTCTTTCCCATCCAAGTGTCAGGATTCCACTGTGCTTGTAAACAAACGACTCCTCCTGCACATATGCAATTGCTGCTCTGGTTATGCCTCAAATTATGTGTTACACATGACTATGGCTGAGAGTTATTTGCATTTTGTGGCTGAAAATCACCACCACATGGCATACCAGCTCTGGTTTTCAATTGATGTGTTTTTGTGTGTGTGTGCCAGCAGTAAAACCACCAGTCTCTCAACAAATCAGCGAGACATTTGTGATCATAAAGGACTGTGAAGAGAAGTGAAGTGGTGCATCTGCGCTTTAGCGAGGTGAGGAGTGTTTAATGACAGGTAAACTCAGGTGAAGCAGGCCAAGCAGAGTCTCTGTTACTGGCAGTGATTGCTGCTCCTCCAAAGGGGGATGAAATTCCACCCCTGTCCTCAACAAAGAGCCTGACGGAGTGTCAGTCAGGCTTAGTGATGTGCCTCCCATCCAATATTCACAAGCTCCTCAAGCTGTAAATCTACACAGCACAACCTCAACGCAGCAGAGGCAAATAACACGGAGACATCTCAATGTCTAACTGACATGCCACAGGTCTGGTTTACAGTAACAAAGCCCTGGCACAGGTTTCAAGGTTGTTGGGGTTAAGAGACAAGAAGTGAATGAGGTCAGACGAGTGTCCTTATAACAGAAAAAGTCTGTTTCAAAGCTTGCATGTGGTGATGATCATATTACTCAAATAAAAAGACACAAAAAAAAGGCCTAGCCCCACCACAGCCTAATCATGGTTAAAATGCTAAAATGTATAATTGGTTGTTTTTGACGTCATTGATTATCCTGTCACATCATATCACTGCAGGTGCTTTGCAATGCACATATGGCAATAAAAATATTGTCTGTTTCTGGTGTAACTATACACCTATAGCATGCGGATGAACAGGTATCAGAGAAACAGCTCTAAGGTTTGGGGCTGAAATTCCCATACAGTGAAAGGAACTATTTTAGAGCATGAAATGCTAAACTGTTGTAAAAGCAGTCACGGCTGCAGCTTCAACAATGACCTCATCGTGTCCTTTGGGAATGTTTTTGGCATGCTTTGCTGTGGGACAATGCTCAATGAACAGAAAAATATGAATCGCAGGCACCCCCCACCACACACACACACACTGATCTAAATGTAACAAAACCCTGACATTACCTCAGAGGGGTAACGTGGGGATGACAATTGGCACAGACAAAAAAGAGACCAGGCAGAGCCTAAGGCTGTGGCTCTAACTAACAGGGTGAGAGGATACACTAAGATCATCTCAGGTTATTTTCAGTCTGTCAGCAGTCCTCAAGAAAGGCTCCTCGACTTAGTCACAAAAAGAGCCAACAAAACAAAACCTGCCTCACTTGTTATTCCAATCTTAAAAATCTGCTTTTTTGTACTCACCCTATCTGCCTGTTGGTGGATGGAGCCTGAGTGATGACAGAGCTGGACTGAGGGGAGGGCAGGGCCTGCTGGATCACTATGCTGGTATCATGGTTGCCCATCCGTGAGTGGGAATGCTGGTGCTGGCCTTGGCCTGCCTGACTGTGTAGTGAGATGTTCTGCAGCGATGAAGGAAGGAGAAAAGTGAGAAGGGCATACAAGGTTAGGAATCCTTTAGGAGTGTCACATTCTTCACAGCAAGATGTATTTTCAACACAACAGTGTGTAACAAGCAATTACGTCTGTTTGGCCTTGGGCTCCTCTCACTTAGCTTGAGTGAGTAATGAGGAACTATATAAACTATGATCTACTGGCTTTTTCTGAAGTGATTTTGGAAAACAGTGAGAGTCTAATGAAAGCCAGGTTTATTTATTGCTATTTGCCCAGCAGGACAGTTTGTTTGCTTTACCTTTTTTACTTGTAGCAGAAACTAAGCCCAAAATAACCCTGAACTGGAAGTGAGGACAAAGCGCCACGCTTTGTGTATCTATGTGAAAACAAACACGCAATTGAAGAAGGTTGTACTGAATTTAATCCAAAAGGCCTTTGCAAAGATTTTCAAAAACAAGGAGAACACAGAGTCAACTTTTTAAAAATAGTTTAGTCTAACCTAGGGCTGGGCGATACAGGAAAAAGTTTATCACAATATTTTTTTCAAAATCAGTCGATATCGATGTGTATCGTGATATAAAAAATCAATGCACATTACTCTGCTTTATGTCTGACCTCAAAAAAACAAAATACCTCCACACCACCAACGTTTTTGTGCCAGTGTTGTCACCGATGTTGTCAGCTATTGAGCCTTCATCTGCATTTCTGCCGGGGGTAGATCTCATTTTCTTTTTTTCTCACCGACAGTGCTATGGTTGCGTGTAGCTGCAGCGTGCCACTACGCAGATGTTTCTTACATGGTTCTAATTCAGCACATGATTAGTTCAGTGTGGTGTGACCCGGAGCAACTCCTCTCTTCATTGGCTATTCGTATAGTCTACCAAAACATGGCAGACTGTCGAAAAGCATATTGAGCATGTTTCATATCTATATCAAGGGAAATTTATTTTTGATATATCTCATAATCGTTTTATCGCCCAGCCCTCGTCTAACCAATCCTAAATTAAATAAAATATGTATATCTGAAGTTTTTCTGATAAAACATGTTCTGATTGTAATTTACTACCAACTAATTGCTGTTTTCACTCTCACTTGCGTATTCTACTCTGCACTTCAACAGAGCCTTGCTTCAACTCGCTTCCTGCTGACTTAGCAGAGCCTCCCATCATAAACCACACAGACTAAGGGGGCCAGACCAGGATGACCTGAGAGCAGACAAGCTCCAGAGCCAAACCACCCAGACGACAGCTTAGCTCCAACGTACACTGCACATCTTTCCAGACATGAGATAAGCAGTCTGTCTTGTGGTGATTTGACGAGTACCCTTGTTTCAGGTGGAGATGCCTCAGGGCAGATCTATAATGCATAAATGATCACGTCCTTTGTCAAAAGTCAAGCCAAAGCCACTCTGCGCACATGTGAGAATGTCTGGTCGGGTCTTTTACTGCTGCAACAAAAGTTCTCTTGGGGGTTTGTCTTTGCACCAGGGACGAAACAGGACCCTTCCCTGAAAGCTGGCTGAAGATCTGTTTGAAGTTACAGGTGGAGAACCTGATCTTCTCCGCCCTGCCTATGGTGGGTGACAAATCCCCACCTGCTCACCCTGTCTGTCACTATCAACAAGAGTGATGAGGATCAGGGAGTGTGGTATCTGGTGCACAACAAATGCTGAGGGTATAAAAGAATGGCACCCAGCAACACATTTAAAGATATATATAAAAAATCAGATTTAAACACAAAACAGTTGGTATCATTTTATAACCTCTGTGGCTTTGAGTTCAGACTTTATTTTGAGACTTTTCTGTTGTGGTGGTACCTGTTTGCTGTCCTCTTCCTCCTGGGCCTTGCAAAACTCTTGCTCAATGGAGCAGTCCAGTTCACTAAACAGTCCCACCTCCTCACAGTTCTTCAGGAAGCGTGTTGGTGTGGGTGTCTGGTCTGGAAATCAAGGACATGTTTTCAAGTTAGCTTTTAAATTAGGATTGTAAATATCTATAAATATCAGGCTCATATTTGAATCTAGTTCTAATATTTTAACCTCGTATGAATAATTTAAAACCAGCAAAAAACAATAATCAACATGGATTTTATCATTTGATGTTCTGCACTACTGTCAGATAATAGCAAAGTTTAATTTGTGGTGACTTGAAACATATAAATACATGTAAAGAAGAGCACCAGACAAACACAGTGCAAATACAAATAAGTGAATGTTAAGACAAATAGAATGTAAGCATGATGGATGGTGTACAAATGAATATTAACAACTTAAAATGCTGTGAAAACATTCATTTTTTTGTCATTTATTCACAAAGGTTAACTTTCATGATTTATATTCATTACATAAAAATATTTCGAGCCCTTTTTGTTTCACTTGTAAAGGGTATGGCTTCTTAAGATCAATCAAAAACAGACTTTAAATACAGAAATGTCCAATTTCTGAAAAGTACACTAATTTATACTATCAGTACTTGGTTTGGGGCTCCTTTACCACAAATCACTTTCCAAGTTGAAAGTAAATGCTGAGCTGTTCCATGATATTCTAATTTGTGGAGGTGTTTTGTTTTTATCTTAAAGCTAAATTGATTCAGTGACTATAAATTACGGTTTATTCTTTAAATGTATTCATTCAGACCACAGTAAACCTTTTCCTAAAGTAAATGAATATCTACAGTAAGACTTGAGCTCAAAAAATGACCACTGTTGTCATGTGTACTGAAAGAAAACATAACCTCACTGCTGTTAGTGAGGGAGAGATACTGGGCCTGACAGCCCCATTTCAGCTGATAAAGTACAGATCCCACCTACTGAGTGGGGGTCTCACTTGCTGAGCCTGGTGGGGCTGAGGTATTCAACTTGACATTGTGGGGGGTTCACAAAGATCAGGTTTCAGACAGTTGAAGGTGATTTTAGGATCAGGCTTGTTTCAAAGGCTAAAAGCAGACTTTGTGGTCTGTTTATCCATTCTGGCTAGACCAGGGATTGACTCCAACTTTCACCATGACCTGTGGCCCCAAAATACAGTTTTATTCCAAATATAGTTTTTCCATTTTGGCTGAGAATGCAATCTGAGGTCTACTTATTTAAAAAAGACCTTTTTATGGGGTTTTTGATGAAAAGATACCTCCTATCAGTCAACAAAGAAGCTGAACTTCAGCCCAACAATTTAGACAGTTCAACATGAAAACAGTAGACAGTTTGTGATGGCCTGTTCAGGTTATGGTCTGTTCACATGTATGGCTGAACTGTAGCTTATAAGCACTGACCATTTTTCCTGAGTTCAAGGTCTGAATAAGAGGAATGGTCAGAGCTGTAACTCAGACAGCAGGCGATAAGAACACCCGGCCTAGAAAATCTGATCCTGTTGTTGGCTGAGCGTAAATAATAAAGAAGACACAATCTCCGTGGCAAAGACTGAGCAGCTCACAATGTTGTCTCCAATGGCTGGTCTGTTTCTACGAACAGAGATCTATACATAATATGTAGTGGCCTTGGTTTGACACCTACAGTACACAATCTGTGATTTGCTGTTTGAACATCTGATTTATGTCCCAATCAACATATCGCCTGGGGCTTTTACATCCCACCATCCATTGTAAGTCATCTCTCGCTGCCTTTAAGATAAAACTAATGACACGTCTGACACTCTATATGCACCCATCATACCTCACTGTCTCTGTATCCTCCTGTGTGTGTTGGTATGCACTGAATAGAGCTGAGCTGCAGGGTAAAGCGTGTCGTTTTATTTGCATTACTGTAAACAACCGGTATAGACATGCTAGGAAGTTTCCTGATGACAGACGTGTGTGTCTGAGCGTGAGTCATCGAGGCACACACCTGAAAATGAACTACAAGCTAAACATGAACCCTGCTGAGGTGCAGCGTGAGTCTGTATTGATGTGGTTGTAACTCACCTGATAACATGTTGTCGTTCTTTATGGAGGGGAACTTTAGGGTCATCTCATGCTTGTGTCGGTGGATCATCAGATGGTCCTCGGTGGGGAATCGCTGTTCGATATCAAGCAAAGAAAATTTGTATTTCATGCGAAAAAACAAAAAAACAAACAAAAAGACAGAAGTATTTCTTTTCTGGTGAAGTACAAAACACTGATGTCTTAACTTAAAATATCATTGACTCATATCTTTTTCCTTTTTAAAGGCAGCTTCTCTTCCATTTGGTACTTTTACACCTGCAGCCTTATTTACAGTTTGTGTTTCACTCAGGTCTACACTATTCTGTTTCTCATAATGCATGAGAAACCCAGTAACCCACTCGCTGGACCTCCTCAATGTACACCTCTTCACATTACAGACATACACTCACACAAGCACACATAGACATGTAAGCACCCTGGGCGGTTGTGTTGTGTTGTTTTATTTGGACACACTCACCTGAGAACAGCCAGGAGCGTTGCAAATGAACGGCCTTTCCTGGTCTGAGTTCATCACTCTGGCCGCCGTCTCATAAAACTACACACACACAAAAAAAAGGAAAAAAACACAAAGCGAGAGAGAAGAGAGGAAGTGAGTGACTTGAGTTTCCCCGCCAACATCCAAGAGGAAAAATAAGCTCATTGTGCAACTCCTGACATAAAATAGCCACTGCACCTGAAACAGCTGTGCGGTTATTTCAGTAATAAACAGACATTTTTCTCACGCTACGGTCTTCTAGTATCCAATAAAATGACATCAAGGGAAAGGTTCTGGCTTCTCAAGGACTGGAAATATCACATCCAATAACTCAGTACAGAGTAAGGGAAAGTATTCAAACAGTCACACACTTTCATACAATCATTTTTGTTACATATTTTATATTTCTAATCATATTAATTCAAAGTTGCTGTATAGTCAATTATAAAAAAAAAAACCCGTAAACAACAAATAATGTTTTTATAACACCCAATAAAACTTAACAATCTTTTCAATGTATTAATCATTCATTTCTGTCAGACCGGCTGTGTAAACAGAAGTACATTTACCTTTCTTGCAAGAGAGAGGTGTGAAAACTTCACATTTAAATTAGCACAATGACACAATGACACGATTAACCACATTTCAAGTTTCCAATCAAACAACACCCGAAAAGCTGAAACCACAGTGTTCGCAAGGGGTCTGAAGATGTTGTTTCTCACCACCACGAGTCAGATTCTGGTTTGACACCTCTCGAGCTGGTCTGGCAGCTATAACTGTCTGTGTTGTAATTAAAAAGACCTTTTTATTCTCATAAATCTAACAAAAGAGAAGATCTAAACTGTAAATTAAGGATCCTTTAACAGAGATACCCATGCAATACTCTATTTTTTTCCAGTTTCAGCTGCACAACAATCATGACAAGATTTAAAACACTGGCTCTGATAGTCTGTGGCTCCAAGTGAGAATGAAAAAGGAAAGTAGTGGCAGAGCAGCAATGCATAAAGGATGGGTGAAAAATTTTAGTCATTTCTTTAAAAAAAAGTTAAAAGTAAAAAACTTTAAATCATCAGTTAGCTTCAAGCTCTCAAATGCAAGACAATATATCTGTTTACCTGAAACCACTGCCAAATATGTACTTTATAAGTAATTGCTTATTAGACTCCAGGCATAGTCATGAATCATGTCAAATGGCAATGCCCTCAATTACTGCTTTAGACTGTTTAATAATTTTAAGTGAAATAGGGGACAAACTTTACCATAAAAGCCTGTTGACTGAACCCTGTAAGTAGACTAACAAACAAAGAAATTAATCAGGAACACCACAAAGTTGAAAAGGCTACACTTTCTGAGAGTGTTACTACATTTTACACAGTAAGAGAAATGATGCATTCTGCACTAAAAACAATAAAATAATGAAAGTAGTCTGAGTTTTTATGACTGGATATCAGTCAAAAACAAAAACTGAAAAAAAAACAGTGATAAAAAGAGCATTGAAACATCTTCTCAAGATCGAACCAAAAGTGATGACATGCTCATAAAAATCTCTGATGCAGGCTTTAATCATTCATCAAGTCTGATGTGCATGAGATGCCCTCTAACACTTCATTATTGAGTTAACAAAAGCTCATGTACTTGTACCTGTTCTGGGTATCTAAACTAACAGTTTGTTTGTAAGGTGAGGTGGAAAAAGCAGAACCATGTTCAAATAAGAAAAAGGCAACACTTCACTCAGATCGATTTCACTTTAAAATTCTTATGACAAATAAAGGTTTTATAGAAGAGGAAAAGTCATATTCATTACAAAAAGTACAACTGGAAATTTTTTAAACTTAAACTTTTGTCCTTTCTGCTTACATCATTCAGTATGTTCTGACTGCTGGCTGTTTTATTGCAGAGAATTTCTCAAATTAAGGTCCTATTTTTGTCCAGAGACAAACTCCAGACAACCACCACAGGCTCGTGCTGCAGATCCTCCACTCTATCTCTCTCTCTGGTGGATGTTTTAACGGACTGTGTGAGTGAGAAAAGTGTTAACTGGTCTTCATTAACCTTCTCTCAGAAGTAATCAACATACTCAGAAACCACTCTCTACTATGAGACAAGGTGCTGATCAATAGCAGGACGTTTTTTCTCTCTCCCTGCAGGTCTCATTGTACGAGACATGCAAAAAAGACATGACCACTCAAACTGAAATCTGAGTCAAATCTGAACACAGTTGACATAAATTATCACCTCCTTTTTTCTACTCCAGTTAGACCCTAAGTGAAAAGGGTCTGGTTCACCATGTAGGTATACAAAAAGAAATGACATCACTGCTCTGACATGGCAAAGATAAAACTTAGTGTAGATATTTGGGGATAAACTAAAAGTCCGGCGTAAAATGAAAGCATCAGACTCGCCTCTGTTGTGTCACTGCTCTTATCTCAAACATGGATATGTTTAATCTGAATCTATCACTAAGATAATATTTTAAAATGCAATGTCAAGTTCATACTATGCAATAAAATGATCACATGCAGTATTTGCTGAGGTTATCGTGCTCCTAGTAGTCTTATTTTTTTGTACTTAACACACATAACGCTGAGTAAATTTCTCTTGGTCTTAACTAGACCAAGAACAAATTATAAAAAATTTAAATTCAAGTGAATGCAAATCAATCCATTTCAGGCATGAATGCGTTCATACACTGTGTACATGTGTGTTGTTTTCATGGGTACAGACTATTTCCTCAAGCGCAGTCAAAACACTCAAATATTGTGTTATGCTAAGCAGTGCTGTTTTCCTAACAAGCCGTACTTCATGAGTGGGCCTGCAGAACAGGGTCTGGACAGGGTCTCTCTGTCAGGGAGCAATGAGCCCTGCTCTCTCTTTCTGTCACCAGCTCACCGAGTCTTTTCTACAGGGCCCCTGAAAACTCACCTGGTTCCCTGACACAACAAACATGACCAATGCTGCAGATCCAAATGAACACAAAGTACAGCCTGGATGACGGTAAACTCTAGAGCAGCAAAAATCCTATGGTCGTAATTCTAGTTATTCTTATGTTGACACAAGATTTGAGTTCACATTTCAAATGGACTTCACAGAATTTGTCTTTAACGCTTGTTACTGCTGTTTGCAGATTTTCATCCTTAACACCTGCACGACTGTGACTCACTTAATTTAAAACTTAAATGTTACAATAATTTGCCCTAAAGCATTCATCAGGAAAAAATGAGATAGACATCCATGATTTTTGAACAGATGCAAACATTTTGCTTTTACCTTCCTGTTTCTAAAATGAGACTTCATCATTTCATCACATTACCAGGAAATTCAAACCATATGAGGCATTAAACTTTTAACCATTAATTCTGTGAATGCCTCTGTGTATTATTCAATAGTTTTCACACTTCAAATAGTCTGAGCGCAAAGCCCTTTACTTGGCTCTCATTTGATATAGATGTTTTAGTTTAGCAGAGGAAATTTGGTTACACTTTACATTAACTATATCCTGATGTGTGCAGAAGAAGGATTAGAGTCCGGCGTTCAATTTCAAGAGAAACTGGGGAGGAATTCTCCAGGTAGACTGCGCATTAGAATTTAAACAATATGGTGAGGAAAAGAGGGGTTGGGGTGCAAAGGCATACGGGGTCAAAGCAAGCACAAACATGCACAGAAATTCTAATCTCCAGCTCCCCACAGCCTGGGCCTTTGACAGCACAAGTTCAAGGTGGGATCACGACGAAGCCTGGGGTGAAGAACATGGCCCTCTTTCTTAGACAATCTGCCCTGAATCTCTGCTCTGAGGAGTGAATGCGTGACAAAAAAAACACTATGATGTAAACCTCAAGAACGATCTGTTGCTGCTCTCTTAAACCCATAACTGACACAAAATGTCCCTTTAGATGACACAAATTCCACACCCATTACTCCTCCAAAAAAGTTTTATTTCAGAGCCCAAACAGAGAGAAACTTTCCACAATAAACTTGTATTCAGATAATAAAACATATGCAACATTTTTTGAGTTCTGTGGCCAAACTGATGATTGGACTTTGCGATTGTTGTTATGATTTCTGTTATTTGAACCCTTTCTACATTAGTTGTCATAAACAAAAGTATGTTTTACCTTGAAGTCATGCCTGCAGCAACTATCAACAAATAAAGGTCAACTTTCAATGCTGCTGGACTGTAATCAAGCTGAAATGTGTGCTAAATATGGGAAGATCTGGATCTATATCAAGGCTCTGAAATACCACAAACTATCCAGTAAGTTAAAACACTCTAAGGAGGCTGAGCGCTTCTATATTATGCATTTTTCTTTAGTAGAAAAGAGGATTTTGCTGATAAATCAATGTAGTGAAAAAATATTTCTATGGCAGTTTCAATATTTTGAAGTTCTGAAAATTTAAAAACACATTTGTAAAGACTACCTACAGTAAATAAAGGAAAATGCATAAAGTAATTATTTTCCAATCCTCACTACAGCTGCTTATTTCTCATGTATACAGTTATCATAAAGCTAAAGTAAAATATCAAATCAAAGTATAAACTCAGTGTGTAAACAATGTGAATTACTTCTGCCAGTTTAAGACTCTTAATACCTTTTATCATCTGCTATTAACACAGCCAATTTAAGGAGCACAGTAAGCCTCACATTGATCTACACAAGTGTGCCAGACAAACGGCCTGTTATTGATAGTGTTGTCACTTCAACATAATGACAGCAGAGACTAATCAAATGTTTAAGACATCTCTCTTCTTGTTTTTTTGTACAGTCTGGACCCACGGAGCGCGCACCGTCAGCACAACCTTCGTGAAAGTATCCCTCAACATCTCGGCGCTTAATCACATATCGACTGGCCTGCAGAATGACGTAATGTTGGTCACTTTGCTGGTCAAGAGAAACGGGAAAGCGTAAATTTCACTGGGAGCAGAGCATCACTCTTTTCTCTTTGACCGGAGTGACAGCGGACAGACTGAGCTTTCATTTCCCACACGGTCACTGGTGAACCACAGAGTCCGGGACGAGCGCCGGCTCTGCGTATCCCGAGACGGGACAGGCGTGACAATGATGCGGTTCTCCATCCGGCGTTTGAGAAATAACAGAAAAGCTACGAGGCGTGCCAAACATGTGTGATGTGCAATGGTCATCCTAGTCTGCAAAAACGCGTTTGGTTTGTTTTCATCAGACTTTGAGCTGAATTCCTGCAGACTTGTCTCTGCTGCTGCCTGACAGACAGACAGACAGACAGACAGTCCGAGCAGCAGCAGCAGCAGCAGCGGCACTTGACTCCGCGTTCAACTTCAACAACAGCGAACAGATACTCCGGCGAAGTGAAATGACAATGCACCCTCTCCAACGGACCCCACAAGACACTTTAACTCTTCGATTTGCACCAAGAAAATAAGTAACCAAAATAAATAAAAAGACGTTTTCAGCACGACTACTTGAAGCGAACAACAAAACAAGCTGTTGCATGAGGAAAGCAGGAGAAAAAGTCACAAGAATCTCTTTCAGCAAACACTACAGACCTGCAGAGGCGCGTGCACGGTCCTCTGCATGCTGGTCGAGGTTTTCAACTTACCAAACAAGTGTAGAAAATGTGAAGCAGTCTCTGAGAAGAAACCACGTTGGACTGAGAAAAGATTACAATACGATCTATTTAGAGAAGCATAACGTCACCCCCGGGGTGACGTCACGTGGGATTCCTGAACTTCTAAATCATTGCGGTCTGCGTGGAGGCGGCGCGTGCGGGGCGGAGTTTGCAAAAAAAAGCACGCCCAGAGGCACGGACAGGACAGTGCTGGAGCTGGAGTGGGTGTGGCTCAAAGCTGGGTGTCATTTACAGACAAAACAGGCATGCAAATGAGAGCAATGTACCGCATCTTAAAAGTGATGGGACCGATAATAAGTGTCTACTAACCATGGCGAGCTCAGTTAACTGAGTGTGACATGAGACAAATCAAACCCACATTTCTCTTCTTAGAATACCTCCGTTCAGTGTCTGGAAACTGTGCAACAGCTAATGTAAATCCAATGATTAAACCATTTTTTTTCGACCCTAGAGTTCAAACATTATAGGCAAAAGTAAAACTAATGTTCTGTGGCAATCCACACAACATTTTGATTTTCATAGAAGGAAAAACACATCATTTTAATAATATAAATTAAGCCTCTCTCAATCAGAGTGAAATGAAGACTGTTGGACCTTTAGACTCTAGTAATTGTATGTAGTTCAGCCAAAATTAATTGTTTTATTTTAACCTTTGCTTTGATCACTTTAGGATGTCTAAAAATGCCAAACAATGTTTCATTAAAATTGTAGTTTCATTATTAGGGGAGAGTGGGGTTATTTGAGCCAAAGGGTAAGTTGATCCACCCCCTGTTGCTTGGAAATGGTAAAAGAAATTGATCATATGACTAAATATTTAGGAGATGGGCATCAATTCATGGACTCTGTGAAGGTTAGAAGCACATGGGTGAAGGGGTTAGACATTTATTTAGAAAAGAACATTTTGCACTCTTGAAATTGAATTTAGTCTGTCTAGTTTTATTAGAATTGTGTTCAGACCAAAAAACATCATTTTAAATTTGTTTTATAAACTAATTGTGGTATCTATGAGCTACAACATGAGGTCAAAAACCTAGTATAAAAGTTCACAATTTTAGCTTAGAGGACCAATAAAGTCATAATAGTAGTTCTGGGGTAAGTTGAACCATTTGGCCAGGGGTAAAACTGAGAAAGTCTGATGAGAGGATCAGAGTCTCGGTTCAGATTGTTGAAATGTGTTACTTTTTCTTTTCAAAAATACAGCTGTGAATGTTTTGAATCACTTAAAGACATCCTCATGTTAAAATGGCTTTTTATTAGTAGGGATACGGCTCAACTTACCCCGCTCCTATGGTCAACTTACCCCATACACGGGGTAAATGGACCATAGGAGACCACTTTTTTTGCCATGCTATATTATCAATCCAGTAATGTTTACACTCATTCTGTTGGTTTGCAGGGATGCACAACATCTTGAAATATATGCAAATACACTAGTTAGAGACAAAACTATGATTGCCTTGATGTAGTGATCTGAAATATGAAAAATGACTCATCTTACCCCACTCTCCCCTACATGAAAAACATTTGATATCGAGTCCTAAGAACAGGGGAAATCTTCACACCACAGGAATATTCAATACACCAGAAACTATTTTCAATTTTACCCAGTCATTTAGGTTGGCACTGAAGGAAGCCCAATTTCTGGCCCCTTAATTTTGGCAGCACATCCACTTGAGCCAGTTCATATTTCAGGATTGGTGAGTTTTTGGGTTTAAAGCAATCCATTAGAGTTCACTTTAGATGGGTCACTGGTCTGGCTTTGTGGTTAAACCACACCCCATGTACAAAGGCTATAATAGGGAGAATGGGGAGGCAGGGTCCCCTTACCACATGTCATTTCCCACTCACTTTTCCCTGTTTCGGCTATTACATCCACCACCCCCTTTCTCACAATGCATAAAAGCCCCAAACTTAAAAATTACAGAACAGTAAACTTTTATTTCCTCCAGTGCTGTTAAATATAGTCAAAGCAAACTCAACTTTGTCACAATTTCCCTTTTTTACTTGCATACATCATCGACAGCTTCACCTGAAAACCAAATGTGAAAAAAACACATTGATTTCTTACTATCTCCTCTGAAAGTGGTCCTTGGCTACAGCACATTAGATGAGATTTAAACAAATTTCTGTTAAGAGCTCTGTGTGACCTGCTGGTGCCAACTGGCTGTGATTTCTTGGGCCACAGACACTGATGGTGAAGCCACCCTGGGCTCCAGGGATTAATGACTCCTTGTACGCTGAGAAATGTTTACCACTCGCCTGCGACCACTCCACTAGACATACTAAGAGCTCTGTCACTGAAACAATAACGCAGTCTGAAAAGCCCTCATAACTCAGAGCTCCTCCGCCTCTGTCTTTTAACCAGAGCTTTAATCAACGTTTATGACATCCTTTTGTCTCTTTATTGCCAATATATTTTCCAACCAAGCCAAACATTATGCTCCCAGAGGAGCAGACTATTAAGGTTGGAAAGAGCCGATACAGTTTTGGGTCAGTGACCCACACTAAAGCAGATTTGATCTATATTATACTAAACCTTTTATTATTATGCCTTTGTGCAGAGCTTGTGAGAAAGATCACCTTGGAAAGATTAGCCCCGGTGAGGATGCTTTGTTGCAGCAGGTGCAAAAGGTGAAGGAGGCTAAATCACAACCATGTCATACAGGTTTTCAATTTTACAAAACGTAAAACACTTTAAAAATAACTCACTTTAAGAACAGAGGTCCAAAAAATAAAGACTGCTAAGAAAAGACTGTTTCAAGTACTCCAGACCTCAAAGTAGAGATGATTGTGCATGCAGAGATGACAACGCAGGACTGTCAGTATCACTGTGTGGCACCACAAACACCCCTGCAAGGCTAGTAAGATAAGTTGATAAGTTTTTACACTGCGAATTCAGTTCTTTACTTCATTTATAGCTATTACCCAAAGTGTAAAGTTGCATAAATCTTTGAAAGGTATTTTGAAAGGGTATTAATCAATTATCAAAATAAATGTATCTATTATAATTGACGCTGAAATTCACTGCTATTGTTTTACTCTGGGGTTGAAAGTCTTTGCATACCTCAGGTACATCTCAAATTTATCTTTTTTTATTATTTAACAATGTTGACCAAGGTATTCTGAACAAGTTTCAGGTCAAAAACAAGATAGTACTCAAAAGAAATATCCACAAAGCCAGTAGCTTTTAGATTATAACATTTCAAAAGGTGTGCAGTAAAGAAGGCATCTAACAATCATACTATTTTTCTGCTTATTTTGGAAGTTGATAAGGGGTTAATTGGTGCAGTGATGTTTTTAAGATTATTGGCATATATAGAGGTTTTTAAGATGGATTAATTGTAATTATGTTTTGTGTAAATCTGATTATTTTGGAAACTATAAACAAACAAATTAAAAGCATTGGTTAAGTTGGAAAACCTAATTGAGGCTGATTTTGACAAAATTAGTGCTAAACTTAAAAAAGTCAGACAGAGCTGTTCACTATTTGATTTCATTCTGAACTTCTGAGAATAACAAACTAAGCAACTGTTGCTTGATGGGTGACCTTTAAAGTTTCTGGAGTGTCACTAAAGTGCTGATGATGTTTATCAAAGCCTGAGGGTGGGTTTAAAAAGATCTCCTGTAATTTTTTCATTCACTGTTTTCAGTGCCAACGACAGAATCTATTCATGCTGCTGCTCTCTACATTCCTAAACAGCCTAGAACAAATACCATTTCATTTAGGTTTATGGGAATCTCAGAAATTCCTGTTTCTTTAAACATGAAATAATTTTAAGGTCTTCATGTTACAGGCTTTTAAAAAGAGTAATCTTCCTCTGACTGAAGGTTTGAAACCAGTTGGACTTGTGATCTTGGTGGCAAAGCGTCACTGTGGAACTGAAAGCCTTGTTCAACTCAGCATGTGTGCAGGGAGGTTCCCACTGTAGATAACCTCAGTGACATTCTCCTACTCAGACACTCAACCCCACTCAACTAGTGACATTAGGTGGCTGTGACCGATGCTGCCTGTGTGATGACTTAGATCTATTCAAGTGTAAGATGATGTAGTCGCTGCTTATAATTTGTGGCTGAGTAAATCACTACTCTGACACCTGAACTTTGCTTCTGTATTATACTCAAACTAAATCATTAAGGTAATTTCTGTGAGCATTTAAAAATGTCTGCCTGTGGCCGAGTTTTGTTAAGTGTCACCTGAGTTTTTATGGATTATTTTGGATTAATTTTGAAAGCAACTTGCCATTTTTCATTCTATCCTGTCCTGTATATTAAAGATGGCCTTAAAATCTTGCTGAGTTGGTGTCCTCCAAGGGAGTAGCTCATCAAATACAGATAATTTATACTTAAGATAAATTCAAATGTTACTTTCACATGAGAATGTGGTATTCTATTTTGTTTGGAATAACTCTCTTTTGAGAGTGTAATGGTACAAATCAGAAGAATTTAGGTGTTTCCCTGTTCTTTAAATGTGTGGGAGAATATTAGCTCAAACTTGGATCACAGAGGGCAGCAGGCTTTAGTCACTAACTGGCAGCTGCAGGATGTGACTTTTCTTGCGCTGTGTTTCTACATGAAGTTTAATAACATGTTCAGTGAATCTCTTGCGCAGACAATCCCAACTATCTCTCTTACCTCATCGACATGCTGTACATGTGCCGTAACAAACCGAGGATGTCAATAAATAGCATCAACTTTAAAGTTAAAGCCCCCCAGCTTCCTCAGACACAAGGCTGTGTATGACATAATGCTCTCAATGTAATGTCTCATGGTTGTCAAGCAAAACTGGAAAAATGTTCTACCATCACTGTGGTGCCTGGTTTTAAATTGGGCTGGGCACCATGATGTCCCATTACACCATCACCAGGCACAAACTCAAAGGTACAACCCAGTCAATAAATGCAAAAAAATTAAAAAGAGAGTAGATGTAATATTTTCATTCAAAAATCTGGCAGCTGAATTCCTCCCTAATAAAGCAATTCTACGTTTCCATAGCTGTACACGAGATGATCATTTGTATTTTCTACAAGGGGAGCTGCAGTCTTACAGTGCGCAGGAGTTTTTTTCACCTTGCAAATGATTGTATTGCTCCTCATCTGCCTCCTCGTGCACTGAAAACACAAACCAATAACTTTATTTAAAAAACAGGATCAAAATATTTTACATTTGTTTAAGATGAGCAAAGTTGTCAACTTTCTGTGACAAACAATTAAATGTTTTGTGCCATACTAAACCGCATCCATAGGAAATGGACCATTTGTCATGGACCAGCTGCATCAAATTAGCCATATCTTCCTGAAACTATTAAAAAATCTGAAGAATAGAGAACAATCAACAAAGTTATATCAATGGTCTTAAATCAATGTAGAAAAATAGGAACAGAAAACAAGAGGGATAATGCCCTATTTGGATGTTGTTACAGTCATACTACAAAAAAATTTTGTTACTGTGTTTTGTTTTGCTTTTTTGTTACTATTTAGCATCATGATTCATGTCTGCAGTTAGTGTCTAGGTGAAATTTAGAATTGTTGAAGAGCCTTTAATTACCTCATGCACAAAACAGGAACAACTCCTGTCCATGTATTGAACAACAGTGCCACACTGTGGCTGTAAGATTTCAGCTACCTGTTGATTCAGCGTGTTATCTTGGCTGAGGCCAATGTATTAATGGCATTCATTGTTAAATTGTAAATTATTTACAGCTTGATATTCAAAAATTAATTATGGTTTAAACAACACACTCCCTCTGGGAAGGCAAGTAATGAAAGGGGAATTGAATGGATGAAACATAGGAGGCAGATTTGTTTCTAGATTATGATGCCAATAAAGCCACTGTTTTTCTCACTTTCTCATTCATCCTACCCACTGAATAAACTTTGGCCACATGATCTGTCAAGTCTGATGAAATAACACAAGACTAGTTCCCTGCAACATCACTATTACAACACTAAATTCTCAAAAGTGATGTTTTTTGTTACACTACTGAAATGCAGATGGATTAGTCGAATTTTATGTCAGTCAATATCATAACTACTTGTTCATTATCTTTTTGATTGAACCCTACTTTGTCTCAGTCAGTTGTGTTTTAGTTTCTTTTTATTTTACTGAATTGTGCCCCTAATGACAATTCAATCACTTCCACAATTCAAAAGTTTTATAATTCTGAATATAATCAATATTTTATCATTAAAGTTTAGAAAAGCATCCAGGCACAGAGCCTCATCAAATGCATCAAGTATGGGAGAGTGGGGTAAGATGAGCCATTTTTCACATTTCGGATCACCACATCAAGGCACTCATAGTTTTGTCTCGAAGTAGTGTATCTGCATAAATTTCAAGATGTTGTGCATCCCTGCAAACCAACAGAATGAGTGTGAACATAACTGTCTTGATAATATAGCCTGGCAAAAAAAAGGTCTCCTATGTTTACCTAATTTCTGACGTGTTCATTATCTGAAATTCTGAAGTTGAGAAAATCATTGCAATGTGATGAACTTATTTAAAAGTGGCAGCACTACTTGTAAGTGTCAGTTGTGCATGGGAACATTTTTAATTTCCCTTTACGGATAAATAAAAGTATTTTATTTTGCTGACTGATGACCAATAACAAAAGAGCCGATCACGTAAGATATTGTAACTTGTTAACAACTGTTGTGTAACGTTTATAAATTCACACATATTTGATAAAATCTAGGTGTTAAGTTTTGTTAAAATAGTCTGAGCTTTTGCAGTCAAAGCCGACCCGCCGTACTTCCGGACTAGCTGTTGCTCCCTGGCTGGTTTGAGGCTTGACGCACCTCTCACCGCACCGCCCCCACCGCTCCAGCTGTTCTCACCGCTGTCCGCTGCTGCTGTTACACCGCTGCTCGCCGCTGCTGCTGCCGCCGCCGCCGCCAGCCCTCATTTCCAAGGCAGCAGCGACCATGACAGGCATCGCAGCTGCTTCTTTCTTTTCAAACGCTTGCAAGTTCGGGGGCTGCGGACTTCACTTCGACTCTCTGGCCGAGCTCATCGTGCACATCGAGGATAACCACATCGGTAAGAGCCGAGAAGTCATGAGCGCCGCCGCAGCTAGCAATGGCCGAGGTTTGCAGCCAGCAGGAGTGGCTACGTTAGCAAGCTAGCAAGTTACTTCCTGCGTCTTGACAACCCTGTTGCTAGGTGTGGTGGCTGTTGATGTTACTTTACTGAGAATACAATCCCTCTACTCCACCTGAAATTCTCTAACGACGCTTTATCATATAAAATACCGCGTTGCTACCCGCGGGGCCACACCGACACACCGACAGGAAGACTTTCTTGACGCTCCACTGGGTCGCTGTGAATCAATGTTTGTAGTGTGAGGCCCACACGCAGCGCTGCCTCGGAAGCCCGTGAGCCAATGAAGGCACACTGCTCGAAAACAGCCAGCTTCAATTCACACGATAACAAAGTTTAGTATACCACTGACAGCGGATACACTGTTTAACATGCCAATGTCTTAAACATTTCATTTATTTTAAAGCGTCAAAAGTTTCAAATCAGTTTTGAAATGAAGGAAAAGCTTTTCACTGTGCTTGGTTTCAGTCAATCAGTCCAGTTGTGAGGTTTTTGGCTTTGACATGGTTGGTACATAGCATTTTGTTAATCTGTCTGAATTATTTATGACTGTGTCGGTGTCATTTTTGAGGTGATTTACTGCCAGTAGACAAAAATAGACAGAGATATAGAAAAATAACAAAAAGGGAAACCTATTTTTAAAATCAAATAATTTCATGGATTAAATTTCATTTAACAGATGGTAGTCATTATAAAAATGTTTTCTTATTGATGTTATATTGATATGTTTTGACAGATTATATTATCTTTAAGACATTTTTTAACTAATAACATAAAAGTTATACAAAAATAGCCAGACTCAAATCCTGTGGTATCCTGTGGTAATTTAAAATAATGTTAGATGCATTCTTAAAAAACATGATAAAAGCTGTAGAGCACACAAAGTGATGATAGCCAGTTAAATATACTACCCTCCTTTCTGTATATAAAATCCTACCACTATTAGCTAGCGCCACCTCTGGTTAAGATAGGGTAACACAATAACACAGTAAGGGCTTCCTGTTGGTATAAGTCAAAAACACATATTTAACCCACTATAAATTGAAGTATCCGGTATTAGCAGTTATGGATAAATCAAGATGGGTTAATATGTGAGAAAATTGTGTCAGAGTTTCAGAAAAACATTTTTAAAGCAGCTTTATGTTTACTGTCAAAGGCTTTCTTAGACTTTATTCCCTTTATTACTATGGTAAAGGCCAAAGAGATTCATTTATCACTTCATATTTGTTGTCTGCTTTAGTCCCATTTACTTTAATGTTATGTCCATGTATTCTACTGAAGTACATAAACCCATATTTTGAAAGGTAGCTGCTAAGGCTTATCCTATATGCATTGAACATACATACAATGTAACATTTTGCTGAAGCATGAATATGTTTTATTAAGTTGTAATCCAAAAGGAGGCCACACCCCTTCCTTGTTTGACACTCTGTTAGCTCCTCCATCTGTTTCCTAATCTAATATTTCAGACTCTTGTGATTGAAGCTGACAAGGCCCAGCTGTCTCTGTTGTTCTTGTTTGTTGCTTGACTGGCTTTAATATCCTCTGCCCTCTGATTGTGTGCTGTGCATGTGTCCAAGGTGTGAGCTTAGGGAAAAAAATGCCTCTGAATGACTTATTGGGGAATAATGAGGCAATTAGTTGGCTGAGAGTGGAAAAACTTTGTTGCCCCCCTCCTTTGTCCGCTGGCCGGTGCCCACTCTGAGAAGTGCGAAATCTTGCGCGTTGTGCCAAGTGCCTGTGAAGCATAATTACAGACAGAGTGCTTGATTTGGCCTGTCTTCCTCCTCATCTGGTGGCCTGCTGCTTAAAGTACATTCTCCATTATAATTAGGCGCCTGGAAAACAAGCGCACATTTTTGTCCTTGTTTCCCCACCCGGTCCGTGGGCTTGGTTTGTGGACAACAGGTGGCGCTGCTCTGCTGTTGGTGGATAAAGCTGTCTTGAGGGGCTTGGTCTACACAGTAAAGGCTTATGGTATATGTCATTGGCCAAATGTTTCTTGGCTCATTTAACAGCACATTGTTTTGTGTCATAATAAACATCTCAAAGGGCCACACTAGTATGAATGTAAAACATGTAAAAATTTCAGTTTGAATAAAACATTCAATAGTTCCTAAAATTAAAAAAGGAAAACAAAACAAAACAATAACCATCCCACTTTGACTTTTCTGAGCAATTGAGCCAAACTATGAGAATTGAGATTTAAGAGAGAAACACTATCAACTTTTCAGACACTGTCCATGGCTCATTTTGTTCCAAATGAAAAAAAAAAACATGCTACTCACTGGAGTGTGTACTCTGTCACTGAGCGACAAGGCTGCTGTGACATAGAAGCAAACAGCAACCATGTTATTCAGACCTGTTAGTGTGTGTTTATATGTACTTCCAGGGTCTGAAGCACACAGGCTGACAATATGTGTGTTTGTTGCCAAATCTTACTGAAGGCTCATTTAGTACATTTTTGTATGAACCCCATGCACAACCTGCCCGGAAGTAATAAATTTGGGGAGCAGTAATTAGTTCCCCGATCTGTGCACCTGGTGGGCCTAATTCCACCTCACCATCCCCCCGACACTGCAGCTCCTGTTCCTGTGTGGTGACTGCCACATGAGGGGCTGCTGTACTTGTTGAAACCTTCCCCATAGGAGATAATGTAAAGCTTGTGCGGCCAAACACATCATTGAGGTTATAGTTTTATGCAGATCAAAAGCCATTTTCTGCTTTATTTTAGAAGATTATGTTCAGTTCTTATTTAGAAATGTTGAACATGAGTTTTTCAGTCGAAAAAGTCCTTCATTTTTTCAATAAATGGATGCTTTCTGTGTATTATTATGCAATGCAAACCATGCTTGATTTCATTTAAAATATATCTCACAAGTCTTATGACCATGTGCACAAGCCTAAGAGCATCTGGGCAACATTATTAATTGAACTGTATCAGGGATCATAACCTTGGTCTGCTCAGGATTAAAGACACATGACTCCATGCTCTGACCGCTGACAGGTTTATTTAGTTGTCTGTTGAAAATGTTTCAGAAGATATATAATGTTATTTAAATCACAGTAGATTACAAAGTATTAATGTTTATTAACAAACAACGCTTTTCTGCTTCGCTTGCATATCAGTCCTCTTCTCCACACACACACACACACACACACACACACACTCAGCCTGCACATCTTACAGTGGTGGCTGTCAAAGATGTAGCAACTCAGTGATACAAAAGTAAAAGTTCAGGAAAAACATCAGCAGTCTGAGAGCAGAAGGATCAGGTGTGTGTTAGTAACGTAGAGGAGACAGACTGAGCATGGTAAATGAATCTGCCTCACTAATGAGGGTTAAAAAGCTCATGACTGCATGGCTAAACAGTGTGGACCAATAGGTTTGTATTATTAAAAATCTAAACACAAATATAAACACAAAATTATGAGCCAAAGTCTTCCAGTTTTGAAAATGAAGGCCAAAAGACTGTATAAAACTTAATGTCTTCAACTGTAGATCATCAAAGTCCCTGTAAAAGTAAAGCTTTGATGCTGCAGTACTTTGCCCCTGCCAGTGTTTTACTACTGTATATCACATTGCTGAATAAACACACTTGATGTATCACTGAAAAAAATTGAAGACCATGATAGTTTAGAATTTTAAACCTGTAATATTGAACCAGTTGTTAGTGGTCAGACCAGCATTGGCAAGTTGTGAGTTGTAGAAAACGTCCCTGTCATAATAGTGATGAATAATCTCAACCTTAATCCTGATTTTAGAAAAAAAGAGCAGGGTTATCATTACAGCTGTGACCATTTAGTCCGAGCTAACCCATCCCAATTCAGTTTAAGTGCAGTGGATTGAAACTAGAGATGCACAAATGTACCCACTGAAAATTGGTATCAGCTGACTTTGATATTATTCACAAATATTATCTGTCTGTCTGCAAACAGAGTGCCATGATTTGTTATCTTTTGTATCACACCAATAATGCTGGTCAGCCAGTACATCTTACTGCACACCAGGCAGAAGAAGTCCCCTGATGGACTGATCCTGATTTGCTGTCATGGTGTTGGTGGTTCGAGAGAATTACATGATCTTAGAAAGATAAGCAAAATGCAGTTTTGAGGACATGTTTCACTTACATTTATAGATGAGAAACTACAAGCAACAACTAATATTGGTCTCGTAAGTGGTTTAAAAAAACAGGCAAAGAATTACAAAATGGTAAAAAAGAAAACATCAGAATTGAATATCGTCAAAATTGTTCTTTTGAATATTGACACCAGAGTCACCCTGACGTCCCCAAAGGGTGCATCCTTAATTTAACCAAGTTTAGAAGCGTCGCTTGTGGGCTATAAGAGTTTTGGCACTGAATGTAGCTGCAGTTTAAACCTTGATGGGATCATATCAAAGATGGTAAATACTGTATCAAGTCATAAAACATAAAAACAAAATTGATAATGTAGATTTTTTACATTTTACAATAAACCGAGAGCAGAAATGTGAGACTAATCTCAGATATGCGTGTACACATTTTAGTTGCTGTCGGATTTCGATATATTTATAAAACACCACTTTAGCCTCCTTTTGTTTTTTCACTAACCCACAAAGGCAGCTTACACATGGAGCTTGACTCTGTTTCATTTCCTCCTCAGAGGTCACATCATAATGAATTACCTGTGCCACCACTCCTGGTAATGTCCCCTGCTGCTCACAGCCGCCATAAACATGTCACCATAATGCTCAGCACTCTGCTCTACCCCACAGTGCATTTGGCCGTGAGGCTGGATAGAGAGCCAGACGATGGTGGAAATGAGAGAGGAGGCTGTGCGTCTGGTGTGTGTGCATGCGTGTGTGAGTTAGAGGGTCGTGGAGGGCACTCAGAAAGGGCAGTAGGCGTCACTTCCCCCATTGCCTAAGGAAGGGTTGTTGTGTGATCGTCCCTTGGTTTCCTGTTGCGGGTTGTCAGGGGCCCTAATGAGAGCATACATGGCATCATGTTTTTTTGCACTCATACACAGCAGCCACTGACTCAGTCATTGTCCCACTCAGATGTTGCTATCAGTGCTTCATGTAGAAAGTGAAATAAGTGACACATCAAAGAAATTATATGCAAAGTTTTAGGGGAACTAAATGTTTAGCCAAGAGTTGGTTGCACTTTCATTTATGTTTTATCGCATTTACTCAGACGACTTATTTGACAGCTAAGCAGCTGAGTATTTTATTTAAGTGCAGATCGAGATGACATTCTTTGCTGGTCAATGTTTTAAACCCCTTCTGTTTTGCTTCTCTGCGTCTCACTTATCCAACACCTGACTTTTCATTTTGTACATAATCTGTCACTGTGTCTTAAAGGAAGTGATTGTTTGCTCAGGAACAAGTGATGGTGAGTAAATTCCCTTCTTTGTTTCCCAGAAGGCCTCTAACAGTTGCCACCAAGGTGGACCACCTGTGTAGTTTGATTAGAGAGGTTCTCATCTCTACATGAGGCGCCTTCATCCCAGTTCTTGCCTGTTGGTGGCCCCCAAAAGAACAGCAGAGTCTGCGGGGGTCTGGCCCCTGCAGGCCCCCCCTCTCCCCGGTCCCCACCTGAAGTGTGTGTGATTTACAGCGTGTGGGAATAGATTGATCCGCTGCTGTGGGAGCAGTCTGTGAGCAGGCTGCCATGCTGCTCTTTGAGGCTCATTAGGGATCTTGGGAGGGGTTTGGTGTGTACTCACGCACACACATACCAACACACAGCGCTCAGAATAGTCTCTGCACTGCCTCTGGCTTCAGGCAGGGGAATAGTGCTGTTATAAATGTGTCTTTCCTACTTGGTGTTTCCATGAGTTTGGCTGAAGTGTAAAGAGAGGTGTGCTGTCCCTCTCACTGGGGATAGATCCACTGTTAATGAAACACTTGCCTGAGACTCAGGCCCTAAGAGAAAATTCCTGAGCTTCTGGTGCTGAGGGTCAAGATGTTTTTTCAGCCTACCTGCCACTGACATACAATTCTGACACTTTTTTCTTTGTCAACCTACCTGCCTGGGTTAGAAGATACAGGGTGTCTATAATCACCCTTGTCCTACTGTTTTCAGACGGCTGACTACTATTAGACCCTCTGTGTCTTATGTGCACTGAGATTGGTTTGAGTTTAACTTTACTGGTCAATATAAACTTTCACCTTCTTCATGACAGAGAGCTCAACCAGGACCTTATCATTACAAAACAGAGTGCAGCTTTCACTCTTCTTTGTCTGTGTGTACACATAGTTCTGTGCTTTAAAGTCCCATTCGGATCGCCTTTTTTTTTCTACTTAAACTATTCTCAGTGGTCTTTAAAAGTTTTCACCAAAAATCGTGTTACCTGTGTCATTTATAAGGGCTTTTCGTCTGCAGAGCTCCAGTAGCTCATTAGCAATTCGCCTCTGAGTGGCGGGCAGAGACAGTGCTGCTCTGCACACTCGTCTTCACGTTAGCTTGCAGCCTAAAATTGTCGGTGTAGTAGAAGTGGCAGGTAACATAAGAGCTATTCAGCTCTTCAGCTCACGATAAAAGCTAATATAATTAGCTTTCTTACAAGCATTGCAATTTGCTAATGCACACACTTGCTCTGTGATTGTCCTCTGTATTTCTCCTCTATATGCAGAGTGTGGCCTGCATAGCGGGGCTCCGGGGGCGGAGCTTGGATTGGTTACGTATGAAATCTCAAAGTTTCTGAACCTGCCATTTGGGCCAGTCAGAGATTCACAGTGAATTGAATGAAGAAATACTCAGAAAAGCAATTTCGCACTTAGTTTTCTCATGATTTGTCATGCAGCATCAGAAAAATGCCATGTGAACATATAAAAAAACAAGAAAAACATCGGAGTGGGTCTTTAAATCTCCACCACACTTTTAGGTATCTCTACATTGCAGTCGGTGTAGATCTCTTGTCATTGCCTCATGACTGGACAGGTGGGTGTGTTTTTAATAAACATCACTTTGAGAATACTTGTACAAACTCAAAATGCATGCTCATTATACAGTAACAACCAGGCGAGGCATAGACACTGAGGTGATATTAAAACGACACGTAGGAACACAAAAGTTAATAAATATCAAATGTTAAATGGATATACTGTATTCTGATATCGGGGACCATACTTATCAAAGCTTTTTCCAGGATGGTCCACCTGAGGGAGATGAAAATGGTTTTAAGCTCTCCCACCCATTACCATATAGATAGACAATACTCGCTCTGAAACACATCGACTGCTAACAAAGTCCTGCATTTGAGGCATAACCTGCAACAAGTAAACAACCTGAACATCAATGCTAAATTTACTGAAGAAGGATTTACATGTGATCCCGCAACACGTAGTTCCAATGTTGGGTGGCAACTGTTGGCGGGGATGGATATAACCAGAGACTCATAATTTTTCTGCTTTCAGTGATTCTGCCTTAGGTTTAGTCAGCAGTGCAAGCTGTGCTGAGATAAACCAAGCACGAGGAGCAATTTTTGATGCCTGTTTTTCTCTTCGTGATTAATGTGTATCAGATGCATCTCAGTTGTTATCCCCACTAAGTGAAAATGCCTCATGCTGTTCCCAAAACACTGCCAAAAATAATTTCCCCTTTGGTCAGGGGTATTTTAGTTCAATACAAATTAACTGAAGAGCCTGTTTTTTTTTTTACTTTGACAAAACTTTTTTTAATTGCTATAGCTGAGAAGAAATCTGTTTGTAGGTGTTTGGTTCCGGTCTAACAAACAAACAGGAGTGTAAGGCCATGTAAACCTGCTTTAGGTTGGCTGTAAACGAGAATGACTCAGGCTTTTATGACAGCCTGTCATAGGTGTTGCTTACCCCTTTAAGCAGAAATTCTTTAATTACACTATTTCCATATGTTTTGTATCATTGCCCCAGTCATTGTGAAACTTTGTCAACAACAAGGACCGGGCTGTTTTCTCTTATTTAACTTGCTGAGTAAGCAGATTCATTTAATACTGCCTGTAGTCGTTGTGCCTTACCAAAGCACATTTACAATTTGAATGCTACAAACAGCCTTAGGTGTTTGTGTTGTGTTGTGCCTAAATGAGCTTGTGGATGGAAACAAGCATTAGTTTTAACCACATGGGGGTAGCAGCCCTTCACAGCTCTGTCAGAGGCAGACAGGGAGGCTCAGCTGGGAAGTGGTCGACACTGTTGTTTTATGGGGCATCTCTCTTCTCCCACATGGATGGCAGAAAGAAGAGCGTTTGAAGTCAGGCCCGCTTCACCTCAGGGTGTGGAGATTGGCTATTGTTGTACATTTAGCACCGCTCAGCGAGATGAATGTCTGGAGCGCAGCATGGGGAAACACAGTATGTGTCAAGTGTGGTCATGTATGAGCAATGCGGTGTCTGCTGTGCAGATTTACAAAGAAGGCCCTGGAAGTCCTCAAGAGGAGGCACTGGAGATTTTACTTTGTCTTTGTGTATTTTCAACAAAAACATTACTATAGTAGAAAATGTTTGCAGTGTAAAGAGAATTCAGCTCATATAACAATCTATAACCACTGGAAGAAAAGAAATCATGAAACCAGCAGCAGCTTGAACACTGTTAAGCTTTTCCAGAAACACTAAACTGACTGCAGCCCATACAATGGTACATGACAACATCTTTAAATTGTATATATGAATTACAGAATACCATAGATTTGGTGAAATCCCCCCAAAAGCTTTTTTAACCTTAAAGTCAAACGAGCTTTCATGCTTTTAGAAGGACCAACTCTTAATGCCTACACCTGATGTTTACCCAGTTCAGTCTGCCACTGCTTGCTAATCAGGGACACTGACGGGGGATCATTTCGGAGGCAGGAGTGTACATGTGTAATCTTCCATGAAATTCAGAAGATACAGAAACAGTTAAATCCTCATAGTGAAGAGAACGACCACTTATGGGATCAATTATAGACTGATTGATCTGCATAAGGATGTGATCTGACAGGACTGACAGTCTTACTGACAAAGTCAATAACAATGAAAAGTATCAGTGGTCATGGTGCAGAAAGGGATTTTTTCTATTGTCTGTCCCAACCACTAAAAGCCAGACTCTAACATTACTTTTGCTTACAAAGATAAGATGAATTATATGCAATTAAAATAAAGAAATTTATTGCTCCCCATATGAAATCTATTAAGTACCCTATCCTTGCACGTTTGCTCAGTATTCGTGTTGTGCAAGGACTTTTCTACCACTGCAGAGACCTTGTTTCATTCGCTTCCAGCTTGGCAACAACCTTCATTGAAAACAGATTATTTTAGAGGTCAGTAAAGGATCTTTGGCCCTGCACTGGTACCCTCTGGTTTGTCAAGATGCAGATCCAACCAGTGATGCAAAGACTCCAGGGACCAAAGGGGCAGCTGGGCATCACAGGTTGAAAAAAATTGCAAAATATTATGTCTCATTATGACTTCGTATAACAATGTTTACATTTTTGTAAAGCTATGAAATTAGCTATTGTTTTTTGGGGGGGTAATGTTATGTATCCAATTGTTGCACTGTGCGTCTCTGTCTCCTGCTCAGACACAGATCCTCGTCTGCTGGAGAAGCAGGAGCAGCAGCAGCCGACGTACATCGCTCTCAGTTATATTAACAGGTAAAGAAATGCAACCATTATAGAGAGTGAAAGTGATTGAGCTCAATGACAAGTAAATCTTCCTCTTAAATTTAAAGTGACAACAACATTGTTGCTGTTAGTCTTTTGCTCTGTGAAGGATTGTCTTCTGAAGTCCTCTCCATCACGGTGTCTTTCCAGCATGCACTTAAGAGAGCTTTTACCGCAGAGGTTCTACCAGTATCTCAAATGTCAGCTGGTGGATTGCTTCGATAAACTGCCTTTGTATTTGCTGGTTTTGTTTTATTGCTGAAGGTTCATCCAAGTCGTCTTTGATATGGTGCTGAAACTGTGAAGCAACAAGCAAGGGCTCAAGAAGCCGGCTTCTGTCTCTCTCTGCCTTCACAAACACATCTTGATGGAGTCATAGCTTAATTTGTTAATTCCATTTTAATCATGTCCATGTAAACATCTGATTTTATGATTCACATTTACCACAACTTTACTGTTTGTTATAAACTCTGCTGTTTTTTTTGATGTGAGTGGAGCTAGCAGTTCTCATTTTTCCAAGCACATTTTTCACAGTAGCGTACCTTCAAATGCAGAGCTTCTGTGAGCATTAGTGCAAACCCACAGGAGGAAGTTATCCACTATTTATGTAATTAATTAAAATACACTTTTGATGTAACTTTCATGTAAAGATGACAAAGCCTGACCAGTCTGATATCCCCCGTTACCAGGTTCATGACAGATGCTGCACGACGTGAACACGAGGCTCTGAGGAAGAAGGTGCAGCCCAAGTTGTCTCTGTCTCTGACAGGCAGTCTGTCTCGCAGCAGTGTTTCCACCCCGACTCGTCACACCAGTGGGAACCTCACCCCTCCAGTGACCCCACCCATTACCCCTTCCTCCTCCTTTCGCAGCAGTACGCCCACAGGTACATCACCATCATGTAGAGACTCACTTCTCTGGTTTGATGTCCAGTCAGTGTTTACTTACTTAGGCAAAGAGTGTGAGTCTTCCTTAGAACGATTTTGAAGCTGCTTCCTTATTCTTCTACCTTTTATTTAAATATTCCAACTCCTGTTGAAAATTACACCTCTAAGACAGTTGCTCCATCTGGATGCATGTTGTTACGTATTATGTAATGACTGGATTTCCTCCGGGATTAAAAAAAATGGTTCTGATTACCTAATTTATTGAAATATTTTGCTTTTGAACAGCTTTGCTCCCAGTGCACCTGCATGAAAACATTTTTCTGTTAGCAGGACATCTAATTAAACAAGTTTTTGATATAGCTCATTTTAAAATCATAGAGACTGAGCATCTTTCATATAGTGCTGCTGATTTGCCTTATTTACCACTGGGTACATTACACAACCAAAATAAGTTGGGGATTTTTGTAATCTTTTCCCATGTGCTCTGACTTCTTTTCTAACATTTGCATTCTGAGTTCTGTCTCCTTTCTCGCTCTTGTGGTTCGTAACTCTTCTTGGAATTACATCTTTAACTAATCTATAAACGATTGTTTATTATTGGCCACCAGACCTTAATAAAATGCATAAATTCTTTCCCACAGCTGACATATTTCAGTCTTTCCTGTAATTTGCTGAATGCTGTTCATGAAGAGGAGATGATGGGAACCAAAGAGCATGTCAAGAACGGCCCTAATTTGTCTGCCTGAAGGCACAAAGGCCCGGACATTAGTCACCAAGTAGAGGAGAAAGTAAAATGGGAATAATTGTATGTTGGTGGTGATGCCTTGAGTCAGTTCGTTTTTGTCTTTTTCCCTGCCACAGGTAGCGAGTGTGATGAGGAGGAGGTAGACTTTGAGGAGTCGGACAGTGATGAGTCGTGGACCACAGAGAGCGCCATCAGCTCTGAGTCTATTCTCAGCTCCATGTGCATGAACGGGGGAGACGAGAAGCCTTTTGCCTGCCCTGTACCAGGCTGTAAAAAGAGATACAAGGTAGGAGAGGACAAACGGTAGATTCAGTATAGTATGGTGTAAAACATGGGATTTTTTTTTCTACACTCAAATAGGAATGTAAAATCAAAATGGAGTCCCTGCTGTTGACAACGGAAAATTCTCCCTTGAGTTGAGCATTACAGCATGTCAACATAGATGCATACATCCAGTCCATTCCAGTGATGTGGAGTTTTACAGGATTTTCCGTTCACATCTGGTGTGTGTGGTTGGGATAAATTATGTGCAGCTTGAGAAAATTGCATCGCTGACGTGAATGACAGGGTTATGGGCGATGACTTAGTCTGAGGCAGCAGGCAGCATTAGGCATCTGTTCAGCGGCAGAACAAGACAGATTTGTAACATGAACACATTTGAGTCCCCTACCATGATCTACAAACAACCTCTTTAGGTATATTTGCTTTGTTATTGATGTGTCCTTGTGTTAGCGTCATTATATGTAAGAGGTAGATGTGAAAAAACTCAGTAAAAGATGATTGGATGTTACATTTTTTTGTCTTTATTACAGAATGTGAATGGGATCAAGTATCACGCCAAAAACGGCCATCGAACCCAGATAAGGGTACGCAAACCCTTCAAGTGCCGCTGTGGGAAAAGCTACAAAACATCTCAGGGTCTCCGCCACCACACCATCAACTTCCACCCGCCCATCTCTACTGACCTTATTAGGAAGATGCAGCAGTAGAGACTGAGTGGGTGACCGGCGTTCTTCTTCTTCTTCTTCTTCTTCTTCTTCTTCTTCTTCTTCTTCTTCTTCTTCTTCAGGAAACTCCCCGACCATCTGATCTCCACCATCACCAGCAACGGCTGTTTTCTCATTCCTACTTCCCTCACCCTGAAACTCTTTCTCTTTCTTAAACCACTTTGTTAAGACACTATTTTTGATTGCATGTTGTAAATGTATTATTACTATTATTCATTCTTTGTTTTATTAAGAATGTTAAATTGTTGTGTTCTCCACAGTTTTGTATTTTGCACATTCAAGCTATCATTTATGTGATTTCTGTTGGTTCATGCTGCTCACTGATGATGAGAGCATGTTTTATGACAGAAGTGGCCTCATCGAGTCACAAGCAGCCTTGCATGTACAGCAGGGTGTCCTGCTTCAAAGGCAGTATGAAACAAAGGACTGATTTTTTTTAATGTATTTATTTTATTTGTTTTAAAAGAAGGGCACAGTTAGTTGCCTCTGACTCATCTTTTTATACTGCAGGAGCAAAAATCTGAATGTCTACAAGGTATAACATAAGAAATACAAGTTGGTAATTTAAGTTCCCTTTTCAGTTCTCATCTTCTGACATTTACTTTCATATCACAGTTTTTGTTTCTCCTTCGTTTGATCTGTTTTACTGCCTATGTTTGTGTGAGCACCAAAGGATGATCTCAGGTGACATTTGCAAAAGTATTTCAGCTCCACAAACCTGCCCCAACTGTTTTGGTCATGTTTCTGCAAGATTGTGGAAACTGTCCATCATTGCTTTTGTTTTTTCTAGAAACGTTTCAGACTATTTCAGATGTTTCCCTCTTTATTTTACCATGAGGGATTGAAGCACTTTTTGTGACTAGTTGCCAACAATATAGCATTTCTTCGCCAAGATCTTGTTTTTGGTGTATGTACAGTGACTACCAAAACAAGGGTGACGGCCCACAGTGCAGAGGTTTGACATGCACCCAGGGATTGTGTAGACCAAACCTCCGGTGTGTGCAGTATTTTAAGATTTCTTTTATGTACAGTAGATGCCTTCATTTGTAAATCATTCCAATCATACAGGATTTTTTATGGTGTCATTATGAATGTTTCCATAAATACAGTTTGAGACAGACTTCACAATTCAGATTTCTGCATTTTATTAACTCCCTGGTCTCTTAAATGGAAAGGAGTCAACATTAACCATGTATTTAGCACATTTTGTTTCTTGCAGTTTTGATGTTTGGAAGACAGAAACCCAGCTCTGATTTTGTGCCATAAAATATATCAGTTGAGGGTATGTTTTACATGAAATCCCTGGTTGATAAAACAAAACAGGATCAGGAATTTAACAAGCCATCAGGTAACATCCTCACTGCATGTTTGTATCAAGAAACTGCAGTCCAACCAAGAATTGTGACAGTATTGTTCTGCCAGTTTGGAGGAAAAGTGTTTGATATAGTGTACAGTGAATGTATTGTGAAGTGTTAAGTGCTTTAAATTATATTTTCATATGTCTCTGGAGTTCAAAATTAAAAGTATAATCTGTATAAACAGGCAGACTCAAGGATCGTTTGGAGAAATGGTCGATGTACTGTCTTTCTTCAAAAAGCTGCTTCATGTCAACTTTTGTTACGTTGAATAAAAATTTCTGATATTTGTGACTGACAGACCCTGTTTGATCAACTGTATCAGGACACGAGTCGGTTTCAAACAGACTTTATTGGTTTATAGTAGGTACATGGAACTCACTTAACAAATGAGACGTTACTATGAGTAAAATAACTTAATGCTTTAAAAGAGAGGAACAGAAAGAAGGAAGATCAACAGAAGCTCAGCATGCACTGATTAGCTGATGATGTTATGGTTCTTTAAGACACACACAAAAAAAAACAATTAAATAATCAAAACCAAGGAAACCTAATGAAACACAAACCTATGTCATACACAAAGAATCAAGGCTTTTACAATATCATTGGCTTTAATTATTCTAAAATAGATGATCTGATGATATACTGTATAATCACTGAAGGTTCTCCCTGACTGCATACAGTGCACCAAGGCTGCTTTCTATAAAGAATGAGCATATGACGTGAACAATGATGTTTTAGAGGGGAACCAGCTGGTTGGATGTCTTAAATGTAAGTTTGGTAAACACGTATCTCTTTCCCTGATTCGTTACATCCTGCAGTCTAACAGCTGAGTCAATTTAAAGTCAGTAAATGTTCTTAAAACAGTCTTATCCACCTAAAATTAGTCTTATTATTATTCTTCGATTGAAGGGAAAACTTTCACCTGTAATAAAAAAGCTCTGATCAATAGACAGATTCAGAGGCCCTGTCCAGTTCACCCAATTAGAGTATTTTTTTAAAATCTCACATCACTTCAATGTTTTTCTCTAAGCTGAAGTAACAAAGCGAAAGTCGATTTAGTCCTAAAGACTGAATCTTCACACCATTACATGCAGAAAAGAGTGCAGAGAGATTTATTTCAGTGGCGACAGGAAGTAGGCAGATCGGATGTGCTGATTTTTCCGGTTCTTTAGTCGAAGTTGAGCGGATGGCCATCAAAGTGAGTGAGCACATGATTCTCAAACACCTTCTGGTCACAGTCCAGCGGGAACTGCTCGCTGCACATTGGGCAGATTTTCCAGTGGCTCTCAACATGCTCCTCGAATTTGCTCTGGTCGTAGTTTGGTGGGAAGATCACCTCGCAGAGCGGACATCGCTTCATGTCCATGCTGAAATGGGAAGAGGAAAGCAGGGAGAGAAAGCTCGGGTTAATAAGCAGGGAAGTGATGATGTGGGCAAACCAGGAGTGCAGGCTTAATAAAGAGCATCTGTCTGATGCGATGTGGGTGGCCTGCTGCCTGACTAATTCCAACAAGAAGGGGCTGTGCAGAAGAACAAACACTTTACACATTACACAATGCGCAGGTTTTAGAAATGTAGGGTGCAGCAAATTTTACAGCCTTTATGAGAGTTTAGGGTGTGCAAGGGTGTGTTACCTGGGATCAAAGCAGAAGGCAGTTTGTCCATCGTTCACAAATGGGCTGTGTGTTTCAGTTGCTGCAGGCTGTTCGTCAGCATTACCCTGAAAAAGAAAGAAAAACAATACATGTTTTCCTCTGAATTTATTCAACATAAAAAAAGAAAGAAGTCTTGTTCCCAGGCCCGGTTCTACGGGGGTGAATAAGCATGCATTGCACCCTCAGTTTATGTGGCTGCATGCTCAGCCGGAAAGAGGGAGAAGTGCGCGCGCGTCAGGGCACATCACTCATCTGCCTTCCTTGGGTTCACTGCCGGGAAAATGAACTTAAAGCTGGGCAGAATGAATGAGAAAACACCGCTGAAGATCTCCGGCTTCTTCCTCAACTTCCACCTCCTCTTCGGACTCGGGGTCTAAAATATATGGTTTAATACCTGCCGTTTTTAGCCTTTAGCATAAGGTGACCAGACGTCCCCGATTTCCGGAGACAGTCCCCGTATTGGATGACCTGTCCCCGGCAAAAACTGTCCCCGATTTAAGCGTTTCATGAATGAGAGCAAAAATGTTGCGTGTGGGCTCGAACAACGGTTATTACAGTAGCCGAATTTAGTTAGCAGTCCTGAACAACAGTTTTTAAGGGGGTTATTACAAGGGGCATGCGCTGCTACTAAATAGTACCGAGACTTTGTCTGTGATCACACAGCCCCTGCACCGCCGCCGCCGCACCGAATATCCCCGGATATCATTACAGACATCTGGGCACCTTACTTTAGCACACATTAGCATATGCTATTAGCATTAGCATAATAACAATGGATAAACCGAAATCCGAACCTCCACTGCTGAGCCAATCAGAGCACAGCAGGCTTCACAGCAGCGATCCAATCAGAGCAAAGCTCATTACCATAAATGTTAATGAGCCAAAACCAGTTGGTTTTCCTGTAAGGTTTTTTAGGCATACTAAAACAAACCATCAAATAACTTTTCAGCTAAAATTATGTTGCAAACATGATCAGAGGACATCAAGGATTATGAAAAAATGATAAAAATGGGTATAAAATTTTGGTGGCAGGTTCCCTTTAAAATATTCTTTTTTGACTGGTAGAATTCCACTTGAAATGACTGTCATGTTTAGTGATGGTTTTGAGCTGTATAGTTAAAAATAGTTTGAATTTCTATGTTAAAAATTCAGGGTAAGAAACATCTGCATTTCCTTTTTCTACAACAATTTTGCTACAATAAAGCATATGAAAGACATTTTAAATATTCTTGTTTGACTAGTTTCATTCCGCTTGCAATGACGGGAAAATGCATAATTTAGTGTTGAATAACGTGCCAGGCATGTGCACCCCCTCTGATCTGAGATGCACCCCTAGTCAACATTTTCTAGACCTTGCTTGTTCCGCACACAGCTGAATGTTTGAGTGGCTTACATTGTTGTTATTGTTTTGCTTCTCCTCGGACTCCTCATGGCCTTCTGGCCGGCTGCGTGTTGGCTGGATACACACCACGTTGCTGTCCCAGGAGGGTGGGCCTACAGGAGGCAGCCTGAGCAGCTGGTCATCTGAGAACTCCTCATCTTCCTCATCTACAGGAAAATGGTTTAAAGGAATATTACAGCGTAAAATCAATTAAGGGTCAAACACACTGTAACACAGAGTTAGACACCCCCTCGAGAGATGAATGTTCCTGACCGCTTGCTTCTCTAGTTATACCAACTTTAGTAACGACAGCAGGATAGCAACACACAGTGGTCTGAGGAGCCATAAACAAACCTCAACAAAAAAAGCCACTCTATAGCCACAAATAATGCTCAGAACAGCACCTAACTTCATCAACAGTACATATAGGGTCCCAGCCACAGCACTAGCCACCAAACATCTTTTTAACTTTGCCTGAATTCTTTAGCAAAGAGACTAAACACAACTCACCTACTCTCTTCCAGCAGCCGCTTGTTTGTAGCGAGACCTTGGGCCAGTCCATTACGGACGGCTGCGGGGTGATGCAGCTCAAGGGGGAACATTTATGATCATTTCTTCATGGAAATTCAATAAGACCGAGATGCTAAAGCAGAAGAACTACTGTGTCTGCAGTGCAAAATGATTAATATGATTATTACTTTGAGGAAATGATCAAGTAATGCTCATAAATGTTCTTCCTTGAGCTGTGTCACCCTGCTGTAGTCCATAATGAACTGGCTTGGTCTCGCTACAAACAAGCAGCTGCTGGAAGAGAGTAGGTGAGTTGTGTTTAGGCTCTTTGCTAAAGAATTCAGGCAAAGTTAAAAAGATGTTTGGTGGCTAGTACTATGGCTGGGACTCTCTTTGTACTGTTGATGAAGTTAGGTGCTGTTCTGAGCATTATTTGTGGCTATAGAGTGGCTTTTTGGTTATGGTTTGTGTGAGGCTCCTCAAACCGCTGTGTATTGCTATCCTGCGGTTGTTACTAAAGTTGGTATTACTAGAGAAGTAAGTGGTCGGTAACATTCATTCCCCATGGGGGTGTCTAACTGGGGGGTGTCTTTGACCATACATTAATTGTACGCCAGAATATCCCTTTAACTAATCATTCATGTCTGTAGTTTTCAATAACCATAAGAAATGTGTTATCTCTTAAAAAAGAGACACTAACCTTTAGAGTCTGAGATGGAATAAGGGTTTCCATAATGCAGCTTGCTGGGGCTCTGAGAGACCAGCAGAGGGGTGGGGGCATCCTGGGTGTAAGGGACAGGGTACTGCAGGAATAAAGGCACACTGGACTGTGTAATACCTGGACTGGTTTTCTCACCAGGCCCCTGATCCCCCTTCTTGCTGCTGCTGCCCTTCTGGAGATCCTGCAGGAGAGAAACAGCAGCATTAATCAAAATTTTGCACAGTGACAAATATCATCATGGGCAACAGTATGTTTTATTTGAGAAGCCAAATCATGTCAGATTTCATCATTCTTTATCTCCAAATCTGTCATAGCAAGTCATACAAAATCCTTTTCAAGAGCCGTGACTCCTTGCTTTCCCTTGTGCTCACACAAACATTTTAATTAGTGCCTTCATTAAAGCAGAGACTCTTCTTGTTTTCAAAGGGAATGGGACTCTGTGTTTTATTGAGGTTAGTTGCAGACGCCAATTTAATTTACAGTCTAAACCTCAAATTGGGTCATTGTGCTCCTCACAGCACGAACTGCATTACCTTAAAGTAACATTTTAGGTCAGCGAGGACCTTCCTGCGGTCCAAAGTAATGGAATGGAAAATAAGAACTCATTTACTTTGCTTCTGCAATTAGAAGCATATTAAAAACAGACCAGATTGAGAGTGGGAAAATGGCACTTTTCAGGGAATTTTCAGGGCAGGCAAGGTCTATAAAAGCAGAAATGAAAGCTCTCACTCACCCCCTCTAGTTTTTCCTTCTCCTTAACAACATGCGATAGTGTGTCCTTCAGTTCTTTCACCTCTCGTCCCTTCTCGGCTACCTGGCTCTGAAGAAGGAAAAAAAGAAATGAACAGAAAAATGAACATTAATTTTTATTCTACAACATCTGACATTTTGATTGAAAACTACATCATTGAAAAACTCTCAAACTGACATTAATTGATCACAGCCGTAAAAGGCTCTCCTTTGCAGAGGACTGATTTATGTACGAAACCACTCGCAGCAAAACAACCTGTTTGAATTCCTTAAAGACACTGAGAAAATATCCGCCTGACCTGAGCCAAGTACAGCATTAGCCAGGCAACTGGAGATGGCTCTTCAGAGCCGAGCTACCCTTGTCTGCACAGTTTGACATAAACAGTAGTAAAAAGTCGTCTCACAGATTGGCCTGCTCATAAACAACACTGTCAGAGCAACTGTGCTCAAGAGAGGAGTTGGCATTAAAGGTTGCACGCTGAGCTAGACCAGCCAAACTCCAAGGTAACAACGTAGAGAAAGAGTCCAAAAACAGACCTGCTCTGAACAGCAGAGCCTTAACTGCTTGTGAACAACCTGAGTAAAGGATAAAATGTCTGTATCCTGAACTGTTTGTCTGAGGAGCTGACCTTGTAGCGATCTTCCTCTGCTGCCAACTGCAGTTTCAGGTTCTCATTGGTCTTCAGTTGTTCCTTAAATTTCACCTCCATCTTTGCCAGCTCATCAGCAAACATGCAGCTACGTTCTTTCTCCTCCTAATGAGTTCACAAACATCAAAAAACACGGGATTCGTCTTTTATAGTGCAGACTTAATGCCGTCTATCAAACTTTTGGTCAACACAAGTCTTTAACTTTCAGGTTCGGAAACACAATCAATGGAAGAATGTTCATAATTTGTATTTTACCGCCAGCATCTGCTTGCATTTTCTGTACTTGTCGTTCCTGTCGGACGCCTCTCTGCTGATGCCTTTGAGCTTCTCTTGGATGATGGCTTCCAACATAGGATCAGCAGAACCTGGGCTCCCTGCGAAGACAAAAAAGCAGGTCATATATTACGTTGGTCTATACAGTTGAAGGTGTATGACATTACCGATGATTGATATGTCAGTCAATAAAATGGATATATAGCACCTAATCAGGCACTTTATATGACTTTCTTTAAAAAATGTTTAGATATCAGCATACACGAACATCTAACTTATGATCATCAATTGACTACAAACCACCAAAATGAAAGGCTAGACCTAGAAAATTGCACAATTGCAGAATAATTTACCTGGCACTGATGTATCTGGACTCCCTGATGCAGGGATTATTGTGGCCTCCTGAGCTGAAGATCTTTTCAGGTCCTATGGAAAAGACAATGTGAAGTGTCAGAAAATTTGCTCTAAATGCGACATGAAGCCCGAAAGAAACAATGAACCAACATGGAGATGATTTTATAACAAAAAGGATCCCAGGAAAAATGTTGGTAAAAATAAGAACAGTTCTGTGTGAATTTGGTGAGGAGACATCTAATTGCACTTGTGTTCATGAATTTGATGCTGATCAAGATGAATTTTTCCAATCTGAGAGAGTTTTGTAATACATCTTAGTTGGCTCGGTCTGTCAAGTTTAGTGGTGTGTGACAGGGAGACATAATGTTACAGTCATCTAATGCCGGTTCTGTTCTTTCACTTGTCGGGGACAAGTAAGTATATCATGTCTTGTGGTATCTGGTTGGACTTACCCCTTGCTGTTCAGAGAGTCTCAGCACTTGTTTTTGCAGGCGCTGACATTCCTTGTATTTCTCCTTGTAGTGTTCTGCTGCCATGTGTAGACGCAGCTTCAGGTCCTCCACTTCCCTCTGCAGCTCGGCTACAACCGCCGGGTCTGCAGTCGCTTCTTCCTCCGCTTTGGCCTGGTGACAAAAATAAAAAAAAATAAAAGATATAACTTCAAACACAGTAAACGGTTCAAGAAATCCTCTCGTGATTTTTCTTTCACAAATATATGTGCTGTATGTATAATTTTGATGAACAAACGTGTGGCTCAAGTTCAAGCTCGAGTTTTGATTTATGCTGGAACTGTTGAGGTTTAAGAACTGTAGAGAATTACAGCCTTTGTCATAGATAGCAGTGAAACCTTCTGTTAGGAGAACTTCTAAGGTGATGTTGTTGCACCATGTCCAGGATAAAGTGTGGCAAATAAAATAGCACTGTCATGATAAAGAATCTTTCAGTATAATTGTTCTGAGGTAAGAAAAAAAAACCTTGTCATTGTGATAATAACTAATTATACTATTAGGGTTAAAATGACAGATATTATGAATGAGATTATAACCAAAAGAGAGAGCAGATTAACTTTTAATATCTTGTTACTTAAAATCTTTTATTTGGGATGTAATTATTGTTCTTTCTTTTAACTGTGTTTTCAGTGTTATTCAATATATCCTGATGATTTATAGTCATCCTTACAGCTTCCTGCTTGGCCTCTGCCTTCATCTGCTCAACCAGGCGTTCCAGGCGGACACACTGGGCCTGAGCGTCAGCTTTGGCCTGGCGGAGAGCATCGGCCTCTAGCTTCATGTGGTAGAGTTCAGACATGGTACGGTCGCGAGTGCTGGAGGCATCCCTCAGCTCAGCAGCTAACAAAGAGGACTGCTGCTGGTTAGCCTGGAGCTGCTCCTCCTTCTGCCGCAGCTGCTCCTTCAGTGCCTTCATATCTCCCTGCCAGAAACAAACAAGTTTTAACAGAATATCTTTCCATTATGTAGTTACTTTTAAATTCTTACAATTAGCAATCTCCAAATGATCAGATCCTGTAATAATTTCTACAGCTAAAAACTGTGAGTGATAAATCGTTTCTGCGTTTATAAGTTTGTCAAGTTTTGATGTAAAAAAATCTTTGTACCAAAGGGGAAACTTTGGCCATGATCTCTCTGTACTGTTTCTCCTTGTCGGTGAGGCAGGCCTGTAGACGTCCCACCTCCTCTTTAAACTGGGCAATGGTGTTTTCCTTGTTCACATCCACAGATTTGAGCATCTGCAGCTCTGCACTCAGCTTAGTGTTCTCCAGCTCTCGGTTTTTCAGGTGAATCTGGTGTACACACACACACACACACACACACACACACACACACACACACACACACACACACACACACACACACACACACACACACACACACACACACACACACAGAAAGAGAGAGAAACACATGCCCACCAGGGCACACAGAAGTTATAAAACACAAGCGAAGTTATAAAACACACAGTTATTGGCCTTTGCCTCATTCATTCGACCCCGATTGCGATCATGTACCAAAGAGCATATGACTATTAAAACAAATGTTGCATGACCTCAATTACAAAACAGAGATCGAGATAGGCCCATAAAGTTTTCTTCTGCAAAAGCCCTGGTGTGATGGTGCAAGTTAAATTAAGTATGGGTTTTTGGCTCCATTTCCTAGGCGACAGTTCAGTGTGGGCACTCCCAGTTCCTGTGTGGTGCCCACCACAACAAAGACACACAAACACCAGATGGACCAGAGGACGACAAAATAAGACATGCCCTGTTTAGACTAAATGTTTGGGTGAGAGTTTGTGGAATAATCACAGTAGTAAAAAGTAAAAAACAGGAAAAGTCAATGAACTGGACCTCCAACTCTGAGGCATCTAATATGAAGCGGGTGTAAAACTTTCCCTGATACAGCCGTCAACTAAACCACGGCTAGGCTCACTGCCCTGGATCAAGCTTTTAACCTGAGGCGCCAGAACCTAATTTTGTTGTTTTTCTTTATGTGGTGAATTTTAAGAATTGAAACGAAAGAAACGATTTCAGAGTGCAACTTTTGGAGGGAATGTAAAAATAAACAAATATATTACAAAGTGATTACCTTATACAGCTCCTTCTCATCTTTCTCATTCTTGAGATGAGATTCAAGTGCATCCTTCTCTGCTGTGAGTTTCTTCACTCTATCCTTCAGACTGATGAGAAGACAACAAAACTGTTAATCTAGATCTGTGTCAGTCTTGCAGTGACTACTGTCACATACAGTGTTTGGAATAAGTGATTATTGACCGTTAATGTATTAAGGGGGTGTGTTTGTTTCTATGCTCTACCCACACATAAAACAGGCTGCTGAAATGAATAAATAGAATTAGAAAGAGAAACTCCCCCCCCCCATTTTGTCTTAGCAACAGTTGAATTTTAACTACACAGGTAGATAATATGCATCTTCTTAAACCAGTGTTATAGATCGACCCTCATGATGGTATTCAAATGGTTAAACTTTTTTAATTTTTTTGTTGTTGTTAGGACAACAACAAAAATACTGACAATCTTAATACAAGTTTATCATTTTTTAAATCTTCCATGATTTTTTTTTAATAGAATTTAACATCTGTAAATTTAATGGGATGTGTAATAGTAACACTGCTATCCTGGCCTCACCCGTCCAGCTCAGTTTCCTTCTGTAGACCCTTCTGGGTGACTCCAATCAAATCCTCTTCAAGCTGTATGACTCTGGCTGTGGCCTCATCCAGCCTCCTCTTTACTTCTTCCTTCTCCTCCTGGAGGGCATGGGCAGAATTCTGAACCTCCTAAGAGACATTAAAATGTAGTTTGAGAAAAAGATAAAATTCAACCTCATAAAAGATAAAAGAGGAACGAAGAAGTGTGCCAATTGCTGAATGAATTGTCAACGTAATTATAAACCAGGTTAATTTCAATCAGTAAGAGAAAAAAAGATTTCTCTCTAGATGATTTCTCTCTAGAAAACTACTCTACATTTCTGTCTTTGACTCTCAGTTTGTCGAAAAAGTGTGTGAACATAAAAAGTTTACTGTCATTAAAATGCAAGTCTGAGTCAAAATGTTTATTAAACCTCCTCTAAAGAGTTTTCAAATTGAAACGTGGACTTCAAAAGAGCAAAAGGAAAGCATTTTTATGGTTTGTTTATAGACAGAATTTTGGAATCTTTATATTCACACCACATAAAAAAATCGTATAAAAGTACAGTCATAAAATTAACAGCCGCAAAATCTGTAATCATGTTTTCATCTGAAGGCCATTTCAGAGCGAGCGGATTTATGGCAGAGGACAGCTATATGGATTATGACTTACACTGCTTTAAGACTTAATGCTACACTATAAAAGCTGAATAACAACTCTGATAATACAGACATTCATATCTGTCAGCCTGTGATTTATACTTTGAAGGCATCATGAGTTAAAGTAGCTCTGCATGTTTGCCATCTTTCACTAGGGGGTGCTAAGAGACTACTTGGCTTAGTGAAAAACTGTCTTTGCTGTAACTTTATGAACCAACAATAGTCATAACCATATAATCAAAATACTTGAGCGGCTTATGCTCTTCAAGAAAAAAAAGGAAACTCAAATAGCTAACTAAAGTACAGTAATAATGGAGCAGGGCTTTCTGCTTCTCTGACATGTCTACAGCTGAAACAAACATTCCCCACTCGTCACTGCTGGCACACCTCTGTCGACAAAAAAAGTGTTCAGCCTTTTTCCTCTTACTTGGTTCTCTCTCCTCAGCTGAGCACAAGTTTCTTTCTCCTGTTCAAACTTCTTCTCCAGGCTCTCCTTCTCAGCTTCCAGCTGCTCCTTCTCCTGCTGGAGGTGGGCCATGTTTTTGACCAGCTCCTCTTTCTCTCTCTGGGCTTCCTCCACCTTTTGCTGCACAGTGAGATTAAGTGTTCAAAAATGTTCAAGACGATTCATAGCAAATATTTATTATCAAACCCACATGGAGAAATAAAGATTTCTCTCTCCAAAAAAACAAAGTTTCTGGAACAGTAAAATAAACACATAAACAATATTTTCATTTTTATTTAAATACATCTATGAACTGAGGGTTAAAAAGGACATAAGAGTTACCAAAAAGGTCTAATATTAATGTTCTTGTAGTTTATAGCGCAGGTTTGAACTCTACCTCGAGGAAGCCGGCCTTGGTGGTGACCACAAGGATATCAGAGTTGCATTCATCTTCCACGGTCAGCAGCTCGTCCTCTGAGGGGCTGTTGGCACGAAACTGGAACGGCGTGCTTGCTCCACGGATCTCCCCTTTGTGGGTCACATAACAGAACTGGTAGAACTCGCCATCGTCGTTGGGCACATAATATCCTGTGGAGGAGTGACAATGTAACTGTTATATAAAGTTATAGCAGCACAAGATGCGAAGAAAAAGATGTTCACTGTAAAATATGAACTCAACTCGACATTTAGCTTAACACTGCAAATACATGTAACCTTAAGTGATTGTTGTGTGGTGAAGTGGTTTGATAATTTGGAGCACTCGCTATGTGTGTGTGTGTGTGTGTGTTGTACTCTAGGTCAGTGGTTCTCAAGTCCAGTCCTCGAGGCCCACTGTCCTGCATGTTTTGGATGTTTCCCTGCTCCAACACACCTGATTCAAATGATCAGCTCGTTATCAAGTTCTGTAATGGCTTAATAACGAGCTAATCATTTAAATCAGGTGTGTTGGAGCAGGGAAACATCCAAAACATGCAGGACAGTGGGGGCTCGAAGACTGGACTTGAGAACCACTGTTCTAGGTGATTAAAAGTATACAAGCAAATAAGACATGACTCGTCCCCTTTGTGTCTATTTCCTCCTCAAAAAAGTGGTCTAAAAACCTCGAAACATGAAATATCATTAAAACCAAACCACTGATAAGTGAGGGGGGATGTTCTCATGTATTCTATTCACAGATTTGGCTTTAAAAATCAACAATCCTGTGTACCGCCCTTTAATACTTGTCATTAAAAGGTGTCAAAATTATATTAAACTGTGGTATGATCTTACCCTGAAAGACCACTGTTCTGTTGACTGCGGTGCCCTCCACATAGTTCTCAGGGAGAGGTGACCACAAGAATGTGTAATAGTCCCTCGCTGTGCTCCAACCAACCTGTGAAACATAGAGGGGGATCCATTTGAGCAGACATTCTCACCACATCAGTGTTGGATTATAAAAATGGGGGATTAACAAGGAGACTTCCTAGAATCCACAGTGCTGCTTCAGAAATGTCTCAAACTGCTTTATGACAGTCATCAAGGACTTTCCAGGGGATGTCGGGTGACCGACCGTGTATGATCCTGCCAACTGGGACTTTTTCCCTTTCTGCTAACCACACTAACTCCTGATCACCATGTGCATGTGGCCTGGCCCTTGTCATGAACAAGCCCAACTGAGGAAATGTTGCTACAACTCACGACTAACAGGAAGAGGAAAATAGGTGAAAATTTTATACATAGGTGACCTGAGAATGAAAACCAAAATGTAATTATACGTTTTTTATGTGTTGTTAACTGATGGCCAATGAAGGGGAGTACAGAAAATACATCCATAACTTCAGCCTGGTGCCATAAAACTGTCAAACAAAATCAGAGTCACATTGAGCTGGCTGGCTCTCCGTGTGCACGCTCAGGCAAACGCGTACAACCACAACAAGACCAGCGGAACCAGCGTATTACATCAGCTTCTGCCACAGACTGTAAATCAAATAGTGTCATGCTGATTCGAAAGTCTTTTCCCAAAATTATTCTAAAATATTCATAAGGTGAGTTTGGTTGCAACACTGATAGCTTTTGATGTAGACAGGGTCTTTTACACTATCTAGGCGATTCATTTTCTCACCTGTGTGCTAACACCCTACAGCTACAACACTGCAAGTGTTCATGAGAGCCAGAGATAGAGGGCCTTGGTGCTCCAAAACCCCCAATTGTTACCAGGGCAGTTCCAGCTTCCAGCAGTAAAGAGCAGGAAGCCATTAAAGCATGCACCTAGTTAGTGGGTGTCGTTACTGAAGGCTAGCCTTTACCAGTCCATTCATTAGAGGAGTGGAGGTGGTGGTGGGTGAAAACTCTGAGAGGAACTCTTTCACTTACAACAGTCTGGAGTTTGTAGGAATTTGAAGAGAGGAGGTAGAGACTGTGTAGAGCTTCCCTAAAGAACTGGACTGGCCTGGGTTAAAGGGAGAAACAGTTATCTCCAAAAATAGGACAAACTTTTAAATATGTACTGCCCACATTTGACATCATAGCTTTTGAGACATTTTTTAACCTTGTTAATTCTTCTTAAAAGCAGGATTACAGCTAGTTTACTATGCTCCCATTTTTTAAAATCCTATTTCTCTGTTGATTTTAATACATTTAAAGACCTTGACGATAACCTTGAATGGGAAAACTTCTCTGCGAAAACACACACACTAATTCAGAAAAATGTGACCCCTGTGTCTACTGACGCAAGATGACTTTAAAGTTTGCTTAAACTTCAAATTCTCCCAGCATACTTGCAGAACCCAACATTCTGCAAGTGGCTATGCTGCCCCGGGTGGTAACATATTGTCTTTGTGTCACTCACACTCTTTAAATTCAGAAGAGCTATTCATGAATCATGCAGACGAGATGAGCACAGAGACAGGTTAATTATAAAGCTGCGTGTACTTTCTCCCTGCCTTTCTGACAATCTGTCCCAACAGCATTCCTTCATGACGTCCAGAACAACTAATGTGACACCACGCTGCATCGTCAGCGTTCTTGGATAAAAGTGTACCAAGTGTAAACAGGGACCTACCTCCCATCTCTTTGTTATCAGTAGCGTTTTTAGTGCTTGTTTATCTCGACGAGTACAAGTCTTTAATTCAAGTTGGTGTTGACATGTGAACGCATTAAATGAAAATAGGAGCATGATTCCGTCAACATTTTCCGTGTTTTTGTCATTGTGATTCAAAGTGCTGTTTTTTTAGGCACGCTAACAGACTGTCGCACACATCATCCACTGGGCCCTTCGCCAAAGTTGACTAAGGAGCTAACACTGATGCACATCTGTCTAGGTCCTTCTATCCATATGATCGTAAGACCTTGGCAGCAAACTTCTCATCCGTCAGCACTGCCAGGAACATTCACACAATTTACAGTCCCGGACTCAGCCATTTCCAACTCAGCTCTGTTTTAGAGGCTCAACAAATTAGTGATTTTAAGATCTACACTGCCAGTTGGTGCCTACCTTGAGGCTACAAAAATGTGATGTGGCATCCAGCTCCAACGTGGTGCTGGATCCAGGATTTTATGGCCCGTGGGCATTACTCGATCCACCCCCCAGTTGCCTTACATGACCTCATTTCTGAGTGGGGTAAATACCTCACCCTATATTCACTTCCCAACTCTGGCAATTTCTTGCACAGTTTTGTCTTTGACACAGAATAAATATGAGGCTTTTCTCAATGGTATACAAAAAATGAATGGGTTCACAACCAGACGATATAACATGCTTCCTGCAAGAATAGGTTTACAGTATAACACAAACAGGGATCTTTTAGTTCAACTTTTTAACTGTTTAAGTCCTTGTTTCTGTTACATCTGTGGCAGATTGATATCTTGTTGGTCTAGAAAAGCTTTGATACATTTGCTTCTGTTTTCTATTTATTTCTTTAATTCACTACAAATGAAGCCAAATTAAATTTCTGCCATTGTACAAGATTTGAAGTCCTACTATAACAAGATCCATGTGGGACACTTGTGGTGTGGGTAAAAATTCATCAATCTCTATCAAACTTATTTTCCTCATAAAAAAACACTAACAAACAAAAACTTCACAATGACTGCTCTGTAACACTCAGTTTACCTTCACAGCTCATGTAATACTTGCCCTGCATTTTAAATAAATCTCAACAATTCTGATTCAAAATCCTGGATTTAAAAAATACTTCATGTTCAGTGGCATAACTATGAAGACCTAAGCAAGCTGTAAGGTTTGCTTCTTTAGTGTACAACACAGTTCGCTATGGACTGACATTCAGATTTAATATGCACAGCTTGCTGTAATCATTAGAAAGACTCTATCAAACTTCTGCAACCACAACTGCCTTCATCAGAAAAGAGGTGGTTGGGAGATGGTAAGAGATTATGTTTTTTTCTCTGTACTCAATATGGCCAATGCTTTTTATTATGAATAGTTAATGTGCCAGGTTGTAAACCTTTATGAAGCCTGAACCATTTACTGGTCAGTCATGCTGATTTTTTTGCTGCATGTCCCAATAATAGTTGTTGATAGAATGCTTTCTTGATGATATACCCTACAGTAATTTGAACTGATGTTGTTTTAGATCCCAGTTCTCCTTGGTCATGGGCTTATCATCACCATAGCTTTTCCTCTTTTGTTTTTTTAATAATACTATGCTGGACTTAGGCACTCAAGTCAAGAGCCCTTGCTTTACTCTGCTTTAACAATCTTTAAAGTGTTTCTGGATAGTTGGATTTGTGACACTTATGCAGGCCTTTTTTTAATACATGGTATGGTGTTTGGGTGTTTATTTGCTCCTACTGTTGGTGGTGACTTGTTGTCATGTATGATGTCACATGACTTACCTTTTGCACTTAAACAGGTGTTTCGAATTTGCTCATTATGTCCTGACAAAGACTGGTAAGTGGAAACACGTCGACACTATCCCAACACAATAAAGAACTTTTAACTTCATCAGAGGGCCTCAGACCTCGAGCTTTGATTGCCACCTGCACCATGGACTTTTATTGACATCTGACAGGCAAGTCACTGCTCTCATGTTTTAATAGACATTATTTGTCCTCCTGAAGAGCACCTGATACTTTGGTTTTTTACGTAATTAATGTGCCAGGTGAAAGGTATACTTATGTTGGCTGTCTGAAAACACCAGATAGTTTCTAGGGGCACTCTGAGGACAATACTTTATCATTTGATTGCACCACTCGTTATTAACTGTTATCTCTTAGTTGTTTATCTGGACTACTTGTTATTAACTTTAATCTGTTTCTTGTTTATTTACTCTTTTAGTACCTGACCCAAAAGAGCATAAGTTTTGTTTAGCTGCATACCTTATATGTGGTTCAATAATGATGAAGTTGTGCTGCTGTCGAGCAGGGAGCTGAGCTGTTGCTAACAATAGTTAAGCTAATTTCAATGTCCTCTATTTGAGAGGACACTGGACTGGGCTGCTTTGATCACTCATAGCGGTACAAAGTTAGAACAAAATCTATGTGTCCTGTATCTGAAAGTTAAAAACCTGCAGATTAAGAGGCTTTTGCCAGTATCATTGCTGTGTCAAAGATTTATTAATCAAAGTTAATAATCATGATCAATGAAAATTTTGTGACCCCCTAGCAAGAAACCTAAAACACAAAATTCCTCTCATACCTGGTATTTTCTATAAAGGCTTCATTATGCATTGCGGTGTGTTATTTTTACCTTGAATATGCCGACCCAGTCTTTTGGATGGGGTTTGATGAACTGTGTGAGGGTGTAGTGACATTCCAGTGCGGCATGGGGCAGGTAACTCTTCCCGACGTTCTGAAAGATGACGTGGGCAAAGTTTGATGTGTCCATGTTGTTGCTCAATAAATTCCCCTCCAGGATTAGTGCCATAAATCACTCATCAGTGGCTGTACAGGAAGAAATAGGAAACAAATATTATTAGAGACTGTTAAAAATACAGCAAATAAACAAGTGGGGTTTCATTGTTTGCAAAAAGATAAGTCAGCGAGGCAATTTTTTCCAACAGAAACTCATTCAATACTAAAAATACTTTTGAGGTACAGTGCATATAAACTGGAATATTTAAAGGTATCTGGCAGTGAGGTTCTAGACCAGAGTCTATGATAAAGACAATCCGCTGCACACCCATCCTGTGGATGAAGAGATATTGACCTTTGAAGAAAAGAAGCTCCTATGATGCATGATAAGGATAGTAAAAAAATATTTTTATAGTTGCAGTCAAGGAAGGTTCAAAAGACACTTTACAGTACAGGCCAAAAGTTTGGACACACCTTTTCATTCAATGTCTTTTCTTTATTTTTTATATGACTATTTACATTGTAGATTATCACTGAAGGCATCAAAACTATGAATGAACACGTACACCTTTGAAGTAAAAACCATTTCAGGTGACTACCTCATGAAGCTCATTGAGAGAACAGCAAAAGTTTGCAGTGCTATCAAAAAAGCAAAGGGTGGTTACTTTGAGGAATCTAAAATATAAGACATATTTTGATGCCTTCACTGAGAATCTATAATTTAGATAGTAATGAGAATAAAGAAAAATGCATTGAATGAGAAGGTGTGTCCAAACTTTTGGCCTGTACTGTACATACACTGAACATAACAACATTTGAGCAAACCAGAACAGTGGCATGTAACCTAAAAAAAACAGCTCTACCAAAATGAACTTTCAAAAAGCGTCTACATTTTCAGCTTTTGTTGACACAGTCCGTGGGTGGTTACGGTGTACTGGAATGCATTATTTTGAAAGGTCTTTCTTATGTTTTGACCACTACACTACCAAACATAAGTGAGCAAAATATTAGGAGCACTTTTTAATATAGCACACTCCAGTACACCACCCACACCCACTACAACTTAAACAACTCCCTCAAAGATCAGTTCTCAGCCTTTCAACCATATCAATAATAACAGAAAATGTTAAAGCTTGGTAAAGTAAAGTTTATGGTAAATAAGTTGCACTGGGTTGCACTGCATTGTGCGGGGCTGCCCAGGTGATCATAATGTTTATAATGTTAGAGGGTATTGATAAAGCATTTTGGGCGTGTTTGTGGTGAACTACTGAACATCTATACTATAATACCAAAATAGTGCCACACCAGCAGACTCCACTAGTTAACTCAGTATAAGGTTTCAGTTTTACTCCAACAATTACAATGAAAAGAGTGACTTTTCTTTTTAGGCCTCAGCTGATATAATGTTGTCGGACGTGATCAGGCCTGTGACAGTCAGAATAGTTACTCAGGTGACGATCTTTTCATTTAAAGATCATGACAACTCATCTCGACATGTATATAAAGTAAGTCCACTCTCATGGTTGAAATAACATCGATCAGCAGCACGGTGCAAAGCGAGGCCTAAGGGGGAAACTGTGATCATATCTTGCTGAGTTAGCTGTGCAACTAGCTAGCTGGCTAACGTTACTTACATACTTCACAAACGCGTTTACTTTTACACAAATAGCCGTCTGTAAAAATCAAACGCAATAATCACCAACCCAGACATTTGTTTCAAAACTTCAAACACACAGCTTTTGGTGTGCTCTAATCGAAAAGTAGAGCAGCTAACCAGCGAGCTTTGCTATCAACTAGAGGACAAGGTTAGCCAACGTAAACAGTTGGATTCGCTGTCTCGAGAGAGCCTCGAAAACAAAGCGAACGACCAAATTACAAACAACAGTTATTTTATAAGAGGCCTTTATGAAATATATACCAAACATACCCAGATGACATGTTGAATTACAGCCGAAATCCGTAAGTTTTGATAAAACAAACGTTGACGCAGTTCAGTGCTTTCCCCGTGCCCTCTTCCTGGAATAATAACAACATGACGTCACTTCCGTAGTGGACCTGTCTGGGAATCCCACCCGTCTAAAAAAGTGATGAATTTATTAAAAATCAAGGGTTATTATTTATATCATGGTTTTGAGTCAATCACGTGAACAAATTTTTCTATAAGAAAAATTACCCTTTTTTGTTTGTATTGAATACGCCGGCATTTCTACCCACAAACATAAGTAATCATTATGTCAACAAATTCAGTTTGTAGGACTGATTATTACGATGACTTTGTACCCTTTCTCATTTTTATGCCATTTAGTACATACATTTCGATTAACTGATTAATTTGGTTATTTAGAAAAAAGACGTACTTTAAAGAGGACATTAAACACTGAACCAAGTTATTGTTTTTAAGAATGCCTCTTGACTTCACAAATCACTGTAGCCTATTCATGACTCTCAAAATGTAATACATTTTTAGAAAACTGTGACAGAAGTTCCACTTTAGCGACACTGCGGGGAACCGTAAAGCAGTGCCACTTCGCGTGACGTAATCGGTTGTGTAGCTCGCGTATTGACAATTGAATGAGAGCACATTAGGATGGCTGAAATGGCGAATTGAGAGCCAAAGACGAGTAAACTCAGTAGAGTAGTGGTATTTTGTTTTGTGCCAGGCTGCTCCAACCAACTTTACCATGTAAGAAATAAAAAAACGTTGCATTTTCATCATTTGCCGCTAAAAACGGCCGGTGATTCTCTGACGCTGGCGAGCAGCTATGAAGCGTCAGGATCTACCTGTTTGCATATACACTAGAGCAGGGGTTCTCAACCTTTTGCGAGCTGGGCCCCCCAAAAGGTGGTTCAATGCAGTTAAATTTTTTGAGGTCATGTTTCCTCTGTTATTTTATATCAGATCTCCGTTAAACAGGTGTGGTGTCTATGGGTGTGATGAGCTCCTGTGAAAGCTGTAGCTTTGTGAACACAGGTGGCGCTGTGTGGATGAGAGGAGACGTGTGTAGATGAGGGAGATTCTGGCGATGAAGTTTATACAGTTAATACCGATGTTTACTTCAGATCGCTGCTTTGTGTGTGTGTGTGTGTGTGTGTGTGTGTGTGTGTGTGTGTGTGTGTGTGTGTGTGTGTGCGTGTGTATAACGTTGCTACTGCCTCCTCCTCCTCCGCTTCTCCTTCTCGCTTACATGGTCTCTTTCTGACCGGCTCAAAAGCATATGCCATCGGGTTGGCAGGATAGACCTCCACCACATCCATCTCAAATTTGTCCTCCGACATCTTACCGCTAAGCGATTGAGTCACGTTCACTAATTCACTGCTCTGTTGCTGCACAACCGGTGACGTCGCAACTGTCGTAAACTCAAGATGGCGCTGTGCATATGTCATAAATACACTCTTGAAAGCGGTTTTCCTATTAAACAGCTGATTTTTTACACAAAAAAATATTTCAGACTCTCTCTTAATTGATTTTTTTTTACCACATGAGGATGCCAATGTGGTGTGTTTCATGTCCTCTTTTCTATTTCTATTCTAATTTTAACCATTTTATAGATTGTAATTAGTGCAGTTTTTACTGTCAGTCTATGACTTTACGTGATTCATAATTTCAGAGAAATATAGGTCTACAGGTGAGTGAGGGGCCTAAATGTCAGGAATTTCTGTCGATATGTAGGCATGAATCTAGAACCCTCCCCTTCTGCTGACTGGCTGAATACGTGAGGCCGTGCTGCGCATGTCTGTGATTTGATTGGAGGGAAAAGCCGCCATTATTGTACGTTTCTCTGCGTCACGCGCAAGTGTAGAGGAAAGAAGCATGGCCGCTGTGTTGAGAGGGTCTCGGTACCTAGTTGGAAGGTGCTGCAGAAATGTTGACTTTGCGTTTGGTAAGGACATTAAGCCGACACTGTACCCACATAATGACCTCTATCGTCGCTGCACTTACTTTAAAAGCTCAAGTTTTTACTTTAAACTTCCTTGTTGTGACACGAACAAACCACTTTAGCTTGAAATGTTTGTGGAGAAGTTTGAGTTAATTATGCTAGCTCCTATTGCAGAGGCTCGTCCTCACAGGATCCTGGTCAGTGAGCTGTCCTGTGAAAACCACGTACCGTTTGTACGACGGGCCCTTTTGTGTGACCAAAGCGATGTATTGTCTGGCAAGACGTATTGATAGTCGTATTTCAGGGGTGAACATTGTATTTATTCGCTCTTGAGTCCTGTATGCTGACTGTCTGGTGAAGGTACATTGTGTAATGACAGTCACCAGCACTTATCAAGTTAGATTTTTTTGTAAAATGATGGCAGTGGCTCCTTGCAGACACTTGATCCTCTGAAGGAGCCACTTATACATCGTATTTTATTTAGCTTGCGAATATCATATTTATTGCAGCATCTTTTGCACATGCTCGATTATTTTGACCTCACTAGTTAATTTTCTTTTGAGATATATATATATATATATATATATATATATATATATATATATATATATATATATAAATATCTAGTATTAAAACCACAACATATAAAATGTGTTTTTCTATCTTTCTTTGTTAGTGTGGAGATCAACTTCTAAGGGGAAGTCTCTTCACCTTGAATTTATACGTTGCTTTCTCAAAGAAGTTTCTGTCATCAAGACGATGCTTAGTCAATATTGAGAAAGGGCTTGGATGCCTCTAGATACATCTGAGGAAATTCGTACAGAGGGTGGTTGTATATAACCATAGACAAATCATTTACATGAGAGTAAGGCATTTCTTTCTTTTGTAAAACTGAACTATTTTAATTAGCATTCAGGTCATTTTAAACCACAAAATAACACCTGGTTACCTCAATGTATGACTGAAAAAATATGATATATATAAATTAATAGGATACACTACCAGTTTTGACATATGGCCAGTAAATTAACATTCTTGTTCTTGAGTCTTATTATCTTTTTGGTTTATACGGTTGTTGCGTTGTAGTCTCCACAAGGTCCATGGCCTCAAAGACACAGGTGGGGTTCGTTGGCCTGGGCAATATGGGAAACCCAATGGCGAAGAACTTGATAAAGCACGGCTACCCAGTCATTGCTACTGATGTATTCCCGGAGTCCTGCAAAGAGCTGCAAGAGCTGGGAGCCCAGGTAAAGGTGTTTAGTTTACATAGATTCTTTAAATAAAGCACTTCACAGTGCATAGCCACCTCACGGTGATCTTTATTTTCAGATTGTGGATAATCCTGCTGAGGTAGCAGACAAAGCTGACCGCATCATAACCATGCTCCCCTCTAGTCCCAATGTCATTGATGTGTACACCGGACCAAATGGCATTCTCAAGTAAGATTTTGTTTCTCTTCTTTCATTTTGGCTTGTGCATTGAAGTCAGACTCTAAATTGTGTACGCTTCTCAACAGAAAGGTGAAAAAAGGCTCCCTGCTCATTGACTCCAGCACCATTGACCCTGCTGTTTCTAAAGACATGGCTGCTGCAGCTGAGAAGATGGGAGCAGTTTTTATGGATGCACCTGTATCAGGAGGTACCTCACACGCTTTTGTTTTTTATATTTTGAAAAAAAATGATTTCATCTCAAGGTACAAAACCCTTCATGTACTGTATGTTTAAAAAATTAGTGTTTAGTTAGTGTTTCAAGGAAGTGTGAAATCAACTATTCAGTCACTGTGGAAGCTTAACCAGAGAGCTCTAAATTATTCAACAAAAATTCAACTTTTTAAGAATATTCTGTAGGTGTTAAAAAAGTTACGTGCCTTTTTTATTCAAACAATATAACTCGAACTAACTAAGCAAGTAATTATCCCAAAAATGATTATGTTAATGACTGATTAATCTGTATATTAGTTTTGGACTATTTACTATGGCTAAAACCAAAAAGGGAGTTCTCTTGTTAATGGTAACCTTTGATTCTGTAGTGAACTTTTTTTTTCATTATCTAAAAAACAAAACAAAAAAACAACACGTTTCAACCTAGTTTGATTGTTCTATGCTATATCATCAGAGGCTCTCATGATAGGTGTGAAATATTCTTTGTACAAAAACCAGGGAAAAGACTTTTAGCCTAGGTGTATCATATTTTCTACATCGATTATCTGACAGAATGAACCTTTAATGTACGTCTGTAATCCTGCATGTGTTTAATAGTGATAAATCCAGTGTTGCCGCTGTTGTTAGTGATTTAAAGGGCAACCAGTATCCACAGCATATTCAACATATGCACTACTGAAAATGTAAATGCCAATTAAAATGTCATGTCAAGATGCTTTCTATAAAGAGCAGGGGTCCGTTTCACGTAGCAGGTTTAGTGGAAACTCCGAGTTTGTTAACCCTGAAATCAGGGAAACTCTGAGTTTTCCGTTTCACAAAGGAGGGTTAGTTAAACCAGGGAGAGAGGGGTAACTCTAACCTGTTTCACAAAGAGAGGTAACTCAACCTCGCGGTCAGTTACCACAGTAACAGACTCCGTGAACCTAACCTGCTCGGGAGCAGGTTTAACTCAGTAAACCCAGAGTTTCAGGTGAGACATCGGCATTTTCTCATTTTGATCATGTTTTACATTGTCAAGTAAGTATTTAGTGGCAGTTTGATCCCTTAAAAAATGCTCTTTTCACACTCAAAACTGAATTTTACTCTCTTATGATGTTCCATTAAATGATTAAGAATATTAAACTAACACAAAAACGGGTGGTGGTCCAGCAGCCCCACCTTTTACGGAGGCAGAGGAGCTGCCCCCCCCCCTCGATCGTTGAGGGGGGGCAGCTCCTCTGCCTCCGTTAAAGGTGGGGCTGCTGGGCCACCACCTGATTTTCTGGCATCTGCCCTCTTTCTGTTTGCTGAGTGAAAGTCTAATATTGAGTGTAGTGTGTTAGTTTAATATATGTACATATACATACTGAGAGTTACTTTAATATTCCTAATCATTTAACGGAACATCATAAGGGAGTGAAATTCATTTTTGAGAGTGAAAAGAGCATTTTCTAAGGGATCAAACTGCCACTTAATACTTACTTGACAATTTAAAACATGATCAAAATGATTCAAGCAGTTTCCCTGCAACAGTCTGTCATTGTGATTGCACGAGACTAGATTTAAAGTTACGCATTGACGCGAGCAGCGATTTCCTCCCAAGCCCTCTCCCTCTCCTTTGCAGCTGCTGCTGTATTGCACTTTCTTTACAAAAGGTGCTGTTATTCGCTGTTGGCTTGCTGCTGCCCCCTCCTTCTCCCTGTTTCCATTGGTTGATCATTGAATCTGCGCTCCACAGATGCTGGCTCTTTATGTCTGGCGTGCACGTGCTTAACTCCAGGTCAAACTACTCGGAGTTGTTAAAACCGTCTCAAATCAGGTGTTGTGAAACCGGAAACTCAGAGTTTCCTAACTCAGAGTAGATCAACTCAGAGTTAAGGATTTAACTCAGAGTTTGTTGAACCACCTACGTGAAACGGACCCCAGGTCTCAACCATCCTTTGGGTTATAGAATATACAAAGACCCAATAGCAAAAAGAACACAATTCAGTCCCATCTCTCAGGCTAGTGCCTCTTACACACAGTAATACTACAACAGTTCTGGCACAGATTGCATGATATGAATCAAGGGTATTTGCATTTTGTTGACTTACAGATAAACTGTAGTCACTTTTGCGAGTTGGCACCAAAAGTTGTATGTAGGCTGTGTCGACTTAAACAGGCATGAGATGGTGCATGTCCCCCAAGGGGTCCAGTTTGTTTCAGTACAGTATGGTAAAATTTGGTATGCTAAACCCTGATCTTGTTTGCATTTCTATGGCAGATTGTACCCTGGTGCTAAGCATGTTGGTTGTGTGATGGTGTGCAGAGGTTTGGTGTGCAATGGAATGCATTGAAATCTTCAGCTTTGTTTATGTGACATGCATGTAAATACATCACGGGTGTGTCTCAGGGATGCTTTCCAAACCGAAGCCCGATCTGTTGTTTTTCTTTAAAGACTCCGATTGATTTTTTTTTTTCACTATTTAAAGTGTTCTCAGTGGTCTTGAAATTGTGATTATAAAGTTTTTACCAAAAATCACATCACCTGTCATTTTCAAGGGCTTTCTTAGCAGAGCTCCAGTAGAAAATTAGCAATTCGCCTCTGATTTGTGGGCGGAGACCACCCTGCTCTGCACCCTCCTCTCCACGTTAGCTTGCAGCCTAACATTGCTGGTGCAGTAGAAGTAGCAAGTAATCTGGGAGCTTTTCAGCTTTCAGACACTAATGTCTTTGGGGGCGTGATGAAAGCTAGTATAAGTTTTCTAATAAGCATTGCAATCCACTACTGCACACACTTGTTCCACGGTTGTCCTTTCTACTTCTCAAGATCTGGCCTGCAGAGCAGGGTGCCAGGGGCCCTGCATAGATTTTTGATGTAGAAATTCTCACTGCGTCTAAATCTGCCATTTGCGTCTGCCAGAGGTTCACAGCGATTTGAATGAAGAAATACTCAAAAATGCAATTTTGCACTGATTTTTCTCATGTTATATCCTGTAATATCAGAAAAATGCCATATGAACATGTAGACAACAAGAAAAACATGAATTTCATTAGAGTGGGTCTTGAAGGAGAATCCCTTGTTTTTACACAGTGGTTTTATTGTGACGTTGTGTCTGGGACTGTTATTTGGTGATAGAAGTAACTTCATCAGTCTTTATTTGAGCCTAAGATGAACTTTCACTGCATAAAGAGGTCATCTGTCCTGTTGGCTGCAGCTAAACTTTGTTAATTATTAAATAACATCAGGCTACAGGAAATATGGATTGTTTTTTTTTTTTTTTTTGGGGGGGGGGGTAACTGACTGTGTGCTTGAATTAAACCCCCATTTATAAACCCCTACAGCTTTTAAAACCCCAAAGCATTTCAGGTTAGCAAAGATACAAGTATGTACACTACAGGCCAAAAGTTTGGAAGCAAGGCCAAAACAGGCCAAAAACATTTGGAAACTACCTCAAGTTTCTGTTCGCATTGCCTTTCATAAAAAAAAAGGATAAGTTAAATGTATTTTGGGATGTATTTATTGCATGACTAGACTTTGCTTTCATTGATATGCACCATTTTCCTCAATTTACCTTTAGGTATACATTGATGTTAACAGACCATTGCTGAATAAATGTCAACAAAAGAAAGGGAGGGCTTAGTTTTAGGTTCAAGAAGATTAGCAAGAGTCACAAATTCAGTGTAAAAGTAAAAAAAACAAATCACTTTGCATTATTCACTTTTACTTATTGGTTTTTGAGTGTCTGTATACAAAAATCCCAATAAATCTCACCCGTGTTCAAAACTCTGACAAACTATCACAGAAATGGCTAGAAAGAAGTAACTGAGTAAAGAAACAAGAGTACAGATTTGTACATTGAGAAAAGAAGGATAACGCCCAAAAGTGCCCAACAAAGGAGTCCTCTACACTCTGAAGAGACTTGAAGAAATTGGAAGTTATGATGATAGGAAAGGCCTGGATGAAAGAGGGTCACAACAAAAGCAGAGGATAAACATATTATTGTCATCAGTAAGAGAGATCAGCGAAAAACAGCACCACAAATAAAGGAGGAAATCAACATGACAAGGTCAAAACCCATATCTCTGACAACCGTGAAAAGACGTTTGAGAAAGGCTGGTCTGAAGGGTTGTGTATCTGCAAAAAAACACTGCTTTGTCCACAGAACAAGAAAAAGAGATATGAGTGGGCAAAAGCTCACAAAAATTGGACTTATGATGACTGGAAACAAGTCTTCTGGACGGACGAAAGCAAGTTTGACCAAGCAAGTTTGACCAACCCCCCCCCCCCCCCATTGCAGTAAAGGGTGGGATCTGTGGGCTTGGTACCCCTACAGATGGGTGCAAAACAAGTAAAACTTGAAAGTCTACTGATTCAGTGGCAGTTGCAGTGGCACCAATTAGTGCACTGGATCATAAAGGACCTGCTTTTTTTGTGTCAAGATGGAGAATATAGGAAGAGTAAATATTGAATGTCTGAACCGTTGCTGTAACAACAGCACAAGAAAGATGTGGTCCCAGAATCATGGTTCTGAAACCGTCCCCTTTTGCTCTGCAGACACATATCAAAATTTTGCTGTGAGGTTTGTTCTGTGATCTCACCCTGACTTAATGCAGAGTTAAACTTGAGGTATTGCAGGAAAAAAACAAAGAAATTTTTCCGTTTGATTTCATAAATACAGCCACTTCTGAAATTAGAAAACTGAGACACTTTTAAGATATATATATTTATTTTTTTGCAACTGTGAATACAATCTATGTAAGAAAGAAAAGGAGGAGCAGCTTTTGCCTGCACAAATGTTTCTGGTTGTAAAGAATGTGCACGCTTGACTTTTTGGGGGTCCAGCCACACACACACACACACACACACACACACACACACACACACACACACACACACATGCAGTTTGTTTGAAGTTGGTCACCTCAGCACTATCACAGCCACTTTCTTTGAATTGATTTTGGCTGTTTTTACAGCCTGGCCTTAAAGATTAGTGCTGATTTATGTGCTTCCACTCTGCTGTAGTGCACATGGATTAAAGTTGTCCTGCTTTCTGCCTTGAACCTCAATCTGTGTGCGCATGCACGTTTGTCTGTGTGGTCACTGCAGTTTAGATAGTGTGAACTGAAGTCCACGTCAGACTCTGATTCTTCATGTCAAATTGCTGTGCTTTATGTCCTTAAATAACCTTTTGTCAATGCAGAAAGACATCTTTGTTTCATTCTGACGGCTCACGCTTGTTGTAGAAACTGTTTAACTAGAACAAGTATTCCTTCTAGTTTTGGTAACCATATGTCTCTAAAGTTTTGGTCAAACCACCTGATAAGTGATATGTTGCATTAAACTTATGCAGAAACATTCAGGGTCTCTGTTCCTCTGACTTTTTAAAAAGTCAACCCTGTGTGAATTTTGGCACCAATACTTTGACCAACAGTATAATTTGACTTTCTGAGCTGAACCACGATAACACCCACTTTGTTCCAGCAGCACAGTCATTGTATATTCCAGTTGGTTTAAAATGCTGCTGGCTCGACTTCTCACAGGCAGAAGGGAGGGGAAACATTACACCTATCTTGGCCTCTTTCCATTAGCTTCCTGTAAACTTTAGGATTAATTATAAGACTCTGTTGGTTGATGTCTTGGCACCCATGTGGCTCGCTTCTGGCGATGTATGACTGTGATTTTAACCCTGTATGAACCTGAATGCACCGTCAAACGAACAAATTGATCAAAAAATATCCTCAGGTAAGCGCTGAGCAAACTTTTTCGAACAGTGTCTGAAAGCTTTGATTACGCTTTACGGTGTTGCTTTTGCTGTTTATTTGCATCATCTTCATTTTGCTGTCTGAAACTTGTGATTTTATGTCTCACTTTTATTTAGCATTTACCCCTGCATACAGTTTATACAAATCTGACTTGTTATTGCCTACTTTTTGAGGCACATTGTAATTCTCCTTTGCAATGTACTAATATTTAACCAATACTTTTTCATTCTGTCCTCTGTGTCTAACTGGAACAATTTAGCGCTGCCTAAAGAACGCACTGTTGATCAGGGAAATTAAGTTTAGTGAGACAGCATATGGAGACATTTACTTCAATTATCACTTCCAAGTCAATTTTTGCCCACGTCTTTTGGCTTGAAAATAAAGCCTACAGTGCGAACATCTCTGCTTGCACACTGTTGATGTTAGCCGGATTTTACGTTTCCAGGTGTGGGTGCTGCCAGTTCGGGTAAACTGACTTTTATGGTTGGGGGAGCTGAAGAGGAATTTACTGCAGCCAAAGAACTCCTGAGCTGCATGGGAGCCAATGTGGTGTACTGTGGTCAGGTTGGAACTGGACAGGTGAGAGGACATATTCTCTGTTCATTACAAACCTTTATGGTGTGTTTATTAATCAAACAATGAATATGTAAATAAAGTAGGCCATGGTAGTTTTTCTCAACTATATTCTGCAGCTTTTTAAACAGTATATTTTTCCTTCTTGTTTCAGGCTGCTAAAATTTGTAACAACATGCTTTTAGCTATTGGAATGATTGGGACATCAGAGACAATGAACTTGGGAATCAGGTGACTACACACTTTGGTTACAAATAACAGCAAAAATATTCGCATTTCAAAATCAACACAAAGTTTCTCACAGGAGTTCAAAGTCACTGTTTTAAATTACAAGATGGTGCGTTTAATGTAAGTAAAATGTGCTATTGTTCACAGACTCGGTCTTGATCCTAAACTGCTGGCCAAGATCCTGAACATGAGTTCAGGTCGGTGCTGGTCCAGTGACACCTACAACCCTGTGCCTGGAGTCATGGAGGGAGTCCCCTCTGGAAATAACTACCAGGGAGGCTTTGGCACACAGCTCATGGCCAAGGTCAGTTAGATAACATGTGCCACCTGTCTCTGGGTCTACAGTTACACTTTAGCATTAGTGTATTCAAAAACATTTCAATTTCATGTTTGTGCTTATGCTCTTTTGAGAATATAAAAGCATATTCACTGGTGGTTACGTTTGCTGATTCCTAGAACTAACATGGACAAATACTTTTGTCTTAAACACAACAAGTTTTTGTAAACCACATAATTCACTCAACATTCTGCTTCAGGTGGATTGTTGTGAATAAAAAACCTCCACTATGTGTGAATGAGATTACCGTACACTCAGGGGTTTATTTCTGTACTACATGCCGTGCATCTGACAGGGATTAAGTTACAGTGTTATAAAGATTTCTATCCTTGGTCAGACCACATGAAATGATGCAGAGATGAGTTTAAACCCCTCTTAAAAGGAAATCAAGCCAGTATTACTGCAATATAAAGAAAAATTCTCTGCGGTGTGTTTTGGTGGTTTTGGTTTCGAGAGTTTAATTTTCTGCCGTGTTGGTTTTTCTTATGGATGTTTGCTTTTCTTTTTCAGGACCTGGGCCTCGCACAGAACACAGCCACTAACACAAAGACTCCAGTCCCTCTCGGCTCTTTAGCCCATCAGATCTACCGCATGATGTGCGCACGCGGCTACGCCACTAAAGATTTCTCCTCCGTTTTCCAATTTCTGCGTGAGGAGGAGGGCGCCCAGTAATGACGGCCTCCACCCCGTCCACAGCTGTGCTGGGCCCGGCCCTGCATAGGACTAACATAGTGTAGTTTGGGTGCATTTCACCCTGAGGACTGTGTTCTTTTATTATGATTTTTTCAAGGTTGTAAAAGACATGAGGCCTACAGAGCTCCAACACGGCGTGACAGATCATGGTGCACTTTTCCTTGATAGGAAATCATGTTTCCTGTGTGATTTTTTTTTTTTAAATGCAACACTCCTTTCAGTTTTAGAGGTGAAAGACTTTTCAGATCTTCAGAAGATCAAAGATTGCCATCAGTGAAAGATCTGCAGAGTTGGGTGGGAATCAGGTGATGAGACAGTAGCTCTTAAACTTTGTTATGGCTAAACGGTTGCAAAATACGGTTTAGTCCACATATTTATCTATTGTTTTTGATCTTTATCTTGCTGTTTTTGTTTTTGGGGTTATTTTCTTGACATTGGAAATGTTACTTTTTCAAGAAGAGTGTATTATCATATCTTGCTAGGAAATAAAGACACATTTTGAGGTCTTAAACTTGACACATTATTTTACCACCTCATTACTCCATTCGTTTTAATTTTCTTTCCTTACAAAACTGACATCTAAATTATTTCTGGACTGCTTTGTCGTCATTTAAATAACTGTCAAAGACTGAGCAGAGGTTTGAATGAAACTGAAATGAGGAATTTACAACTTGCTTACAAGACAGCCAGTCATTGGGTTGGAGCCGACGAGCTCTCGCGATAAAAACGGCTGTTTAGATTCTGATTTACCTGCTTTCAGCTACACAGTGTGTTTCGCCCGCTGCTTCTGAGAGTACTCTGAGAATTGTGTGTATATGTTTAGATACTTTGTGGTTTTGTGACCATCAAAAGTCGAACAAATGAGTGTGTAAGAGCAGCAGCAGAGCACATGCAGTGGCGGGACGCCGAGCTGTAAACACAAGTGTCCCAACACGAATGATGCATCGACCTTTTCCACGGAGATTTGGATGATTCACAAAAACCTCACATGAAAAATTCCTCTCTAATTCTGAGTTGAACGTGTAATTTTCTTCCACTTTTTTACTCCTAAACTACGGAAGCCTTGAGCACATTCACATCTCCACATCGTTGAACAGGCCCTCCTCACTCAGTATAGGTCTGCACATTTTGGTGGGATGTGGGTCTGTTATTTCCCCCACTTAGTCCGGACCAGGAGGGACGGCATGTTTCTGATCTAGTTTGCCAAGAGCCACTGAGGGGCTAAGGTGCCAGAGGTCATGCGATCACAAGACAAACCCATAAAAAGTCCATTAAGCACTGTGGGCTAAGAGCTGGGCTGTCATGTCGCTGATAGTTCCTGCAAACAGAGCAGCGCTTTGGTCTCAGGCCTCCAGCGGGCTGTGACACACACACACACACACACACACACACACACACACACACACAACCTGTCATAGTTTGCTGCAGCGCTGCACCCCAGACCTCCTGCATAGACTTCTATCCATCAATCTGCATATTTTGCATCAAATTGTGGAACTTGAGTTTGTGCAGCAGCGTCAGAAATGTTTGCCCTAGTTCCTGTGCTCCGCCTACAGGAATGGAGAAAATGTGACGGCTGTTATTGCTCGAGGCTATTCTGACTTGGATCATTTTTACATTGCCTTTTACCTGTGCTGTTTTCCTTTCCCACGTTTCCCCCCGATCCTTATTTAAGACAACTGCGGCGAGGCTATTTTTCCCTCTCGGTCCTGGACTGTTCTTAATCTCTGTTTTGATGCGTCTCCTTGTCTGCTGTAAAAGGCTGTTTTTGAAGGCTGTGTTTTTTTTAAGTGAATATACGGCTTCGGAAAAAAAACATATCCCTAGTCTTCTGCAAATTTACGCATAGATTAATGAAAATATATAAACAAATACCATTGTAAAATAGGCTTTCAGATTTAGAGTTGTTGTTTTTTTTTACACATCCCCAGTCCCTCTTATTTATTTTCACTGTGCAACGTTGAATTTCTATCTAAAAGACTTTTTTCGTGTTGCGTTTAATGAGCCAATAATGGTTAGAACTTCCCACATCATTTATTTTTTAAAATGATAATTATCTGCCTTCTATTACCCGCATAAAAAATGTTTTTTTCTGATAGGATTTACAAAAATTATTTATATTTAGTTCTTGTCATGTGCACGAGTAAAAATATGCGTGTGTGAATGTTGATCGCATTTTGAGGTAAAAAAAAAAGGCAGTGTAATGCTTCTTCATCGACAGCTCATTTTATGCATCAACATTATTGTTGATCTACTTAATGTTAATATAATCGTGTGCAGTCCTGACATGTGAAGGATGTGGCTGAGCTGACTCCTGTTTACTTTATCTGCCTCGGCCACATTCAAACAGATAGACCGATTTTCTGCCCAAGATGCAGCGTACTTTGACTGAAAACAATCTGCGTATTTCGAGTCCGTTTTCACGATCGATGCCTTTTAAAAAGCGGACGTGAACTTCTTTAGAAACATCAAACATGATGTTTTCCGTCTGAATCGTTCGCTGCTGCTTTCTTTGCCTACGAGCTATGAACTTGGGCCATAAAGATTTACAGCCTAAAAAGGTGGGAAAAGTCTATTAAAATTAAAAACCTGCTCAAATTTAGGAAGGCTACAATCTGCTCTGCGTCTGTGGTCTTAGCCCAGAAAAGCAAAAACAAAAACCAACGCTCGAATTGAAAACACCATTTACTTTGACAGCAGTGTTCACCGCCACGTCTGTTTTTAGTGCGAAATTTGGGCTAAACTGAAAACAACTTTTATTTTAATTATTGCAATGCTCTCTCGTGCCTATGAAGAATTTATCCTGTTTGTGTCAAAATGGAACATGAGCCAAAAGACAAAAGTGCTTTCAGATCTGCTAAAGAAAACAACAGACCACCCGTGGAGCCATTTTACGCTGAATGCAAAACATGCTGACGGTCAAACTTTCTAAATCTTACCTTTGACTCTACTGTGAAGATAATTAATTTTAATACCACTATCTGTTCATTAAAATGTGACATTAGTTTATTTTTTTCCGCAAAGAATGATAAGATTAGAAGAGGAAAGGGGGTAAGTATACTGCATCTTTCTTTGGAGCAAACAGAGGCAGTTTTTTTGAAGTGGGCTGTTGTTCGGTATTCAGTTCTGTTTTCTTTTCAGGTTTCTTGCTGTAAAAAGTTTAATGTGGCCAGACTGCAACTTTCAACTTGACCTTGGCCTCCAGCCGCGTCTAACCATGTGAGGAAGGGTGCAGCCAAATGTGACATTCATCTGGTATTTTGAGGACTATCCGCTGGTGTTTACATTTTCTACGGTGATGTGTCGGGTAAGAATCAACACAACCTAAAGCTCAGGTTATTTACGCATCAAATTCTCCAAACAAAATAATCAATGCATATATATTTGTGTTTAATCTCTGCGTAATATTAGGTCTGATATATTAAGATAAGCTGTCCTTTCAGATGACCCGTTAGTTTGATGGATTATTCTGTAAAAATGTGTCTCTTTTGGTGGGAGCACGTGAACTTTGTCATATCTTATGCAAAAAATAAGAAAAGTTTGGAAGCACAATCAGTTTTTCTTTACTTCAAGGGGGAGAAATAGAAATGGCACGCGTAATTACGCATCAGTTCTATCGTTTGTGAATGCGCACCCCAGAAGTTTGTAAAAGTCATTTTATTTTCTCACGACATGTATCACAAAGTACATTTAGTAAAAATGTTGCAGTGGCATTGCACATTTGACAAGATAGTCTAAAATGAAAAATAAACCAAGTTTGACATCAACATGATAAAAATGAAACTACAGTGCCTCATTTGCATAAAACATGATGTTCAATACATCCTAACAAATATGAGGCTCGATGTGCCTTATCTGATGTCTAGACGTTTATCACCTCTTTTGCATATCACGTGCTTGGCCCTGGCCAATAACCTCACGATCTCTCTGTACTCAGGCGTGCTGGTATCGTTACTCTGCCGGAGTCACTGTCTCTGCTCAGTTGAGTGGATTTAGAAAAAGAGCTGGTCGTCTCGATGTAGGGCATGCTATGACCGCGTCATTACTCCTCCACTCACACTGGATCGACCCGGTGATGTTCCTCTACGACAGCGGCCTGGATGAAAGAAGCAAGAACATGGAGGGATTCACTGGAGGCAATTTCGCTGCAAACCAGTGCAGGAATTTGTTAGCGCATCCAACCTCGCTGGCTCCCAGCACCACCTACACAGCGAGTGAGGTGCCAGTGTCTGGCATGGGGGAGCCTGGCAAACAATGCAGCCCCTGTTCTGCCACTCAGAGCTCTCCAAATGCGTCTTTGCCTTATGGATACTTTGGCAGCAGTTATTACCCGTGCAGGATGTCACACGGTAGCGTAAAGGCGTGCGCGCAACCTTCTGGATACAGCGATAAATTCATGGACTCATCCGTCTCTGGTGAGGAGTTTTCGACCAGAGCGAAGGAATTTGCGTTTTATCAGGGTTATTCCTCAGGTCCATACCAGCCCAGCTACTTGGACGTCCCTGTGGTACCTGCACTGAGTGCTCCATCTGAGCCAAGACACGAATCTCTGCTGCCTATGGAGCCCTACCAGCCCTGGGCCATCACTAATGGCTGGAGTGGTCAAGTTTACTGCGCTAAGGAGCAGCCACAGTCAAATCCTCTGTGGAAATCCTCCTTACAAGGTATTTGTATGTTTTAATCAAGATACAAATATGAAGCATGGCAATGTGTGATTGTAAAATAAAATTACAAAAAAATTAAAGTCCAGTACATAAAGAGAGCATTCCCACTGGCACTATTGAAGAATGAGAAGGAAGGAAAAATAATAATAATAATAAATCAATACCCTTAAAAATGCTTTTAAAAAGAAAGCATAAATTAACTGAATATGTTTTTCTTGTCAGACACGATACCTGGTGGAGACAGCTCAATTCGCCGGGGGAGAAAGAAGCGCGTGCCATACACTAAAGTGCAGCTGAAGGAGTTGGAGAGGGAGTACGCCGCCAATAAATTCATCACCAAGGACAAAAGGAGGAGGATATCTGCGCAGACGAACCTGACAGAGAGACAAGTAACTATCTGGTTTCAGAACCGGCGCGTAAAGGAGAAAAAAGTGGTCAATAAGTTCAAGAGCAGTTAGCTGTGGACTTCTACTGCAACAAGAGAGGCAGTGCGGACACGGATGTACCTTCATCCAAAAAACTGAGTGATAATTTATTTGATGGTATGAACTGCTTCTTGGTCGTGGCTCTAATTTTGACCTGCACATTTCCTTCCTCACCTTTAATTGGAACCAGTCGGTGCGGCCTGTTGACATGGAGGTCGGAAATGGTTTGCAACATGTTGACCAAAGCGAGTCTAAGAGGACTGAATGATGTCTGCTTAATCGTCATTTAACAAGAAGACATTCTGTGTGTGTGAGCAACGAGACACTCGGAGAAATCCTGCGCTTTCATTTCACTGAATCCAAACCACAATTCATCGCTGATGTCCGGTTCCAAGGACTGCGTTATATGCGACAAAATAGGTGTTATTTTCAGCTGGTGATCATCACAAATGGGCACAAATAGTAAATAATTGGATCACAGATGGCAGGTTTTTTGTTGTTGTCATAATTGACTTTAAGGTGTTGAAAAAATAATCATGTATTTACTCTATCAGCCTACATTAGATCTAGGTTAACCTTTGCGTAAATTCCTGACTTCGTGCCACCATTTGAAAGCTTGAAAAACAGGATCTGCACCACATCCCTTCGTTCATTTACTTTCTTCATGGAGCGAATATAAACCTCTGTTGTTTAGTATTCAATAAGACCTGATCAAACGTGAGAGCTGATCATTTCAACCACGTCCGTATTTTTATTATTATTATTATTTTTTACCACTGCAGTTTCTGCTCAGGAGAACTCACCTGTTAGGGCTTGGCTGACCTCTTTTTACCTGTTAGTCAGGAACCTTTTCTTACAACTCAAAACTTTGACGTATTCAAAGACGTAAATACATTCTGACTGCCACTATCTAGCCTCATTTTTTACTGCAATAGCCAAAAGTTTTTGTCAATAAATATTTGAGAGTCACGGTGTGATTTTGTCTTTTTCATTTATTCTCATGGTTGTCCAGATTGGACATGTTTGTGTGCTTAAAAACATTGCTTTATATCTGGTTCATAGTGAAAACTCTGAGGAGTGTATGTAGGCCAACAGGCCTTCATGAGAGCGTAGAGCCTCCGCAGGCCCAGTTGTAAGACTGGTGTTGCCATCTAGTGGTGGAATCTTGTCAGTACAGAGTCTGAGAACTGACACGATTCTGTTTCATGTTAGTTTACAGTTTGCATGTAAAGTATCAGTATATAAGGTTGTTGTGCATAAAAAAATCCTTGTACTTAAATGTTGTTTCAGCATATATTTTACCGACAAGTCGTGTGTATTTTTAATTAATTTACATCATAAAAACAATAAGAAACTCAAGGTTACTCCATCTCCATTTTGTGTTTTTGTAGAGAAATATAGAAATAGATTAGTCAGTCTGTTTTAGGTGTGATTTAATGCACAAATAGGTCAGTAATTCGTCTTAAAGCCAGACACGGTCATATTGTTTTGTTATTGTGTAAACTGTATTGTTGGCTCTACTTCGCTGTTTGAGTTTTTCATTTCTTATCCCATTTAGCCTCGCATAAATTGACGCATAAAATAAATATAACATCCGCTTTTATCAACTGCTTGAACCCATAAATGCAGATTGTGCGTGAAAAATCATGACTTTGCATGCGTTACCTGCACGTGCAAGGCCGGAAGTTTTTATGGCGTACAGTCTGTGTTCACAATTAAAAGGTTAATGATGCAAATGTAAAGTTAAGTAACAAAGGGCCTTTGGGATTTTTTAAGACATACACCGGTTTTGTGATATTTTATAATGTGTCACAGTATGTGAACATAACGCATTTTTAAACTCATGAACAATCCACATGACTGATTTAATGTTATTCTCAAACAGCAACCTCGTCCTCTCTTGAAATGAATTATTGAAGTCCAACTTAGAAGGTGACACAGGGTATACAGACCTGTCCCCGTTTAAAAACAGCTCCTTCATTTAGTTATCAGTATTGATAACTATACAGAGTTTTGAGTGAGTGAATATAGTGGTCGTGACCCACTGTATGTCCTCATAAAGACAGATATTCAACTGCAGTTAGTTGACAAACGCTGTTATCAAAACCTCTAAAAACACAAAATGTTGTGTGATAATTTTACACATTTTCAGTCAAATAGAAGTCAGAATCATGCAGCACTGACCCCCACCTGTCCAAATACTTGATATCTGTTCTGTCCAGCCCATGAAAACAAGTAGCTTGTGTTTACAGGAAAAAAAAAAGTCTGTTCAGCTTCTAACGACGGATAAGTTTGTCGTTTTGCTCAAGAGCACCTGGGAAGGCCAGACGTGTTTCCTCCCATTGGTCTTTCCAAACAGTTTTGTCAAAGAAAACTGTTGTCGCCTCTTTCACAGACAGATACTAGTGTGAACATTGTTCCACATAGACGAGTTTGGAGTCCCTTTATTCACTCTTTTTTTCCCTGCGTCTCCTCTGCTCCCCCTCTTTCTCTGTGTCATTGCTCCCCCTAACAGCCACATAGGTTAGTGCGCTTTACTCCAATAACAATAATAATAATAAAGAAGACCCGGATGTACGCAGGCCTGAGGCTGACCAACAGTCAGCTTTGTAAAACATAATGAAACCCTTATTTACACATTTGCTGAATCAAAAAGTTTGTGGTAAACAAAGTTGGATTTTTTTTTTTTAATACTCCAGTGTGTCTAGTTTTCTTCGGGCTTCTCTGGACTGAAGTCAATCAGTGTCATCTTTAGTGTTTAGTTTAACTAGAGTTTATTCTGATCACGTTTCCATCTTTTCTGCTTTGTGTGTGAGTGCGTGTGCGTGTGTGTTGTTGAGCGTTGTGCAGTGAACTTAAGACAAAAACTCAAATATTTATGACTCCAATAAAATGTCAGTAAACAGAATCCAAGGTTTTCACCCAAACAAACATCAAACAGAGAAATGAGAACAACAACCGGACCATGTAGCTGTAACACCAACTCAACACCGGGGGATTTTTCTCTATACACACACAATCAAATCAAACCCCTCAGAATTATGAACTGTTCCTGTAGATTTCACATCTGGAGAATTTTATTGAACCACTTTAGCATCTTCATATCAGTGAGTGTTTTTAGAAGATATCCCAGAGACCCTTCAGCCTTGTTATTTTATCTCAGCTATAATGACAGGGATACACATTCACAAAATTAACGTAGACTCGGAAAAATGAAATCAAACAGTGTTTCCTCTGAACTCAGGGGGTAAGGGACCTGTACATAGTCTACCTGATCACATCTGATAACCAACAGAAACACTCGAGTGAACGCTGGGTCGATGAATCCAGATTTTGTCTTTTATTTATTTATTTTAAATATTCATATGAGCCTAGTGGATTGTATTTTACCTGCAAATGGCGAGATAAAACAAATGAAATCAATGAAAATATTATTTGATTATTTAATACTCGATTGAAGAGTCACAAATAAGCGTCCAGACAAACCGCCCTTGAATTCTTATTTTTAAAGACACAGTCAGTCATTCAAACTTGTGCAGACACCGCCATCGTTTCATTACACATTTATTAACTATGGTGTCTATCTATTCACTTCAGCTTCAAGAGTGGATCGTTTAGAACTCAACTGAAATCTGAAAATTGCGCTTATTTCTTCTTATTTATTTCTCACACGCGGGAGTGTTGAGGCGCTCTCACATTTCACACAATTCAATTCAACCGCACTATTTTTAGAGTGCAAAGAAAACCCTTTAATTCTCAGGAGCCACCTTCAGTTTTCATTATCACTCTTAGTGCTCTATCTAGATAAGCATTTTTTGCAACTCTTAACCCTCTTTCCCATCATGCTGCAGGCATAAACTCCTGCTTTTCTTTATAACTTCTTTAAAACATTTCCCCCCCTTTTTTAACCTCTTGGTAACTCGGAAAAAACTCAACTTCCAGATATTTAAAATAAGAAAATAAGATTTGAGTAACTTTTCGAATTGAAATCATAATGTTTTATTGTTATTATTATTTACAAAAGTGGCTCAAAGAGAAATGACATGTTTGTGAAAATCTAAATCCCCATCTCCCAATAGTCGTTAGGTAAAGGTATAACTTTGTTCGCACCCAGTTTCCATGTTCCGCAGAGACTGGATTTCACTGAAGAAAGTGTCCAATTTAAGTTCAGTTACGCGTCAAACAGTGTTTTATTGTGGTTAAAGTTGTTGTGATTTCTGTACGGATTCTGGGCCTCCCCTGCAGCCTGAATGCTGACTCCTCCTGCGAGTAGCAAACATTATTGTTTTATCACGAAGAGAGGAGTTATAGTCCAATTGATCATATGAAACAATGAAGAGCAGTATTATAGAATAATGACGCACTGCTGAAGTTGTTTAGAATAATTCACAGTCTGTGAACGTGTCGAGTTTAAAGGCTTTGATAGATGATTCAAAATGGGCTTCAAAAACTGGACTAGTGATATGTGACACTCGTGCCCACTTACACGGCAGTGATGACAAATGGAAATGGCTTGCAGTGTGGGAAACAGTCCGTGTCAAGAAAGTGGAGCCACCTCGCTAAATATCTTTATTATTCATGGCCTATAAACAACATGTGCCTGTTTGCATCCAACGTTAAACGCTCTGTCGCTGCTTCGTGACTGTGTGTATAACAGCTGATCACACTCATGAACTGCACACAGGCTCTTCACGGCTTTCTTACACTGTTTAACTTATATCTTATTCACACATTAGAGGCACACCGTGTACGTATTTTGGAACTTTGGTTCGAGAAATCAACTTCTTTAAGAAGTGGAGATCACCTTTTACGCGTAAACAGAAAAAACGGCCTAGCATGAGGAATGAATTTAGTGAAGTGTTCAGGAGCTGGTATGCTGTGTGTTAATCCAGATCAACATATGGCAGGTATAGGCTGTTCTGAGGCTCCTTTTAGAGGCTGTATTGTCTTTGTTTCCCCCGGCTGCCAAACTAGACTGATGCCTGACAAAGGCATTGCTCCAACACTTGTGGACAACATCAGTCTAAATATAGCCTGGGCGTTTTAAAGCCATACCTGTCAAAATATAGTCCTACGGAGATTCAATTTACACTAAAGAAACTCCAAAACTGTGACACATGAAACGACACATGCCAAAGTTTTCTCCAAATCTAAAGAAAAATCTGAATAATTCGAGTTTTAAAGTAGATGTGTATGTGTGATGGATGGAAGAAGTGTTGCCTCCGTCTAAATGTGTGATCTTCGTCTTTGAAATGTCTTCACAGAGGTTAAGGTTAGGGTGAAGGTGAGGGTTACCTCTACAAAAAGAGCGTAAAGGTAAAAGTTTGCAGGTTAAACAGCTTTTAAATCGAGTCACTATTTCCTGTTTTATTTATCCTGCTGCATGATAGGACACTTTGCAATAATTGTAAACAGACGGATAATATTAAGCCAGTAACGACAAAGAAAAACTCTCTTAAGTATACACTCCTTTTAAAAGAACATAAACCATGTCTGTGCGTAATTCCCTCACTGTATTTTCCTTCTCCATTCAGCCAAATGTCTGTTTTATAAACCCATTGACTCTTATAGCCTACACACTGAGGCGTAGGCTAGCTGTCATTCTGTGCCAGTGGTCACATGGCTTTGGCCCTCAGGAATGGATAGAGATGGATCCCCACGTCAGCTTGTACGTCTAAGGATTTCTGCTCCAGCAGTCTGCCTCAAAGTGACTGGAGCGCAGCGCGCGGAGGAACTATGAGCGGATTTTTATAGGAGCTTTTTCCAGCTGCAGAATATGGATTTTGATGAGCGGATTCCTGCCTCTAATATGTATTTACCAAGCTGCACTTACTATGTCTCTGGAGCGGACTTCTCGGGTCTGCCTCACTATTTAACCCAAAGCCAGTCCTCTTGCCCCGTGACATACCCCTACCAGTCCTCAGCGCTGCCACAGGTCCCGTCCGTGAGAGATGTTGCGTTCAGGGACTATGGGATTGATGCTTCCAGTAAATGGCACCACAGCAGGGGGAGCCTCACGCACTGTTACACTGAAGACATCGCGCACAGGGACGGCTGGACGACCCCGGCCTCACGGGGGGGAGAGATCCTGGTGAAAAGCGGCTCCAGTGTAAGCCACTCCAGCAGCGTCACCACGCCGACGCCCGGGGGCTTCTACGGCAGTGTGGGCAGGAACGGGGTCCTCCCGCAGGCTTTCGACCAGTTCTTCGACACCGCGTACGGAAGCACAGAGAACAGCACGACGCCGACAGCACAAATCACAGACACGGACAGACACGCAGCCAAAACGAGCCCCGCTCCGGCGCACGCGGGCTCGGACACGGCGGAGAGCTTCAGCCCCAAGTCTTCCTCCGGACACAGCGAAGAGAAGCAGAGCAGGAGCAGCAGTGAGTAGAGCCTGCCGAAAGCAGGCAGGAGAAACATCTAACACGCTGCTCTTAAAGCGTTTTATATGCTGTTTTATAAGCACGGAAGGTTTATGGAGGGCCTGCAGATTTCCCCTGGAACAAAACTATGTTAGAAACGACAAGATCACGTGCTTGGGATTGAAATTGGCCTTGAAGACTTTGGCATTAAGCTTGTCTTCCTATATTTCAAATTAGATCTTTACTTTTTTATGCTCCAAATCTGTGCGTAAATTAGCTGTTTAGAGTTAGTATGTAAACTTTTCCTTCATGCAAACACAAAAGAAAATAATTCTCCTCAACAACCTTCAAATGCCAAATAAATCAGGATGATTAGGACGCATGATCTAATTTAATCCAACACATTTGTTGTGTCTACTTGTCCCAAAACAAATTTATCACATTTGTTTTCCACATTGGTAATTTTGGATCTTTCATTTGTGTTTAATCCAGTTTGGTTGAAGTAGGCTACAGGCATTTAAATCTGACTCTGCGCCAGATTAGTCTTGCACCTCATTTCAAGATAAATATTTACACATTCATTGGATTTGTAAGGATTTGACTCAACAACTGCTTTCCCTGGCATTTGCCTCGCTAACACTGAGACAACAGCTCTTTACGCACAGTGAAATCAAATGTTCGCGATACAAGCGTATCAGTTACATCAGATACCCATAAATGCTTTCAGGCCTTTGCTCTTTAAATACAGCCAGTATGGGTTTACCCATTTTACTCAGTTTTTCATAACTTCCGACGTGCAATCCTTCACGTGTCCCTCCACAAAGCTTAGTTTTTGTTTACATATCTGGGTCCTGTAGGCCTGAGAGGAGGGAAACACTTGAACTCCAGAGCTCAGTCCAGACCACCGCGGATGCTTCAAGCAGGAAACTAGACTCATGATTTCATGTGGTTATTATGTGTCTACTGCAGCTCATTTGCTATCCCCTTTATCTTTTATATTTCCTCATTTTCAGGTGGCCAGAGGACGCGCAAGAAGAGATGTCCGTACTCGAAATATCAAATCAGGGAACTGGAGAGGGAGTTCTTTTTCAGTGTTTACATCAACAAAGAGAAGAGGCTGCAGCTTTCGCGGATGCTCAATCTGACTGATCGCCAGGTGAAGATCTGGTTTCAGAACAGGAGGATGAAGGAGAAGAAACTGAACAGAGACCGTTTACAGTACTACACCACAAACCCCCTGCTATAAAGACTGAAAAGAGACTCATGAACATAAATCTGCAACACAGATCTGCATCTTACATGGACAAAATGTGCCAAACCTCATCCAGATTTTGACTATTTATACAATACGTTGTCATTAAACACCTATTATTATTATTATTATTATTATTATTATTACAGATCTCTTTTTCTTCTTGCTCTAATTAACAAATATCTACTTTTCAAACTTGTCATTGCGCGTATTGTGTTCGTACGCGTAAAACCAAATGTGCCTGAATTCCCTTTGTATGATCCAATAATACGCACGGAGATGATGGCGCCAGCCCCGAAAAAGCTCCATTAACATTATTTAATTGCCTCCCCCAAACAGACGCTCTCATATCCAACTTTTGTGGCCAGAAATCCTTACAACAAAAAAACTGTTTCTTTCTGTCTTTCCTAATCTTTTAACTTTATTGTACAAATACAACTCCTACGACTGGAAAAAAAAACGTGTTTGTGTGCCTTGGAATCACTGTCTAATCTCAGCTGACGTTTTTGGCACTTATTCACTTGCCATAAAAAGAAAAAAAAATACAATTCAGTGCTGCATAAGTCACAGATGAGTAAAGTTATCATCTGACACCAGTAAATGCATTTTAAAGTTGATATTGAACATCTGACCTTCTGTGGCAGAAATGGTTGACCCGTGAGCCGTGAAGTTGGATCATTTTCTTATAATGGGGCTAAACCGCCGGATGAAACCGGATTTCATATATAGGTTTTTTACATGAGCACGTGGACGGTATCGGGTGATAACATGGATGTCTGATACATCTTATCCCGCCATGTCGAGAAACACTATCCGCTGCAGATATTTTTGGTATCTATTACAAAGGCTTCATTCAGTTCTGTCTCAAGGCTTATTTCTGACCTAACATGAACTGAAACTATTTGGAATTGTTGGATTGCATAAAGATGTAACACGCTGCGAATCTATTTGTGTGATTGCTCCCTTATCTGAAAAGTTGCTGAGGAATAATCCACCAAGTAGTCAGATGATAGTTGTCAGAGGATTACCAACTCCAGATCACGTTTACACTCTTCACAATATTCAGGGTGACTTATCTTTAATCTGGAGTTGTTAAATCCAAAGATTCTATACAAAGTTAGTCATTTATCCCGTATGAGTTTGTGTGAACATGCAAAATAATGCCTGAAAAGGTGTCTAAAGATTGGTTTCAGGTGGCATTATATCCACCACCAGTCCCCTGAATACAACTTGAATGACCCGCTATAAGCTAATAAGGGCCTTGATGCCCTCCTTACACCGTGCATCCTGCGAGGCTCCCAGGAATTCCGCTTTGATTGCTGCACATCCTCCCAGTTGCTCCAGTAACTTGGTCATAAAACGCGGCTTCGTCTGGAGCATTTGGAGTGTAGTGCAATAAAGCGTCTGAGACCAAGGTTATTAACTGTGACTAAGGGGCTGAAAAACAGCGGCTGGGAGCATTCAAAGCCTGTGTCCACGGACCTTTGCGGCGTCATTCGTTTCAGTTTCCTACCGTGGTCGGAATATTCTGTCTTTGTGGTGTACAGCGGTTTCTGGAGGCCTGAGAGCCATCTGCGACCACTGGGTGGCGCTCCACAGATCAATGTCATTGCCGTGAATTAAGATATTAAAGAAGTTTGAGTCGACGTTCAGCTGCTTTAAAATATACCCGAGCCTCAGGATTTCACTGTGAAGGTAGGAATGCATATTTGACTATACCCACTTGATGAGTGCAAAGTTTGTGTGAGTTTTTTGTTTGTTTGTGTAGACAGGCCTGCATCGTCTCAGACTGGAGTTTTCATGCCTCATGCAAATACTGAGTAGTAAAGAAAGTATTGTAGGCGTTTAACATTGAGTAAATAGCTGAAAGAGATATGTTCATGAGTCGTTTACCTCAGGTTATCGGGTTGCAGTTTAGGAGAGGGTTGGAGAGGCTAATGCGCACACAGAAACAAGATCACGGGGGCCTGTGCGGTTTTATATGCGTGGATCATAACTTCTATAAGTCGGTATAGGAGAGTCAAACCGAAATTAAGCCCCATTTTATCCTCAGAGATTTTTGTTTATAAATAATTCAAACATGTCAAATTTAGATTTGTTCCACTTTGGTTTGCAAATCCAGCAGAGTACTCGACCTGGCATTGGGCGAATAACGATCTCTGATGCTCAGAGTTTGGGATTTTTAATCTAACTCCATACATACATTTTTATAAGATCAAATATATATGTAAGAAAGAAGTAAAAATGTTTTATTGGGCTAATAATACGAGCAGAGCTCACCCACAGCGCACCCTGAAACATCCAGGCAGTGTCCAAAGGGTTAATGATTATTATCATTCATAGAGGCTGCAGACTGCCGCAGGTTTGACGCCATATTAAATATCCCTACATAACTCTAATTTGTAGACTTTAAGGCTCCAGACAATGGACCTGGGTGATGTTGTATTTCAGGGGAAACTCACCTTAGGAGACGTTTTACTGCTGACCTAAATCTGCAGGCCTCAGTCATCCGCTCCTAACCCTGCTGGCGCTCTTTTGAGTCAGCGTGGGCTGAAATATGACGTTTTATCTTATTTTCAGTAACACAGCAGTCCAGTGGAAGGGGCTGTGTTTACATACTGCTTTATTGTTATTATTATTATTTTAAAAGAACCAACCATGTGTCCGACTGTCTACTTAATTTTCACTTTAACGGCATATGTTATTGACAACCGATAAACGTCAACGCAGCCTATATTATTTTATTTAAAAAAAAACACCCACCACTCAAGAATGATACACGATATAAATAAATCAATATTAAGAAAACTGAGTTTTATTTTGAGAACTTTTCTCATTGAATCACGGCGTCTCTCCAGTCTACAATTATCTCTTCCTGGGATGTCTCTAAAAATCCTTCGTGGGACAAAGACAGTCCTGACAGAAAACAGGCCAATATCTGGAATATGAAGAAATAACAGACTCTTTAAAATTGACATTTGATTCGTGTACAGATTGAATCTTGTAAAATTTCATTTGAGATTAAATCTAAAATGAATTTAAAAAATATATATCTATTTCTTATGCGTAAAATCCTTTGGCCATTTTTTGTATGAATGGGGGTTTTATAAACACAATTGTGGGCAAAAAAGTGCAAAAACACAATTTCACAGAGGATGTTGGTGAGGTGCAAGTCTTAGCTGCTCTGAAAGAAACTAGGATTCTCCCAGTATTGCTAATGTGAGGCGACTGTGGCTCCAAGGCTTTGTTTGGCTGTGGCGCGGACTTGAGCGGGCCTGTTAGTCACCTTTAGAGAGACTCAATAGAGTTTTTGCAGTAAAAAATGTCTGGACGCAGGAGGCGTGTGTAACTTGAAATATCCACACTACAATCTTCTCAGGGAAGAGGTCCACACTGGGGATAAGACTTGTTTTAAACATTCAGCTTTTGGTCAGTCTGTGAGGAGGGGTGTTAAAAATAGTCCAGTAATTTTCACCAGCAGCGCAGCAGCAGCAGAAGGGTTAAAAGTCTCTCCACCAAAGAGTCACAGAGGACCTTTCGGATTTTGATGCACCCTGAGCTTCTCTGAGGCACCCTTCATTTTTACAGTGCTGTAAAAGTGGCCATAAAGCTCTGCATTGTACATAACTGTTAGAGACAGCTTTCAACAACTGAGTTGTCAAACTGGTGTTGTTGTTATAAATTTACATAGCTGGCTCGAGGCTTGTAGGTGGTGATCGAGACTCAAAATGTGAGATTGAAAGATTTGACTTGAAATGCCTCTCGTGCACCACTTTCCCTCCTCACAGTCCTCTCTTTACTTAAGCCTAAAACTAAATCTCTGACACAGTGGAGCTGCCTGCTCGGACTGGGAGGAGTCTTTTGGTCGCCTGCTGTTTTAATTGGCTGCAGGCTACAGTGAGAAGCGTGAGTATCAGTAATTATTCAGCAATGTTTTGCACAAGAAATGTCAGCCAGAAAGGGCTATCTTCATCCTCCGTCAAATTACACCACAACGATGACATGCCCCAACAACCAGGCTGGAAATTCGTTCTTCGTGGACTCTTTAATCAACGTGAGAACCGACAGTGGTTCATATTACCCAAGTAACGGCGTGTATTTGCCACCGGCGTCGGAATATTCATATGGACTGTCCAGTGGCTCGTGTTTCCCGGGGATCGGTAAGCGCAATAACGAGCCAGTCACCCAGAGCGTGATCCCGTCATCTGCTCCCTATGTTCAAGGGATGGAAACGTGGCTGGAAACGTCGAGATCGTGCCGGGTAGACCAACCCAGCAGCGGCCAACATATGGCTCAGTGCTCCTTCTCCCCGAGCATAAAGGAGGAGAGCGCGTATTGCCTTTACGAGTCTGACAAATGTCCTAAAGGAGCACCGGTAGATGACATTTCCTACTCGAGCGCATCATGCCCTGTTTCAGGCAGTACCTTACCAGTCCCGGGCTACTTCCGCTTGTCTCAGACTTACACGTCCTCCAGCAGGCTGTATCAAGATGTCCAGCCAAACATGAACCACTTTAGCCTGCAGAGACCTGCGCGCTCGGACAGCCAGCCCTCCCAGCCAACTCAGCCCTCCCAGCCTGCCTCTGCTGAGCCGGAGCGGAGGGAGAGCCACGAGGAGGCGCCTGTTCCTACACCCTGCGTCCCGGCCGGAGAGGAGGACAGCCGGCTCTCCTCGGACAGCTCGTCCTCTCCTGAATCTGCTGAAACCTGCAGGGCGGAGTGTCCTGAGAAGCCCGTCAAAGGTGAAGAGCAGAAAATTACCACAAAAAGAGCAGACAGTAAACAGCACGTTAATTTTGAAGGCTTCCATTGTGTTTTCTCGGTTTAGAGGACGGTTAGGAGTGCGACTGCTCCTTTTTTTATATTTGCAAGAATATTAAGCCTCGGGTCAACAGTCAGTCTTTCACAGGTGCGCGTTTATCGGGTATTTACAGCTTTATCAGACATGAGACGAAATTGAACGTGACCAATCAGAGCCGAGGATCAGAGCTGTACGAGTTGTTTAGACAACAAATAGACAGCTGTGCATGCACTTCAGTACAATTCCAGTCACACACACACCTTTAGGGTGTAGCATATTTGAACATGCAGCTTTTAATATTTATATTATTACTAACTTTGAATTAAAAAAGGTTTCACTATTTAACCTAAATGAAACAACAAAGCTAATCCAGTCTACTCAGGGCTGTGTTTGCTCTCGATTCATCTGAGGCCTTACTTTGATTTCAGTGCTTTGTTGGCTGTTTAATATCCCAATAAAGGTGCAGTGGGCTGCAGATTGTCGTGGTTAAAGCTTCTTAAGGGGACAAATATCAGTAAAAAAGTGGAATTATTGCTGTATTTGATGTCAGAATTGTTGTGATGCTGTGCGTAAAATGTCCATAACGTCAAATAAGTCAGAGAAACGTCTTTGTAGGGGTCTTGAGTGCATTTTAAAGGTACTCTTTAAAAAAATATTTGAAATATAAACTAGACACCACTTTTTATACGCATGAGCTTTTCTTTATGCTGATCTTTCGAATTTGTAACGGTCCATTTTATTTTTAACAGGGTTAAAAGGTTTTCTTTGGCTGTCTTCAGTGTGTTTTGTGTATTTTTTCCACACCTGTTGCCCATAATATCCTGTCTTACTTCCCTTTCAGGAGATGGAAAAATTGAAAGCACGGCTAACTGGCTCACAGCAAAGAGTGGCCGAAAGAAGCGTTGCCCATACACCAAGCACCAGACACTGGAGCTGGAGAAGGAGTTCCTCTTCAACATGTACTTGACAAGAGAGCGTCGTCTGGAGATCAGCCGCAGTGTGCACCTCACTGACAGGCAAGTCAAAATCTGGTTCCAAAACAGGAGGATGAAACTGAAAAAAATGAGCCGAGAGAACAGGATCCGAGAGCTCTCCAGCAACTTCAGTTTCTCGTGAGACTGTCTGTGTGTCTGTCTGCGTCTATGGCGCCCTCCTCCATCCATGGCACGGGCGCCTGTGCAGAGCCCCTCTACCCAACTGTGAGAATGTCCATGGAAAAATAGGACCCTACTGCTAACTTATTGATTGTTGCTCTTTCTTGTTTCCATGTCTGTATTTATAAATGGCTTCCATTTGTATCGTTGATCCGTTGTGTTTGAAATGTTCAGACTGTGACCACAATGTTTCAGAGCTTCAGGCTTGTACATTTTGTAGATTCAGCCTGATGGAACCATTGGACTTTGCATGCTGGACTCACCCTTGGGATATTTGTGTTACAGTTACGTGAAGGCCTTATTGTGACGGCTAAAAACACCAGAGAGGTCTGATGAATATTTGCACATTTTGCTGGTCAAATTAATAAAGCCATCCCTGCAACTGCAGACTTCTTATTTCATTCAGAGAGACAGACTGTGGGAGCTGTGCTGCGCGCTGTTTAAATCTTGCAGCTGGCAGCGGCGCAGTGCATGCTGCTAATGCCTCTGTGTTTTGGAGCGGGTCCGCTTTGTGAACAGTAAATATTATCATAGTAGTAGAGGGTGATGTCCGACATAGTTTTAGCCTGTAATGGATATCTGGCGGCTGCCACGCTTGCCTTTTGTCTTTGACAGAACTGTGCCAAACAGCAGATGCGTTTTTAATCATTCCTGAAAATCTAAATTATTTTGGATTTTCAGGAATTGCTTCTTATAGAACAACCCAGACAAACAGTGTATATTTTTCATGCAAAATGCCAAAATTAAAAAGTCAGACTTCAACGATTTCTAGACCTAAACAATCCGAATGTTGCAAAACTGCATCCTCAGAGTGATCAAAGGCAGTGGGATCGTTGTGTTGTTCGCCTTCCTAGATTTCTAAAATTTGTAGATTTGATTTAGTCATGAAGCTACCTATGTTTTTCACATTCAGAATTAAAGAACAGGAAATAAAATTATTAAAAGATAAAGTTTGTAGCAGAAATTCCCAAAGAGAAGAGCGGGCTGTGGAGTGGTTTAGGTAGTCTCATGTTGTTGGGCTATAATATTTCTCCCACAACACGAAACTGCCTTGATTACCTCAGTAAAACTCATCGCATCATGACAAGTGAGTCACTACCAAACACTGCTTGAATTTATTAATAATTTTCCTCAGACTGCATCAAAATCATGACAATTTTAGTCGAAAAATGTAAAGTAAAATGCTCGATTATTGTGCGTAAAATGAGCCCATAAACATAGTTTCTGTAATGAGGGGATGCTTATTTAGAAATTAAACAGGACGTCTACATGGCGCAGCATTTAGACGCAGTTTAACGCATACAACCAAAGTTTTCCCTAAAGTCCTGATATAAAAACCAGCCTTGTAAAGGATTTTGGCCGCCCTTTGTGAGCTTTAAAGCAGGACGTGAAGCTGCAGGCCGGGAAATGAAAGGATTAAGGCTCGTATAAGTCCAGCAGAGGAGGAAAGGACAGACAAGGCCTCGGTTATGATCATTGCAGTCTGCCAGTTGCCTCGCCGTAGGAAATGCCGGATGCGACTGCCTGCGCCAGAGAAAGGACACAAAGGCTGGGCTTTATTGGTGATATTTAGCTTGGACAGCCAGGTTGTAACCTGAAGAAAAACAACCAAATTGCCCGTGATAAAAATGGGACTGTTAAATAGCACCCAAATAACCTCATCCTGCTTTCCGTTTTAGACTGCCTTCAAAGTAAGTGAAAAAGACCTGCAGACCATACAGACTGCATCCTGAAAACAACCCCACGCTATGTTTTGATTGTGTGAAGTTTAATTCTTCAAACACATTTCCTTTATTTACTTATTCTTAACGTTTTGATTGCTTGATTCAGCAGCCTGGCGAAAAAAAACATTTCCACAAAGAATTACAATTCTGAGTTTATTTTGAAATAAAAATCGACCAATTATTATTTTTTTAATCGATACACACATTCTAATGTTGTTTGGGTATTTTACCCTCATATACTCGAAAAAAGTCCCCTCGCTCCCCTCTTTATCACGACTGTGTTCGATCGCTCCCACCTTAGATCTCTTGACAAAAATCATAACGTTTATTGCTTATAAAACGTTAAATTCCCCAATAAAAGCGTGGGGATTTGCTATTAAAATATGGTGGGGAAAATGGTGGCCATTTACTCGAACAGCAGGCTGATTTATTATTTATTGTTCTGTCCCACGGTCACGTGTTTGGGGCGCCCTATCCAGGCTTGGGCAAGGTTCAACTTGCTGGACGCATTAAGCCCCTCACTGGCGCAGAAAGCAGCGCATTATATGCAATGATTTTCTTATTTCCCTGCCTTCTTGGACTTTAAAGCGCCCTTTATTTTATTTTTTTTGGTGCAATGTCGACGTTAGGAACGAGTTTTTATATTGACTCGCCTGTTCTTCCCGAGCAGGAAGACATGGCATCGAGGTTCTCATCAGCTGCAGGGGTGGAGCAGGCGATGCTCGCCGAATATGGCGGACAGGAGTCGTGTCCTCTGCAGGCGAAATCTTCTATTTTTGGTGGATCTTGGAGTCCAATCTCGACCCACCCTCCAAGCACAGCCGCTCCGACTTACATTCATCACCCTTACACCAGCGGGGACTGCGATGGCATGTTTACGCGCTCCTGGGCGTTGGATCCGGTCTCCGCGTCCTTATGTTTGACGGGATTACCATCGACAACCATGCACTATGAGATCAAACCCGAGCCTGTTATCGGGAGTGCTGAATGTACAACTTTGGAGACGCACTCTGCTCTTTTGTCTGACATTGGGAATGAAGCATCCCTCGCGGAGATTCCTTGCGAGACCACGTCCACGAATGAGACCGCTGAGGAGAGCCCGTCAACAGAGGAGAGGAAGGAGACAGATACAAGTAAGCATTGCAGTGATACCGTTATGGTCCAGAGACTAATCAAGAAAAGAGAAAATGTTACTTTTGACTCCAGGATGTGGAAAAAAGGGTTAAATTTGTTAGATATGTAGGTATAAAAAATAGAGCAGGCTATTCTCTGTAGAGGCCCAAACTGAAAACCAGTCTTGGATGTTTTTGGCATGAATCTGTGTGTGCAATTAAATATACACAATCACATTTTAGGTTGAAACCCTTTAATGAAAAATTCAACAGAGTTTGGTGAAGATAAATCAGATTTAATGTTACGGTCTTCTCATAGGTTTACGTTCTCCACAACCTGTACTATTCTTGTTTTTGAGTCCTGATCTGAGAACATTTTTAAACCCTGTTTTCAGATAACCCTTCATCCAACTGGCTTCACGCAAAGCCCACCAGAAAAAAGCGCTGTCCCTACACAAAGCACCAAATTCTCGAACTGGAAAAGGAGTTTCTGTTTAACATGTACCTCCCACGGGATCGTAGGTACGAAGTAGCCAGAGTTCTCAATCTGACCGAGAGACAAGTGAAAATCTGGTTTCAGAACCGCAGGATGAAGATGAAGAAGGAGAACAAAGATCGGCGGAGGAGCAGTTAACTTGATTTTGTTGGACTAACGCTGGATTAGAGCCAGGAAGGAGGAGGTGGAGGGGTGAGGAAGGGGCTGGGGGGTCTGTACTTAATGTCCCTGATCTGTTACACACAAGTTGTTGTAAAGTTTGTGTTGCTAAAACAAAGATAATTTCTTTTGTAACATATCGTGTTCATGTTTGTCTCGTCAGAATTTAGATGTGATGTTGTAGCCATTTTTACGCACAGACATAGTGAACTAACTGAAGTGTAGAATATTTGTTATCTGCATGTAATGATCCTCGACTACCTGAATGTCTCTCAGCTGCCTATTTTCATTTATTATTAACTTATTGTTTTTGTACTATAGATTTTTATAAGCTTTTAGGTTTTGGTCCATTTGTGGAATCACTGTGCACACTTTAAATACCTCGTCGTTCCTGGTTTCGTCCAAAATAAAGAGCAGTTTGTACAGCAATTCACGCAGTTATTGTGGAGTGTAACCGGCCTCATTTCACAAGGATTCTTCTTTTTAATGTTCAAACTTTTCATCAGTTTGTTTTGACCTTTTTCTGTTTTAAATATGTGGAGACTAGTGCAGAGGGCCTATGTTTATGGGCCTATCCCAAATTTTCAAATACATCAACAAGTCGAGTGACTTTTTTGAAAACGTTTAAAACTTAAAAAGACCAAACCTGATTTCTTGTTGATCTAATGGTAAAAAAAAAAAAAAAAAAAGAGTTTCTTTTTTTTGTGTGCGTGTATTTCGAAGATGGGCGTATACATACAGTTTTTACCACCATTGAGCTAAATGGTTTACGCAGACCGCACTAACTAACCTACAAACCTGATTTAAAATTGTACCAATGCAAGTTATTTGCATTTTACTTTAAAATCGAGGATTCACATTTAACCAAAGTTACATGGGCAAAAACTGTGCAGACAAGGCCGCAGTAACCTAGATCTTTTTTTTTTTTTTTAAGATGAATGAGTTCATAAAAACTTTACAGACACACAAATCGCTCTATTAGATGAAAAACAGTTTTAAATATACAAATAATTCATGGAGACGACAGAGTGAGAGCAAATTAAAGTACTTTGGGGTTTTCATCGATCATTTTGCACTTTCGTCATCTGTAAAGTGAAACATGTGCTCCAAAATGACTTTGTTGGACATTCTCGGCCTTTGAACTCCCCACTAACTAGACTGGATGCCCCCGTGCAATAAAGCACGACCACAGCCTCCACTGTTTATAAGGTGTGAAAACAGCAAAGCATGCAGAGACGCTGTTACAGCAGAGAAGCAGCTTTTCTAATAGGGAGTGAGGATGGAAGATGATTGTAAGATAGTGTGCACACACACACACACACACACACACACACACACACACACACACACACACACACACACACACACACACACACACACACACACACACACACACACAGAGCAGGAGGAGGAGGAGGTGCAGAGTCCTGCAGGATTGCAGATGGGTCCGTCCTAAAACGTCTAATTACTTTACAACCGTCTACCAACAATTAGAGTGTCTCACAGCAGAGACCTCCATTTGTTGGGCTGTAGACGAAGAGCACAGCAGCAAAACACGTCGTTCACACACTGGAATATTGAAACAGTAGCCCCTCCAAACCCACAACATAGGCCACACGAAACTAAATAATGACAAGGACAAGACATTAAAAGTCCAAAAAACAAAGCAAAACAAAAAAAAACAAAAAAAAATTATTATAATAATAAAAATAAAATAAAATAAAAGCAACAACAACAAAAACACACACACAAAAACCATAGACTTAAATAGAAAAGACAAAGAAATTAAAAAAACAAAACAACCCATGAGTCGTGTCCCCATGACGGCCTCTGAGCTGAGTGTCGATGCCTCCTGACTGTCAGCAGGTGGAGGCAGAGGCCCACTCCCAGCCCTCAAACTGCATGATGCGTTCAGGGCCCACCACGAGCCACTCCCTATTTATGACAGACCTGCACCTCTTGTGTCGTCTTTCGTGTAGATCATATTATCCTGCTGCGTTGCCTTTTCTCTTCCACTTTATCGTCATCTGTGGCATAAATTGTTCCTGAAACATCCTTATTTCATTAAAGTCTGGCCAGGGGTTCCTTAAACTTTATTGCTGCTTCTGAGAAAAGTACAAAAACGTTTATCAAGTGACTCCACCTTGTGCTTTTTCTTCTGGTTGAGACCAAATATATGCACGTATGATAACCACGGACTACTTAAAAGCCCCTCAAAACGAGCTAATTCAACGTGACTGCTTTTTAAAACTGATTTTAAAAGCCAGAATATTAATTATACAGACCATCTCACTGCAAGCTCACACATAGAATCACACCTGATCATAAAAACATCCAAAAACACAAATTAAAAAAAAAAAATATGACAACTATCTTTTCCCAGGAGCTGCAGTGGACCTCCATGAATCTGAGCTGAGCCAGGAGCTTCTCCAAGGTTGAGAAAGTTACTAAAAAACCTTTATTTTCATTTCCCCTCTGATTTGTTGATGTCCCTCTTCATCTATCTCTAAATCTACCTCACCCTTTCACCCTGTCCTTCTACAAGGTCATCCACATGCAGAGGTGTTTCCACTTTTTTGGACAAGTGTAGCACACACACACACACACACACACACACACACACACACACACACACACACACACACACACACACAGAAAAAGCAGAAATAGGAAAAATCAGATGAAAAGCATGAACTTACATCCTCTCTGTATTAGTAAAAATTACTTAAATGACATCTATTGTCCAGATACTATACCTGTATCCTCTTTTAAAAAAACTTTTAAAGGTTCAAAGTTACTCAACAAAGTGACAAATGCTACAAACTTAAGCTTAATTATTCAAATGCGTAATTCTCAAGTGAACCAAGTTAAGACGTCTGAAGTAGCCTCTTTGCACAAATTGTTACCAAGCTCCTGCACACTAACCATCCAGCCATGGGGAATTCAAAAAGGACTCCTGGCAGCCAGTAATGGTGGGGTTAATGGTGGTCAGTGGTAGCCATGGCCCCTGTGATCATTCTGAAATCCAAATCCATTTGCCTTGTTAGAGATGACAATTGAATTGGCATCAATTATTTGGGATGTTTTTCAGCAATTCAAGGTAAAGCATTTCCTTTTTGTTTGTTTGAATGATGACTTTGTTTGGACAGACATCTTCTATAAACTTGTTAAAGGCTTAAATTTGATGAATTGACCTATAAAGTTAAAAAAACGATGGGGAGAAAGATGACATTTTTGGATTCTTTTGTAAAACAAATTAAAGTAGACATGATTAATTAACCGTCCCGGAATACCCTATATTTGAGCAAAGCTCAAATGTTCACTGCACCTGGCTACCCTTACCCTAAAGATGTGGTGGTATGCTTTTTCATATTTTAAAAACAAATATTAAGTTAAAAATGTTTTACATCAGAACATGAGCAAAGTTTCAAATTGGAAGGTTAATGAGTGTTGGAGTAATCCCCATATGGGACTACAGGGTGCTCTGAATGGCTTCTTTAAAGTCACACCAAAATCATATGAGATTTGACATCATCATGACATTACTGGACAGAGAATCTCCTTAAAAGAGCAAATCTGTCGTTTTATAAACATAACATAACATTGCTGTATGGCAACAGTGTGGGGGGCTTCTAGAATGCTGTGTTCTGTGGAATGGGGAGGGGGCTTAAAGGGACAGCAGCTTAAATTAGGCATTTTAGACACAAGCTGACATGAGGGTTTTCAGACAGCAGCTTCAAACCCACTGAGCATTTTTCGGTCTAAAAGAGTTCTTATAGACGTCTAAATGTGGCCTAGAGGACTGGTCTAAAATCAGGCTACCACAGGTCTAAAAATGAAAGTGTTTTAGTCAAGTTTTAGACTAACAGAGGTCTACACTGTATATTGCTCAACAGCTATCATAATTATTTTGGTTAAGTACATGGAGATCAGTTATGTAACTCACAGTTGCTTTTTGAAATAAAAAATTATCCAATAATGGGTTAAAGTGCAACGTATAAACTCTGTCTAAAAATATACAGAATCTAGACGGTTGAAAATCGGTCTAAGAAAAAGACTAGAGGTGTAATAGCCATATATTGCTCAGTGGGAACATGTATGTGAATCATGTAACTCTGCTAAGAAGCTATCAGAGGGACAATACGAATCCAGATACTTGAGTAGGCCTATAATGCCCTCTTTTTAAAGCTAGTATGAGGAGTCTTTTGATATGACTGAAATTCATGTTGATGCCTAATCATGAAATGCAAGAGCAGAAAAGATGATCAGCAGCAACACTGTTGACTTTTATGTCTTAGTTTTTAATGCATTAAATTGATGTGAAGGGATCAGTTTCAGCCTTACAGCTAAAGTACCAGTCATCTCTTCACAACGTCATCATAAGACACAACAAATCGCACATTTGACTTTCAAAGTGATTTTTGTCAGAAGACCCAACTGAAGCAAGACGAGACCAGCAAAATCTGCTTTGTCCGCAGGTAGCACCAAAGTCGGCACAAACCAAAAAATCCCCACAGGAGCTTTAAATTGGTGTCCCCGGGTTGGGTACCCCTGTCAAAAAGTATGACTCCACCACTGGACTGCTACAGTAGCCAAAAATTGTGGTTTAAACATTAATCCCACCCTGTCAGGGACACCAGCCAATCATATTTCAGGATTTTGGGTGGATGCTTGGGAGTGGCCAATCAGATTTCAAGGGTGTGGTAATGACATCCCTGGCTGCTCTTCTGGAGGCGCCCCTGGCCCACATGCTTTACATTAGTTGTTTCCTCTTGAGGAAATTGTAAAGATATCAAAATGACTTACATCCCTGTTTCTCAAAGACATGATAAGATGACATGACATAAAAAAATGGTGCTGTACTGTTTGGATGCCTCGTTCGTGTCTGGATGAATATCCCCCATGTTAGCAGTCTGAGAGGCCGTGCAGCAGGAAAACGGAGTGCTCGAGGTGACCCCTCATAACCCCCATACATCAAACCTCAAGACACCGGTGGTGACAGAGAGGCCCAGAAAGAACTTTAAGAGGAGACGCTCAGGGAAGAAAGTCAGAAGCACATGGCGTCTGGTCCTTGCTGGAAAAACAGTTAGATTGTAACCAGGATGGAGATCCTGTTGTGTGATATTTTAAAAAGTATAAAAAACTTGAAACTGTTCACTAATTCTTGATCTTTTTATCGACTGAGACGTCGATGCCCTTGAAACGGCAAAAACATTTTAAAGCTTCTTTCTGGACCTTTACTCTGAGTCAGTCATTATTTTGTGACATTATTTTTTCCAACCCCAAGTCAATTTTGAATCATCTTCAATTTATTTCTAAAACATAGAAACTTTTCTTTTTATCCTTATTCTTCGCCACTGAAGGTACACTTATATCAAAGATGCAAAACATACAGACATGAAGGGAGGAGTGACAGGAGGACAGTGTGTTTGGTGTTTTCTCTGATCACACGTTTTACTATCACGTCTTCTTTGATTGTCTGAGAGCCAAGAGAATGTCTCCGAGATTGTCCGCTACAGTGATTTGTGTTTTTCTTTCTCCAGTTATCAGTATATTTGTGCACATGTTGCCGTTCAGCGCAGTTTGATTTGCGGCCCTTTAACGCGCCTGGAGAGGATATCTGTCAAATCTTCCCACGATTCCAGGCGGCTCAATAAATAAACCTGTAAAATGAAATGAAAATCCTGACGGGAACGCTGCTGCTGCTTTGTTTCTTGGATGTGCAAACTCTCTCTCTCTCTCTCTCTCTCTCTCTCTCTCTCACTGTAAATGTATTTTCCAGATGTCATATTTCACCCCACAGCTGACGTGATATACGATGTAAAATATCGTTGATGATGTGAAAACAACTTACAATAAACACTTAAAAAACTTTCAATATACTTTCAATAAATAGAGTTTCATACAACATTGACCAGCTGACATAATAGGCAGATAATGCATTTATGCACTTGCAGTCCGTTCATTTTAAATTTAAGCAGTAAATCCTGACCATTTTACAAAAACAAAGGCACATTTGCAGTGGTAATATATTTTATTTTATTGGATAGGTTTGAAACTTTCAATCACACTTAAAAAAATCCAAACCACACATAGAGCAACAGTGGTGATTTTCTTTTCTAAACAGTCCTTCTGTGGTTGCAGTTTGGCTCGCTTGTCTCCCATATGTCCCTTGTTGTCCAAGAACAGACGGGAAACGTGCCGTTCGTGCGCATAGTTCATCCAGACACCGTCCCGTGTGTCTGCGTCTGCTCACGACATGCAGCACAAAGTGGATTTTATATTTGGACAGCGCCAGACAAGAGCAATAGACATATAGGCTACATCAACATACAGCAAAACATTCAAGAGACAGAGGGGGAAAATGTGCGTGACGTTAAAGTCTCACTTTGCAAAGTTCAGGTTCAGTTTATAGGTTCCTGTTTTAAGAAGGTTAATACGCACCCTGGTAATTTCATACTTGCCTAAAATAATCTATATTTTCTTTAAAAAGGAGATAAAATTATGAGGTGAATTTATGAAACTTGCAAAACAAATATAGGTGAACTGTAAATTGGCCAAGCATAGAGAACATTTTTTTTATATATTTTGTTATGTTCTTCAACAGTAAACAATCAGATTTTTCTCAAACATTTCCCATTAAAATTTCACATCAATTTTGAAGCTACACAAGGCAAGCTTTCCTTGTTTAAAAATACCATAATTAATAGAAAAATCATACAAATAACTTAGTCAAGGTTAAATGAAACATTTGAAAGATATGTCCGGTGGAATAGATTTTTCCTAAACCCCACTCTGCCAAAGCAAACCTCCCCTTCAGGTTTTCTGACGGAAAGGTATGAGACTGAATGGGTTTCTGATGAATGCCAACACCCACTCACCGAAGCAAACAATTGATCGTGTGTTAAAGCTGCTCCATTCCTTCTTCATCTCCAACCAAGTCCACTTCTTTCTTCTGTGTATTGTTTAGTCCTTTAAAAAAAACACGAAGAGAAGTCAGATTGTCGCATTTTGATGCACTTCTGATTGAAGCCCGTTATGGCTTCAGTGCGTAATGGCCGTGCGTCTCATCTGAGCTCCCATTTTAGAAATCCCTACAATCCTATGTGGCAAACTTCTCTTCCTGGCTACCCACAGAGTGACTGTCCTCTTCTTGGCTGTGTATGATCTAAGGGAGTGTTAGATGGTCTAAATGTGTTCTTATGGCAGAGAGCTGTCAGACCTTTTGGCGAGAAAGATTGATCACACGCAGGCTACCAGGGCTCTTTGTTTAGAGCCTGAGCAATAAACAGACATCAGATCCCCACCTTTCCTCGGCTTCACACCACAGCGGCAAATCATTCCTCCGCCATATTAAGGCCAATAATACTGGGGTGTATATGATGGCTCAATATTCTCCCAACAGGCAGAATAAAATGGATAAAATTGCAGGTGAAGCAGGGAGCAGTTCAGTGCATGACGGAGACAAATTACCATTAAATAAAAAAACTATTATTTTAAAGGAGATTTCGTTTAGATTCAGGCTGTTCTAGTCAAAATTTGATAAATGTGTCGATAAACTTTCACTTAAAGTTAAAACAACGACCCCCCCCCCCCCCTCCCCATGTGTGTATGTGTGTGTGTAACTTGGGGGAGGGGTGGACATATTATGTCTGGTGCAGTCTCTCCCTGCAAACGTTTCAAAGAGAGAAGAAAGTCCACTGAAGATTAACGCCTCGGCCCTGATAACGACCGTGGGCGTCGTTATAAAACGCAAATGTGACCGCTGAGATGATTTGTAGGGTGCCACCTTGGAAATAAACGCACAGAGAACATGCACCCACACAAGCGCGCTCCTGTGCGACGACTCATTGCCGTGCGTAAAATTGCGAGGCAAGGTGATCTGCGTCGGCGTGAACGCGCAAAAAGAAGGCACGGCATGTGGATGCAGTTTCACCAGAAAAGGGGGGCAGTAGCGGACAAACTGATCCCCCAAAATGTGTAAATAAAGCAACTCCTACCCCTGAAACGAGGCGTTACCCCTCCGACTTTCTCGATCAATCACAGGGGACAGTGGCTCCTTTTGATAAAAACCCCAAATTGTCATTGGGCAGATGCAATCATGTGACCAGCAGTACCGACTAATTCCAGCCATGTCCCCATGAAAGCAATACTTTATGGCACACAGGTCTCCCCATGCGACTATGTTCAGATCAGAAGTTTATGGCAATAAATTGCTCATTAATCTGATTTGACATCGAGATTTCCACACCACTAGGAAGAAATGAATTACGGATTTGGGCGAGAAAGTGGTTTCATCAACAGCCAGCCGTCGCTCGCTGAGTGCCTGACATCTCTCACTAGCCCTGTCGGTGATGCATTTCAAAGTTCATCAATCAAGAGCTCGGCGCTTTCACACTCGACACTGATTCCTCCTCCCTTTGAGCAGAGCATCCCCGGCCTGAACGCGGGCGTCCACCCACGCCACAGCCGCTCAAAGCAGCAGACGGCTGTGAAAGGCTGCAGTCCGGTGCGAGCTGCATCTTTACCCCCGGAGTACCCGTGGATGAAGGAGAAGAAAAGCATCAAGGGAAACCAGATTTCTTCGACTTCGACTGACTCCTCGCCTCCTTACTTCTCCCCCCAAGGCAAGGCATGATGATTAATAACCTCCATGGTAGAAGGCTCCTCATTGTCTGTGGGTTTCCCCTCTTTAAAAAAAATAGGAGCTCTATCCCGGGCCTCGTGCAGCGTGGGTGTCCCCTTAAGCCTGGACAGGATTTTTGATTTAAGCATGCGTAATCTCATCAAGTAACGCACTGACTTGTGATGCAGTGTAAGGGTGTAAATGTTTGACGGTAATGGAGAGTGATAGATGATTCTTACACGGGCCAGCAGCTGGCACGTGCATTAATCTTCACCCTCCGTGCTGTCCTGTCCACGCAGACCCATCATATCCTGCCGGGGCCCATAAATCTTACCACTGCTCACTTTCGCTTGCTTGCCACAAGTTTCACCTCATAGAAACAAACATAAATGTTCAGAATAGTTTCCTCTTTAATGCCTATGATTAAAAAACTAATGTTTGACTTGTATTTTCAGGTTCACCAGAGGTTCCAGAGGGTGCTCTTGGCAGTGGAGGGGGATCTCGGAGGCTGAGGACCGCGTACACAAATACCCAACTCTTGGAGCTGGAGAAGGAGTTCCACTTTAATAAATACCTGTGCAGACCGCGGCGCGTGGAGATAGCCACTCTGTTGGATTTAAGCGAGAAGCAGGTGAAAGTTTGGTTCCAGAACCGCAGGATGAAGCACAAGAGGCAGACGCACAGCAAAGAGAACCGGGACAGTGAGGGCAAATACGCGGGCCTGGACGACGAGGATGACGCGCCGGAGGATGAGCTTTTCAGGGAGGCAGCTGAGGATGAGAGGTATTTCCAACAGAATACTTTGACTGCACAACAGTGTCGAAGCGCACACAATGGAGAGCACCAGAGCTCGACTGTTACGCCTTTGAACAACGATGGGAAAAATCTGAAACATTTTCCAAACGCGGCTCCCACTGTTCCAATCTGTGCGTCGACAATAGGCCCGGACAATGATGGTCATTCCCCGAGCCTGGACGTCCGTTTGCAGGATTTCCTCGTCTACTCTTCCTCCTCCTCCTCATTCTCACCCAGTTTGTCAGAATCTACCCAAAGTCCTCTGACTTTATCGTCCCAAACTTTTGACCTTTTCTCAGAAACTCTCACTACGATCGACCTGCAGAACTTGAGCTATTGAAATGGTGGTTTATTTTAGATCAGACACTTGTGTCCACTTCATATCTTCAATTTGTAAAGTCTGTTGGGGGATCACACTTACCTTTCCAAAAAGGTAAGTTATAGCTGTAAGTCAGCTTGTATAGGCATCTTACACAGTTTATTTTTTATGGATTTCCAGCGATATTTTTCTTCAAATAAAACTTTGTTCCTTTTGGAATCAGCAGCGCCATTTTGTTTTCATTTACAATAACGTGAGGAAAACTCATTCATTACGCTTAGCAATAATAATATGTTGCACTGTCCATTTAAAAATAAATGTAGGCCTATAATTCATAACCTTAATTTCTCACAATAAACAAAGGGTTTCATTTTAAGAAATCACAGGGTATTTTTTTAAACTGTCGCAATAATTGATAATCGACTCAGATTTTCAACCACAGATTTAAAAATCAATAAAAATACCTATAATGAAATTTGCGCGTGACCCTCTGTATTTCTTTTCCTCTGAGGTCATTTTAGATTTCAAGTTAGAGAATAATCCTCTCATCGTGCTCATTGTTCTGGTGTAAACCCTCATGATTTATCTGAGCTGAAGAAAAAGAGTTATTGTCTCCGCGTGATTTTTTTTTCCCTGAAAGCGAGTCCCTGCTATAGGAGTCCCAGGGCCAAAAGCTCTGACTTTTCTTGGCTCTATAATTAAATTTTATTGCCTATAAAACTCACAGCACCGAGGGGGCTTGTTTATAGCCCGATCCGCAATGTAATACGATCTCCTGGAATTAAGATTCATCCAGGATTTCCAAAAGTTCTTTTGATGGGAAATAATTTAAGCTTAATTTGAGGCAGCAGATAGGGGGCTTTCTTCTCCTGCATGGTTGTAAATTATTCTAAGTAATCTGAATTTTTAACTTAGAAGAAAAATAAAGCTTACTCTACTGATTTAAACAGCTTAATGTAGGTATTTATTTATTTATCTGTGATCAGTTAGCACGTGTAGGTCAACCCGGATCAGAGGGACCTAGTCTACCCAGTCCTCAGTCACGTTTTATTCCTTACGGCGACCAGTTGAACCTCACCTCCATTTAGGGGTTAACCACAAATTAAAATACAAAACAAAACAAAACACACATGTATTTTTTATTAAAAAACAACAACAACAACATGTCATCTGGTTGTAATTAGACCATAAAAATAAAGGCACAAACTATTTCCCCCAACAATCGATTATCTGCTTTTCTCAACCATAATCTACAGGCAGTGTGGATTATTTAGTCTACACATATTGTGATGTCTCTGCAGAGCCTCACCATGTAATGCCACTAGGAGACCAGTTTATATTGAACAACTTTTCTTCTGATACGCGGGATACTAACTGGGCTAATCCCTAAAAGAAGGACAGGGTAAAAATGTCATTGAGGTGGTCTGCAGCACCACTGACCTCATTGTGAATGTGCAGACCCCATGGGAGTATGTCAGAGCCTGCTGCAGGCTACAATAACCACATTACACTGGCTCTCTCTTCAATGTATTAATTATTTAGATAGGATACTTGCTACTGAGAATACTGAGTTTCTTTTGATGAGAAAAACAAACAGGTCTGAAATAGTCTAAACCCTTTTCACACATTCACAGAATACTAACTGCTCTACAAATCATAACCAAGTGACATGTTCAGACTAGTTTGATGATTCTGTAATAACTGTGGTCATGTGAAAGTGTTAAGTCGACCACAAACATGTCATAAGTTACTAAAGGGGAAGCAACCATAAGAGAGAGGAGTTTGTTTGATGATAGATAAGTGGGTGAAGCTTATGGAGAAACTAGATTCAACAGGGTGCCAGAGGATCTCTCTCTCTCTCTCTCTCTCCCTCTCTCTTTCTCCCCTTCTCTCTCTCACACACACACACAAACAGGGGTCAAAGGTCGAGGTACCACCCCTCTCCTCTCCAAACTGGGAGGAATTGCTGCCAGGTCAGGAGGGGGTCAGGTTTTGAATGACCAAGGAGAAGTCTGAGGAGTTTATTGGCCATCCAGATGACTTGGAGCAGGAAGTGACATCAGGAGACGTGTGCAGAAACAAGCGGGAAAAAGCAGAATATTTGGATTTGCAAAAAAATGACAGACATATAAAAAGTCATTAAAAACAAACAAAAAATTGCTACTTTTCATGGGTAAAACTTGGATCTTAATCTGAGATATAACACTGAAGTCCAGGTTAACAAAAATCATTGGAGGTCTAAAGGATAAAAAAAAAAGTGCTTCTCCACTCAAGATATTTAGAGGAAACAAAACAAATTCTGTATGGATGATTCATTGCACAGACTGTTTCCCTGACAAACACTGTCTACCACCTGCAGCTGACGTAGAAGCTGCAGCTCTTCAAACAGCCCCTCCAGAGATGCACCATCTCATTCCTCAAGAACAACAACAGGGTATACAGTTCAAAGGCTCTTTTTTAAACCTGGATTGGCTGATACTGGCTGTCAAAAGATGACTAATGAATGACTGACACTTTTATAAACAATATGACAGGGAGTGACTTTCACTCAGTAGGTACAGGTTTCACATTCTTTTGTTTGTCCCAGCTTGCACTGGATGCATCAGACCAAAGAGAAAAAAGGGCTCATCATTGATTGTACAGAAAAAAAACCCCAGAAATTCCTATACAGTCAGGGCTGTCTCTCAGAATTCTGAGTTCCACCACTACAACAAACCACCACCCTAAACCATAATACACAGACTACTTGACTTGTGTGCAGCAAACTATCAAACTACCTACTTTCTAGAGTGCTATACTTATAAATCATCTCTTGTTTAAAAAGAAACATAGAAAAGCTCACTCTCTACATCTTTTTTAAGTTAAAGGGATATTTCAGGATTGCTGAAATGAGTTTATGTAAGTCGCAAGTAAGCTAGGTGTGTTAGGCAGAGTGGATGTTGGTCAGCTTGGCCGCCTCCCTGAGTTACTGAGTAGAAGAAGGATGTCAGGTATGCTTTATTTTTCTCCCAACTCTGATGAAAAATTTTCCCTTTTAATTTTACTTATTGTGAGAGACTCTGACCCAAGCATACGCTGTAATTGTTCATCACACCACAGAGGCAGCCCAACACAGAGAGCATTAGAGACACAAAAAGGTGGCCAAACCATAGCCTGTATATAGAACGGTCGCTGTCTGCCTCCTTGCTGGGTGAAGCCACCCCGGGAACAGCACCCTCTGGTGACGGGCTACAGTATAGGTCATCAATCCTGCCTCCGCCAGCAAACCTTATTGAGCTGTGGACAAACTTAAGAAATTTATTACACCAAACATATTTTTTTCCCCCCTGCTTGTGATGTTGACATGTAGTTACTGTAAGACTGGTTTGTGTTTAAGTCCTCTTTTTTCTGTACAGCTCCATTTTTAAAAGTTATTAGGGGGTTCGTGTTTTCAATGGTTGACACTTGATACAGCCTATAGGCGTACGAAGATTGCGTAGGTCACCTGGGGGATACGCTGTTTGAGACGAGCGTCATCTCTGCGACTTGTGGAGGCTCTCCCGCTGAATGCGTGCAATGCTACTGTGCAATGATGGTTTCAGGAAATGGATAAAAATGGCGGAAATACTGAGAGCTTTTTGGCTTCAAATCTGTATACTGGTGGAAGGTGGAACCAAGATGCCCATAGTATATACAGTCTAATAAACTAATAAACAAAATGAGTGATTCTGACAGTGCCGATAACACTAAAGATTGCAGATACGTGTACACCCTAGTAAGTGGACTTTTTTTTTGCATCTCAGTTTTACTTAATTTGCTCAGCAGCTAACACAGTGTGTTTTAGTAAACATATCCAGTAGACCATAGGTTGTGTCATTATGCAATCAATAAAAAACTGAAAAACATTTTGGTAGAGCAAACATCTAAACTAAGATGTGTGCAACCAAAAACAGTAGCATACCTAGCCTCTTGTTGCTACCAGCAGTTTCCAATTAACAGGGCTGAACCATTCCACTGTGGCCAATACACTTACTAATGAGATGTATCTCATACAACCTCACCTAATGAAAACGGAGATATGCCCATCCATGTCTCAACAGTGCAAAAACAAAACTGAACAAAAAAACAATCTGAGTGTGAGGGACGTTGTTCTCCTCCTCGGTAGTTTTCACTTGGCACACAGTCTGGTCTTAACAAGAATACTTTGTAAAAATACAGATTCTGTTCAGTGATGTAGTCTAATATTTGTCTTGGTCCTTTTTTCAACAGATCACTTTCCCTAAAGTAATCAGAATACTTTACAATCTAAAAACTTTATCTCAGAATCACTGCATGTAATCACTTATCCTCAAAGTAATCAATTTGTGTAAAAGAAGCACTTCTTTAAGTCATCTGACTAGACTCACTGTATCATTTGTACTCAGATCACTATTACAAGAGATCATGTTATTTTAAATCAGACTATTTCTTTCTTAAGTATTCAGACACTATGTAATCATATCACTTTTTTTTAAGTATTCAGTTCATATGTAATTAGACTTCTGTTTCAAGAGTACTTGGATTACATAAAACCTGATATCTTTTTCCAAAGTACTCAGGTGACATGTAATGCCATTCCTTTTTTTAAAGTAGTGAGATCAAATGCAATCACATAACTTTTCCTCACAGATGACCTGAAACTAGAAAGCCTTTTCCAAAATATTATAATAATATACTTTAGTCTGTTTACTTTGTACCCTCTCAACGCTGTCAGGGAAGATAACATCTTTATTGACTTTATCTCTTCTTACGTTCTCACTCAGATTTGAGCCTGGAACGGTTTCACTATGTTTACCAATCTAGGTCTTTTGGTGTCAACATTTTGTCATGGTTGTTCACGAGCAAAGCTCAGACTGCAGTGCAATGAAAGAATCATATTTCCACTACCACCAACGAGTGCTGGTGGAAATATATAGAGGCTTGTCATAACAGCGGCTGCCAGTTCAACAACCCTGTCCATGGTTTGAACTGAGGAGACTTTTTGCTAAAAGGTAGCAGAGCAGCCCTTACCAACACACCACAGTTCTGCCTGTGTAAGTTGGCCCATTAAGGTTTTTTCACATCAACAGTTTTTCATTGTTGTTCTGAAACACAGGTAAGACTGTAGTGTGAGGAAAGCATTTCATTTCTACCTTATAAGGAAAGTCCCTGATTTGGGTTTGAACCAAGATTAATTTTACTGAAACAGCATTTCTAACATTTCCACCACAGGCCTGCCTGACTGCGCTGGCCTTTCCTCATATTTCACCTATTCACTGGGGTCTTTTAAAAGCACAGCTTAGACTGAAGTGTGAAGAAAGCTTTTCTTTCCTACATCTTGTGTAGGACTTGAATTATATCACTGAAAGGCAGCAGTGCTTACCACCACACTTAACAGCCGCTGTGTGGTGCACACTGCTTTAGGCCTTTTCATTTTTAAATACATACCAATAGCTCAGAATCTTTGTTCACTGTCCAGTGGCAGAAGGTCAGGACACTATTTTTCCACTTAGACGATTCCAAATCTGGAAACCTGTGAGTCATCATCTGTAACTTATCTACTGAAGAGTAACCTTACAGTACATACTTTGTAAGATTGTTTGGTATTTAAGTACTTTAAGTTGGGTTTTTAAGTTTTTAGTGGTAGTTCAAAAGCATGGTTCCACATCCTAGTGGGAACGACAAGACACCCATCTCTCACAAAAGAAGACATCAACAAGAATTTAAACCCTAAAAACCTTTTTCTACTTATTGAGGCTGATTTACACATAGGTACATATTGAAGTAAAAGACCATGATCCACGGTCCGTTGAGAGAAAGCCGAATTCCCTTTTCTGTCCAGACGAAGACCTTTGTTGATTTTGGAACCCTGAGCCAGTTTGTTGTAAGGCAGTATTGCAAACCACCACATACCAGCCTCAGGGCCGGCCCAAGCCTCAATGGGGCCCTAAGCAAAATTTGATTATGGGGCCCTCTATTTCTGCCAATATATTGATTGTTGATCATTCACACACCTTCACAAATCTCTTTAACATTCCATGACATGCAAACATAGCTTTACCTTGGCGCTTTTTTCTCTTCTTCCTCTTTCTTTTCTCTGCTCCTGAAGGATATGTCCTTTTTTGTGACATTGTTTTGCCCCACAACTACCTGTGCTTTGGATGCTCAGTGCACATTGCACAGTATAAAGCACATAACAGTAGCGGAGCTTTGACATATCGCCTCTAAGAATCATAGGCCTACATCAGCAGCAGCACTAAAATGTTTTTACTTTATTTTTTTAACAGTAATATATATTTGATCATACAGACAGCATTAATCATACATGCAAAATAAAAATTTATATATTGTTCTTGGGGGTCCCCTATTGGCTGCTGGGCCCTAAGGAGCTTAGTTCGCTTATGCCTTGGGCCGGCTCTGACCAGCCTATTTAGACCTGCTTAATTCAAGTACTTGTTTAGTGTCATTTAAGTAGTATTCTTAAAAGCTCATCCTAAACTACAGTGTGAGGAAAACAATTAATTCATCTTTCAAAGAAAGCCTGTACACAGGGGCAGACTTAGGAATTTGGGGGCCCGAGGCAAAAGCAGGCATGGGGCCCTCCGCATCATTTTATTCTAGGAATGCACTGATTGTGAAATTCTGGGCCGATACAGATGTTTAAAATAACAATTTAGCTGATAGCTGATGCTGATGTTTGTTTGTTTTCTTTCATTTTGGTATTTGTTGTTATTTATTTGCCCTTTTTTCAAGGAAACAAAAAAATCTCTATTAAAAAATTATCTGAACTGTCTTTAAGTCTCTAAATCTTACAGGAGAGATGTAAGATAGTGATGCTACAAATATGACAGTTGCTTAAACTGCCCAAAAGTACCTGAATTTGTTTAAAATTAGCTCAACCTTAAACATCAGTAAATAATAACACACATTAAAGCAATATTAATTCAAAGCTATAATACGGATCATTTTAATGCAGAGTGAGTACTTCATTAAGTTACAAATACTTTGTAACCTACTAAGGCTACAAATGGCGATTTGGAAATATTTTGTTATTATGGCAGTAAAATGGTCAGAAAATGCCCTTAGTCTGAGAGCTTTGGTACCTTTTTCTAGGAGTACTTGAATTTCACTTTATAACATCTGGTTAGTAACATTATTTGGAATTGTCAGCTGTTTAAAAGAAGAAAATACAAAAACGAATTTGTTTTTTCATGGCTTTCTTTGAAAGCAAACTTTGTAATTGCCCATGAAGTTTTTATTTCACATTTGAACAGTTATAAATGATTAGAATCAGAAACAGTCATTCTTTGAGTCTACATAATACAATAAGCATTCTGCTGGCATTTTATCGAATGGATTTCAATCCAAAACATCATTATTGTTTGCAAATAAGTAAAACCTCTACTAACCATAAGCATATCAGGAGTTTTAGCCCCCCCAGAAACTTGGGGCCCAAGGCAACCACCTAGTGTTGCCTAATGGTAAGACCGCCACTGCCTGTACCTGGGATTGAACCCTGGAACACATAGCTGTGAGCTGGTCACCACACCACTGGCCTGCTGAGGTTGAACTGTATTTTTGGTCATTCAAAACTTTTGGGGGTGATTAAAAAAATACAGTCCAGTGGCACTGATAGCCGAGCAGTCCAAATTCCCCCGTATATAGAGGCTTGTCATAACAGCGATTGCCAGTTCAACAAACTGGAAAAAAAGTCTGAACAAACTGGAGAAAAAGGCTGGCTCTGTGGTAGGATTCAAGCTGGACTCAGTGGAGGATGTGGTGGAGAGATCTACACTGAGGAAGGTGGAGACTATTCTAAAGAACATGGATCACCCACTTCACAACACCTTGATGGACCAAAGGGTCAATGGTGGTGGACAGCTCCTCTCTCTTCTCTGCAGGACAGAAAAATTCAGAAGATCTTTTGTACCAACAGCCATCAGACTTTATAACTCTTCTGTAAATAGTAGATAACTTTTAGAGACATGACAAATCAGACGACAGACAATTGAATTTTCCTTTTGGGCATTAATAAAGTTATTCCTCTTTCTCCTCCTCTTCTTCCTCTTCTTCTTCTTCTTCTTCTTTTACTGCAGGCCTTCCCTCACACTCCACTACAGTGCAACAAACATTGTGGAGATCTGAAGGATTTTAAAGGTGGGGTAGGCATTAAAGAAGCATCTTTTTTTTGTGGTGTTTATACAAAAAAGCTTTTAATATCAGTCAACAGCTATTAGTTATTGATGACATTTGGTAATATAACGATATCGCTGTGTTTTGTTATGTCTGCGTAGTCAACATTTTAAATTTTTTGAGCGCTTCGCTCTTTCTGATCATAAACAAAGGCATTCCCCGCCTCCCCCATCCTGATTGGTTGTGAGGCAGACGCTACTCCCCCGTGTCGTTCAGGAGCCGAAACAAAGTTTGCGTGCAACGATATCAGACAGTAGAAACCAACCAGAAAGTACAGAAAATTGTCTGAATCCTTCTGTAGCCACGACCACCGGCACAAGCAAGAATATGAACTAAATACAGGAGACTGGCGGAATAACGGGCGCTTAAAAAGGAGGTAGACCAGACAAGAGCTAAAAAAGCTGGGTCAACAATGACGGGGGACGCTTTGGGATCTTACAGACCCTGTTACCTTTATGCTGGACAGGTAAACCGCTTTAACAAAGTTGGCCAAGTGTCTGTAACAGAAGTGTTTCTTGTCAAACAGGACCTGCTGCGTGTTGTAGTGCCGCTAAACTGTTTCCCTCGGGTCCTGGAGTATGTCACTTTATCCTAGTTATAGAAGTCCTGCAAACATTGAGTTTGCTGGTAGTCTGTTGGCGTCTACAGTAGCACCAATGCTTTTAACTTCCACATTGACTGGGCCCCATTTGTAATTATCTGAATTATTTATCTGCATAATATCTGAATTAAATGAGCGAGCAGGAGCATCTGTTTGTGGGTGGGGCTTTCTTAGAGCAGAGACAAGGGAGGGGAGAGGAGGAGCTGAGGGGAAAACTGGTTGGGAGGGGTAGTGTTTACATTCAAGATGTCTCCCCAAAACTGGCACTTCCTCAGATCCTGCCTACCCCACCTTTACTCATCATGGTAATATGAGAAAAATTATTACTGGAGAGTAGGGGCGGGTAACAAATGCTCAAGAATGGCCCATGTAAAATAAAAAAAATAAAAAAATAAAAAAATAAAAAAATAAAAAACAACATATTGACACTTAAGCCAGTGATTTCAGTCATGATAGTCAAGTTTTGCCAGAAATAAAAAAAAAACCTTAAGAGTGTGGAAAAAAGACAATTGAGCAAAACAGAATAATTCATCTATACAGTGATTGTATATGGTTGATCATACAAGTGCCCCCGTAAAAAAATAAAAGATAAAGAAAATGTACACCAGACCCCCTCCTCTGTTGGGGCCAGTCACTCCCTCTTTCCCCCCTTTACAACGCCCATATAATAAATGAAAAATATGTTTCAGAGAAATAGAGGAATAAAAATATGCACAAGATGTGGCACAGCCTCTGTTCTCGAAATAAACTTGGCACAGCAAACCCCATTACAGTTTGCAGCCTCCTCGGTTATTAATGACTCCTGTTTAGATTTACAATGTTGACATATTCATAAACTCAAGGCACTTGTGTTATTATTAAAAAGACACTCCTGATGTGTCCAGAGAGAGTGCCGGAGAAATGTCATCTTGAATCAATCAAACAATACGATCGACTTTATTGGTCAGTGGATCTCCATTAAAACATCAGATACAAACACAAACAGGCCCACAGTCACTCACACATACACGGACTGACGGCGCAGTAAACGTCAGTCAGTGTGGGTGGTGAACAGCAGTGGTCACTGATTAATACTGAGGGTAAACTTCCGTGTCTGCAGCTTCCGTGTCAAGTGTAGTTTCCTCTTTCTCTGGACTGTTCATCGCTGTTTGAAAAGGGACAAACTCACAGAAATGCGACCCATAACAGAGGAGCTAACGTCGCTCATTTCAGGTAAAACATGCTTCAGTTCTCTTTGGACGCGCTGGTTGTATCCTTACTTTCTCCAGGGATGGTGAACGACCGAGACCGTTTCATGAAAACAGGAAGCACACGCTTAATATGGATGACTAACTTTAAGTTCACACACACACACACACACACACCACAGAGATGCTGTGTCGTCTACACTGCAAACTCCTGATAACTAGGGTCTAGTATTTTGACTTCATGCTGTATGTGCTAATTTAGCATTGAAAATAAGTAAGAAGCTCTCAAACAACACTGGACCATTTGGCTGCAAAAAGTCACATTGAATTAAATTGTGTAAATCTTTCTGTTTAGATCTTGAGAATTTCCTCACTGATGGATTAAAAGGGGAAAGTCTCAGCAAGAAGGCAAAAGAGAAGAGGGAGGCCTTTATCAAAAGGATCAAGGAGGTCAAATTAGGGTAATTCTGATTTACATAGGGTGTCAAATTTGCCCTTTTGTTGAGTTTGGTTTGAAGTCATTGACTTAATGTTTTCAAATCTGTCATAAAAACTGTTGACGTGTTTTCTGTCTCCTCCAGTTTCCCACAGGACTTCAAGGATAAAAGTGAGTATGTTTTTGTACTAGTCCAGGAGTTCACATCAGGTTTTCCATTTTCCCACTTATCTGTTGTGACAGCGGTTTCCCCCACCACTGTGTTATATCATAACATTCATACGGTGGCAGAGAACCGCCACTGCTGCAAAAAAAAAGAAGTCACAATGAAAGTTACCACAGCAACAAAAAAGAAACCGAAGCCTGCTGCAAATAAAAAAAGGAACTGTGCAGATAAAAAAAAATTAAAAAGCAACAATGGAAGTTAACAAGCAAAAAAAACAGGCTGCAGAAGAAAAAGTTCCTTACTGCAAAAATGAAAGGATGCAAATAAAAAAAGTCGATATGAAGTTGAACTGAAGCTAACACTACACCGGCATCCTCCCGTTCAACTTCATATCGACTCAGGCGCTACATGGCCAGACCAAATGACGCATTGAAAAGCACACAAAGCGAAATTAAACAATAACATTTCCACTTACCTCTTTGCTCATCTTCTCTCCATCGTCATCTGTGCCTAGATCGTAAAACACAGGTGCATCGTCATTATTGGTCCCCAGCAGCCCACTTCCGTGGTGGCTTTTTTTTTTTGCATCCTTTTATTTTTGCAGTAAGAAGCTTTTTGTTGTTGTTGTTGTTTTTGCATCGCCACTTTTTTTGCGTCGTTAGCTTCCAATGGGGCTTATTTTTTCATCCGCACCGTTTTTTTTCTATTCCCAGTGGGCTTCAGTTTCCTTTTTTTGCATCAGTAACTTCCGCTGGGACATCTTTTTTTTTGCATTCTTTTTTATTTGCAGCAGTGGCGTTTCTCGGCCACTGTACATTCACTATCACCACATTGCACTGTTGACTCCTGCAGGTGGAGAGGACTCTGACGATGAGGAGGAGGTTGACAGCAACAATGAAGGCGGGTCGCTGCAGTCAGAGCGCACAGACAAGGATGAAGATGCTTGTGAAGGTAAACCACTTAGCAGATGCTCAAGGCTGACTCAATAACTACTAACCACTGTGGATTAAAGTGTTGAAAATCACTTCTTGGCATGACAATACACAAATCCGTGTGTCTGCTGTGCTGAAAAAGCGACTTTGAGTGGCACAATGAGGGAGACATTCCAACTGTAACTTGGCAACATACTTGAGGAGCAATTTGGGGGCACAACCGCTACTCCCACCTCCTCTTTCACCCCACCTCTTTGACAGCTAGAGCGTGCTTTATTACCCTCAGCCGCCATCGGAGGACTGAAAATTACTGCCATGGCTGAAGTTTAAAGAAAAAATAAACATTCCTTAACATACAGTTTTAACCATGTGAGCTCAAATGCAACTGTCTATGTAAGATTTCAAATGTACTTTTCTATGTAGAGTATCAAGGAAATCCTTGTGAAATGGTGTTTAGGGGTCTGTCTGGGGTTTATGGGTTGTAAGCAGCTGCCAGTTTTATGGCTGCTCTTTCACACAAAGCAACTTTGACACAGCAGTTGAACATTTGCATTGAAGTTGCACACTGCAAGGGTAATCTCTTCATATGCGGAGTGAAACAGATCCTGGTGGATCTTTTTACATTGTCCAAACTAATACATGAGAAGGCAAAAAAGACATGAATAGATACATCCTTTACTTTTACATGATATAAATGCTTTAAAATGATGTTGGGTTTAACATTAACACTAAACCTGCTCTGTTGCAAATCTTTCCCAGGAGCACAGCAGTCTCCACCTGTGGCGGCTCAGGACCTGACGTCTGTCTTTAAGGCTGGATACCTTGAGAAGCGCAGGAAGGGTGGGTGCTCTGCTTAAAGCTTACATAACAGAAATAGTTATAAACATTTAGAAAAGTTTGTGAGATTTTCCCCATAAAGTCCTCAGGAAAAAATAATCATTATGTCTAAATCATTAAGTGAATTGACACCATCCTAATTGATTTACCCACAATATTTGTTATACACAAGTCACCTGACTTCTATGAAAACAGGGTTGTGTCTATTAGATTCACAGTTATGCAGTATGCAGCTGCTCTATTTGTGCTCAAAATTCATGACAACCTAAACAAATAGTAAGTAATCTTTCAGTAAAAAATGAGAACTTTAACTACAACAGTAGTCTCACGACTCTTTACAAAGATAGGACTCTTACTTGTACATGAAATACATTTTCTGCCATATGAAGCTTAATTGTACTTTCACAAAGAGAGAAGATGTATTCCTCGGTTCCCTGACTTTAATTCATCCTTCATCCACAGATCACAGCTTTTTTGGTACTGAGTGGCAGAAGAGATGGTGTGCTCTAAGCCATCAGACCTTCTACTACTACGGCAGTGACAAAGGTATCTCAGTTTTTTCATGTTAACTCTGTTTTCACTGTATTTTGAATAAATACTGTGTGAGAGAAATTAAGTGGATGCATGTTTGTTATTCTGCTTGAGTTCCCAGGTTTTGTCAGTAATGTTGAATTTGTTTGAACCACGAATGATGATGTTGAATCTCATGCTAACAGACAAGCAGCAGAAGGGGGAGTTCAGTATCGATGGCTACTCTGTCAAAATAAACAGCACCTTACGGAAAGACTCCAAGAAAGACTGCTGCTTTGAAATTTCAGCTCCAGACAAGCGAGTCTATCAGGTATGCTTATTTTCCCCCATTGCTTTTCTAAATATGCATCCTGTATTAGAAAAACAGATATTGACTTAAGACATGGCATGCTTAAAACCAAGCAAGGCCTTTGTTTTTAAAACTTGTTCATTCATTTGACACTGTTGCCTTTGCAGTGGCTCAGCTTGACATGCATAATTTAAAAAGTCTAAATGAGTGTTTCTAACATCCAGGCTCTTCCATGCGGAACATTTTAATATGCACAAATGTAGTATTATTTGTTTATGTTAATGAATATATGAAGGGCTGCATGTTGCACTGACTAAGGTTTTCATTTCACAGTTTTGTGCGTCATCAGTGAAAGAGGCGGAGGACTGGGTGAAACAGATTGACTTTGTTATAAAAGGTGTGAACTGTTCAAGTCATAAAAACATACTATAAGGCACCTTAATGTAGCAAGTTTTTGTTTCTGCACAAATGAAAGTATAGACCTGAGAAACCTCAAAAATTGTATTTCTAAATACTTGGTGTGTGTGCGTCACTGATATATGTTTTTTTCCTCTCTGTAGATATGTCAGGCATCATCCCAGAGGATGAAGAGGAGGAGCAGGAACTGTACGATGATGTGGGAAATGCAGATGTGGAGGATCAGTCTGAACCAATCGATGAAGACATCTATGAGGAGCTGCCAGGTTTTGATACACAATTTATTCCTGCTACAACCTGCACTCTCCCACAGAACATGAATGTATTACATTCATCTCCAGTCAGGTTTTATTTGTCTCATTCAAAGGCTTTATTTTCTGCTATGGCACATTACCTAATATTATTATTAGATAGTCATAACTTTGAACAGCACACTCAACCATAAATAATCTGTCATTTTTCTTTCTTTATTTCTTCAGAGGATGAAGTTCCCACTCCAGTGAAGCCACCTCCAAAGCTGAATCCAGTCACTAAACCTGCCCCCCCTGCTGCAGGTACAACACGGACAGGTCTGCATAGATTTCAGTGCATCGTAGTTTGTGGATAAGAGTGAAGTCAATTTTGCTTTATATTGTCTCAAACTAAATGTTCTGTTGTTTTGTACATGCTCAAATGTTATAGCCAGGGTAAAGAAGAAGTAACAACTTCAGAGGAAGTTGATGTGAACATGAACTGAAAGTTAACACAATACTGGAAATAACTTTGAGGCAACTTCCTCTTTACAACAAGTGACGTGTTAGAGGGCTGTAAGCACCAAAATATCATGCTGTGCTTTGCTATGTAAGGTGTGAACATTACAAGAACACTAACAAGCTGTGAGAGACTGACCAGTGGGAAATTTTCTTACTTCAGATCAATAAATAGGCTGGAAGTAGAAATATTTATATATACGTACACACACGATGTACGTGTTTCTAAATTTGTACCAGGTAAACATCGGCCCAATTCGTCATTATCAGTTACAGAAAATAGTGAAATGCATACACTACTTAAAGTGAAAAAAAAAAACAGCTTCTTTATTATTCTATAAATAATGGGCATCATTGAGTTATTTGTTATCTTGACTAATTAATTAATTTGTTTATTTTGGCTGAATGTCAGAAAATACCAGAGAATATGTCTGGGAGCCTTTGTCAAACCTGACATCTGCGCAGACGTCTGAAACAGATGTTTTAGTTTTTGCTCAAACATAACTTTTTATTTTGCATACTGCAATAATGTATATCTTTTCGAACTGTTTATTTTTTGATTATTAAAAAAAAAATCATTCACAATTCAATTTCAGGTAGCAGATTTTTTTACCTGATCATTTCTAAAATGAAATCACAACACAGACTGTTTACACTTGATCTGCTCCCTCTTCTCTGCAGGTGTCCCATGGCTCTCCAAAACAAAAATACTGAATCCTAAGAACTGTTGTTTCATTGATTGGTAGAATGAACTTGGCTCTCAGCTTGTCTGCCTCCGTCTCTGTTTTAGGCTCTTTACTGCCTCCTGTTGGTGCTGTTGTACACACACAGCAGCTGCTGCAATGAGTGTCCTCCAAACATCTGATTGTTATTGTCTTTTTTATCGCTTGTTTCCCTCTAGTTGATAAGAGCACAGACTACGCAAACTACTACCAGGGCTTGTGGGACTGTGTAGCTGACCACGCGGATGAGTTGTCCTTCAAACGGGGAGAAGCCGTCTACATCCTGAGCAAGGTATGGTTCAGAGAATTGTGCATGTCAGAGTTCAACATTTATCTGTCCCTAACAGAGTCTTCTTTGCTGAGGATTAAGTCTGCTAACTGGTCTACAAAAGTTAAGAGACATGGTTTGTAGTCTGAGGGGCTCTTTTGGCCACAGACCACCTATAGTGAGTTATTTCAGAGCCCCCAAAGAAAGTGCCTTTTCACATCCTTTACTGGCAGCATCTGGCCCGCCGCCTGGAGGTGAACGGCTGATGGTGAGAGGCGGACTGGGCTCGGTTCTCTCTCTGGCACTGTGATGGGGATTAGTTGTGTCACAACGGAAACTGTTTTAGTGCCGTTGGCGGAGGCTGGGTTTTGCTGGCACACGGTGCCATTCCATCACTTCCATCTGGGCTGTTTCAGCACGCTGTCCCTGCCGTGATGCCAGGCGCTGAGCAGCCTGCAGCCCACACACCTCTCAGACGTCTCTCTCACCTCGGCAAATAGGAATGTGTGTTCTCAGGAAACCCAGGCTCAGTCCACCACTCCATTCAGAGCAGGTGAGGACGTGTGGTGGACGCACAATTTCCGAGACTTGTCGCCTTAGCGTGTGTGCCAGGTAATGAGGACTGAGGGGCCGTTCTTCACCTTTATTATATAACCAAACAGGAGCCCTTTTGTGCTCAGCTGCCTCATATTGGATTTTGTTTTGATGCATTTAACGGGCAAGCTTCAGAGCATCCCACAGCAAATGAATCAAAGAATATTTTACTTTTACAGATTCATGTCAGCCCTGTGGTTTGTGTAAAATAAAAACAGTGTTAAATGTGCTCCATCTAGACTAGTTATATTTCCTGTCTGGTTTGGTTTCTATGGAGCATGAAGTCAACTGAGACATACTGTTGTCAACTGGCCAGCTCAGTTTCCAAATTCAAGTCTGCCATCTAGTGGTAGTTCAGAGAATTGAAGATATGGCAACGTGATCTGTTCAGTAAAACCTGAATGATCATTTTATTATCAGTAACTCATTTCTAGAGCTATAATTTGCCAATAAATGATCCAAAATATACATCATGAAGTGTTTTTATCCTACAGACTCAAAATAAATTGAGGTGGTTTTCATATTTAAAAAATCAAATTAAGCTCATATTGAGGTGTTAAAAAGGAATGGATCAGCGAAACGGTTCATCTTCTGTTGACTAGCTCATTGATTAATTGATCCAGCACTAATGGAAAGAAACAAATGCACAAAGCAGACAGACCCGTCAATGCTCAATGGCCAAATGCCTGTTTATGGCTCCTTCTCCATGTGTGGAAAAGGACCAAGAATCAAGTTGCCCTTTCACTCAGACTGGGAGTGCCATTAGCTGAAACCTTGGTGTTGGGGGTTGTGGCCCGCTGCGAGGGCAATGACCATAAAACCTGTCTGGACTGCAGCAGCCAGCTGCAGCTAAAGGGCTGGTCGGCTCCTTCCCCCCTCCGTCCCCCATCTCTGCCTCCTCCCTCATTCTCCTTTCTCTCTCGTCCCAGCGTCCCTCCCCCATTCCACAGTCCAGAAATAGCTGTAGTGTTACAGCTGTGAGACCCCCCAGTCAGGACTGGGGTGTTGATTATAGGGCCTGACTGGGAGTGAGAGAGAGTGAGTTGTACGGATGTACTGCACCAGACCCCCCCCTACCCCCAAGCCAAAGTGCACAAAACCAATCAAGAGATTCAACCCATCACTTCATCTGAGTGATTAATGGCCTGATTAAGTTTAAACCTTTTTGTAAAAAAAAAAAAAATGCCGCTGCAGGTCTCTAAAACTGTGCTTGAAAAGGTAAAAATAAACGATTATTAGCCACAAAGTAAATTATCTACTGTACATAATAAGAAATAAATGTTTTACCTGGGTGTTGGAAACTTCATCCACTCATGTTCATCCTTAGAGAAATAAGCTACTTATCTTCAGCCAGCAAGTATAAAAATGTTTATTTGTTTGGAGTAAATAAAGATTTTAAAAATGATCTTCCAAGTGTTAGAAACTGAGTGTGGAATATGTCGCAACAGGAGAGTCTGGGATTTTATGAAGAAGACACAAGATGGGTGTTTAGGTAAATTCTGGGAACTCATAATGTTAACTTTCATCGTTAGGACTAATGTTGTGTCGAGTGTAAACCTCTTTTTCGTCTAATTATTGCTGTGGTTACTCACAGAGGACATGCAGATGTGCTTTGTTTTTGTGTGTGCGTGTGTTATATCTTTGTTTTAAAAAGTACACTCAACAGTAAGAAAGAAAAAGAGTTATAAGAACAGAACTGTTGGATTATCTTGAATATATATGTGTTAATGTGTGTTTAGTCACCAGTTTTCTACAGCTCCTTATGTGTACTCCTGTTGTGTCCCACATTTACTCAGGCACGACTTCTTTGTGAGCCAGAACTACACAATGAGGTGTTGCTCTTTTCAAAGGCCTGCTGCAGGAAGTCATAATGTGCACACACACTTGGTCTCACACTCTCTTACACACACCTCATGTCAATGTGCTACATTATCCCTGAGGGGCCTGTGAAATGTTGTTTTAATCATGTGACACATTCTTGAAATTACTTTGACGTTTTCTGTTTGTTTCCTTTAATGTTTAATTTGCTGTTAATAATGTCGTCGCACTGACATGATGAACAACCCAATCAGCACACAGCTGTTCATGCAAGTCATATCTAATGCTGCTGCTGTTGTTCCTCATCCTTGGCTTAATATGACCATATGATCACTCACATCCATTCTCTCTCCTGGGAATAACTGGACACAGATGTGGGCCCTCCTCGTCCTTGAGTTTTTGCATTGATTTGAAACACTGTGCAGGTTCCTCTTCCTTTCTCCTCATCTGAACATGATCTCCAGTGTTGATTCATGTTGGGGAAGACTTTGATGTGAGGTCAGGCTTCTGGCCAAACAGGGAGAGAGAGGCTTTTTCTCCTCTTGTCTCAGATCTCTCCTCGCAGTGTTCTCCTCACATCTCAGCATGCTGACAGCCATTTGGAGCTATTACTTGTCATGCTGTGACAGATTTATATGTGATGTGCTCTGGATGCACACTGAGGGTTTTTTTTGTGCGGAGTAGAGGGGAGGGGAGTGAGCATGGGCTCAAAATCAACCCAGAAAGACAGACATGACAGAGAAGACATTAGAATGAAATTATTAATGTGGTGAATGGTGTGAAAAAAGTACCCTGAGATTTTAAAGTTTGCTGTGGTGAATAAAACCATCTAAATTTATTTTATTTTTGTCCACATAATTTATTCTCCACTGGTACATGTCTTACAAGCTTTGATTACCACACTTGATAGCTTTGATGAAGTTGTTTATGATATGTGCGCCTGGTATGTTGTTGGATATGAGATCTGTATGCTTCCAAAACTTTATCAGAACATAGGAGAGTCCAATTCATACAGAGCATCTAAAGTAAATTTGAAGAGGTGGTTACTTGAAAAAACCAAATTTGTTCTCATTAGTTGGTTGGCGTGTTTTCGGGTGGGTAATGTTGATGTTGTAATTATTGTGTATTATGTATGTTTTTATGTAGTTGCTGATTTCCCACCTTTTTAGGTAGCCATGTTCCTTCTGGCAGGGGGACTACCAATAGAAACTAGCCTTGTGGCAACAATTGGGTCCATTTACATTTTATCTTTTTAAAATGTTCATTAATGTACACTGTCCCTCTTTAACAAATAAAAAGAAAATAAAAATAATAAATAAATAACTGATGCATCAGGTTGTATTGGTTTTAAGTTGAACCAAAGGAAGAAAGTTCTCAGCATGCACCAATCATCCTAAAAGTATCTCTGTATTTTTTTCAGGAGTACGCGAGCTTTGGCTGGTGGGTTGGAGAGAAGAACGGCACAATAGGAATTGTCCCCAAAGAGTACCTGATGGAGCTTTATGTACTTTAATCACACCGACCCCATCACCACCACCATAGCAGGATTTGTTTGCTTAGGAGGAAACCTGCATGAATAATATATTAAAAAAAGCAATAAATTCCTCATGTTTCAGCTGGTACACTTCACCATTTACAGGATCGTATCCACTCTGAAAAGCTAATGATTGCTGGCAGAAATTTTCATATGACTGAAGACATTGTTTGAAAGTATTTTTCTACCGATTGTTTCTATTTATTTTCTCAAGACACAGTTTGTCCACAACACCGTTTCATGCTCTGCTTTTTGAGGATTTTGCATTTGCAAAGGGAGAGAAAAATAAAGAAGTTAACATCTCTCTTGTATCAGAGCCTTTTATTTAATTATTTGACCTGCTACTGAAGCCACAAGGTGGCAATAGAGTCTCTTCTGAGGTCATAGATTATCCCTGTGACACAGAGCAGAAATACCATCGGCCTTTCATTTTTGTTATTTATTTATAAATTGATTTTGCAAAGTATCTAACAAAAAGCAAGAGGAAAAAGGTTGGTGGCAAATTTAATCACAAAAAAGAATTTTCCAGATGAAGAAACTCAACTTGTCTCAACACAGAAAGAGAGTTTATCAATGTCACGAATCACATTTAACTTAACATCAAGCCTCTGCTAAAATCAAACTCTCCTCACACACCAAATAAACATGCACAAGAACTTGTATAAATGAGAAGTTATTTATTTTCAAAAATGACTCTTTTCATCTGGTCAGCACTTTTATTCCAGGCTTCAAAGGGACACTGATCTTCTTTTATGACACCTGAGAGACTGAGCTGGGCAGAGGATCACAGAGTGGCAGATGGCTGGCTGTGCTACGTGCCTGAGTGAAATGGCGGAGGTGCACTAATAAGACAGCCACCCTCACAGATAGCAGGAAAGCTTATCGCCCTCTGAGGGGCTGTTTGACAGCAGGCGAAGGTTGCATTTGCTGGGCATACCCCATTGAGGTTACACACATACTGAGCGTACCCCTTCTTTTTACAGTCTAATCCCTGAAATACAAGTTTGACTACACCGTCTACTGGAATAACATTCTCTTTTTTGGTTTGTGAAAGCCAAAGAAGGCCTGGCCAAGGTTTTCTCAAGGTTGTGGAAAATGGGAAGCAAAAAGTGTTCATGAACCAATAACTCACTGTATCTTCTTCACTGTCTTCCCCCTAATTTTTCCTTTGCTCCTGTCTCTGTGTTTTGTTCCTGTTGAGTGATGAGCCCATCCTCTGTCCTCTGGGTGACATTCAAAGCCAACATAAATCCTGCTCTTTATAGTACAGTGCAGCAATAAAGCCTCACTGCTAATTGGAGATGTATTGAATTACCATAATTAGTTATTGAATATTTTACATTGAATGCTTTGTTTTAGGGATCTAGAGAAACAGGCTGATGTTTACACATGAACAACATTTTCTATAATGTTTCTGACAGCGTGTCTCTGCAGCTCCACCACCGAGACATTAAAAGACACTTACATGCTATTTTTGGAGAGTTAAAGTGTGTATTTTTGTGCAAATGTTTCTTTACTGCTGATAACTCTCTATTTCCCCCCCTGTTAATGTAAGGCTATGGGTTAGGTTGCCAAAGGCAAGTAAGGCTAAATATTGCCTCTCATTTTTATGTGCCAATAAAGGATTTCCTTAATGGATGTCAACTACACCCCCATCCCCCCTGTTAGATGTGGACAGTCATATCCTCAGAATATACAGGTCCTTTTATTGCAATTTAACATCAAGATATAATGTTTCATAGATAAATGTCACTATGCCATTAATCTAGGGAGCACTAAATTACGCTAATGATACCAGAATATCACTAATTAATACTTGCAACCATAAAAATACACTTTTACCAGCCAAATATATAAAGATGGAGCTGCTGAGTTACAATAAATAAAATCAGATTTGCTGAGAAAGATGGCGGAATTACGAGACAAATGGCCCTTCAGGACTGAGCTCAGTCAAAGCTGTTTTAAACTGACAAATAAGTGGTTGAATCCTACATGGCTTCAGACTTGTACCCTACCACACCTCGATGTTGACCCTCTTTAGATGCATTTAGGGTAATACTTGTCGAGATGATGATAATGACAGTAATAGCCTCATGTCTTTGTTAGGTATTGTCATGCACCATTACTATTTCATACCATCACCAGGAAGACCGAAGCCTTGATCTACACCACTTTAGAGAGGTAATCTTGATCAAGCTGTCAGCTGTTTCTGCTGCTCTTTAACCAGGTCACTCTGCCATAGATCACAGCATGGCTTCATACAGAGTTTCTGTCAGGAATAACACTGCTTTATTTATGTGGTATCCCCTGGCATTTTGCTGGAAATGTATTACATCTCCAACTGGCCCTCTGTCAGCATTCCATTAAAGCCTCTCTCCCCCTGGTCTAAATCTAAAAATCTGATATAGACACTTTTTAAATGCAAGTCAGTCTTAATTGAGGTCACTTTCTGTGAACATAACTCACGGCAGCTGACAAAGTAAGGTTTTTTTTTTCTTCAGTTGGCTGGTGACATAGTGAAGAGACATAACATCTCTACAGTGAGAACTAACAAAGACTTTGAAAAATCACATTACTTCAATATCGAGACGATATTTTCAATTTTATTAGTATTATTTTTTTTTAATCCTATACAGTTGTAATATCAGCTGAGGATGACCAGGTGGGAGTCAAGCATATGTTTCCCTTCAAAAGGACCAAATCTTCTCTCTTAATTGAAAATGAAGTTCTCAGGAGCTTCATGGGGAGGACTGCATGGACTTCTCTGGCTGAAATTCCAGTTCATGGCCTTGAGCTCACCACCATCAACCCACCAGTGGGTGACTATGATTATCAATCAAAATGCTCCTGTCTATTGTAATTTGGTGCAGTATGTGAGTAAAAAGTAAATGATGATCAAGTTAAAACTGCATTCTACACAGAAGGTCATTGTATCACACTGTAGTATCATGGTAAGGATCACATACTGTAGGCCACAACTTCTGAACTGATTTACAAGAGAGGCTAGTATAGATGAAAATTAGCAAGTAATGTTAGGAAAGGTAATCCTTGTTTGGTTAAGCGAGCTGTTTGGACTGAACTGTCAAGTGTTATTAGCTTAGTTAGCTAACAAGCGGTAAAACCTTGTAAGTTGAAACATAAGCCATTGAGTTGACAGATGTATTTTTTTCATGAAATAGTAATTATCTATCCTAATATTTGGCTGGATTTGGCTGCTTGTCATCAGCTGATGATCTTTCAAAATGTTAATTAAGTCAATGAATTAATGATATGACACCTGCGCGGGATGTTGGAGAAAAACAGCTCGTGCTTGAATATGGCAAAAAGCAGTCAGTCACTATGAGCAGGCATGTTTGTTCTCTGGCTCATTTTAGAGTTTTATGCTTTGATCTGTCTTGTTTCTTTGCCACATTTCCCACAGTTCACTGATACTCGTGTGAAAAACAAGTTTACATCTAAGTGTAGCAGCTGATATTTCCATTGATGAAGATGTTGCTGCTACAGGTTTGCTTGTCATCTCTTTTACTCCCTGTATGCATCAGTGCTTCAGACTGGTCTCATGTTGCTGGCAGTGGTAGTTGGCGGTCCATGCTGTCAGGCGGGAGGAGAGCTATGTGCTGACATGTCATTTGGGATAAATCAGTCTTATCAAAGTGACAGGTGTTTGTCCACCTGCTATAAACATCTCCCACGCCTTGCTCTAGCTCCTCACAGATTATTTACAAGGCTTCAGCCTCCATACTCTGGCCCTGTTTACTCTCTGTCTGTGGCTCTAATATCAGGTCAGTGCTCCGCCTCTGATTTACTCAACTAGTTAGTGAGGTGAGTAATGACCCTGCAAGGTCTGGGAGGATAGTTTGTAATCAGCAGAGGTCAGAGGTGCTCTAACTGTAATTACAGCTCCCTGCAAACTGTACCCCATACTCTTCTGGAGCTGACTGATCCCACCTCTCTCTTCTTCTCTTTCTCTTTTCTACCCCCTACACAGGATGGCTGAGATGCCCCTGGTTGTAATGACCCCACATTCAGGTTGAAGTCCCAGCTCAAATGTCAGCTCTTAATATAGCAGCTTTTCACACTGACAGAGGAAGTTAAGGTATGAGCGTTGAGTTACAGAAGCTTGCTGAGGTAGAGTCAGTCGCAGATCACTGCTGGATCGTGTCAGCTTTGGTATATGTCCAAATACAGGTGGTGCCAAGCTACCTGAGCTAATACAGAGCCCAGCGCACATGTGAAGTGGCTTGTCTGTACAAAGTGATAATTAAAACTCATAGGGCAGACAGATAAAATCAAACAGGTTCCCTCTGAGCGCAGCATGACAAGAATTGTTTTCAGAAATTTGGGGGTCTGGATGTTTAAAGCAAATACACATTTTTATGCAATATTCCATAGGAGTTATTTTTTGTTGGGATTTAGGGAAAAAAGCGTAAAATTAATTCCAATTTCCCTTTTCTGAAAAAGATAAAGGCAAGTTTACACCTGAGGACTCTGACCTTAACCTTTGCTACCACACTTTAAGATTGCTCAAATTATCACTGCTGCAGGACTGATGCAGTATCAAGTTGCAAAGTTAAAGTGCAGCGTTTTTGAAAATCATTTTTACGATATATATGCTATGAACCACTGACTAACAAACATTTTATAGGGACAAAAAACACTTGAAAGATATACTAACCTTCCTTTAATACCTCCCACCCTCACATTTCTTTGCTGAAAACATAAAGAACAAAGGTAACAAATGCAATTGAAAAACAAAAACAGTACAGAAATACTGTCTATTTATCTTTTCAAACAAAATGCTTGCAGAAGGTGGAAGGAGAGCATGATTACACAAATAAACATACATATGAATAAAATAATCAAATGGTAAAAAAAATGGTAAATTCCAGGGTATGAAGTTGTTCACATGCATGAATAATAAAAGTGGATTAACTCATTCAATACACAGAAAAAAACTCTTTTTTTAAACAAATAATGTGAATCCCAAAGGTTTGAGGCTACACCAGAGCTGACTGAGGTATTAGGTGTTTACTGGGATAAACTGTTGTAAAAAAAAAAAAAAGTGATTTCAAAGGCTAAATCTGTTTCACTTTAAAAGTCCTGATAATCAGTTTACAGAAACTCACACTAATCTACTCTGATTAATTTTGTAAAATAATTTAAGGTGGAAACAGAGGGGGACAAAGAGATTTTAACAACAGCTCTTCATAATGTTTTGCTAATTGTAAAAGTGTGCGAGAAATTGAGATAAATCTGAAGAAATTTAACAAATATAATGTAGGTACTGAACTATGCAATCCAAGCTGAAAGATCACAGTTACACCAACTTTCTGAGCATTCACATCATGAATTTTCATGCTTGTATTTGATTTACATAACCAGGGCACCATAAACAATAATCACACTGGGCCCCACTACTTCTGTATGTTCCAGTATTTATTAGGGCCTCTGTCGGTCATGGGCTCTTAAAAATTTCATAGCTTTTTCTCCCTCACACAGCGCCCCTGTATGCAACTAAACCAGCTCCCTCTGCTGAAGAAGACCATGCAGAGTTGTGAAGGTCCATGTCCACCTACAGCATCTTTTGTCCTCAACAAAACCAAGCAGTTCAAAAACAGACTTTATGGCTCAAAACTAAGGAAAGCAGAATGGGGGACAACTTTTGTAGCTTAGCAACAGAAAGGATTTAATAAGAAATACCTGATATTGGGGTTGTGGTTGCCGCCACTGCAAAAAAACAAAAAGGCGTAATGGACTCAAAAACAAGAAACTAGATCCCTAAGATAAGGTAGGTTTTTGTTTTTAGTCTGTTTCCAAAAGTTAAGAAGGGAATTACATGTTCAGAAAAGTTGTATAGTCTAAGTTTGACCATGATGATAAATGTTTATGTGCGCATCTGCAGAACTTGGACACTCTGGCTCGGCAGTCCTCAACATTTACGCACATATTAATGAATTTGACATGGAGCCATTAACATACCATGAATGATAATCATGTGAATTTAGGAAACTCATTACATATGTATTACATGAATAGCAGGTGGGTTAATTTGAGTAATTTGTGGCTGTATGCAGACACTGGGATGATGGACGGCGTCTGGTGAAGACAAGCTGAGCCGGCCAGTGGATCTACTGCAGAGTAAGGAGAATTTAGACTCATCATAAAAGATTTCTCCTTGCCTCTTATTTCACTCGGACATTTTTATGTTTTTTTTATTTTCTACCTCATTGCAGCCGTGAGCTGCCTGCTGATTTACACACACTGGCGGTGAAGCACAGAGGCCTCAGGAGACAGTGCCCTCTACCCCTCCATTTTTCCCCTTCTTGTTCCTCCACCCTTTATTGTCCTCTCTCAGCCACCATGGAGAGCCTCTCTGCTTACTGAGCTGACCAAAGAGCCCCCTCTCTACTTGTTCTTCATCTCTAACAAGACGTTAGTCAGGAGGGGTTGTTATTCACACATGGTCTTGTGACTCACACGGGAGCTGTTCCCCTGTGTAAAGACACATCAGGACGAGCAGAGGGCATCAAAGGTACCTTGTTCATAACCTTTGTGATCTTGAAAAGGTTTGTGTTCCAGCATGGATGAATATCTATAGAAATATATACAGATATTAAGTTAACATAGGGACCATCCTTCTCCATCTGTTTCATCCAAAAGCAACATTTCTGGTTTTACATATTATATTTTTCCGGGAAATCATAAACCACTTATTTCAATTTCCCTTTTAACCCCTCAGGCCTTTGTGACCAACAGAGGGGAGCGGCTCTAATGTTGATCAACCCCGATTCCAGGAGATGAGAAGCTGTTGCTCGCCTTGGTACAACGATCACGCCTGTTCCCTGTAATTGCTACATTCACGCACCGATAGATGACAGCGTGTGGAGGTGGAAAAAGCAGGTTTGAGCCAGGCAGAAACAGAAGAAGAAGGTACTGGGGCTGTTGGTTTTGATGAATGATGGATAACTCTAAAGTCAGCTCATTTCCATCTGGGACAATTGAGCGGAATAGAAAAATATTTCATCCTTGGGAAAAGTGTTTTTTATCCAGGCAGGTGTTCAGATATTGGCACACACACACACACACACACACACACACACACACACACACACACACACACACACACACACACACACACACACACACACACACACACACACACACACACACACACTCAGCTCCAAGGACAGATGTAATGTCTGAAAATGCTTTCCTTTTTTTTTTTGGGCTGTCAGGTTGTGGAACTTTTGTGGCCTTCAGTAAATCAGCGCCCACTATTGGCATAAAATGTGTGAGACCCAGAGAAATATTCACAGCTGGGCCGTATGTTATTAACAATTCAATTAACCTGAAGTCTCCAGATCATTTACCTTGCTCTCTCATTTGCTGTCTTGTGATTGTCCTGCTGTATAAGACGATACACATTGATATCAGCATCCTTTGTTGTTGTTAATGTTGTATCAGTCCTCCAGGTTTCAGTCCCTATCTATTGGCAGAGCAGCTGGGCTTCTCTGATATTGACTCATCCTGGTTCCTGAGTTGCAGGCAAAGAGATTTAATATCTCAAGTGGTGCTGTAGTCCTATTGCTACTAATGGATTCTGTATAATGTGGCACTTAAAATGCATGAGCAGCCTCTGATTTATCTGTAATTTGCCTCCACTGGAGCATATCTTTTTCAATACTTCCATTTGTTTTTGGCTCTGTGCAGCAAACAAAGCCTGATTGGGATTTCATAGAGTCACAATCTAGTTTGACACTTTAGTTCTTGCCCCATATATAAAACGTCTTTTCGGCTATTTTTGTGAACCTGTGTTAATTACACAACAGAGGGAATAGTAAGTCAAGCATGAGATCGCAGACGTGAAGAGAAGTTTATTTGAGCTGTCGTTGCAGAAAGACATGCTGACTCGGTCTGAGGCAGATGGTATCTCCCTGAGGTGTCGTTCTATATCTTATCTTCTAGCTACTGTTTTATGTGTCAAACAATAAGCATGCTAATTAGATTAAACTAAGCTAGGACATTCGAGGGTATGATAAAAAAAAAAAAACGTGATATTATCCTGTACTTTTTGAATAATTTTGTTTTTATCTGGCTGAAACCCAAGCTGACAGCACAGTATTTTTCCTGGTCTCACTCCATCTGACCTCTTCAGGGTCAGGCACCACAGAGCAGGGAGCTGTTAGCCAATCGATCTGATGGGTTTAAATGTGTCAGTGTTGTCATGGCAGCAGAGCCGGGCTGACAGGCTAGGCTACAGTGGCTCAAGGTTAACAGCCAATGGACTGGAGTCACAGACCATTTGTAGAGGGTTCAATACTGCTGGAATGGTCCAATTAAAAACTAGCAATGTAAACGTTTCAATTCATGGGACTAAAAGCAACAACAACAATGGCTGTACTCATACTACTCATTGATATGAAAGTACATGAGAGATTTACTTTCCAGAGATCCTCTTAGCAGCGTCAAAACACAACAGAACCCATTATTCAAACTAACATGTGTAGCCTCTAATATTAGCGGCCCACAGGCTGTGATAGTGCCAAGATCTCAGAAATACTGAGGTCATGAGTCTCTCTTAACACCCAGCACCATGCTCATAAAGTGTAGACCAGAAACCCATATAAAGGTCTTTAAAATGTTTTAATAACTTGAGTTTTTATATTCTGTTTATTCAGTTAAGTACTTAAAGACACTTGCTCAAATACTCAGGCCTGTTGTCATATTAACTGGCTTTACAGTATCCAAACCAAAAGATTTTCATCTAATAACTCTGGGTTTTGGCTCACCCAATATCCCCTCAATGTTTGTGTTTCCAATCGCAGAGTTCAATCCAATACAAACTGTCATACAAGAAAACAAAGTGTACTTTTTTCCCCCTAAAAGTAATAAACAGTGGAGTGATTTGTTTTGTATTTTTTAGTGTTGGACAATAAGAAATGATTGCAGGGTAAAAAGTGAAACAGAGAGAAGTTGAATGTTTTTGGACAAAAGGACTGAAAACTCTGATTGTCTTAGTAGAATGTTTTGTATTGGAAGACAGAAGAAACTTAAAAAGTGCATTTATGAAAACATACCAATGAAAATACCTTGTTATGATGAATAGTAAGACAAGTTAGGTGTATCAGTCACACATTAGCTTAAAAAACTTTCTCTACTTCAACATTTAATATGTAACCTCTTCATTTAAATGATACTCCCAGTGCATATCTTTTTAATATCAAGCTTAAGAAGACAATAGCTCTGTTAACCTCGGTGCATGTGTTTGAACATGCAGCGTAATGCTGACCACACTATTTAGCCCTGTCAAAGACAACACATGTCCATATGCTGCATTAGCATATCAGGAAATTAATACCTCTTCAGAGGAGACATGTAAACCCACATTTTGCTGCATAGAGCAGAGCAGGTCTACAGTGACGTCACTTCTCTGTTCTCTCTAACACCATCCTTTTGTCTGCTCTGAATTTATAATGATTGCCACGGCCACTGCAGAGAGACAAAGCTACCCTAATTAGCTGTGCAGATATTTCATGCTGCTGTCATTGTTAAATGGTCATTACCTCTGCATAAGCATGGTGCTGCTCACTATGGGATCACAGTCTGCATACACACACACGCGCACAGATACGTAACTGTATGAACATGCAAAGCTGAAGAGACAGAAAGAAAAGGTGGCTTGTCAGTGCAGCTGGCATTTTGTTCAGCAGGGAGCGACGAAGCCTGTCTACCTGGTAGCCTTCTTAGACAGGAGCAAGCCCACTGGGATCTTTCAGGACCTCCCATCAGCCCCACACTTGACAAGGGGGGCTGGCTGAAAAGTCTGCAGAGACTCTATTATACATCATGCTGCTAAGCACTGGAGTGGCCACCAGATGACAAGCTCTTCTACCTGACACTTTATTAGAGAGGGGAGTTCAGTGTCAGCGAGAAATTATACAGTCACTGCCAAAAATATATCATTATCTACACATATCCAGCACAACAGATGTTGTGTACCACAAGTCACAATGCTTTTACAAAGCTTGTTTATGAAGTAAAAACAGACAGTTACAGTATTTGTTCCTCTGTCATGTGAGTACAAACACATAGATGTATCAACACTGCCATCTTCAGGCAATTTCTTGCTACAACCTTACAGCTGTGGAAGACCAGCCTGGATGTACAAGAAGGTGCATTGAAACTATTTTTTAATACATATATTTCATTGTGAAATGCCTCAATAGAACATTAATAAACATAAATCTTATAAGTGAAATCATTTGAGCAACTATGTAGCATAAAAAGTGCAGCACAATAGGGTAACAGGCAAATTTCTTCCTCTAAGGTTCAAATGTTTCTCAGTTAAAAGTGGTAATGACGGTGACGATGATGATGATGATGATGATTATGATGTTGATGAAGTTTTAGACAGAATCAGATGAGCTGGAGAGGTTTTCCTCCTGGCAAGTCACCATGAGACCGAGTAAAGCTGTACTTGCTGCTTTGTTTAACGTCAAATCTTTGATCTGAGGCTCTGGATCTCGACACTCTGGGCTGGAATGATAAGAGAAAAGAGGATGGAAGGAGAGTTAAAGAGTAGAACTTTTTAAAGATTAAATTGGCCATTAAATACTTCACAGTGGTGATAAAAACCATGAAAAAACTTTTTTTTTCAGGGGAGGAAAGAAACAGATGTGGTAAGAAATCTTACCTGTCAGAGTCAGAGTCACAGGACATGCTCAGGTCCTTCTGTAGATCCTCTTCTGAGTGAAATCTCCTCAGACCACATCGCTGAATGGCCTGGGCCACAGAGTAGTGGGTCTTTCCAGCTGCACAAGCCTGCATCTTGGACACGCTGAGCTGGGACTGCAGGAATAGATGCAGCAAACTGTTGGACAGCAGCACAGGGCTTTGAAGGATCCTGAAAAACAAGGGCAGTAAACAAATTTGGCTGTTGTAAACATGGATTTTATCGCTTTTTATGAGAAAACTGCGGTCATGGGGTTTTCATGGAAACTGCTATTCATCGACTTTGTTATCTTTGTGTTTCAGTATGTCAAAGTTCGTAAGTTCATTGATCTTTGAGGTTTGTCTTACTGTTCCAAAAACTGCTGGAGGCCTTTCATCCGCTCAGTGATCTGTCGAGCATTATTCAGACTAAAAAAAGGGTTCTTTGGGGGAAGTTCTGGCACTTGCACCCTGCAAAACACAGTAAAATGCCACAGGAATTACAGAAACAAACTTGTAGATTTTTCTCATCATGAAAGTGAAAGTATTCAAAATACAGAAACGCACTTACATTAGCATGGAATTTTCTTGTAGCTTCTGTCTGAGCCATACGAATTCGCTGTACCTCCTTCTCACACTTGAAATCTTCTTGGTGAAGCAGACACTGTCGGTCTATAAGCGGACACAATGTATTAAACAGAAAGCTCTGCTATTTGATTCCAGGGATTTAGAAGATGACTTCCTATTAATGTTTTACTTACATGTAAGCAGATTTCATAGTCTATGTAGGCATGCCAAAAGTCGTTCTTTCGTATCCGCGGGTCCCGCACCCAGACACTGATAACCTGCTGCATTGAGGAGCCAGGAGAGACAATGAGAAACTGCTCTTGGAGTGGACTGCTCTTGGATAAAGAGGAAGTTTATTTTGCCACCAGAGGAAGTTGAATGACTAACAGCAAGATCAGGGTCGGAAACTCCCACCAAATATCCAACATTGCTCACGAGACAGAAAGACAGGGGTTGTTTTTCCAAACTTGAACAGAATTTAAAGCTTCTGTGACATTTTAAAAGTCTCCTTTAAAAAAAAAAGATAACTATAACAATTTGAATTAAACCAGAATAACAAGACAACTTTTAGACCTACCTGATATACGGTGTTCTCATTTTCTTTTTTCATTATACAGATCCTCTGCCAGAATCTCAGTGTGGTAGAGCCAACTCAATACTGCTGCTCTAAGCTCTGTACCTTTTATTCCTGCTTTTATTATCCATGAGCAAAGGTTTCAAAATAAAGTCACAAGACAGACACAAGCTCCTCCTTTGAACAGTAAAACCAAATCAGCAAAACTCTCTCCTGTTTACCGGGTAGTAAAGTTGGCATGAAACATGTGCCGGCATAACCAGATAAATTTATTACTACTTATCAGTGAAAACTTATGAAACACATTAGACAATGTTTGTTTATCATCTGTAATCAAAATGTTACTACATCAGGAATAACGTGACTAAAAAAAAAAGGAACACTTTGCACAAAAGATTTTTTTTATTATTCACAGACTTCACAGATCCATGGTCAACAAGTACAGTTAGTCAGTAGCAGGTGTATTTTGGGAGGTTTAAGGTTCATTTGAGGGTCCCATGACAGTCATGGGAGATATGTAGAATTAGGACAGTGCCATCAGGTAACATGTATCATATATAAGGACATGTATAACTACAGGGAGAAAACGCCCCACATAACTGGACAGTCTCACATCTAAAGTGCTATATTTAACAATCTTATTAGCCATCAAAGGTGCACCAATTGATGTATGTTATCTCAACATAACAGTTTTTCAAATAGTCCTTTTTTATTCTAATAGGACTTTAGATTCCAAATATGTAAGAAACAGAATATTCCTGCAATTCAATGCAGAGGAGAAGGGAACATTTGGTCTTCAGCAGCTGATTGGATCACAGGGAAATTTCAAGTTAGCAACTTTTTATACACGTAACATCAGTCACAAAGGGTTAAAAGTAGTAAATCACAACAAAATCTGTGGTAATAACACCTCAAACAACAAACATTGAAACAACAGGTCTACAGTCTTCAGCGCTACATGAACTGGAGGTACAGATTGAACAGTAGTTAGTTCACTTTTCTCTACATAGTGCTACTACTCCAAAAATAATAACAATAAAAAAGCACACACACTCTTGTAGCTAAACAGGACTGTAAATGCTAGGTTACTTTACAACAGTGAAAATAAAACACATGTCCACAGTGATTGTGTCTGCTTACACAGAGCCAAAGATGCTACAGGTTAGTCTGATCTCAAACCAGCTGCTCTGCACACAAGGTTAGAATAAGTCTCCATCACAGCCTCCGAAAAGGCACAGAGACCTCTTTGAGCACCACAGGAACCAGAGCACCTAAAATCCATCCCCGCTGAGGATCTCACACCTGCCAGAATATTAAACTCTTCACACAGTTTGTCTCTAATGTCGGCTGGAAGGGGAGGAGGACACTGGATGGAGGTTAAACTTAGCTTTAGGTGAGAGCACAGCTGTTTCTACATGTACTTCACAGCTCCTCGTCCCCACAGTGCCACGTCAACTGCCGCTCGTAGAAGTCGATGACCACCTGGGGGCACCTTGCGCTGGCTTCACGAGCCGGCAGCAAGGCCACATCATCAGAGTTTTTCCTGGTGGAGAAGAGGGGCAAAAGGGAGAAATGAAACCATCACAATGGCTGCATCCTGCTTCTTGTGTAGATTAAGCGTTGAGCAGCAGAAAAGCTCCTGGCAGTTCAGAAAGGTTTTCTATTAGAGGAAAAGCACCAATGTTTTATCACTGTTTTTACGGTACAGTCTTTGGATGAGTTATTAAAGTTTTGCATAGTTTTTTTTAAAGTCACACTGGGTGATAAAATGTATTTTATCTAAAAGTGTCTCTAATACTCTGTCCATTCTTTTACCACAGAGAGGAGAGGAATGAAACATGATGAATACATTTTGATAAATGCACTGCAGTACACCAACCCCACCCACTATGAATTCATTAATAAAAATAAACGCTTACACTTTTCTGACAGTGTCAACAAGAATTGAAAAATGAGGCAACTCCTAAAAGTACAACTTATGGTAGAGCTGCTGTGTTGACAGCAGTATTCTGCAAATGTGGCCTTAATATCATGGCTGATCAAGTGAAAAGCAGTTATCTGACCTTAGGTGGTATCAAAGATAAAAAAAAAAGAATACAAAAAAAAAGACATTCATGTATTTTAGTCTGGCAAATGCAGGTCTTGGATCATTTTGAGCCCTTTAGATTCCCATATTTTAAATATTGCTTCTTTTCTTCCTGGTATTAAGGACTGATTATTGGACTGAATTGTCATTAAAAAAAAAAATCTTTTCCACTGTACCGTCTTTATCATGTGCTTCATAATGGGAGTTTTTTGGGTTTGTTTGGTACTTTCTATACTGTCTGCCAGGACATAATCCTTTCTTTGTTTTTTTTTAATTCTCTTCAAAAGTTGACTTTACACAAAAGCAGTCACAAACAAGGGAAGAGAGGCTCCTGTGAAATACTTAAATCTAACCCTACGACAGAAGGAGCTGATGAGGAGCGCTCTGAAACTGAGGTGCTGGGCAGTAGCAGAGCAAAACAGCTAACAGTGGACACAGGCCCTAAAGTATCGTTTAGAATTCAAACCTACAGCAGTTAGACAAATGCATGGGGCTGTTTTGGTGTGGATAAGATGTTAGCGATCAGTCAAGTTTAAATCAATCAACAAATTCCCTTAGATTGAGGAGTAATTAGACTACATACCCCAAAAAGGTACAAGGACCCATGTGGCCCTGAAACTTGTTTCAATTATTTTTTTATCTTTTATTGTGACCATTTAGAGGCAGCATAAATACTGTGAACAGTCAAATGTACTCGAACCAGCAATATATGCTTATTTGATTGGCAGATACAGCAGCCTACTAGATAAAGGTTTTAAAGTTAAGCCAGGTATAATGTTTGCTGTATGAGCATACTATTTGTCACCTGAACTGTACCGTCTAGACCAGCCAAAACCCCCCCAAAATGTTTTCCTGCTTTTTAAGAATGCCCATGCATGTAATAACCCCTCATACTTCCACTTATCCTGTTTGTTTTAAAAAATAAGCTTTCTACAATATCACAGACACAGAGGTTAACCTAGGTCATTTTCAGAGCCCCAGTTTACCAAATTCAACTCTTCTCACAGTCTTGGTGGCACTTCCTGTGACTCAAAAGGACTTTTTGTCATGCTGGTTCCCCTTTAAGACTGCATAGCACGAAAACTGCGGTCAAAGAGGCCCTGAACACTTGTATTATGACTGTTTTGTCAGCCAATAGAGGAAACTGATGTCCAACGTACCAACCCACTTACTTCATGGTTAATGATATACCCAACATTATGAAACATGACATTAGACTCGTTCTTTGTAGACTGCAGCTTTAGATGTTAACAACTGTGAGATGTTTAATTATGCAACAAATGGTGTGAAATTTCTTAAGCACTACGAAAGAGAGGAAGCAACAGAGTTACCATTTGACAAGGAACATGAGCTCTCCCTGTCTGTCTGTTGAGCCGATGATGCATTCAGGCTCGAGGTAAGTGCTGAGGTTAGTGGGGGAGTCTGACTGCTCATCGTTCGGCTCAAGGGCGTCGCTGTTGTTCTGCACCATGTGAGTCTGCTGCTGAGACTGCAGACAGGACTAGGAGGACGGAGACAAGGACAAGAGTGAAGTGCAGCAAAAGAAGAAAACACAAATAAAATGTGAACTTGAAAACTGTCCTGATTGTTTTTTGTTTTGTTTTGTTTTTTTAACAAGATTGCGAAATAGTGGAATTCAATCTACTTTCACTTTTAGGGGCATTGTGAAATTAACCACTGTCAAACACTAGTTTCAGTTTTCTATTGGGTACTTAAAGATTAAACACAACAACTCAGAGGAAAAGTCTACATACATGGTCAGATTATTTTTACTCAATTCAGTTGCTACCTTTGTTTCCATTAAGGAAAAAAACCTGTGTATACGTCCAAAAAAAGCACTGCATTATGAAAAACAACGTAGTAAGATGAGGAAGTTCTTTCAATAGCATGGAAACAAGTCAAAATTGTACCCTGATTCCACCGTCTGCTCCATACTCACAATTTCTGTCTCTTGCTCTGTCATTTCTTCTTTGGGAATGAACTCTTGTTCAGCTTGATCTTCCTCATTCTCTAAAGAGAAGTGGGTGTTTCTCAGGAAATGTTCGATGAGCTCAGGACAGTCCAGATTATCCTCAGGTTCCCACGTGTTTTCTGCACTGTAACCATGTCAAAAGGAGGAAGTACATGCTTAAAATTTATGCAAAACTAAAAAACGAGTGAAAAGCTGATTCTGATGTACTCACTCTGTGAAACCTTTCCACTTCAGAAAGTATTCAACTCTTCCATTAAATATTCTGCGGCGAATGATCTTTTCAACCACAAACTCCTGGACTACTGTAGTCTCCTCAGTCTTCCTCTGTTTGGCAGTCTGCTTCTTTCTCATCCTGCCATGAGTCAAATGCAAATGAATGAAAACAAGCAAACAAGTGTTACAATGAACAAATTCAAACTTAAATTGTTTGACTTTTGTTAAAACTCTCCGCAGTGATCACAGTAATAAAGATTGGGATATTTGCAAAACAACATGGCAGTGGTGAGGGGTATGCTGTGCCCTTCAGACAAAGCTCCGTGCACTTAATGTAGCACTCCACCTGCTGTTTATTTCGGGAGCACAATATGTTACTCTTGCAGCTCAAAACGCAACACGTTAGTACTCACACACGTGTGTAGGTTTTGTCAGTGTAGCTACAAGAAGAGTTGCTACCATTATCCTGAAAACATAAGAGGAGACGTGCCTGAGTGATGCACAAGACGCGACAATAAACAATATGCACGTACGCTCTCGGTGTTTACTTAGTCTCGGTGGACAGCTGCTTGGCTCGGCTCAGTTCGGCACGGCTCTGTGTGGAGCTCGTCGCAGGAAAAATTACATGCACACAGCGAACAACGAGGCTGCTTTGAGCTGCAAATTGTGTCGCACCGCGTGTTTACATGCACCAAACAACTTTTCATGAATGAGTTAAAATTAAAGATGGCCGTGGATGCTCGGAGGAAGTGGTTGCCAAGGGAAAAGGTCATGCCAGGAAAACCGGGAGGAGACGACGGGGACGCGCACGCCGCCAACCAATCGGAGAGGAGTCCGCTAGTCCGTGCTCCACCCCCCTCCTGTCCAGTGGTCCGGAACAGTCCTGCCACCCATGGGTGTCAGATGGGTACGACAGGGGACTGTGCACATTTGGCATGATATACTGTGGATACAAAAAAAGGAGCTTTTATCATTGTCATTCAGCAGATACAAAGCCCAATATCTATTGTGAGGCTTCATGCAAGACAAATTAACCATAACATAACATAACATAACATAACATAACATAACATAACATAACATAATATAATGTAATATAATATAAAATAATATAATATAATATAATATAATATTGGTTGACACTGTTTATATTTAGAGAAGAACTTCATGTTACTTCCATTTTACTCTAAGACTTCTGTTACAAAATCTCCCAGACATTATTCATGTATTATTATTTTTACTGTTTTACCACTTACTCTGAGTACTACATAGTTGGGTGTTTTTCTCCAAACAAAAATAGTGAAAACCCTAAAATAAACAATATTCTTGAGATGAATTTTTCCAACACTTTACAATAATTAAACATTGCTTCAGCTTGTTACAATACAATGCAATTAATAAATAGATGTAATTTTGTATAAATGCATTTACTGCTTTTTTTTTCATATTTACGTATATTTACTTTTTATGTATTTTGAGGGTGTTTTTTTCATGGTCTTACTTCTGTACACAGAAAGGGTTTGTACGGAGGAGATCTTCCCTCCAAGACCCTCAACATCACTCTGATGAATTCACAGGGAAAACTCTCTGGAGGGTTGATTGACAGCTTCTCTCTAGCCAATAGGAAAGCTTCAAAGCTTCTGATTGGCTAAAGACAACTTCTAATAGGCCGTCCTACTTGACCAACACCTCTCTTTTTTATGACAGTTCTTCCTCACCTTTTTGATACCCACCACTGGAGGACGCTGCCTGCTTTTAGTCGAGCGCCAGGCTCAGAGGGCCAACAGCTCACTCCTCCTGAACCTGGTTGACTAATGAGAATGGATTTATGCTAGAAAGCTCAAAGCAAAAGACAGCAGAACAAAAGGCTTTACTAGGAGGTGGATTCACAGTGGAGCTGCCTCTGATGCACTGTTGTTTCTGATACCACTTCATCCCTAAGGCAGGATTATGTAACATTTGTCCATGAAGTTCATTTATGCATGCACTGAAAAGAAATCCATAGGAATATAACAGAACTAGATATTTCCATGTAGTTAATGCAGTACATAGCTGTATTCCACTGTCCTGAAAAGTACAACTTTAGTTTAATAACTATGTAAAAAAAACAAGGACGGCCCCAGGGAAGTGATTGAAAGTGGCTCCAGAGAAAAAGGTGTCTGTCCTTTGCATGGAAGATGAATGTGATGTGTATTGTCTCCAGCAGAAGAAACTTATTGATTACAGCTGCAGCGGGGACGAGATACAAGTCTTATATAGGGAGCAAAATCAATGTGCATGTATACTCCATCCAAGCCTCAGCACAGGTGAACTAAACATGTAGGAGAATGACTGCCTGTATGGTAACGCAGGTTCTCTGTTGATAAAACCCCAGAGGTAAGCTGCTTGCCCGTGTGATAAAGTATTGATTGTGTTTGAAGTTGTTGGCTACAAATGGGCATCTCCTTCCACACAAAGTAATTGGAGAACATTCGCTGGTTTTGCCTTCTCAATGTGAAGAGTTTCTGAAGTGTTTCGGCTAACAGGGATTTTTTTTTTCTTGTTGCTTGTAAGACTTAACATAAAAAAATCTCAGCCATAAACAGAGAGATATATTAGTTAATATAGTTTCATAGTAAAGTATTCTTTAATTGTTATTGTTTATGGTTGATGCAGTATTTACCTGTACATTACAGACCACTCTAACTCCATTAACAGATGCCATGTGGGGTAGTTAGCTTGTGTAAATTCCTGTGGCTGGCATAATCTTTTATATGAAATCATGGATTTTTGTCTATATGTTCCTCCAGTTGACCACAGTGATATTTTATGTATGCATGGATCTTTTCACTGCCTGCACTCTCTGGATACTGCATACCATGGAGCTTTGAGCTTCATAACAAATCTTAAAGCTGTAACTCATCCCTGCTCCCTATATGCTTTTTCTCAGCATAGACTATAAATCTTTGGTTTGTCCTTATTTATGTAGCAGTTTTAACTTGCTTTTCTCTTATTTACTAATTTGAAAAATGCTGAGAGCTGCAGTCTTTAGTCTATGACCCATTATTAAGACTTATTTTTGCTCTATGTTCCCAGAATGTGTCTTGAAATGGGGGGAACAGATATGCTAGATATGCTGCTACTGGGACTTTGGATCTTCTGAAGGGGGATTTGGCTTTAAGGTATCCACTCTTCAGGTATTGTGACCTTGGATATGTTGACATATATTTTAATTGCCATATCTCATATGTCTGTATCTTTGTTGAAATGTACTTCTGCAGATTTTGGTCAGGACACTGTGGAGAACATAATTAAAATCTATCTGGCCTCTCAGGTTAACTGTGTTTTACATAAATGAATAAAATAATATTTTTCTTTTCTGAAGTGGGTCATGTTTTGTTTTCCCCTCTAGCAGACCCAGGTTTCAAAACAAGTCATGTGCTGGTTATCAGCTGTATGACCTGCTGTTGCCCTTTGACCTCTTCCCTGTCAGCTCTTCTGGGGGGTTAGTACGTGTTGCCATAGTAACCGAACAGCTTGTAGGGTTGAGCTGTAGCTGCAGGCACAGGAATGGCAGTAATGCATTCTGCGAGTTCCTGAGTGGATTTACTGCTGTGCTACAGTGTGGATCACTTCAGGGTTATGCTGACCAAACCCTTGACGGTTTGTTGATGATTTCAGCACGAAAACAGAAACAGAACAATATTTCTAACAAGCACAGCTTCATTTGAAGGCTTTGTTTTGTATTATTTTGATAATGTGATACAGAGCGTATTTTAAAATGATTACTTAAGGTAATAAATAAAAGTCCCAGGAACATAACTGATTATGTTGCAGAAACAGGTTAAAGGTCTCGCCACAAAGCAACCAAGACATCCCATTACTACATCCATAAATAATGCACAAACAATGTCGGTATTTGTTTTCAACAATGATGGTACCGTAAAAACCCCAAAGGAGAACCTGCATGAGTCAGAGTTAAAAGAAACTTGAGACATTTTTTGGATGTAAAGTACAACATGTTCCATATCTAACATGTGTTTGGAGTCTAAATGATTCAACAGCAGGCAATAATATGTGATTTGAATCCTTTTTTCTACTGAAAACCATCTGAACCCAAGGATCAACCAGGGCACTAGCAATGAAATACAGATGTTGATGAAAAGACACGCTCAAGTGTACAGGATGAAGAGATATATTGCATTGTGGTCCCTTAAATCCCTTAAATCTGCTCAGCTCCCTCCTCACAGGCACATTCCTGGGGCCCACTGTGACTGTAGTCCTCACACAGATGGACCCTGGGAGCCACCCTGTCAGCACAGAACTGAATCCAGATGGCTGGATCCTGCTGTGAGCGGCTGTGGATGGAGTGAGTAGTGGTCTGTATGACTCAGTTCAAGCCTGACTGGACTCTTTTCACACACGGGGCCCCTGGCGTTCTCTCAGCTTCACCTTGAGGCTCTCAGGTTACAGCCAGGGTGAGGACATTCACACCGGCCCTGTTATTCTTACTAGGCGTTAATCTGGTTGTACAATGAACAGTGTTCAGCCAGACTGTAATATTGATGGCTGGCTTAAGGAGGGAAAGATTTACATCAGCTCATTACTGACCTATTGATTGATTGATTGAGTTTTTACCAAATGTTTTCTCAAGAATCATTCCCATATGTAATGCATGTGCACACACAGGCAGCTGTGCAAGAGCTGAGATGCTTTATTGTTACCATGCTGGCCACCACTGCAGAGGCCCTCAGCACCGTCATCAGCTCCATATCACATTCAGACTCAAATACACTGAATCAGTGTAGTTTATGTCCTTGGTCTGAATGCAGCCGATGCAGAGTGAAAAATACAGACCACTTGGATGTGTTTGAAATCTGCCTCCTGTTTCGGAACACTTTAAGTGCCCCCAGATACCGTCACTTTTGTTATTCTATACTTTTCAGTGAATGGGAGGACTTGAGGGGGGTATTTAGAACAATGCTTTGAGTCTGCAGAGGTACTGAGGGTGAATACAGCAGGAATGTGTCATTTGAGTGTTGGTTCCACTTAAGTTTCTCACCAATTTTTAATAAAGTAAATATCTAAACATCTTAACTTATAAAATTGTGTTAAACTACATCCTTATGTGGAAAACAAAAAATTCAGTTTGTATATCAGCAAATTTATTTGAAGTATCCCCTAAAATGTAGCTAGTGATTTAGACAAGTTGTTAAATTTTATTGTTGTGGTTGAATGAGCTGGGGGTCCATAAAATTCAAAAACTCATCTAAATTTTTAGACATTTGGAAACAATAGTTGGGGTACTTGATTTGGGTTTGTTGCTTAAAAAATTCAGCATCTTTCTATCCAAGAGTGTGTTTGTAGAATCTCTCGGTGCGTGGCAGCAGAACATTTGATTTTGTATTGCTGTTGGTCTTATTGGATTTTAAGTGTGATTGCAAACTTACAACCAAGTACGCTGAGTAAAAGTTACAGACAAAGCTGACATTAGATGATAGCTTCATGTATGAGAAAGAATATGAATTATAGTTTAAGGTGCCTTATGGCTAAGGACTGGCTAGAGTCAATTTTCAGATCCTGTATCAAAATGACTGACGACTTAAAAGGCACCAGTGACAAGCAACTCCCAACCCTCCAGGGGCCACTGTGGTTTAGAGTGAATGGAGGGGAGAGGATTACCTTTGAGCTAAACAGAACATTTGCCTCTTCTTTTGTTCCTGCCTTTGCCTCATCTCTTCATTCGTCAAACATTTTTTCTTGCTTTTTTTTTTATTCTCCTGAGTTTAATGGTGGATGAAACTTATTCATTCGGAGACTCTCCTGAAGTTCTCAGCAGTCTTCAAAAATTGTTTCCATAGTTTATGAAAGCTTCTGAAGACAGATACTGGCAACAAGTTTCTTAAGGGGTTCTCCCTAGGGGGGGCAGGTGGGAACAAAATAGCGAAAAATTCTTCAGAAAGCAGATGAATCTGAAGTAAGAGCTAAAGATGTCCCTAAATCTGTGAAAATGCAAATTGAAAATTCAAAAACATATTAATATTCAAGATGAAAATTTCTGAAAGTTTTAAGAAAGTTTCCTGAAATCTATAATAAAAAATGTTAAAGTTTTGATGAAACTTTTCTTTCTTTCTTTTTTTTTCTTTCCATAGAACAAACTACACACATAATTTCTTTAATAGTCACAGGGCCTTCTTCTGGTCAGTTTTGTTCAAAATTTGCCCAGTTTGACGAAAGTCTTGCTCCGAGCATATCTGTTATTAACTGTCATAGCTAAAGCTATCCTCTCTGAACAGATGTTGTTTTACTTTGCTTTACATTATTCAAACTGATTCATGTTTTACATGTTTTATGACCGTCCCTCCCTGAATAGATGAACATATTTAGTCATCGTCATAAGAAAATATCACAAACACACAGACTTCTGGTGGGTTGCCTTCAGCTGGTTACTCACAAAGAAATGACTGCTGAGATTTTTGTCTTTCTTGTTGCCTGCCTTTGTCACACAGGTCCTTTCATCTCAGTCTGTCCCAGTATGAAGTGTTCCCTTTCACAGCTGTCCATCATCGTCAAGTGAACTCAAACAAGTGACGCTCCTTTGGCGTGTTTTTACTCAGAAAGGAGAATGAGGTGGATGATGGGGGAAGTCCAGGCTTCATTTGAATCCTCATGTTAGTTTACATGGCCTCAAAAGAGTCTTTACCATTCAAGGACACAAGTCTATATCGTTGTTGATCCAGACTCAAGCTGCCCAAGAATCAAATCCAGGGGAACTCACCAGTGCCATGGAGGGTCATTTAAATCTATGGTCTCTAATGGCCACAAGATGCTTTTTGTAACTCTGAGATTTGATTTGAATTTACTAAATTCTGCACCTGATAATCCCACTCAGTATGATGGCCTTTCGAAAGCACTTCATGGTCCAAAAGCATCAAAAGATAGACTTGGAAGATGCAGCATTAGGTTTTAAAAAACAAAAACAGCATTACTGAGAGTGTCATCTCAGCTTTATCAGTGCATTTTTAGATTTACTAGAATTGTGTCTAAAACCAGCCCAGTATCTAGATTTTTACTCCTTGGCTTAAACCACTGCAGTTTGATATTTAGAGGCATAAACACTTCCAAACAACTTTGACATCTTTTTGTTGAAAGTCTTTGTATTTATCCTTTAAAGTGAATATTCCCATGAGGCAGGTGTGGGTTAAAGTGGCAGATTTGTCATGGTTTTCTATGAGACATTTATGGTGATTCTCCCAGATGTTACTGTCAAACTTAAACAAATACAGATCTCAATGCAGAATGACATACGAGTGATAATTCCTCCATATTTCTCACAACATTATGACCAGACATTTAGAGCACTGCTCAACATGTAGACAGCTGTATAGTGTCTCATTCTTGAGTGGTGAGAGGACCTTTGCATGGAAAATCTCCCTGTCATTCTGCAGCTGCTGATTGTCGACTTTCATAGGGTTCAGCTCAACAAACCATTGAATCCAGTCTGTTGACCTTTCACCCTTTCCTTTTCTCACAGCTGTATTCTTTGAACTCTAGATCAGCTTCATCCAATCACAATTCAGCCCCTTCAGACCCACATTTCCCCCTCTGTCTGCAGGAAACTAGCCCATCTGCAACCAAACCCTGTGTCTGGAAGGCACAGTGCTGCAAGGTTTTTAAACATTACTTTCGGCTCATGGGAACCTGAAGCTTTTTTCATCAGCCAAAAGTACTTTAACCATGACCCATTTCAGCCCAGCCAGGCCTGTAGTCGCTCCGTGCCATCTGTGGGCTAAGTGCTCACTGTGTAAGCTCCAGTGTGAGCACATGGTGGGACTAAACAGCTCTTGTCTGCCTGCCATCTGGAAAATAACCGCTCTGTACAAGCCCTGCCAGTAATTACCCTGCAAAATCTGAACAAAGACACGGGAAACACTGTACTGAAGTTTAGATGATGGACACGCACCATGGTAAGTCATAGTTCATTAAAAATGATGAAAAAGTAGTCTTCCGGTTTGGTAAGGCACACCAGAAACACAAATGAAGAGAAAGTTCCGAGCTGGAGCAACGGTGTAGCCGAGTGTATTTCCAGTTCATGTATCCTTGTCGACACTACATGGCTTCATATATTTTCTTCTGATTACATGTATTCAGAATAAGGATGGCAATTTTTGATAAGGCAAGAAGACACACACTTACCCCTGTACAGTAAAAAGAAATCTGCAAACATACAGTTGTTTGGCTTAAAATAAAAACTCTCAAAGAATCCTGACTCTGTCTAAAGTTTTCAAAGTCCAACTTCAAGCATCTTAAAAGCTTTCTAATTAGTGCATGTACAACATGTATTAAAACCACTGTGAAGTTGTGGTTTACTGAGGTTTATGTGCAGGATTATTTACTAGGCAACCTGACAGTGAGGACAATGAACATGTTAATTAGTGAGCTTAAGAAGCACTGATAAGCAGATGCTGCACAAACATAGCTACACGTTTCCCTCTTGTCTCAGTGTTTGTGCTACACTGACGCTATAAGCACAGTAGCAATCACCTTCGGGGGACTTTACTGCCTCAGCCTCACAATTTGAATTCAGAGTTGGTGGCTCTATACCTTTTGTATTTACAGCTTCGTCTTTTGTTCTTTTCTTCTTCTTCTGGGATCTTGTGGCTGTGTCAGACCCCTTTTCTGCTCTTGAACATGCCTTTTTATGCAGTGATTTGGCAGCTCTGCAGAAGTGAACCTGACTAGTCTTGATTAAATGACTCTTTTAAACTTTTTTTTAACAAACTTAACAAACTTCAGCTGTGTCCAAAAATGCAAAAATGCCAAAGAAAAAAAGAAAATCCTCATAACTTTATCAGTTTTCCAGAAAAACACCTTTCTCTTACATATCTTCCATGAATATGTTATACCTGGAACAACTGTAACATATCATCCAAGAACAAATCATTGTGTTTTGATAAATGGTATAATACTGGTTGAGTAATTTTAACGATTGTTGTATCTGCAACAATATTCTCTCTCATGCCACCTTTGATTGCAGAATTATTACACTTGGTTGCAGTGACAGTGACAAACGTGTTTATACATTTTTCTTACCAGGTTCTACATTTGCAAACATTTTTTTTTCCCACCACCATGCCCTGTGCTATCATTGTTACCTGTATTGTGTGTTTTGTATTAAAAAATGAACAACCAAAAATTCATGTATCCATTTATAATGGTTGTGAAGTAAATAGAACTCATTCATGTCAAAATGTCTTCATCTCAAAATAAAAAAGCAAATTATACAGCAACTGTATGCAATCAATACAATATTTTTTAATGAATTTAAGAGTGTTCTTTTTTCATTTTTGAGTTGTATTTGTCTTATTTATCCTATGGTTTAACACTGTTCTCTGTCAAGTGTTGTCCATGTGTATTTTAATGTTTGCAATTGATATATTGTATAGCATCAACTTTGGTGCACGATTAAGAAAAAAACCATAGCAACTAATTGGTTATTTATCAAATGATGACTACACAGACAACTTTAAAGCTTATTATTTTTTGTATGCATGAGTGTGGCAGTTTTGCTTTTTTTTTCCCCTTCTTTTTTCTTTACTGTTTGAATCCAATCAAGGTGACTACACACAAGGGAAAATCAATTCCAGTTATCTAAGTATGCTTTTCTGACTTTGAGAAATTGAGCTTAATTTGATTTCAGTCAGACAAACATATTTACATGAATTTTAAAAGTTCAGTTTCAGTCAAACTAATCCAATGAATAATTTCTTCACCATCTGGGTGACTACTCTTTTGTCAAAAAAAAAATGTTTCTTGATGTGAATTTTTCATAGATAGCTCACTTTCAACATATGAGCCAAGGGTGCTAAAAAATCTGCCTCCCTCAGTTTGAACCGCTGCCTGGATCTGACAAAACATGAAGCTGATTTACATAGTTCATCTTCAAAAATGTCATTTTCAATTAAAGTCTTGTTACAGGCTAATCTGGAAAATGTTACCCTATGTGTTTTGAAAAGTAATGGTTTGCAGCTGGGAGTCAAAAGTAGAAAAAGGGGGACTATGGGAGGTGGGGGTTGGCTGGCAGAGTCCCTTCAGCAAAATGCCATGTTTTAGCTGATGCACAGGAAACAGGCTCTTAACAGCCAGGAAATGAAGTGGCAAGCACAGGCCGGCTCATGTTTCCCCTCCTCTGTGAAGATGGCTCCTGTTAGTGAGGAGACACCAGGGCTCCAGCTTTTGTTCGTGCAGAGTCAACTGTAAACAATGCTGCAGCATTTAAAAAAGACTTCAAGTGCCTGTGATGGCTGAGTGGTTTGCAGCCATGAGGTCTTCAGTTTCTCAGACCTCCAGACCCCCCTCCTTTCATTGAGGGGGTGCTGGGTCAGTGGTCAAAATGTGAAGGAGCTGAAACAGATTTAGAGAGGGGCAAGTCTTCCTTCAGTTAAAACTTTGTCATTTGTTGAAGACTTGAAGACTTGTTGCAGACTAGTTTCATCATCTGTATTAGATAGCTTCTTCTCAAAAACTGAACCTAACCAGGATAGAGACACTCAAAGTTCAGGGGCACTTGTATCTTAGACGCTTTCTTTTGTGAAAGCCATTTCAGTACAAACTCAGGTTAGCACAATTTAAGAATATACATAAATGACTGGCCTCAGTCTGTGCCTCTTCTACAATGAAACTGTGTTGTTAACCTGTTGAATTGAGTTCTCAGTATGATTTCTGTCCTCATTTTGATTCAGCCGGATGAAGCTAAGATAGCTGTCTGTTACCCTCAAATTAACTGGTGCCAATTTAGTGATGAGAAACCTGCTTGTTAGATTCATTTTGGGACATGTTGCACACACAGGCTTTGTGTAGAAAAAGAAGAACCACAGACACACGTGAAAACTCATATTTTAAAGCTATTGTGCACTCCTGAATATTTGTACTCTTGGATATTTGTACATTCTGAATAATGTCATTCTATCAAATATCCCAGGAATAGTGTTTAGTGCAGATGGAGTAAAGGGTTCCAGTTTTGTTCAGCTTATAAAGCTTATAAGATCAGATATTTTAGAGTCAAGAATCTTGTCCCAACACTTTGTTGTCTCATTTCTACAACTAACTCCCTTTTTTCCATAAATCGCATTGAACAGGAGATGAGAAAATGATTTTTAGTGACTGGTAAACAATTATATTATATTAATGCCTTTAATTCCTGGTTGGTGTAAGCTCATATGTGCATGTCCGCAAAATTTGGAATCCATTTTTAAACTTTATTGAGAAAACAGAATCACTTGTAATTTCTTTAAATAAGTAAACATGCATTTCCTTTTCTTTACTTTATTAGGATTGATTGAAAAAAAAAAAAAAAAACAATATCAACTGTTTGTAAGACATGCTCCAATCATAAAAATAAGATGAATGCCTTCTGCAAAGGTCCAACAAAACAGGTGATTATTTTCATAGACTTCAAGGGTGAAAACTGTTGTTACAAGACCTTGAAAGTGTTCAACATGATCATAGTGACACACTGATGAGAACAGCACCTCAGCTGCCCACACTGTGACAAAAAAAAAAAAAAAAGGAAAAAGACAAGCCAAGGCCAAACCTGATTCTCCAGCACACTGACATGAAATTACCCTCAAACCACTAGGAAGTTAACAAATGGTACACAGATGGAGGTATGTAAGGTTTATTCCACAACATATGGATGAACATTGTCTTGTTGTGCAACACAAGTGCTGACTCAAGATTAAGCAGTAAAAAATACACAGAAATTAAGTGCACATTTAAAACTTTGAAGTTTTCTTACATGTGGGACTATTTTGAGTGACTTAAGTTTGTGTTTCAGCTGACCCCAGTTCACAGCACTAGAAAACTTAGTTTCCATGTGGGAACTCAAGCTGCCTTATCCAAACAGGGACAGAGACTGTGATGGCTGTTACCTCCTGCTCTTCATACACTCACTACTGATAAGCACTTTAAAAAGAATCAAAAATAAAAAATTTTTAACTCTATTTTGAGACTGTCATCTCTGGTCAAAAAGAAAACAACTATGGAAGTGGAAGGCCATCATGTGATCTCAACATCCCACAAACTTATGTGTGATTATGAGAGGTATAATCGCTCACTTTGCTTCTTTTTTAAATTTAAGCTTCTACATTTAAATAAAAAGGGAAATACAGAGGTAAATAACTGAATAATATAACTGTTAAATAAATCTAATTAATAGTACAAAAGTCCAGAGGATGAAAGGTGACTGAAGCTTGTGCTGGCAGAGGTTTCTTGTTTTTGTTCACATGGTTTAATGTCAGAGCTGGCTGGATGCCCACAAAAACTCAAACATGCTTTTTCTCCACAGATGCAAAAGACCACCTTAGAGTGAGGGCCCGCCGCACTGACGAGTGATTCATGCTGTTGAGCTGGGGGCTACGTTTATGTCAGTATAAACAATTAAGCTCAGTGTGTGAGTGTGTGTGTGATTTTGGTAGGGATGAACACAGAGAAAAAAGACGAATTGCTGTCTGACTGTGTTGGTATTTGAACTGAGTGTTTATGTTTACAGTGATTTCAATGTTTTTTGAAGGATGATTCAGAATCTGAGGAGCTTTAAGCACTCATGTAGGGCTGGACATGGGATACAAACTGGAAATGGAGCGTTTAGGTGCTGCAATTCAAGCTTAACACTAAAAAAACAGATGAGGTTTTGACAGATAAACAACCTTGGTAAAACAAAACTTTTACCTATGTAACTTTGAATAAGTTTTTAGAGAGAAAAAAACTTGAAAATCATGAATAAATCCAGTTTTAGAGTCAATACACTTGGAAGAGAGGCAAACAAAAAAAGTCTCCCTGGCCTTGTTGAATAATGAAGTGATCGTCTTTCATAAGTTGCCTCGAGTAACTCAGATATATAAATGGAACCTGTTCAGTCTCCTTTGTAGCTTGAGCTTTTATAACATTGATTCTTGTCCAGGGTCGAGGTTTTATGATGACATCCAAAGATGCTCGCAAGATTTCTGAGGCAATGTCTGAAAGAGAGTCAGCCTCCTTGGCGTAACTCTGGTCTTTCTCTTGCTTTGTGTCATATATTGGCTAACTTAGACTCTCCCACTTCCAGCTCTGGTTATTTCCGTCTGTTTCGGGGAGGGGGTTAGAAGTTGAGTGGCAGGGGTCCTGCTCTCTGAAAGTTAGCTGCCCGCTGGAGGGGCTTGTTTTCTATCAGGGGTGAAACACCAGCCCGTCCATCACCCTGACAGAGCTGACAGCCATTCAGCCAAACCAGAGGAGCTCCTGCCAACAATCAAAGGGCTGTTTCATTGAAGGAATCCAGTTGGCCTGTCATGGGGGGGCGTTCCCAGCCGTCAGCGGAACAGGGGGATCCCAGAGTACAACCCCTTGCCTCTTTTTTTAAATGAAAGTCTCTGGTCAAATCCATGGCACTGGTCAAGAGCACATGCTCCTCCCCCCACCTCTCTTCCTCTCTCTTTCTCTCTCCCTCTCTCTGTCTCTCTGATCCATCATAAATCTTTTATCGTCTATTTTATCTGCTGTCAGTAGTGCAGTCCAAGTATTTTAAGGGTTATACATAACTTTTTTTTTTCTTTTTTACACATATGGCTTTTTAAAAAGTTTCTCATTCAGCCTTGTTGCTGTATTCTCCTTTAAAGACATTGCTGTTCACTTTCTCCTTGACACATAAGGAGCTTGTATTTGCCACATGGGGGAGACAAAACTAAATAAAAGTGTTGAGGAGTGCATGACTGAAAATATTGTGGTCAAAGTAAGTTAGCTGAATGATAATGACTCGGATCAAAATCCGAATGTCTTGACTGCCAACTGATATTGTAGCTGACATTTTCTATAAGAATAAACTGCTGAGTAAAAAACAAAACAAAGCTCCCTGTTAAAGTTTCTATAGAGCTGAAGAGAATTTTTTTAAAAGTCAATTAAAAGCCAAATCAAGTAAGAAAAGCAGTGACTACTCCCCAGACTTAATTTCTGTCATAGATCAATCTTATATTTGGATATCTTATTTAAAAAACATACTGGCTTTGATTATATGAGTTAAAATGGTCTGTAATTAGAGTTTTTAAATTCCATTTCTAATCAGATGTGCATGGCTGTGAGAAATCTGGTTGCTTCTGCTCTTGTTGCTTGTTTGCATAAAAAACACTCATAATCTCAGTGCCCTGAATTTGCACCTTCGATGAGTGTGATGTAGTGATATCATTTTTTTTTTTTTTGCACGACTTAAAAGGAGAACCAAACTACTGTGTCAGTCACCTCCCTGTATTTGTAGGTTTGCATTACTTTCATCCTATCCAGTGATCTATAATCCTTCAAGTACCTACAGAACAAATATCAACAAGCTGCAGTGTAGTATCAGACTAAAGGGCTTTCTGATGCTTCACTGATTCTACTATTACATAACCAGCAAACCGCCTGCATGAATCAATTATTCATCTCCATGTCATAACACTGAAGAAGCTTTGATTGTGACAGACAGCCAGACGGGCAGCACACTAAATGGCAAAGTGAAAACACGCACCAATCTCCATAGGCTTCTTTATGTGACCAATAGGGCAGATCACCTTTAATAAAGACCTGTTTCTCTGCAGCACCCTTGACGTTAAAAACAGCCTCTAGCTGTTTGTGAGTCAACACAGACCTATTATACACAACTAAGTGAATGCCTTTAAGCCTTCTGACATGGGATTTAAAATGAGTTGTGGTCAGTCCAGGTCAAACACAGGAGCAGAAATATTTTTTTTATCCTGTCTAAATGCTTGTAGTCATGTTTCAACTCTCATGAGCTTTACCGAGACAGTTGGCTAGAGGGTGAAGCTAGAAAACTCCAAGCCCACTCCAAGCGTATCCAACTACAATGACTGAGAGAGAAAGGGGAAGAGAGAGGGAACTGAATGTTATCTCTCCTTTTCTGATTGTGTTTGATCAGTAAACTTGTGTACCTGCATATATTATGATTCCATCTTATGTTCATCTTTATTCATATCAGGAAATGCTTTCAGGAGCTCCCTAGGGCTTTCCAAATCGGTGCTTAATTCACACAGGCACCAGCTGAGCAGCGAGCAGGGGCAAAGAGCAGGGGTGAAGATGTACACAGAGGGAAAGGTAAATAGCAGGAGATATGTGCTATTTCCACAGTCATGTCTGTTGAATCTGCTTTGTCATAAAACAATTGCTAAAACTTAAGTTATTTTTATTTGTTTTCAGTCTGAGCTGAAGAAAGTATTCATGCATGGATGCTTTTAGTGGTGGTTCTAATTGGGAGATGACGGTTTTTTATTCATTCTTCAAGCAACTACTTTTTTTCCATTTATCTATTTTTAATGGGGAAAATAACTGCGCTTATGTTGAACACAACACTGTGCACTTGTTTTCTGCACTCCTCATAATAGAATTTTGTTTTCCTGTTCAAGGTTGTTTTCTATTATTTCTTCTGTTAAAAATATCTCACTTCAAAGACCCCCTTATGGCTCTTTCAATCATGCTTCCTTAACCCTGCTGCTACTGATGGCATTGACTGACTTTTGTGGTTATTCTCAAGGTTGAACAGAACAGTATGTCTTGATTTAACTGTCAGGATAATTAAACTTGAGCATCTGTTTTGCACAACTTACCTCATGACCTGAAGTCAGTGAAAGAATGAAATAATGGTAAGCTGTAAATGTTCAAAGGATTGTTTAAAGTGACTCAGGGGTTAAAGAACAGCTCTCTTCTTGTCTGTGGTAAATCATGAGGGTAAAACTCACCATACTTTATAACAACAGTGTGTCCTTCGCTTCTTTTGTACGTTGTCTGTTGAATCCAGCTCTGCGAAAACACCATCTGGGGCCCAGTGATTGTGCTGATGTTAATTCCTGCAGTCACTATAGCTATACTGAGAGCCCCCTGCTAACATTGGTTTATAATCTGGCATAATAAGCTCAAAACTATTGGATCTAAGTACAGATTTGATTTTAACAAAACAGACAAAAATGCATAAAAAAAGCATAGGAAGCATGTCCATCACATAGTGCAAAGCAAGAAATTCTGCAGTTACTCATTAGTTTACTCTTACAGATGTCTGCTAAAGAGCACTTTTTTATTCAACAATTCAATTAAAGTTTGCCATTTTTATACACACTTAAGTTTCCTAACTTTGTACAACTTCTGGCTTCTAATACTCACTGATTAAAAATGATTATTGAAGTGGTCACAATGGAGCCCACCTTCTAAAAGAAAATCAAAATACAGCTCATTAAAATGTTTCAGGGTTGCATCTTAAAAGATATATGCATGATGAAATAATCAGTCGTGAGGCCAACACAGTTATTACTGGTACATTACCATTAGTATTGAGAGAATGTATTAATATTTATGGTCTGCTTCACACATTACATTTGCAAGGCTTTGCTTGGCACGACCCTGTATTTTAAAATGGATATAGGACGTTTCCGTCACGGTTAGAAAGTGGCTGTTTTAAGCGATCTCATTTCTGTGATGACATTTACACACACAGTGTTAAATACCTTTTGTGTATTTAACTCATTTGGGAAGTTATCACACGGTTTAGATCAGAGACATGGCTCAGAATCCAAAAAAGGTGTATGTATGTCTTCTAAATTATTGAACATCACAGAGTCTTCCGGGGAAATTTGTTGTTCACCCAGTTATTTAGTGCATCAGTTTGTCGTTGTGTACACAGATTACAGTATGTCAGGCTGAAAAGGACTGATGGGCATTGTTGCCTGTATGTGAGGGAGATAAATCATAAAACAGGAGAGAAGAAAAATAGAAAAAGAGAGACAGATCAAAGACTGTGGAAGAGCAAGGCCCTGTATCAAAAATGAGGTTGGAAGGCTCTCCCTCCTCTCTCCATCCTGCTCTCCCCTGATCATTCACCCTGAGGAGAATAAACTCAATCCATGATAAATTATAGATTAAGGCCCAGCTCTAGCTTTGGCTTGGCAGCTGGCGGGCTGCACGCGTATCAAGCTGCACTGAGTTTTACACACCACTGTTGCTACTGTTGCCTCACCTCGGTGCCTTATTAAACTCAACATCAAACACTCCCCACAGATATATAAAATGATTTAAAAGAGACTGTATGAATATGTAAAGATTGTTTCCACAATGAGCCCACAGAATGAGGCTCCAGCTAGCTTTTTGTTGGACTGTCTCATGGAGGAGTTGGTGAGCAGCATTACCTTGAGGACTCAGGATGTTTTTTCAGCAGGTAATCTTTTATTCACATTGACATTTGTTCTGTCTTCATAAAGACATGATTAGAGATGATTTGGATGTTCACATTTTAATGACTATTGTCTAATTGAAAGGATTTTGTTCTTTTGGTCAGTGCTCAGTTCTACTCTAAGCAGACAGTCAAATTCTCAGGAATTCAGACAGAGCACTCCCCCCATTCATTAACATCTGAGAACATTTGCAGGCAAAGTTGACTATATGTCTTCATTTGTGAATCATTTTTTTACACAGTTAAGAAATGTTTCTTCTTTAAGAGTTTAACAATTGTTTCCCTTGACACTTATCCCTTTATAGATAACCCATCTGAATCTGTGTACCATCCAAGAGCCATTAAATTGCATTGATATGAATGAAATACTGTAATCTTCATTGTCAGGTGACCTTAGACAGACAGGAGATAGACGGCACTCTGAAACCTAGTACCTTGAGAACCTGAGCCTTCTCCTTTTCCTTACGGTACAATCATTTCTGTGTTCACTCTCTTATTAAAGTCATTTATATTTTCATTCATTTGATCTTTTAAGAGTCTTGAATCTTTTACCATGTACCACACCACTTTGGATTGGGGTCTATATCCTTGTTGTATCAGAATGAGTGTCTGGTCCATAATATATGATATGTAACAGTTACTGTAATTGTGAACTCTAAATTAGTTTTGGTATTTGTAAATAAATGTATAAATCAGAAATTGAGACAACCAACCAGTTTCCATGCCACAGCATTTTAATCATGAAACAGCTGGAGAATGATTCAGCCTCTTTGATTTCAAATGACTTGCTTCTCTGACAATGTATTTTTAGCAGTCAGTGTATAAATAGAAGAAAAATGCCAATTCTACAATAGCTCTTGCACAAATATAGAGGTCAGTGTATGAAAATAATTAAAGTATAATTTTGGTACAGTCTGTGATCGAAAATAGAAATCTTTATCTGTTCTCAACAACAAAGTGCAGAAACTATATTGTTACAGAACAAAACTTAAATATTTCTTTTACGGTAAATCCATGCAAAGCAAATCTCATTGGGCAGTCAAAGGCATCAAGATAATGTCCAATGTTGACATCAAACATGGCACATGCACTTCCAACATCTTAAACATGCTGAACCAGACTGAACAACCAAAAATCTTATAAACACCTACAAATATAAAGAAATTGACACTTATACACATATTCTGCTTCAAGGGGTGCTCAGAGCAGAGAAGGCAAAGCTCAGCTTTTGCCGGTTTTCCCCAGTTTCATGGGCTTTTTAAAAAGCTAATATAAGAGTGAGGAGTTATCAGTCTGTTTGTCTGAACATAGCCTATTTCAGTCTTGGTAAAATAAGGAACAATGTTCATTTGTATAAATTATTCAAAAATGGGCAACAAGAAAAAAACAACAACAAAAAAACAACTTTTAAGTCACTTTTTCGACCCCAAAGTCATTGTGATTTGGGATTTACACAACAACAACACAAACACACACACACACACACACACACACACTTGCATGTCTTTTATACGTCGTTAAGACAATATTTCGTAAATTCTTTGTGGGGACTATCATTTCCAGTGAAGCTTGAATGGCTCAAGAAATAAATCTACAATAAGAAAGAAGAAGAGGGATGAAATATCATAAAACACTGAGGGCAAAGAAGTTCACCCACAAGACTTTACCCATGAGAACTTAACAGAATGTCCCCACACACAAGAACGTTGTCTGACAATGGTTCTCACAAGTATACAAAGACATACACACACACACACACACACACACACACACACACACACACACACACACACACACACACACACACACACACACACACACACACACATAAGGCCTGAGGAGTGAAATTGAATCATTGACCTTCCTCAAAAAATCAATACTCTAGCATTTGGCCTTTTACACTTCTCCACCTTGTTTCTTACTCAGAAACACAGGCTTTTCTATAGATGTGGCAATAAAGATGTGTATTACTGATATGATACACATGCATGCAATACATGGCCTGAGGCTGACTTAACTTACGAACATTAAAAAATAATGTCATGCAACCATAGGTTTGCAACTGAGGTAATACAGCCTGCATGTAAAGATGTAGAGAAACATTCAGGAACGAGACCATGCTCCGGTTTACATTCATTATGGCAATTATTGTGACAGGGAGAAATCACAGTGACTCTTTTAAGTGTTGTAAAGACTTATATTGTGGTTCAGAGGCAGTTCCAAACTAAATATTACAGAAATAATTTGCCCTCTTTGGTGTCATCAGTCATGTCTCATTCTTTAGATAGCTAGCTCGATAGACAGATACTTGGAACTGCCCTTTGAATATAGCTTGTTGTACAGGAATTCTTCACCATCCTGAGTTTAACACAGTGACACTTGCAAGAAGCAATGTGCCCAGCAGAGAAAACTGCATTGGTGTAGTGCATTTGTCTGACAACCACAGGGATGAGAAGAATCCCGTGTCAGCTACACATTGAGTCAACAACTCAACACTGAGCTTACTTCATTTCTGTCCAGCAGACGATAAACTGAGAGATGGTGCTTCTGCATCATCACAGGAAGTTTTGTTTACTCTGTACCTCTGATCCTGACTGCACTTAGACCCAAACTTGGTGTTTTCAATTGGCGCCAAAGTACCTGTAAAGTCATGTAGTTCATTAGGTTCTTGGTCTGTGTGGGGCTCAGGAGTCTGATCTGATTCAGGGCACAGAGCGGACACCGAGGCTCTGCGTGTTTCCTGATATGATGAGCACAGAGCCTGCCAATTTTTTCTGTTGGCATCAATCCCATCCACCATTGGCTGCAACTTCCTGTTAAGCTTCAACAGTACCTGGGAACCACCCAAAAGAATACAGTTGACATTCATTATTTTTTTTTTGGTTTTAGTCACAATGAGAGAAGGTTTAATTTAATTTAATGTCTAACCTGATAAAGGGGTTTGCATATCCCATCTATCCACTCCATCTGTAAAGCAGGAAGTTCGTCTTTGCGATTGCGGTCAAATATGGCCTACAGAGAGGTGATAATCATCTGTCATACATGACTGAGATAATTCTTCATAATCATCAAGTAAACAGAATTTCACAATAATGATGTGGTGAGAGTGTATGATAAGTTGTGATGAAAATTGCAAACATACAGCTGGGGTCAACTTGAGCTCGGATCTTTCTCTGTCACCTTGTTCAAAGAACTCACTCGTCACCAGCTCTGCAACCTTTTGACATATATATCAACAATCATTATTCCATTATTTTTCTCAGACATGATTTAACATTTTAAGCAGTTTAATTGAACGTAGACTGACAACTTGAGGTTACGCAAACTTTCTAGGGGTCAATCAATCCAAATCTACTATTGGTGATTAAGAATAAAAATTCATTTCTGAGATAGCGTGAGTCTCTTTGTGCCCAGAAACTATATGTCATTAAATGGGTAAAAATGCCAGAAGAGTCCATTTTTTTTCAACACTTTCCACATATATTTTTTATGTCTTGAATATGTGTAAGAAACATGATACAAACCTGTTTGGAAATCTCCCAAGGCCGAGTGACGGCACCAAGATCACATGCTGTCATCAGCATGGACCTGTAAATGACATCAATCCAAGTTCAACTCTTGCAACTTCTTTTGCATATCAAAGTTGGAGATATGTGGGCACAAAAAAGTTTTTGTTAAGCAGAAAAGTAAAAACCTGAGAACTTCTCTGTGTCCTTCATCTGTCCAGCTGAATTCTCCAGAGAGAACACACTCAAAGAACTTGGTTCTGCGCCTTTCAGTGCAAAGAGACAAGCAAGGACACAGCAAATGTTAAAAGGCTAAGGAATACATGCCACTGCAGTTTTCATCACCTTGACATTTCATCTTAATAAAGAGACCTAAATGGTTAATCTTCCGATTTCACAGAAGAATTTATGGTATTGTGTGTTATAATCTGTTTCACTTGCCATGGACAATGATCAATCAGCTTTAAAAGGCAACTTACTCAAAGTGCAAAGTAAGGTCTGTGGAGAGGATAGCCTGTTTCAATAGTTGCATCATGTTGCTGTACTCCTTAGAGCAAAGGTTTGCAAAAATATTGTGACCCTGTTAGAAAGAAATAGCATTTAGTGGGCACACACAGCAAAGCAGGCAAGGATGAATAACAGTGGCTAAAATGTCTTTTTACAGCCAACGCATTGGTAAAGCCATCGCTCACTGTCAAATGAAGCTCCCACCATCACTGTTAATTAGCGATGTATATAGACTTTCTCTGTCCTCTGTTAAAAGAAATCAATACAGAAAACAGTCTCTAATGATCAAAATGATCTACACCTGAGAAAAAGCAGCCTCCCAAAGTCACTATTGGTCACTGCTGCAACTGACTCACCACCAGTTTGTGCTTAGCTTGTCCTTAAGTGAAAACTACATAATAGTTGTTTCTTGTCGACCAGAGCTTGAAAACACAGGCTTCAATTGTTTTCATATATAATGCTTAAATTTCTTTAAATAAAGATTATACATATTGTTTTGGAGGACTGTGTGTTTTACATTAGCCCATAATGCCTCATTTCCATTTATTTATATATGGGGACAAGTCAACCGGAAATCCAAATATTCTTATGTAAATCTCTGCAATATCCAACATGCTTGCAAAACTCCTTCCCTCTGTTAAAAAAAAAAAACAAAACAGAAAAACAAACAAACAAACAAAAAAACTTTACTTTCACTTAGTTTATTAGGTGGCTAACAGGTCAAGAGGCTATTATTTTTTATTTAGTTACCTAAGTTGATTGTCAAGTGAGTTTCAAGAACTTGTTTATGGTCAGGGTTAGGGTTGTGAATTTCAGAATGTTGCATATTGTTGTTGCCAATATGTGGTTGCATTTTATATAGATTCAGATTATCCCTTTAGTTTGAAACTCAGTCAGATTTATAAATCAACAGACAAAAATAGCCCCACCTCGATAGCTACATGTAGGTTTACCTATAAAGAAATGAAATATCTTGCATTGGACACTTGTGGTATCACCCATTTATTTACAGATCTACCGACACCATGCACATGAGGTGTGTATGGTTTTTCATAGAACCATTCAAATTTCATAAAAAGTAAAAACAGTATGTATAAATCAACTCAGGTTAAAGTCCTTCTATAGAGAGAACAAGCTTAGATTAATACTGATGTCTCTTTATAACCGTTAAAAGCACATCAAACCATCAGAGTTAAGGTTGACCCTTAAAACTTCTGCAAGAGCTGGAAGATCTTTTGTCAAGGATGGTAAACCATTGTATGCACTGAGAGTGAAACTTAGTCAAATTACAATATTTCATAAACCTTAGAATGGCTTGTTCTTTACATTCATGAGAAGTTTTGGTCTGACCTCACTTTGTAGGATCATGACTGCGTGGTTGAAGTGATGATGCTCCAAGGTGGCTGACGTCCCATAAAGAAGAGCCAGAGCAGAACCTGTCCTGAAAGAAAACACAGAGCATTCAGACAGTTTTGCACATGAAACACCTGCACTAAAAATACAGATCCAGGTCACTTACTTGGCTTGAAATGCATTGTTGGTGCCTCGGTGGTCCAAGTCATGACAAAGACAGCCTACCATCAGTGCAAGTATCTCAGCCTCCGACAAGGCATCTTGGAAACTGGCTGTCTGACAGAAGCAACGCAGTTGTCACAAACCTACACATCAACTTAGGAGAAGTCAATTACAATGTTTACTCTCCATTAATGAGTCTTATACCTATTGACATGCTGCCCCTTTTTAGGACAGGATAAATAATATTGCGTATAAAGGAAATAGGATGGTATGGAAAAAATGTGGTGTCATATGGTATGGTATATGGTATATGGTAAGGGATATGATAGCACAGGATGAGACAGAGCAGGATAGGACAGGATAGCATAGGATAGGGAGGTTGTTGAAAATGAATGGGGCTGTAATGGTACAGGCTGAGACTGTATGTATGATAGGACAGGACATAATAGCCTGGCTGGGCCATCCAGTTGCGTGAATCGCTTGCCGTTCCTTCCCGGCAAGTGATTCGCGCAACTGGATGGCCCAGCCAGGCTAAGGACATAATGGGATGTGACTGGATCAAATTACATTGGCTGGGATAAGATAGGATAAACGGCATTGAATGGGATGGGATGGGAATGGATGGGTAGGGTTGGCACAGTATGGTATGGGATGAAAATGCATAAATTGGCATAGCACAGAGTAGGATGGGATAAGATGGAGTGGAGTGGAACAGGAGTGGATGGAGTAACATGGGTTGGGTTAGTGTTTGAGATAGAATTTTATAATGCAAGAAGGAATACAAAGAAGGATAAAATAGGGTAAGATAAGACTAAGTATTTTCCCACTGGATCAATTTGGATAGGATTAGTAGATTTGTAATGGTGAAGTATGGGTTGATATAAGATATGATAGATAAGACAGGATAGGATGAGGTGGGTTTGGTTGGGATGGAACAGAGGGGTGGTGGGGAGGTTGAATTGGATGGAATAGGACATGGGTGAATATGAGGTGATGGGATTGGATGAAAAAGATAGTGTGGATAGGGTGGCACAGGGTAACATGGGTTTGGATCAGATAGGATTGGACAAGACAGGACTGGAGTAGATAGAATGAGTAGAATGGAACAGGTTACAATAGTACTGGAGACGAGAGGATGATATAACATGGGAAGGATGTTTTTTTATTTCGAAGGGGATCTGATCATATATTATCCGGCTAAACTGTGAGTCCACAATTCTCTTTGATTCTTCACTTTAAGATGTCTCCTGTAATAAGCTAAAATAAGATCAGATAAGAAGAACTTTGCTGATCCCTAAAGGAAAATTTAATGAGACTTAATATTCTTTTAATATTTTTCCTGTGAACTTTCCACCTATTGTTCTTTTGGTGACTGACTACCTGACACAGTGAAAGTGACTAACTGATCTGACTGGCTTATACAAAACATCAAAAATATTTTTACCCTGATTGTAGATCTCGATTAGAATGTTGTGATATATTTTTTCAAAGAGTTACACATTGTGAGTCGAAACATAAATGGCACTGACTGATGTTATGGTAAAAGACACCTGTTTCAGATTATGCACATAGGTATGGCTTGACTTGTTATAGTTTGAAACTTACTGTAATCATCACAAACATGCACTGTGAAACATTGAAGGCATGCCTCCAGTTATGATAGGCCACTGTCCGGTAGTTCTTCCTCACAGTCAAAAGCCAGCGGCACAAAACCTGCCAGAAAATAGGAACACATGTTGTAATACTGTGGGCCATTTGGCTTAAAAAGGTATTACAGGTTGGCCTCACCTCATAGTCAATTTTAAACTTCTGGACAACTCCAAGTTCAAGAAACATCCGCAGTGATGCAGTGATCATGGCATCATTGTCCAAAGAGAAGTCATTGAAGTGAAACTCGTCTATTCCCAACTCACTGCTCAAGGGGATCTTTGCAGCCTTAGGAGAAGAGAACAGATTGGTTAATCAAACAGTGTCATCAGGGAAGAAGGCAGAGTAAGAGATACTGTTTCAGACTGCAGATATCTCTCTCAGACACTTCAGTTAACAACAGCTGAATAAAGTTGGCGATTGCCTGCATATATGCATTTTGTTTTCTAAAGGAATACCTTGAGTCTGTCAACTTCCACCTTGGAGCAGGTAGCATGGTAGGACAACATCTGAAAAAAATTAAAGTTGGACAAAGAAACTTACTTTCACGCCAATGAAATTCTACAGGGAAGAAAACTCTTGAGAAAGTAAGACCACTAGTCGGGGGAAACTACCTTCCGGTGCTGCAGAGGATAATCAGTATGTTGACAGAGTTTTTGTGCAATTTATCTTCTCATCTTAGTTATGCAATCAAGATCAAAGAAATCATGCCTCCTCTTTTAGAAACTGACTATTCAGTGTATTTTGGGTGTCTATCAGGTATTAAAGACAAACACCAAAGAGATAGTGATGGAAATAAAAGTGTGTGCTGCTTTTGATTAAGGGACAATAGACTGGCTATTTACTGTGCATTATTGAAAGCAGCTGAAATATAAATGTTTGGGAAGAAGAGCAGTGTTTTATAAGGATAATGTGATGGCTCAGGTCAGATAATGGGCACTGCAGTCAGGCAGAGCACATATACAGACACCTATGAACATGAAGAGTTTCAATTAAGACCTGATTAACCATTGATGCCACTTTACTCTTCAGTTACTTCTGAATGAATTAGTTTTTAAAAACATTGAAACTATATTTTACTTTTTAATTCTGCTTTTATTTTATCCATTGTTTTAATTATTTTTTGATTGTTTTTTATGTCTAGTTGTTTTGTCTATTTATGTTCAGCTGTGGTTGTTTTAAAGTGCTTAACAAGTTGAGTTGAGAATGAGAACTAAATAGATGAGTCTTAACTACCTGTGTTAAGGTCTTAAATAGTCTCTGATTTCCTCAAGCTCTCATAAGCAACTTTTGGTTTGCATTGATTTTGGTTCCCCCCTGTGGACAAAGTAGTACCTCTAAGCTATTCCCTGATATTTACATTTTTCTGTATGTGTTACTAAGACAAGTGATTTCCTCTTTTGACACCCAACAGGGGGTTCAGGAATCAATAATCACTTACTGATATCAGTCTGTTTCTTGGTAAAAACCAGGTAAAAACTCCTTACGTGACTTTTAATTTTTAAAGCTAATTTGGACCCTTTTGTAATGAACTCTGGTAATGGATGTACTTGAGTATGACACACTCATGGTAGGCTCATGAGCTGTCTTAATGATGCAAAAAAAGGCAAGACTAAAAAAGTCATGCATCTAAGTCAATCAATTTAAAGCTGCTGTGAGGGCACTGTGATTGGATTTCAGAAATAGACACACTGCTGACAATCTTTTGTTACATTTGCTATTACAAAGACTTTTAATGGCTAGAGATAAGTAGATCTGCTTTGTCCACAGGGGGCGCCAAAGTCAACAAAAACCTCTAATTCCAAACACAAGCTTTAAATGTGCAGGAGCTTCAAATATCTCATGTTTAAAAATTAGAGGGTAAATATAAATTAAATTGCTGTGCTTACATCCAGAGCTACAGACTGCTTGGCCCAGGTCTTCTTTACTTGATTGTACATCATGGTGTTGTTAATTCCCAGACCACAGAATATCACAAATGCCTGTGAACAACAACAACAAAAAAAAAATAAATAAAAAATTAAATCAAATCAATCCAGTTTGACTTAAATATATATAACAGGGCAAAAATACTATAAAACTTTTGTTGGCTCATTGCAGTCACAGGTGAAAGAAGCCTACCTCAAACAGTCGCTGATCTGCATCACTGAAGGTCTTCCGGTCTAAGCGATTCAGGATTTGTGCAACACCTAAAAAAACAAAGAAACAAAAAATAAATAAAAAACCATGCAAATGTTACTCACAGTTATTTCACTGCTGTTTTCTCAGTATGGACAGATTGATAGTGAAAAGTAGATTTACCTATAATCTGATGAGTTCGATTCCAGATCGGGACACATAACACTGATCGGATGTGAAAGCCAGAGGCTTGATCTGCCTGCCAAGAGAAGAGATGGTCACAATAATGCATCTTTGTTCATATATCTTACATTGTAAAAATCTGCATGTGGCCTCTATTTCTCATTGAAGGGAAAATTATAATTATTTCACAAATGACAACCTTGATATTTACTGATGTTTGTGGTATATGAATGTGATCCTGCATTTTTGTGAGCTCTGATAGGTACAGTACAACAGGGAGACCACTGTGTCCTCACCTCAGCGTCAAAGCGTGGGTCCTGACACACATCGCTGATGTTAACAGGCAGTCCTGTGGAAGCCACCAGCTCAGCAATGCTGTTATTGATCAGCCAATCAGAACACGATAGCTTCTCCATGCTGATGTGACCAATAACAAAATGAGGGAAGAGCGGTCAGAATCTGGCACAACACCACAGCAGTTAATTCTCCCCCCACATTGAATATACATTTATTCAGTCTGTCTGAAAGTGGCTCTCTCACCCAATGTCTCGGTCCATGTTGCACAAGGGGGACATGAGCTCAAATGTCTTGGAGAACTTGACAACCTTTTGAAAAAAACATGCATCCATCACAACCAACTTTACCTTAAAAAATACAGATAATGGATATTTGTGCTCAAAAATCTACATGGCTTAATTGGGAAACCGATTATTACAAGAAACACTTTAAGAGCCTAAGGTCTCACTGGTGAGTCGATATCTTCAAGGAGAAGCACGGAGCACCGTTCACACTGCAGGAGTGTCAGCGCTCGCTGCATGATCTTCCTCACAATCTTCTCCAGGTCAGTCTGCTCCTCAAACAGGTCATTAACCACCTCCAGCAGAGCCTGTTTCAGTTGTGATTGACAAACTGTCATGTTGTTTTTGAAGGATGAAGTTTTTTAGGCGCATAATTGTGACAAACTGAATTTATACTGCAGCTTAAATTTTCAGAGGCAATAAAATGACCAAAATGTTTTGGCCCATGCACAGTTCACATTTCCTTACCCGACTCCTCTCATACTCCTTGCGAGACTCTGAAAACAGTTTGGCATTGGAAATAGATATCCCACAGAATGGTAGATACATCTGCAGGACCTGCATAAAGAAACAAGAAGTGTGTATGCTCTTGTAAGGCTTTAAACTGGGTGTAAGAAATAGTTATATGTGGGGGCAGCAAGTCATAATGAGGTTTACTACTTTTTCTGCACATATTCCTCTCAGATTAATTGTCCGTTAATGAAGTATTGATTTAGAGATAAAAAGGCATTTAGTGAGACATCAGGGACCTTAAATGTCTGAGTAAGCTGACGGATCAAGATGTTTTACTTTCTATTTTTAGAGTCTTTGTTGTTTAAAAGTAGTTGAAGGCAAAGCTTTCCTCAAACTTTTTTTAGAATTTACACAGTGGAGCTGTCATGAAAAAAACCTGAAGCCTCTCCAAACTCAAAACTTTGTTTGAAGGGTATTTCTTTGATTGAACGGTCAGAGAACATACTGTACGCAATAAATAGAAGTAATTTCCCCAAACACTACTCTGCCACCTTGTGGATGAACAGATGAAACTCAGTGAACTTACAGGAAAACAAAGATGAATCAACTCTTTGATGATTTACTTCGGCCCAGCATCTCTCAGTTTTTGGTTTTCTTATGTTATTTCCATAATTTTTTAAGAGTGAGTGAATTGACCTCTTTTTATTTTTATTGCCTGATAGCAAACTCAAATAAGAAGCCATCGTTTTTAACATTTGTGGGGTGTACACTGTGCTATCTTTCTCAACAACTTTTAAGTTAAATAAAGCTGAAACATGCAGATCATAGCAGACACATTGCAAGTCTGCAAAAGAAGCAATTGAAAATGCTTCCTCCCCCAAAGTGTGTCCTATCAGTATGCAAACTCATTGCATAGGCAGACATATTAAAGGCTGCATGTCAGTGAGAAAGGTTGATCTCCTTCATTCCTCTGCTAAAGGAATACTTTGCCCCTATAGCCAGCCATTAAAAATGAATCTTTATGGCTTGAGGGCCTCTGCAATATGTGTGTTTGTGATTGTGTTTGGGGGTATGTAGGATACACAATGTTCCACAAGAATCTTATTTGAATTTTATGTCTGAAACGTCAAATAAAGTGCAAAAATACAGATAAAGTTGAAGAGAGAATTAAACATTAAGAATGTGAAATGATCCAGGTAGCATGTATCTAATGAATGTTTCCTACATCTGAGAGACATAATCGAGTCTCACCTTCTCATCATCCTCAGTGAAGGGTGTGCCCATGGGATTCTTGTTGATTGCTTGTACCACACCAACTACTTCTCCATCACTGTTACAGATAGCCATGCACAGGATTGACTGAGTCTTGTAGCCCGTTAACTTGTCGATTTCATCACTGAAGCGGTGATCCTGCAGAATAATTGAAACACATATGTCGGGCATGCATAATATCTCACATAAACACACACATTTACACTGAGTTGTGCGCAGGAAATACTAGTTTGAACGCATTCATTGCATCATTTTTACGCACGCGTCACATTCAATAAGAAGAAGCCCCAGAATGGCTGGGAACTACTCCTACCTTTTTCTCTATAATCAGAAAAAATCTCACTCACACACATTTATTCTATTGCAGTGACAAGCCTCGAGGGATCAGCATCGTCATGTTGCCTTTTAGCCTCCGAAGCAGCCTAGGGCCATGATATAATGATGTGGAGGGCAACTGGTAGCGTGTGTAAATGGAAATCTGGTTTGTGAGGAGTCACGGAAGTTGTTATGCGTGCTTAACAGTACTTTTCTCTGACTACCGTTGGTAAAGAGTATTTTTGGACATGTATAAGATAATTACCAAGAGTCGGTCCTTGATTTCTTCTATATAAACGACCTTACAATGAATTTCAGAAACAATAATTAAAAAGTAGATTGTGCTCTGTTCCTTGACTCCCAGGATGTGACCCTCTCCCCCGATCAGCCATAACTTACATCTGTAATCATGGCTTTACTTACTTTTGAAGCAATATATGTGTTTGTATGATTATCAACAAATACAATCACATCTACCTCATATGCGTTTGAGATGTTTACAGTTTCCCCATGCTCTGCCACATATCCGATGATGCCTTTCCCCCACGGAACCTGCACCTCATTGGAGTTCAGGGTACTGGAGGATGGTCTGACAGTAGTACCCGAGTGCACATCAAAGAACTTGGACACCAGGGTCCTCTTATGAGCAGGTCCCTCCACGAGGAAAAGCGAACACCTGTCTGCATCCACCAGGATGCACACGTTGATCAGGATCTTGTAACTGAGGTTCGTCAGGTCTAAATCATTGGAGATATCCTTCACGAGCTCCAGGAAAAACTCTCTCTCGTTAGTTTCTTTGAGTCTGTACTTGTAGTCAATGGCGCTGGATGCATACTGGGGCACGTTGACCCTGGACTCCAGCAGCGCGCTCAGGATGTGCGCGGTTGTCGGAGGAAGGGAGCTGGCTTTACGCAGGAGCGCACGGCGCCTCATGCTGGACTGGGAGTCATGCTCGCTCAGGCTTACATGCTCATCGTAGGTCCGATGTGTGGTGGTGGCTTTGGAGCGGGCAAAGTTCCGTCGCAGCTCCATGTGAGACGATCTGCGCCGGAGCCCGTCCGGGTTGGTCGGCCAGAGCGGATCCCTGGCTGCGCCTCGCTTCTCCTCGGCTGTGGAAACTTTGGACGGAGGGTGCTCTTTCAACCATCTGCTCACCTGATCACATTTCGCCTTACGAACAAGATACTCCTCAAAAAGATCTGGATGGAGGTCCAAAAACGCCTCTATATCCGAGAAGTCAAATGTTGTCATGTTGTGACGCTACTGTGGAGACTCAAATGTGAAGAGGAGAGCTGGACGAGGATGCAACCGAGCTTCTCGGGCAAGTGTGGTCCTCAAGACATTTGTTTATCCATCTCCTGCATCATCAATTATATCGTTTTCTTTCTTAAATGCAGAGAGCAGATAAAAGGTGGTCAGGTGGATTCAGTTTGTTTTCGGACCGAAGTGATGACGCCTGAGAGGAGAGTGACAGTACAGCTATCTGTAGGTCAGCAGAGATTTTGCTGTGCCTCTGGAGATTTCTGTGGTATACTATGCAGAGGTGAGGAAAAGCAAGATGCCTATATATTCTCCTTGCAAATTGAAAAGCTGCAGGGCTGGCTACTCTCTCGCTCTTTTTATTCTACCACTAGAGACCTTCTTTGCAGGGATCCAATCAGAGCCGAGAACAGATTTAATGGATCATGTACATCGAAAAACGTGCAGGAGGGACGCATTTTCTTGCAGTGTAGGAAAACTTAGTGCTGCGTGTGTTTGAAAGAGAGTTTATGTCAACAAAGAAATTTAAGTAGGCTAAATTCAAATAACACTGGGTTTTTAAGCAATGGAGATGAAGAGGTATTTAAACTAAGAAGTTTTAATCTGTGATAGATAGATAGATAGATAGATAGATAGATAGATAGATAGATAGATAGATAGATAGATAGATAGATAGATTTCTTGTGACATGTGGATATTTCCAAATGTATTTCGTCAACTGAATTTAACCAGGGCAGAAAATGTTGATGTCATTAGTTTTCATAGAAGCCTACAGTATTTGTGTCAAATGTCCTTTTACTAGCCTATAGCTTTATATTCCTTTGTTTTATACCACTTTAGTTAACAGAAATGTATATAGGTGCATTGGTTTTCAAAGGTCAGTAGGAGCCATATGCTCATTGTGGGTCTCAAGCAGCTATTTTCTAACCCGTGGGATGTATACTGGCAATTAAATGTATAAATGTGTATAATAATGCTTAATCTATTTCCTTTAGTACTGTGCGTATTAATTTCCCCAGGTGTTTCAGAGGTTATGACCATACTGTTAGCTGTGTTTCTGCTGGTGCGTGTAACTCTGTAGGGGTTAAGCATCATTGTGCATCTGCACAATAAGTTTAAATGAGAGGAATCACTGCAGGCTGAGGCGCATTTACAATGCAGCAGAAAGAAATGTAATCCGTTGGTTCCGCTGGGGCAGAGCAGGGTAATTGGTTACTGGACTTAGCTTGGGCTGCTTGATAAGACTTGGGCTAAGACTTTGGACAGGGTCTCCCGGGAATCCCAATTAAAAGGTAAGATGCAGAGTATGGGTCCTGAGAGGACCAGCAAACAAAGCAAACCTTCATGCTTGGAAAACAGTCATGTCCAAGGAGAGGCAGCTGCATTGATTATAGGCCGTTGCTTTGTGTTGAGTTGTATTTAGAGCCAGATTTCAGGTCATTGATTGTTTAAAGAAGTGGGACCAGGGTGCTGTCCTGCTAAAGAGGTGCTGAAAATGCATTTTCATTTTTTTTCTTTCCCTTTTTTGTCTCCTAGAGAAATGTAGGGAGAGGCCACATGAGGGTAACATTTCTGTTTGGAAAGTTTGGGATTTTTTGTATGAGAGATTCATGTATCTTTGCCTTTTCTATACTTTGTGACTGTGGATAACAGAGGATTGGTCAAAATGTGTTTCAGACCTACTGATGGTTGTTTTTTTTAGTAATTATTGCCAATAACATAATCAAATCACAGTCCTCTTGATGCAAATTAACTGAGATCATGAGTGTAAATTCTTAATAAACAACACGCCTTAAAATACGGAGGCTCTTTTTCCTGTTCAGTTGTAAATATTGAGTTAAAATACTGCAGAAAGAAGCTAACCTTTCAGGTGTACTTGTTCAAATTAGTTGTTTACATTAAATTGGAAAAAGGCAGAAAATTTAACTCTTATGTGGACAAAAGGTAAATAAGTTTCAACTGGGATGCAGGAGCAAAACTAGACATTTAGATTTGTAACTGAGGTCCCTCAAAAGGCTCATTCGAGAAAACATCTCATTAAATGTGGTAAGTGTTAACAGTTCAGTTTGGGCCTCATGATTACAATTTTCCATGATGTCTTAATCCATGCCCATAATCATGAGGCCTTTTTGTCATTCTGGTCGATAATCAGAGTAGTGTGTGAAGTCTGGAGGGGAATCCAAACCCCATTCAGACAGGCTCAGTCATTGCAGAGCACCAGCACCATGGACAGAGCATGGCCAACCACCCACAACATGGGAGATTCTTTTTTTAATAAGCAGACCCACAGTTTCTTAATTGACGCAAGTCCAGGACTAATCTCTAGTAGATGTTGGTACATCTTTTGCTGCTTTGGTCAACTCACAAAGCCTGTATCCATGTATGTTTTCATTATGTTGCATAGGAATGGAGACAAAGAAACCAGATCCCTGTTACCAAACACCACACACACACACACACACACACACACACACACACACACACACACACACACACACACACACACACACACACACACACACACACACACACACACAGAGTGAGAGACACAACTTGTATCTGGTGTCAGCGTGAGCAGACCAGACCCAGCTTGATTTTCAATTTACCTCATGCTGAGCTATATAAATTCACCAAACTGTGAATGTGTAATATTATCAGATCATCCATACACAATGACAGGAACAAAGCCGTCCCATGCCGTGATTGCACCCCTTTTATTAAAAGGAATTGATTTCATATAATATTTAAGACCATTTGACAATTGGAAGATAATAAAGAGCTTTCAGAAAATTTCTGCTGATATTTGTTTCTGTCCAAGCAAATTATCTTAGTTTTGATGTTGCTTTATTGTTTCTTTGTAGGAAGGTTCAAAGTACACCCTTACTCACACAGTGTTCAGTGGGCTGGATTGGGTGTCACTTACTCTGATCTTTTTGTTTGCTGTAACTCTGGCTGTCCTAGGAATCTAACCCACCTCACTGCTCAGAAGTCCAGGGGAGGGAGTCCTGTCCTGTCCTGTCCTTGCCTGTCTACAAAAGCTTAGATGTTTCATTTTTTTCAATTGTGTAGAAGGAAACAGGTTTCCACTTCTACAAAGGAATTTTAGGCTCCTTTCTGGATCATATATATTTTTTTGTAATCCAAAAATTGTCAATAAAGTCATCAAACCTATCATTTTTTTCTTTAGACCACTGCCCAGGTGAGTAAACACAACTTTTTAATGTTGTTTTCTGATTCCCTCTTGAATAATATTTGTGATTGTAACATGTAGGCAATGTTTGTGGCAGAAAAATTTAATGGCACATAAAAAACAAACAAACAAACATACTCTACCCTCATTGTGAAAATTTGAATATTTTAAAGGAATGATTGGTTGTGTGACATTTACTATTACAAAACTGATTTAAAAGCATCAATATGAAGTAGTAGGTAAGGTTTCATTCCATATTTGCCACAACTCTGCTTATTTTTGTCCTCATAAACTATTTCTGGTCTATTTTTATGTCTTCTTTTATCCTTTACTCTAAGTAATCGTAAGAAGATGGATCCTGAGTCCTCATTGATCCAAAGCAATATGCTTGATATAAATCATCACCACTTAAATAATGGAAGGACCACCAAATCTAGGTAAGGAATAAAATGTAAATAAGATAATATTAAAATAAATGTAAATAAGAGAAATTATAGGATGACTCCCCAGAGAAAAGTGACAGGATTTAACATTTGATGCTTTTCATTATCAATGTCACCAGTCCACAGCATAGTTACAGTGCCCGCAGAGAGAAGAGCAAAGTTAGGCTCAATGACCAGCTGTGAGTAGTCTTATAAGTCTTATGTCACTTTTCCAAAGAAACATTAAATCGAAATAGAAAAAAAAAGTATTTTCTTAGTGGTGATAACTTGAATTCAGTTTGTTTGTTTTTTTCTTCAGCATACCAAAACCAACCGAAATAAATATGGGGTGAGTACATTTTTCTGCAGGGACACAAACAGATACTGGCTTTTTTTCAGTGTTCATGATTTAAGGTTTCGATATGCCACAAAATTTAACACACTTCATCTAGGTATCAACTCCTCATATCCCAACAGGGAAAAAATGATCAAGATCGCAATGCCCAAACAGCATCCCTATTCATCCCACATCTCCAAGTTTGCCATGTTTCCGTCTTTCCATCCTCCAGAGGATCCTGAAACAGGAGTCAGAGCTGCTTCCAAACCTTTCCTCAGTCCTCTGATCCCAAACAGAGCACCAGATGTCACTGTGTTGAGCAAAACCATTGGTAAACAGGCAACATATTTAGATAGAATTAAGTCACAAAACAGATCTGTGATTTCGGTATTTCTATGCATAGGTGCCCCCTTTAGACATGAGATCTTGGAGTCCCCTATCAGCCAAAGTAAGAAAACTGTAATGTGGACAGGTGAACATGGCTTCTTGGACGTGAGTACTGAAGCACTGTACAGTAGTTGGGTTCATGCTGTATAAAATGATTGAAAGTGTCAGGGTAACATAGTTAATGTTTGCCATCTTGCTCCAGTATACAAAGCCCCTGAAGGGACAGAACCAGGTCTTCTACCCCACTCCACCCAAGACAGTGCTGCCCAACCCAAGACTCTGTGACTGGGATTTGACATTATCAGAGCGGACATGCAACATGCTGAGAAACTTAGAGAGGACACACTGGCTCACCTCTTACCAAATGAACTACACAGGTAAGGATGCTTTTATAATGTTAAGATGATGAGAATGGCATGAAATAACAGTGGTGGAAAGGGGACTGAATGTTATTCTTATTTCTTGATTTAAAAAACAAAAGAACAAAAACAGACAAAGCTGTTAATTAGAATCCACCCATCTAAAAGCCCTCAAGAAATACATGTAATACTATATATTGGGAGAAAATGCACTAATGATATGATTCAATACAATATATAACTCAATACAATGAGAAACTATTCAACATGATAAATTTAGGTGCAATATAATTCTATACAAAATGATACAGTATGATACGATATCAAACAACAGATATGATACAGTACCATAAGATTACGAGTATGATCTCATACTGCATGATACAATAAAAGCACAACATGATAGGATTCAATTTGATACAATATGATAACATATGATGTGATGCAATATAATACAATACAATTTGATAAATGTTCCATTCGGTACATTTATTGTTCCCTTAGAGTAACTAGTCTCAGCCCAAAATGGTTTTTTTTTGCCTCCACATTACCAATGAAAAAAAACACAGCAAAAATAACAACAATCCATATGTAAACAGAAAAGGAACATATAAAAAAGACACAATCCTCTTACTTGTTGGACCCCAGTCCACTTCCAAAGTTGTGTTTGCCTCTCTGACAGGAAGGTGAAAAGGATTTACAAGAAAAACAGGCTACATTATGCCATCAATAATTATAAGAGCTTCAGCATGTACAATCACTTTGCAAATAAATAAATAATGCAATAGTGGAGTGTGTGATTTCAACATTTTTAATGAATAATTATGTAAATTTTTGTCTCTCCTATTAAAAGTTTGATTTTGTATTAAAGGATTGGGGCCAGCAAACCCGCTGAAGATGGATGATTTTGTGGTAAAACAGAGTAATCCAGTCGGAATGGATTTACATAGGACACTGCTGGTAAGACTCTCAGGAATAATATACCTTTTGTAAAGCAACATTTATGGTATGTAATTACCAAGCTCCTAATGAGCTCCTTTCCTTGTAGAGGGAGCGCTCCTTCCCTGTGTTTGTTCCTTCTAAACCAACACAAGGATGTAGAGGACGGCAAAGGAGCTGTGAGGGGAGAAGCACCCTCAGTCCTGCTGCTGCTGATCACCCAAATCTATCTGAATTTCCAAAACATAGAACTGCTTCAGCTCTTACAAACCAACCCAGGCCCCTAGAGACCACGGTTAAGTATGAGGCACCAGCCCCCGACCGCAAGGGTCACAGCCAATCAAAGAACAGCGCTGGGTCCACAGAGGCACCAAGCAACGAGCTGCCCCAGGAGGTCTTGCATGAACAACAAAGTGAAGGAAAAATCTCTGCATATGAGAGCGGAAAAAAAGGAAACTGTAAAGTCCGGTTTGATCAAAGTGTGTCACAGAGCTGCCAAGAGGCTAACACTGTCCTGATCACAGACACAGAGCAACCCTTGGATCTGTACAACCGTCCCCCTTCCCACAGAGAGATGGAGGTCAACAGAGAGAAAAGCCTGTCCGATCATGATGAACCATGCAATAAAAAGAAAAATGTAAAAGTTGATAGAAATGTACAGAATCAGTCATTTGGAGCCAAAGATCTAGCAGGTGTTGAGTCAGAGTTATTATGTAGGTCTTATGAGCAAGAGAAACTTGTAAAAAGCAAAGAAATGCCATACAGTACCTGTAACCCCTGCATCCTGCCCAGGCCCTCTGCCCTACCTGACATTCCCTGTAAGGGCACAGTAGGAACTCTCAGCCTCTTGGATCTTCAAAATTCATTCAGTAAGACTGCTGCCCATCACAACTTCAACAGCTCTATAACACATACTCCTGTAAACCTGAGGGACAATGTCATCTCAGGGAAAAAACACAACTTTTACGGGATTAACTCTTGCTACCTCCATGGATAAACCTCACAGACAACATCCTGGAAGCAAAAGGGAGCTAAAAAATGAATACCCTACCTAAAATTTTAACCACTACTCAAAACTTCATGTTTAAATTTAAGACTGCTGAGTGTAGGGCGTTGAATTATTCCACTTTGTCTCTTTGATTTGAATGCTTTGAATCCTTCATGGATATTGCAGGCTTTCCAAAATCGTGACGTTTCAAAGATCTGTGTTGAGCTTTGAAGTTGATGGGCTTTTGTTGAATATGAAGTCATTTCTTATTTAAGATATTGTCATAAAGTTGCTCAGTTGTTCAATATTCTGATAAAAATTTTGATTGTAAAACCAACCAAAGTGCACATCCCAATACTGTCCAATCCTTCAACAAATGTGCAAAAAGGACAAAACTAACATGTAAAAGCAGGTTGTTCATTGATTATTTGTATTGTTCAAATTCAGACATCAACAATAACAAATCGAACTTCAAGTTATCGATATAAGTCTTTGAGCTTCAAAGAAAGTTGGCAGACATTAAAACATTAGGTTATTTACTAAATATGTTTGACCTAAGTATCTAATCTAGGTTAAATACAAAAAAAAAAAAAAATTAAAAGTGTTGTGAGTATTGTGAATGTCAAATTTTGAATTTTGCCCCTTATTTATCTCGGCTTAACTTTAAGACAAATGTGCCAGCATCTTGCATACAAGTATTTTAACACAGACACCAAATTTATATCTGAATTTAATTTTTTTCTGACCATTAAAGCCATAAAATCTAAAAGTTTAAAATTAATGTTCTGATAAAGATTGAATTATTGGTATTTTCACCTTTAACATACAGTAATGTTGTTCAGAGCATCAGTTATGTCTGGTGGTGAGTAGGTTCAATCCCAACCTTTGACCCATCTCCCTCACTCTCTTTCCTGGTTTCATGCTCTATCTGCTGTTCTTTCATCTCTGAATAAAGGCCTAAATTATTCAGATGATTTCTTAAACTTTATATTTACTCTGATTATAAGCATAACACAAACAACACCTTAAACTTGTTGGCAAAAATACAAAACTGTGGATGTAAAGGCTGAAACAATTGGTAAAAACAATCCCCTAAATGATCACGTGATTAAAGGCTGTGATTCATAGATTGTGTCCGGCAACATTCAAAACTGTTCATTTAGCTCAGTGCTTACTCAGTGTTTTGTTAGTCAACAGTCAAACTAGTTAGCAAATATTGTTCAGTTGCTCTTTGTTTCTATGCTTTTCATTTGCAATATTCATTAGAGCTCAGGCTGAATTACCCAATAATGGACTTATATAAGGCCCCCATAAGCCGAGGCTGATACTGAAGAAAAAATAAAAGACTCAGCCTTCAAAGCTCACTTCTATGATTTCTTTCTTCCTGCACACTGGAGGAATATTCAGCAGCAGGAAATTCAGAAAGCAGCACAGATGAATACTTTGGTCTTCGGTGTAACCTTTTTAATTTCACAGAGGGAAACATTTGAATGAAGATGATTTGTTTTTCCCCAGATGTGACACAAGGTTCACCGTAGACCATTGTGCTGGCTGTGTTACGGAACCCATCTCTCTGTGTTATCTGTGCTGCAGTAACCTTCTGGCTCACCACTGTGAAAAGAAAAAAATGCTCGTCTTCTCATGTAATCTGTTGCAGGCAAGCTGACTCTCAGTGAAAGGTGCTTTTGTTACAGTGAGTCCTTGAGCTGCAAGCCTGAAGCCTTGAGTGATATAACAGCCTCTCATTCAGAGCTTTAGAAAAAAAACCCAGTGGCAATGGCAAATGTACTGAAACAGTTTCACACTGAGTATTAGGATCCGAAATGTAGTGGCTACTCCCAGTGTACCTACTTCTTAAAGAACACGAAGTTAAGATTTTGCGCTGCAAAACTAGTTGTTGATTTTGTTTGTTGTCATTGTTCTTAGAAAATGCACTGAGAACATTAAGTGGAGTTGTGTTGCCTTCAAGATCAAGTAAATTATCAACCCCTCTCAAGATATTTACGAGGCCTTTCAATTTCAGAATATTCCTGCAAATGATAGTGAATGTTTCTCATTGTGCCATAGGAAAACAACACTAACTGTGATTTGGGAGGTTGTCCGGCAGGTGGCAGTATCTCATCATTTAAAGACATTGTTTTTTCCTTTTCTTTGTGCGTGAGAGTGCTGTCGTCATTTGGGTGATTTCTACACAGTGTAACCTCAGAAATAAACTTACAGAGTATTTCCAGTTTTTTTTAAACGAATCATTTAGCTATATTAATGTGCTGTTAACTGTCAATAGTGATAAAAGACCGTAATTACTTAAATGGCCGACGCGCAGAGCCACCAGACTGACATTATCGACACTGTAGCTTGGGTCATTGTTTTCTGTATCAACGCCGTTCGTCCTTGCTTTTGGGGACCTCCATCAGACGTCATGGAAAGGATGCTGTCAATAACATTACCTCCTCCCACTTTTTGGTGACGCAGTACTCTCTTCTGCATTTTAATTGGTGCTGTACTCTGCCGGTCACGCGCAGCTCCCCGCCTTCATGTAGCGGAGGAGAAAGTGATGCTTTTCAGAGCGGACTGAGCTTGAAGGGTGGTGCATGTGTGCACATGTCAGGCTGGGTAGGCTGCGTATTCGAGTCTGTAGTCAGTGATTTTTACAGACTGCTTCGGCTCAAATGATCTGACTGCTTCTCAACATAGCGACCTCTTTACCCGGGAGTCACCTATGTAACTCGGTCAAGGTGAGTGCGTTTTTTTGTAATATTTCTGAAAAAAAACAGACAAACATAAAAGAACTCAGTGATATTGTAGCCTTAAGTTGAAGACTTGATTTAAATAAATAAATAAATAAATAAATAAAAGTGTCGTCTCCGGTTTAATCTTGTCAAATTTCTAAGTTACGTGCGTAAAAAGTTGCACTGCAGGGTCTGTCATCTTGTTCCCAGGGGCGGCATGTAACTTAACTGACTCATTACTGCAGTCTAACACGGTGCTTTTAATTTCAGAGTATGACACTGAAAGTGAAATAAACCAAGAGTTTACCACCACTTTAACCTGAACACTGGGTTAAATCTCACGGCTACAGCATGTATTTCATTTAGCCTAATAGATATGCTTGTCTCCATGGTAACTCTGTAACCCCTTCCTCTAATTTTCTAGACAAGTAGCCACAAGTTTAGAGGAGTTAGACCTCTAAAACAGCCTACTACATATATAGTTTGTACACAAGTGTGACTACAAGCTAAAATTATGAATAATATGCTTTTATGAAGGGTTTTAACTCATGCTGATGTGTGTGTATTGACAGATTGTTAAAGTAGGCTTTTGGGCTTTTTGCCAAAACTTTACATTCAAATTTCAATATGAATCCTCAACAATCTGCTATATATTGCTGTGGGTCAGAAGCAAAGCAACCATATCTCAGGGTCTTGCACAGTGTTACTCAGCTCCTTTGGGTGTTGTGTCAACAGTGCGACAGAAGAGGCTTTTCAGGTGCTGCTGTGTGTTTTGGTAAACAGGGTGTGAGGCTCAATAGGGGCTACTGAGAGTCTGAACAAAAGACTTTTACATTACATGGATCTAGGAGGATGGGTGGTTAGCATAGCTTGCCTCAGATTAGTGTGCAGGTAAAGAATTTACTTACAGATTGTATCTGAACAGTTAATTACTTGTTTATTGAAATCTTCATGGTAATGTTTCTAGTTCTCACAGCTGTTTTCACTTTTTTATGGACAGATTTGTGATTCTTGCAGCTCCTGAGGTTTTTACGCTCCTATCACACCCAGCTTAGTGATTCCAGTCAAACATGAGAGTCAGTGAGGGAGAGGAATCAATAGAATTTGTGGAATGCAGGAGAGAAAACATCTTTGCCTGTGCAAGAAAAGGCAGCAGTGGGGTGGGTACATTGTATGGTATGAAGTCACCTACACGGTAATTTTAGCTTTTTCCCGAGCATCATGCTGAATCTTTGGTGCAACCTGTAATCTTTTAGATTCCACTGTCTGTCTCTCATGTACTTTTGTGCTGCGTCTTTATAATAGACGGTGTGTGTCAGCAGGTTTTCCTCACCTGGTGTCTTTTTGTTCATGACATATATTAGCAGAATGCTGCAACTCTGAAAAAAATTGCAGAGATTTTACTGATAAATAAAACTTTTTCCACCCCTGTGCTCTTTTTTAAAGATCGTCGTAGCAACAAGTGACTGACACATAAAGTGCAAATAGAACCTGCAGAACAGCTGTTGTGGGCATCTTGTGCACATAGCAGATGTTGCCTCTTATTGTGTTGGCTTTTTACCACCATGAATAATTTATGTGGTTTTATATGTAAACTAGTAGATGTGGTTATAAGTGTAGACACAGAGAAACTTAACTTAATTTGCACAAAGTGATAATGTGAGTTTTAGTTGTATCAGATTAAGATCAGCAGTCTTGATAATTCATATTTTAAATTGTCCCACTTTATTTTCCACCAAAGTGATGAGGACTCTCCTATTAGTGTCATTATTTTTTAATGACAAGTTGTCGCTTTTATCTACAGTCTCCCCCAGAAGAGACAGACTGAATGAGAGTAAGATAGGCTAAAAGAAACAAGCAGCTGCTAGATATCTGCATACAATTTTAATGAAGGTTTTAACAACGGTGAATTCCAAAAGATGTTCCATGTTTTCCCTGGACTCCACCCACATACTTGCTCACACTGTTGGTTTTTGGCTGAATTATTTAAATCTTCACCATAATGACAGCTCTGATGCACTCAAATATTGTAGACTAAATGAAAGCAATGTTGTAAACCAAAGTTTAATCATTACATTTAGAAAACTTAGATGGGGAGACAGTTGTGGTCAGTGTGCTTAAACCTTTAATCAATTATTTGTGTTTTTATGAAGAACGAGATCAGATTCTGACAACTATAACTCATAATTTTAAGGGTTTTCTTTTAAGACCTGTTGTATGATAAGTATCTCTGTGAAAAATAAAGGCTTTCGTTGGGCTCTAACTTAATGGTAGTTTATC